GGACTGTTGAAATATATACAACAAAAAATAAATCAGCTTGAGTCATGCCACTCAAATGGGGTCTGCTAGACCAATTTTTTAAAACCAAGTTAGACAAAAATTTCTTCTAGGGCCAATCCAGTATGAGGGGCCTTGAAGCTTAAGATTTATCAGTTTCATAGTAGATCCACCCCGTTCACTAGTAAGTCGGATCATATGTGGTGCTTCTCAGTGCTTGGACTAACAAATGCTGCTTATTTGACAGGATGCTCTCCGCATTTTAAAAGGCTGTCATTTGGCCTCGCAGAAAGTGATGTCATGTCCTTTAGGAAAGAGGAGCTTTTCTTCATTCAAACATCTAATCAAATATAGCTTTTTCCAAGAAGCTTTTGACTTAGCTATTTTGTCTGCAACTGAAACAAAGCCTAGCAAGCGGGGGCGTAGGAAGAGGGGTGCAGTCCGCCCCAGGTGCCCTCCCTGAGGGGGTGAAAAAGTGGCACACTGCAGGGGGTGGCACTTACTGTGGGGCCTGGCCTGCAGCGCACTCCTGGGAGTGACGCGGTGGCTCGAGCCCCACACTGCCCAAAACGGCAGCGTGGGGCTTGCGTCCACCGGGCGGACTCTGTGGGCAGCTTGCCACACTGCCCCCCTGGGCAGATTGACATGGCACCAGGGGCAAACGAAGGCATCGTGACACCCGGGGCGGGGCGTCACTACGTAGGACGCATGTGTGGTGTCGCTATGTATGATGCATGCGCCACATGTAGCGATGCTGCACATGTGCTGTACATAAAGGTTTGCCACCGCGAGCGCTCCAGCGCCATACGGACAGTGCCGGGATCCCTCCATCGCCACTACAGCCACGAGCGGAGGATCCTCTACATGCGGCTGTAGCAGCAACAGAGGGATTCCACCGCCATCCGTACGGCGCTCAAGCAGCGCCAGCGGCAAACCACTATGTACAGCGCATGTGTGGCAGCATTACGTACAGCACATCCATGCAATGTTGCACATGTGCTGTACATAGTGGTTTGCTGCCGGCACCAGGATTCTCAGCTCGCGGCTGCAGTTGCGAATGGAGGATCCTTCACATGCGGCTGCGGCGGCACAATGGCTGCTCGCGCTGCCACGAGCCTCTGTGGGGTGCCTTCTTGTCACCCCCCCCAAACATGGCACCCGGGGCACACCGCCCCCCGCCCGTATTGCAACACCACTGCGTGACACCCCTGTGCACGGATTGCCTCACCATCCCCTTGGGCGGATCGCCCCACCCCTGCCATTCCGGATGCTGGAGCAGTTAGCTACACCCCTGCTGGCAAGAGGCCTCTGGGGACAGCTCAATGCAAGAGCAGGGCCACGTGGAGCAGCAACTTCCCTGATCTTGCAAGTTCTGAGAATCCCCTCCCTCTGGTGTCTGCACCGCTCTGCTCCCATGTTGCATGAGTACATGGTAGCTGGAAGATGATATGTCACTGCACTCATCTGTCCCATCTGCTGCCTGCAATGAGAAGGCTGTTCCACTTGGGTGAACTTCCCTGGGTTACAAATCATACAGAGAGCCTACAGGAGTCGAAAAGGCTCACCTCTTTCTCCATGTGCACACTATACCATTAAAGCACATTCAAAGCACATATCCCACCCACCCCCAAGTAATCCTGGACACCGTGGTTTGCTAGGGGGCTGCTGGGAATTGTGACTGGTTGAGGCGTAAACCACAGTGCCCAGAGTTCTTGGCGGTGAGGCGTGTGCCTTGAATGAGCTTTAAAGCTAGAATGTGCATTCGGCCATTTCCCACCCAACTCATGGAGGATGCAAGGGCAAAGGGCAGCAGCCTGCGACCAGGAGGACTCTGTGTGAGCTCAGGTGTGTGAGAGAGAAAGGTTCTTCTATGTGCTGAGCTCTCAGTGCCTTTCAGGAAGCAGAGAGGCTGCCTCATGGCTAGGAGCCAGTGACTCAACTCTCTGGCAACCTGCGTTGCTGGCAGGCCAAGGCGTGGCTGGGACTGCACTCCCACTTGTTTACCCCAACAGGAAAGTAACTATTACGTTGTCTCTGAAATCAGAGATTAAGAAACAGCGTGAATAACCAGGGATAACAAGTCAAAACTGTATTATGTGTAAATAATTCTTTTCGGAATGTCAATAAAATGTACAGTTGTTTTTATTTTATTTGTCCGCAGCATTTGTACGCTGCCCAGTTCTCTGGTCAGGTCACAATAAATAAAGATGAAGAAAATTTGAATGCAAAATAAAACATAATAAAATAAAAAGCAACACAAACGTAACAAAAACAAAGGTCACCGCACCCTCAGGGTTAAAACACACCCAGTTGTGTCACCCACTTGTGCATTGCGCTCCCATCCTGCAAACAGGCCTTAGCCTTCCTCTGATTCCCCACTGCAGCCCCATACAATTCCCAAGGCTGCTCTGGGTGGTCACTCAGAAATTCAAAGGACACTTTCTTTAAAACTGGAAGAAAATATGTAAAAATCGCATTAGAAGCTAGAAAAGCAAACTAATTCTGCATACATAGGTGTCAAGGTTTTTTTAAACAAACAAACAAACAAACAAACAAACAAACAAACAAACAAACAAACACCCCTTTGGAAATCCTAATGGAAACCTTCTTCAAGGGAGGCTCTTCACAGATTCACATGTATAAGTTACCAATTTAATGACGCATTACAACTTCATCCAAGAGTTTACACATGTTCACTATCAGTAATTTTGCTTCCTCAAGAAACTAAGGGTCAAACTAGATTAGATATCTAATGCATCTTTAATGTGTAGATTTTTTAAAAGACAATGGCTGGGGGGTTTTGGGGGATGTTAAAATATAATTATCAGGATTATAGTGGGGGTGCGGATTGTATTGGGATTCCTTCCAATGAAAGTAGCACCTTCAAAGGAGGAATTTGCCTCCTGATCTGAATAGAGGAGAAGACGGCTACCTCCCCCTCCAAGCTATGATCTTGATAATGGTTATTTTGAAGAGAGGAGGTATCTGTATCATAGTGTCGTAGAATTGTTGAGTTAGAAAGGACTCAAGGGGTCATCTAGATCAACCCCCAGCGATGCAGGGATTATTTTACTGACGGCACCTCAGAACAGCGAAAGGCTTTCGAGGCTGCAGGAGTTAGCCAAATCAATAGCTTCTCTCTGCACTGGGCCCCCTTTTCACTCTCCCAGCAGCCAGTACAACTCACTGTTTACTCTGCAAGTGTTTCTGTAGAAGGTAGGCAAGGGCTTTCTCCTTCGTGGTTTGAAGCACTAATCATAAATGCTTGAAAAACCCTGGATCTGGTGAACAGACACTGTTTTGCAAGACACGGAAGCTGAATACCTGTTTGACATTTCACCAGTTCTCTCTCTCTCTCTCTCTCTCTCTCTCTCTCTCTTTCTCTCTCTCTCATGTGTGTGATCAGTTCATTAGCCACTGATGTTGCAATCTGTGTCACAGCAACAGAGCCCAAAATGCTTGTTTATGCCCAGCTGGAAGGACTGAATGTGTGTTGGGCTTCCTTGTATTTCCCGCAGCTGACGCAACATCACAAGCCTGCCTGGCAAGATGTCTCCCATTTGGGATCTGCTCCCAGTGCATTGCTCAAGCCTGCTCAGGTGTTTACCTGGATGTTTACCAACACAGAAGAGGGGCTGGCCCCACATTCCTGTGCAGTTGAGCAGAGGTCATCATCAGCTCAGCGACTCCCCTGCTTCTCTTGCTTTGCTTAGAGAGAAGACTCCCAAAGTCATCAGTCAAATCCTAGGAAATAGATCACCACAAGGTCAATGTTTGACATGTTGAAATAAATTCCAACATGGGCATGTAGCTCTTCAAATGTAGCAGACAACAAATGTCTGCAGGCCACCTTTTGGAAGTATTAGAGTGGGGGTCTCAGTATTGCTTAGTCTTGGGCAACATGGATCTTGCTCAGGTGGTCACAAGGCAGGGTCCTGCATCTCGGGCTCCAAGAGCCTTTTAAAACGGGCATATTTATCATCCTCATCCTGCTGCTCTTTTACCAATAAATGTCCAGAGTGATTCACACAGAATGGGGCGGGGGGCTTTAAATACATCATATAGCATATTAAAGAAAAGACTGTGATCTCTCTGGGAAATTCAGTGGTTGTTCTTCTGCGCCACTGTGGCCAGTTCTTTTTCATGCAGGAATGGGGAACGTGTGGCCCTCCAGAGGGTGCTGGATTGCAGCCCCCATCACCCTTGACCACGGGCCAGGCTGGCTGAGACTGATGGGGCCACAGCCTCCCTGGTGCTCTTAAGGCTTATCTACACTTCTGTTTGCCTCCCAGGATAGCTTGCAGTTTAGCACTGAATCGGAGGAAACAGCAACTGGGTTTTCTGCTGATTGCTGTTTGTTACTGTTTATCACGAAAGAGCAGGTTTTTCTCTCAGTGTATGGAGAGAGGCTGCCTTTTACAGAGCAGGGTGGGTGGGAGGAGGGGAGTTTCTTGTGAGTAAAAAGGAGGAGTCAGAGGCCTTTCCCTCCTAGAAGGAATCCTTCTCTGACTGGTAGGTGCACTATTTATTGCTCATGCCAAAAACATGGACGACTCATTTAGCAGTTCCCATTAATCACATCATGTTGAAACAACCCTGGCCTGTTCCCACATTCCATGCTCATGTCCAAAACCATGGCTAGATGGGGGAGGAGAGCTTCAGAGCCGTATAGAAAAACAAACAAAAAAGCATCCCCAAACAAAGTCACATATATGCCTCCAGCTACAAACGCCTCAATTCACAAGCATTTCTTTTCTTTTAATCATTCATACCCATATGCCAGATCAGGACTTTGTCTTGGATAAAACTAGAATTGCAGAGTGCTCGAGGTATTTGTGCTGAACCATTGAAAACTCAGGAGGCCAATAAACTTCCACGGTTCATATATTAATTTATTCATAGGTGGATACATTTATTCAATAGGCATAACGTGCAATGGTCATTGTTAAAGTTAACAAAAGAAGGATGTTGACTTCAAGGCAATTTGCAGGTAAATATAAACTGGGGTCTTTTAGAGGTTTCCTGCTGAACTCTTTTAAAGTTGCTGATCTTTTAAAATAAGAATAAGAATCATCCGTTGCCTGAATGACCATGAGAAAGGGCAGGAAGGTCACTGTCTTGGCCCTGGCGCAACTCAAGAGACACACAAAATCTGTGTTTGGGAAGTCACAGGTTTCATATCCCCTTGCAGGTGCCTATATCTCCTCCACATGGGGGACTATGGAGTTGGGCTAGGTCAAGAGAGCCTTAATTTTTCTACTCCAATTTCTGCAAATCCTTCCAGCTTCCACCCCATCAAAGGTTCAGATGTGTCAGGTTTCTCCTCCTTCCCCCACCTCAACACTTTTCTTGTCTCAGATTTCTCCACTTCCCAGGATGGCCAGCCCAAGGCTTCAAATAGTACACCCTTGTAAACAAGCCCCCTTCCATGTGGGCTAGGCGGTCCCTGCGATCAGGTGGGCAGAATGGAGCTGCCCCAGTGAGTTCCAGCCGGTATCTGCAGGGCAAGAGTTTTTCTCCCTCATAATATTGTTTTGGGCGGTGCTCCCATCCACTTGCCTTTCTCTGACCTGAACCGGCTTTCGGCTCTTAAAAAGGCAGGATGTCTTGGGTCTGCTCAGTTCCTGCTCTGCTGGGGTCAAAGACTTTGCCAAGGAGGGAAGAGGTGTGCTGAAGGTTTGCCCAGGCTCAGGATGTCCAAAGCAAGCGCCCTGGGCGCAAGCGACGGTTGTCCAGCTGAAAGGAAAGACGGCCTGACTCTGCAAGCTGAGGGGATGAGCAACAGCAATGGAGAAGAGCAGGAGCCCCCCAGCAGAACTTCTGTGGTCATCTGCCAAGCGGTTGGGAGAAGTATCTTCACCTCCAGCATCTCACCAGCAGCAGAGAGAGTGAGCCTTATGCTGAAACAGGAGGAGGAAGAGGAGGTGGAGGAGAATGAAGGCACAAATTGCCCAGTGCTATTTATACAGCTGTCCGAGCTCTTCAGTACCCCTGAAGGACTGGAATGGAGGCAAACCGCCAGGTAGGTGGCTGCTCACTCAAGGCTGGACTTTGTGGCAGAACACATGCTCTGCATGCAGAATGCCTCAGGTTTAGTCTGCAGTTAAGCGGTTTTCTAGCAAGAATGGGAAAGACTTCAGCCTGCCTGAGTTCTTAGGGAGCTGCCAGAAGTGTGCAAATTGTGGTCTAGATATGCCAGTGGCTTGGGGTAAGGAACCTTCATACACTTGAATGCTTCAATCTGCCTGGCTGGGGGCACTTTGACCAGCCCATAGCCACCACTGGGGAAGTGATTTGGGGGGGCAGTGGGGGGGGTCTTCCTCCTCATGCTGCTCTTCTGGCATCAGGCATAAGAGACTGGGTTTGTTTCTCCTCCCAGCAGCTGAAAGTAGGCTAGGGTCTCTCATCAAGTCATTTCTCCTGGTGAATAATCGGGTGGGGTTGTCCACCTTTCAAATGCCACAAATTCAACCTTGCCTGTTTCAAATATTAAAACCCCGATATTAAAAGTCAGCCTCTTCGCTTGTGCCCAAAACAAGTTTGAGTAGAAGGCATTATTCACACTCAGGGCAATGCTCAACCGTTAATCCTGGTTCCTTGGCAAATGCCAAGGTAAGATGAGGGAGGGTTTGTGGAGACTCCTAGCAGAAAACACAGAGAGAAGCGGAAATATTTGGCAGAGGCCACACCAGACACAATAATCTTGCAGGCAATGTTGCTTGCCATGTTCTCATCCTGAAGCATGGGCATGGCAGCAGAGCACTGTAGCGGGTAAAACACAGTGGTTAACAACATGAGCTGTGTGCTAGGAAGTCCCCAGGTGAAATATCAGTTCATAAACAAATTAACTAGGTATGCCACTGCCAACGGCACCATAGCTAATGCATCTACATCCCACCTTTTTTCTCAAAGGAGCTCAAGGTGGTGTACGTAGTACTCTGCCTCCCTCATTTAACCCCCACAACAATCCTGTGAGGGAGGTTAGGCTGAGAGGCAGTAACTGACTCCAAGGTCATCCAGTGGCCGAGTGGGGCTTGAATCTTTGCCTCCCAGGTCCTAGTCTGACACTCTAGCCACTAGGCCACACTGCCTCCCAGTGTAGCAAGGCTGTTTTAATATGTGTAAAGTGGTTTGAGCGAGCAAAAAAGTGTTGCAAATGTGCCAAGTATTATTGCTGTCATTGAAAAGTTTGGCGTCACACACTTTCAGCAAGAAGTCTTACTGGTGTTGCATGATAAAAATACTCATTTTTAGGGGAGAACACATAGCTGTGAATGGCTCCTTGAGGAGGGAACCATCACATCTTCTTTAAGTGATATTTTTTGCTCTTCAAAAATATTTTGCAACCCTTTTGAAATGTCCAAGAATTTGTCTTTGATGACAATACGTGTGTCATTTAAGAGTGTGTTAGTGAACATACTGGTAGAAATTTACAACAATATCCTGGGATTTGTCACAGAATTCTTTCTACTCATGCTCATCATATAGCCATCACATTAAAATTCATGGAATTTCATGTAAATGTTGTTGAGGGGACACTTGGGAGAGATTTCAGAAATGGTCCACTCTTGACCACATTCCTTCCTCCTCTTTCTCACTGTTCATCTCAACTGATAGTTGCAATCTGTACCTGTAGCCTCTGCCCCCTCACCCTTTCTGCATGGAGCAATCACAGGCTCAGGTACAGAAGTAGATCTCTACTTTTTGAAGATTGCAGGTAGCAATCATCTGTGGGGGGAGGGGTGCTCCCTTATTTATTTTAGTCTTAGTGTGAAATTGCTAAAATTATGACCTTTTCTGGAAGGATGTCTTTTACATGATTAATTCCTTTACAGAATTCATTCGTGTAACTTGACTTGTAGTTTGTGGCTTGGCTTGCTTCTTTGAGTTACCCACCTGCATGTGTTGTGAGTTCCCCACCCGAGGTTCACTCATTGTCTCTGGGTCTGTTTTTACTCTGAAAAATGGATAACTGTTTCCTATATGCTTAATTTCTTGACCGTGTTATGCATATATGTGTGTTGATATGTAGCTGTTGGCTTGGCTCACTTTCCTGAGTTGCCTGGTGTGAGACATATATATTATTTCAAACTTTCTGATTTTGTCACAGTTGTAGCCTATGCCATGTGATCTATGCGGACCCTATATAGAGACAGTAGAGGGTATTTAGCAGTATTTAGCCTATGCAATAGCTGTTCACCTTAGATGGAGGTTTATGTGGGCATTCTGCAGAATAATAATAATAATAATAATAATAATAATAATAATAGGTTGGCAACTGCATGTGGGAAAACTGCACTCAGGGACCTTACCTGCCTGCTTCTGCTAGCGAACTCAGCATCAGAGGATATTGCAGTGATTGAGCATATGGGGCAGGATCACAGCAGCAAGTCCCTTTCTAAATGCCCTCCCCCAAGTACCTGTACGTTCTCTGCACAAAGACAAGCCTTTAGCCTTGGAATAAATGTTGAGGATGGGTGGTATAAAAATGTCCTAAATAAACAGACAGTGCATAGGGTTGTATGCACACAGGACAGCCTTTCTGAGCCTAGCTAGGGTCCCGCTAGTTAGCGATGATGGGAGTTATAATCCAACAACATCTGAGGTCCCAAGGCTGAGAAAGGCTGAGGACACAGGGGCTGTGCCTGTCCTAGTGAATGCATGCAAGTCAGGGAGGGCGTGGCCACCTTAAGCTGTCTGACAGCCGGGCAGCTTGGTTGCCCTTTGAACCCCTGATTTATCATGCGGTGCCCTGAGAGATCAGTTCATCATGTCACTCTGACCTATTTCTGGAGAACAACTTTGCTTCCTTATAAGAGCTGTCAGCACTCAGCCATTCATGGCCTCATGCATTTGTGCTGAGGTTGTATACCAACAACAGGATTTTATTTTTATTTTATTTTTTGCTAAATACACATCTGCATGCAAAAATGCAATAGTGTACAACATTTTGCTTATGGTGAAAAAGGCTAAAAGGGATTGGACTCAGCGACAGGTATATGTCCCTGGAGAGACCATCCCAGGCTGGAGGAAAAGCTTTTATCACCTGACCCACTTCCAAAAGTGTGAAGTGGCCTCTGGGAGCAATATGAGCATTTTGGGAGGTTTGTGTGGCCTGGTTCGTTTGGGCAGGGTGCCTAACTTGGACTAAAGACAGCTGCTGCCTCATGTGTTACCTAGGCAACCAGAGAATGCAAGCCTTTGCACAATATTCCTTCCTTACTGGCCAATGTCCTAGGCAAGCACCCTTTGGATACTCCTTTTGGGTGGTCAGATAGAAACAGTGAAATGGCAAGGAAATCATTAAATGAAATAGAATTAGGTTTGATAAGGTTTCACATTTCTACAAATATCTGTGTCTAGTCAAATTAGAGAGTCAACTTCATGAGTTTTTGGTATATTATTATTATTATTATTATTATTATTATTATTATTATATACTTCATCTGTAGATCCCAGGGCAGTTTGCGACACAAAAATAGACTGTTTCATGCCCGCCCTACTCTGCAAACATCCACTGATGTTCCATTGGACAACATGGTTTCTAAGTTGCTACAGATACAGGTGCTTGGCAAAAAGGCATTATGTAAGCATTTGTGGAGCCCTTGAAAATTAAAAAAGAGACCAGTTTGCCAAAAATAGTTTTGGCTGCCCTGTTATTCCCTGTTTGTAGGGAGCGCAGCCAAGATAAATCCTAAGTGATGAGTTGATAAGACTGTAGAAGGAATTGGCTTCAGTCCTAAGCTGGCTTCTGCTAGCGGGAGTTCCACTCACAGGATGCTCCTGCCAGAAGAAGTGTGTGGAGAGAAGGGTGCCTTTTAGCAGTTCATCCTTCCCTGTAGTCCTCTGTGGTGCCTCTCATACTGTTTTCAGCCACAGAGAGCTGTGGGGGGAGGGGAAATCAGTGAAAATTGCTGCCCGCCCCACACAACTTCTGCCAGCAGGGGGACATGCAATCATGGACTCTACCTGTCTCTTACCTGGAGTCTGGCTCCTGCTGAGGCCTGATAAGGAGGCCAGTAGCTGATGCACTGCAAGGTTCTCTGCAGATAAGGGTTGGAATCCCTTTCATGCATATCACCAGCAAACGACCACGAGAAGAGGAAAAACCTGCTGAGGGAACAATGCTCCCGCGATTTTCCCACGACAGGCGAAAAGCCAATTTGGACATTCATGTGTGGGCTGGCAGTGTGTGTGATTCATTCTGTTTGTTTGTTTGTTTGTTTATGTATTTATTCATTTTAAAATCAGGACCATGGAGGGTGAAAGAGTGGTTTCTTTAACCCTTTGCTCCTGCACTGTAATCCTGGCAGTGGCATCTTTCCTCACGGCAGAGACACGCTTCAAGGTGATATTTGTCAGGACCACAACCTGGGGGGAATAAGTTTTGGTTCTGTTTTTTAAAAAAACCAAACTCCTCATGTCTTCATCCTGACTAGTTTTAATTATCCTAGAGAGATCATTTCTTATGTTTTCCTCCTTAAGAGCAAGAGCCAAAATGTTGTCACTTGAAAATTAAATAAGACATTCTGGTGAAGCCATGTGGTCATGGCTTAGGAAACAGAAATTTTGCATACACAAGGATCTCAGATGTGGCCTTCACTTTTTTCCAATTCAGGTGGATAAAGTTTGAAGAGAAAGTGGAAGATGGAGGAGAACGCTGGAGCAAGCCTCACGTGACAACTCTCTCCCTTCACAGCCTGTTTGAGCTACGGACGTGTATAAAGAGAGGAGCTGTCCTGCTGGATTTGGAAGCGCACAGTTTTAAGCAAATACTTGGTATGTGGGAAATGTGCATAGATCCCTGCTTGTTTGTGAAACCTGCCCCTCATTAGTCAAGTATGAGTGGGGTTGCAACTCCTTTAGTTTTAATATCGCCAACTCCCGCTTGTTAATTGGTCACTGTAACTTATTTTGCTTTCAGGTAAACATCACTGTCTGTTCTTTCTGCATTTCACTTCCCAGTGGCCTACATTCTGTTCCCTACCTCCACCCTCCATTGTGTAGAAGGGGGAATTTCAGCAACTTATAAAGGGGACCACCCTGACTGATGGACTCCCTAATTATCAGAAGAGTCAATAATGGGTGCTTTGTATGGAAATCCTTCTGGACAGATTCATTTCCATGTCATTGGAAAACTGCTCTTTATTTGCATGATGGTGATTTATATTAAAGGTTCTTCAGCTTTTCTAGTAAGGCAGTTTTTTTAAAAAAATTAAAATATAAAAAGGCTTTTTCAGTAGATGCCAAAGATTATAAATGTTTACAGCAAAGGAGAGGGGGGAGCCCTTATTTTGAGAGGACTCGCTTTGTGTTTATTTTGTGTTCAAGAAAAGGTGATTGGAACCCAAATAGAGAACCATGCCCTCAGGCCAGAGCTCTCAAAGAAACTCATGTATGTCTTGCTCCTCAAACCTCAGCACCACATCACCAAATCTCAGCTGAGGATGCTGGTGGAGATGGGTGTGGCCTCCTGCTCAGGTAAGTAGTCCTTGCACTATCCCTCTGGGTCCCAGCCCTTGCTCTTTAACTCCAGGCTACAGCAAACAGGCAACCAGTGCGTAGTACACTGTCCAGGTGGTGGCACCAGAAATCCACTTACCTATAAGATAAAGATTGCCTCCTTTTATTCAACTCAGTATGACTTATTTATGATTAGGAGTACATTTAAACACTAATCCCAGGAGGAATGACTGCATAACTGGATTCAGATGCGCTGGTGGAACCATGATGGGTCTATGTTAAGCTATCAGGTGGAGAGTGGTGCTTTAATCTTCACACCTCTTTAGAAGTTATACATAATTTACTCCTTTTAAAGCAGGGGTAGGGAACTTGGCAGCTTCCAGATGTTGTAGGGCTACAGATCTCACCATCCCTGGCCACTGGGCTGGGCTGGCTGAGACCAATGGGAGTTGAAATCCAGTGTCATCTGCCGGAGCACAGGTTATCCATCCCAGGTATCAAGGCAACGCCTTTTGAAGGGGTAGTGACTCACTAATATGCTCCTGTGTGTAGTCTTTTGATGGAATTGTGTTTAGAAGTATCATGGGGCTTTCTCTATTTTTGCTTTGGTTTTTAATTTCTGTTGCAGACAAAGCCAACAGTCGCTCAGATCTTGTGGGTGAGGTTTCAGAGGTGCCCCTAAAGGAACAGGTAAGTAATGTGTGGTGCATGTAGGGAGAGAGGGAAGATTGCAAAGGCCTCAAAGGCCTCTTTACAAGAACTCTCAGGTCCTTTACAAGGACTCTTTCCTGGTGGGAAAACATCTCCACACAGGACCCCTTTTTAAATTCTGTCCAATCAACTCCTCATAGCTTTGAAAGACCATACCTGCTTGTAGCTCTCAGCTCTGAAGTTTGGGTGGGATTTCATTCAGGGAGGGATGCCCTTTACGTTCAGGAACACGCAGGAAGCAAGTATCCTTTGGTTAGAGTTAGGGGTGGGAGATGTGGCTCTCCAGATGTCCTTGGACTCCAACCCCCACCAGCCCCAACTTCCATGATCAATGGTCAAGGATGGGGGCAGCTGTGAGCTGTAGTTCAGTAGCATTCAGAGGACCAGTAACACCTGATTTTCCCATCCCTGGAACCAGGGCTTTTTCCCTGGCGGAACATGCCGGAACACAGTGCCTTGCTCCCCTTTAATGAGTGAAGGCATGTGGGGACACAATCTGAACCATCCTGTAAGATAGTGTAGCCCGACATCTTGTCACGTGATTTTAGTTTCAAGATGGCGTCAATGTCAGCATCTGAGTTGGCAACTGAGGTGAGTTCTGGCACATTTTTTCTGCAAAAAAGCATTGCCTGGAACAGAAGGAGCGTTCTTCCAGTCTGTCAGTATTTTGCAGAAGGAATTCAGGGGCAAAGCAAAACTTTAGGTTTGCACAGTCTTCCTAGCACAATCCAGCCAACATTGCCATTGCCGGTGACCCATCCTGGGACTGCAAGGGAAAAGTGAACCTCTTTGCAGTGCCGTCACTTGCCAGGGCAGGGCAGTCTTGCACTTGCTGAAGCCCTTACTAACCATGGCATAGAGCCACTCATGCCAGGCTGCTTTAGCACTGATTTCACTTGTTTTTGTCAGGTGAATAAAATGCGTGTTTTAAAGAAATGTTTGTTTCTTTGTTTGTGTGGAATTTGGCCTAGTTGTGAAATGCATGGGTACCCAGTAGCCCCTGCCTGGCTTCATTGTGAGTGAAGATATACATCACTAGAATGACCTCTGATTTGGGATATCTTCCTGGCAGTGTTCAGAATGGTTGTCTGTACCATTGCGACTGAGAAACTTCCCAGGTGATGCTTTTATTTTGGATCAAGGAATGTGCAGCAGTCACCAGCAGCTTCCCTAGTTTGGGCACTCCAAAAAAAGAGAGTTAATGGTTGTTGAGGTCTCCCTCTCTCCTCTGTATGGTCCACAGCACATGTTCTATCACCTTACCGTTGTTTTCTGAGCTATGGATCACCAACCCTAGGTTTTTCTCTCACTACAGCTTAATAATCACTTTAAGAAGAAGATTCCAGCTGGGACTGAAGTGGCCAATATTCTTGTAGGAGAAGCCAGCTTCCTGGAGAAACCTTTTGTTGCTTTTGTGCGTCTGCAGGAACCAGTGCTTCTTGGGGGCTTAGCAGAAGTTGCTTTCCCCAGCAGGTAAGAAGCAAACAGGGAGCAGGTCAGGACAGCAAAGTTTCCTCTGTACATGCTAGAGTGAAAGGGGTGTCCTGCAGTTCTTGGCATAGGAAATTATTGTAGTTGTCCGTGTTCTGATACACAACTAGATGGGTGTAGTTGTGGATTGCCATAGGTCCTCTATTTCCAGGACACATCCTCTTTTTAATTGGTAGAGTCATCATAGCAATCCATAGTTAAAAGCAGAAGTCGGCAAATGTGTCCTCTTTTTTGCTCTTCAAAATATGGCAACCCTACACTTGGGTAGCTAGCTGAGTGCTACCTCCTGAAGAGGTAGTGGGCAAGAGATTATCAGGTGTCATCAGCCAGCTGACCTACGCCTGGATAGCTGTGTTTCAATGCACTGTTGCCCCATGGCACGGCAACACCTGAGGGGCTGAGGTGGTGGGAAACCATTTAAATTGGTTAACTGGCTTCAACAAGGCCACACTTCAGGTCATTCTGAAATATTCTCAATCTATTCAATGCTAAGGCTGTGAACAGCAGTCAATCCTGACCAGATCCCGTATTTGCCAGGACTGTGGAGAGTACGCTCAGTGGCAAGTCATTGCTGTGGTGTTTCTTTCTCCCCATTCTTTTGAGAAATAATTTGTTCCATTTCAGTGGCCGCCATCTTGCTCCTTCCAGTTACGCTCACGGCATGATGGCAGCCAGTCCCACACAACTTAGGGCAGGGATAGCCAATATAGTGCCTCCATGTGCTGTTGGACTACAACTTCTGTCAACCTCAAACAGAGGCCATGCTAGCTGGGACTGATGGAAGCTATAGTCCAGTACACTTGGGAAGCTATCTCTGGTTTAGGGCATTCTCAGTTAGGCAGGATTCTATCTTCTTCTGTCGGTCGTTGGCCAAACCCTGAGCCAGACTACACCTGGGGGTGCTGGTAAACCAAGATCCATAGGGCTAGAGGCAAGTTAAGACAGGCTGTTTCCCGAGTGGGCTGGTAACTATGAAGAGAACCAGAGATGGAAGGAGCATTGGCAGGTGGCCTGGTGGTCAGCTTTCAGGTCAAGCAAATAGAGGAAAGAGTTGTCCAGACTGAGGACCCCAGCCTAGAGCATCAGTCCTACAGAGACAAGCCTAACTGGTTCCTCAGGTCACCTGTTCCAGATGGCCTAATTAGTCATCGTTTTCTCACTCTGACCGCTGTATCAAACGTGTTGCAGCACAGTAGAAGATAAGCCTGAGAGCTTGCTTAGTAGTGCAAGGAATAAAGCGCCTGATCCCCTTCACCTCAGCAATTTGTGCTGAGTTTAGGATTGAGGCCTCAGTGAGCTGCTTGCTTTGAAAGGAGGGAAATGGGCTCATCTTTGACCCCACTCTTGACATTGCTGTGGCTCTCTCTAGGTTCCTCTTTATCCTCCTGGGCCCCAGAGCCAAAGTGAAGGCCTACCATGAAATCGGCAGGGCTGTGGCTACTCTCCTGACAGATGAGGTGAGTTTGGGTTCTGGCTGGGAGGTGCAAAGATCTGCTGCCGCTGCCATAAAATTAGGGAAGGTGCCGCACACTGCAGTTCTGGCATAGCATGATGGTGCTAAAAGCTGAAGAAGTAAATGGGTGATTAGCACCCCTAAAGTCAATCTTCTAATTGCCCAGGGAGGAACAGGTCTTGGACTGCTAGGTTCCCACCAGTTCAAACTTTAGAATGGACTGTCTATATTTTTCAGAACCCTATTATGAACATAGTTTGTCCATTTTTTGTGTGAAAGGACTATTGTATGACTGAGCAAACCTCATATAGCCCAGCCTTCTGTTTCAAACTGATGTGTCTTGGAGGGGGCGCTTGGCTTCTGGAGGCAGCAAAGAGCAATAGCAAATCTGCTCTAAACTAATAAAAAGAACTCCCCAGAGCATTTTTAATGTAGAAAATATAATGCATATAATGTAGGAAAACTTCAAATTATTACGTAGGCTAGAAAGGAGCTGTATTATGCATTAGTGACTTATTTTCCAGCTGCAAATTTAATGATTAAAACATGTAACTTTATAGTTGTGATGATACTTTGGCCCTAGTAAGCCCCTTAATGCTCTATCATTGACACAGCAAATGGCTGAATTGTCCATAATTTCCTCCGTTTAAGGGTGAACAGCTTTCTTGACATTTTAGATTGTGTAAGGTCACAAGTCTGTTTTGCTGCATGCAGGCAACCAAAACCACCACAAGCCCTTGCGCTTTCCCGGAATGTGTTCCCGTGATTTGTCTTTCCTGTAAGCAGGCAGAGCTGGGACTAATACCATTCCTTTCCAGCTTTTCCAGAGGGTTGCCCGGAAAGCAAGAGACGCAGAAGATCTCACTGCAGGAATTGATGAGTTTCTGGATGAACTGACTGTCCTACCCCCGGGCAAATGGGACCCAACCACTCGAATTGCCCCCCCAAAATGCTTGCCTTCACCACAGAAGAGGTATGTGCAAAGAGGAGCTAGGAACAGGAAAGAAAGCTGCTGATTCTTAGATCTCTTTAGCTAAAATTTTAATATTGTAGAGATATTTGATTATATTTGTGTACACTGCTCTGGAATCTATGTTTTGGATGAAATGTTCAAAAAAAAAAAAGAGATGATAAAAAATTAAGGGGGCGGCAAATTACCTCACTGTGTTTCAAGCCACTAATGTGAACATCCTCTATATCTCATTGCTGGGAAATTCTGGTCCTTGCCAGCCGCTCTGGCCCAAGGCATGCAAATGTTGCAGGCGCAGGTGCCTGTTCCACTCCATTTGTGACACTGTCAGGCAACACAATCCTGCCATTCCTCCAGCCATCAGGTCTTGTGTGTATTTTTTTCTTCTTTGCTGGAGGGCATCCTGGCTGCCTGTTCTGCCACACAGTTCCATTGTTTCCTGAAACCAAACTACTCCAAAGCTGTATGCCAGGCATAGGCAAACTTGACCCTCCAGATGTTTTGAGACTACAGTTCCCATCATCCCTGACCACTAGTCCTGTTAGCTAGGGATGATGGGAGTTGTAGCCCCAAAACACCTGGAGGGCTGAGTTTGCCTATGCCTGCTGTATGCGCCACCTTTATGGTTTGGTGTTTTTTTAAAAAGTGGTGGGATGGGGGCAAGGCACGAACCTGCAGTAATGCTGCTGCCACCACTGCTAACATGTGGGCTGCATCAATGATTCCTGCATTGCAGGGGGTGGACTAGATTTACCCTTGGGTTCCCTTCCAACTCTACAGTTCTATGATCAGATATGACGCTGCCCATTATTTCTCTGGGTATTGTGCCATGAGGCATATGGAGGGCGTATCATTGCGTCTTCCGTACAAGCTACTGGAGCCTGTCAGTGGCAGATAGGAATAGAGAGGAGAGCGGAGGATCGACGGCCCCCAGCAGAATGCTGCTTCTTTGCAAACCGGAATGCCTCTATCCTGAAAGGTGCCCCTTGCATTCTTAGGATCGCCCTGCACTTCCGCGAGTGGAATCCTCACGCGAGTGGGCACTTGTCTGCTGCGGACGAGCGTCATGCCCATGGGCATCAGCACGTCAGTGAAGAGCTGAAGAGGACCGGAAGGTAAAACTCAAGGCAGGGAGGGGGCCTGTAGGCAGGGGCTTCCCGCCAGGCCTCTGGAGTGGGGAGGCTCACAGGTACAGGGCTGGAGCAATGCCAGCTGTGCATCGTTGCAGCACTGGCCTGGAGTGGGAGGTGGGGAAAGGGGCAGGGGGGACCAAAATAACCACATGCAGCAAATTAAAAACCCCGGATTAAGGAAGTCTCTCCTTTTCTCCCTCCTGCAGACTATTTGGAGGGTTACTGAAGGATATCCAGAGAAAAGCCCGCTGGTACTGCAGCGATTTCTATGATGCCCTCAACATCCAGTGCCTTTCAGCCATCCTGTACATCTACCTGGCCACAGTCACCAACGCCATCACCTTTGGAGGGATGCTGGGAGATGCGACAGACAACATGCAGGTCTGAGCAAGAGTCCTGCTTGCAATGCCCACATGCGCTCTGTGGTTCTCAACACCTCTGCTCCCTCACCTCATGTTGCCACAGCAACCTGCACAGGCACACCGGGGGGGGGGGGGAAGGGAATGCAGCTCTGGCGCTCCTTGGTTGCTGCACAGGAGCGGGGGATCTCATGCCCACCAGCCCAGCTGCAGCAGTTAGACGTGGGTTGGCCATTTAACCAACCAGAGCCGTGTGCTTCTTCCTGTGATTCAGGGTGTGCTGGAGAGTTTCCTGGGAACTGCTTTTGCTGGAGCCTTTTTCTGCCTGTTTGCTGGCCAGCCTCTCACCATCCTAAGCAGCACTGGGCCTGTCCTGGTCTTTGAGCGGCTTCTTTTCTCCTTCAGCAAGTAAGTAAGGCCCCTCATATCAGAAAGTGTTCATGTTGGAAGCAAGCCATTGGAGCTGTCCTTGCTTATGACCCTGAATGACAGCGTTATTCAAGAGAGGTTGAATATATTCAAGACAGAGGAGGGAGAGAAAGGAATAGAGAAAGAAAAATTAAAAATTAAAGAAAAGAGGTTTTAAAAAGGATAGAAAAATAAGATTAAGAAAATAAAGAATTTCTGATTATTCATCTGTCCACTATATAAAAACAATATTCACTTTGTCCAATCCAATATTACATCACATAAAGCCACTTTCTATAAACAAACAGTATCTTCAGTCCTCAAATCCAGATATCATTACTTCATTTTCTTTTCATGCAAAAAGTCTACGAGAAGTTTCCGATCTTTAACAAATATTAACGATGACTTTCCTCTGAAAGCATGTCATTTTTGCCATCCCAGCTAAGTCAGTCAGTTTTAACAGCTGTTCTTCCATTGTTGGCGGATCCTTCCTTATTTGTACATAAAAGTGTTTTGCAGCCATAATTGTATTGTAACAAAGTTCCATAGCAGGATGTTCACTGTTATTGGGAAATGTGTCAAAGCATTTACAGAGCACGGTTCAGTATGTCAAGCCCAGTAAGAAAGTCAGCCTGGCTTAACTTCCCAACATAAAAAGGATCATGCAATAGGCCTCAGCTGATCAAGTGCAAGCAGGCTATCACTGGATGAAAGCAAAAGGCTTGTCTCCTGGTACAAAGTGTCCTGACCAGGCATTGCTGGTCAGCTGTCTTCAGCTCAGCCTGACAGCTAAAGAGGCTGGTGCCTCTGATGAGAAGAGGGACGCATTCCACCTCCCCCCCCTCCCCAGTGCATGGATTCCATTGCTCATAATTTGATAATTTCAGTTATTAACTGAGTGGTGTGCATGTGAGAAATAGGTGGCCTCAGACTACCATCTCTTTCTACCTTTTTGTGAGTGAGGGGAGCCGACCTGCAAGCTGGCAAGAGAAAGTGCTGAAATGTCAGTCTCCCAATAGCGGAAGACTGGCTGTAGATGTAACTCCTTAGCTGCTATGTGCGTACCTTGTTGAGACACCAGGGCAAGAAGGTTAGAGTAGGATGTGGCGTCTTGTGGTTAACTGGCTGCTCTCTTGCAAGTGAAGCAGCCCATTCAGGAATATTCTTTTGGCCCTTCCTTCCTTCCAGAGACTACAGCTTGGATTACTTAGAATTCCGCCTCTGGATTGGCCTCTGGGTGGCCTTCTTTGGCCTCATTCTGGTGGCTACCGAAGCCAGTTACTTGGTGCAGTATTTCACACGCTTCACCGAAGAAGGTTTCTGTGCCCTCATCAGCTTCATTTTCATCTACGATGCAGTTAAGAAGATGCTGTCTCTGGTGGAACACTACCCAGTCAACTGGGACTACAAGATCAGTGATGTCACCTTGTACAGCTGCACCTGCCGGGTGCCAGAGAGAGGTGAGATGAGAAGCCCATGCTTGTTGCAATGGGTGGGTTGGGATGGCTGGAAACCCTGCAGGGAAGCTGTTGTCTGCCTGTATCTCTAGTCCGATTGGTCCATGATGGGTCACATCTGAGAAATTTTTCTGCCCCCCCCCATCTTCAGGCAACAGTGGACTTGTACAATGGTCCAAAATATGAACCAATGTTTTACATTATCATTTTATTTATTTATATCTGCCTTTTTCCCTGATAGGGACTCAAGGCAGTTTACAGCTAAAAATAAAAAGGTAAAGGTAAAGGGACCACTGACCATTAGGTCCAGTTGTGGCCGACTCTGGGGTTGCAGCGCTCATCTCGCTTTCTTGGCCGCGGGAGCCGGTGTACAGCTTCCGGGTCATGTGGCCAGCATGACTAAGCCGCTTCTGGCGAACCAGAGCAGCACATGGAAATGCCGTTTACCTTCCCACCGGAGTGGTACCTATTTATCTACTTGCACTTTGATGTGCTTTCGAACTGCTAGGTTGGCAGGAGCAGGGACCGAGCAACAGGAGCTCACCCGTCAAATAAGAGCAGCTTAAAACATAGGAAAAGCAATATTTAAAATAAAAACCAATTAAACATTGATAAAATTAAAACTATTTATGTATACATAAAAATATATTAAAACCATACAGGTAATTACAATAAAAACAGCACAGCACCAGACCTTCAGTTCCCCAAAGTCTGTTGGAATAGGTCTTCACCTGCCAGCAGAAGGAATGCAAGGAGGGAGCCGGTCTAGCTTCTCTAGAGAAGGCCCTCACCTGCACCCCCCCAAATGTGCCTGGGAGGGTGGCAGGACCAATAGAAGGGCATCCCCTGAAGATCTCAAAACCTGGGCAGGCTGTATGAGGAAATATAGTCTTTCAAACAGCTTGGACCTAATCATTGTTTCTTTCAGACAACTCTTCTCTTCTGAACGAGACACTGTCCCCGACCTTCAGCAGTTTGGGAGAGGTAAGAAATTGAATCGTTTTCAATGATTAGGATGTGAATGAAAGGAAACCAAGGTCCAAAGAGTCTACAGTATGTTGTGACTAATGCAACCGACCAAAGGAGGATCAAGAACTCCATGTTCCTTGGAGAGCTTGAATTATTTCCTGGTGTCATAGCTGGGATAGGTGGAATGGCCAAGGGGTCATCATGCAGTAGCCGTCCTGCTCCATCTCCACTGCCAAGATCACCCTTATGTGGATTTAATGTCGTTCTTTTGAAAACATCACAGCCTCACAAATGCTAGCCCATTCTGCAGTCCTTCTGGAGTCATCCCATAACTCCCACCCAAAAAAAAATCCCAAATAGATGCTCCTGCCCATTTTATTAGTTAATGGTGAAGTGGCCCAGAGGGCAAGTTGCAATCATGGGATGAGCCTGCTGTGGGAGGGCAGGGGAAAGGGCCGTCCTGGCTGCAGCTGCCAGTGACTGTGGCCTTGAGATGTGCATCCAAGACACACTCTTTCCCTTACTTAACCCACCTACTAAGGCTGTCCTTTCAGCATCCTGGTGGTGAAAGGATTGGTCTGGGGAGATGCACAGCATCTCTGTATGTTCCATGCGCTCCTCATTCAGATGTGGCCTAGGAGGAGAGGGCAAAGATGGACCTCTCTGCCACCCATCCATTCTACAAGCCCAGGGCACTTCCATGTCAGTGATGGGACGCTAGACCTGAGGCAAAGGAGATCCTAGGGCACACACTGCTCTGTCCTTTGAGGGAGGGGAAGAGCCCCAGGGCTCAAGGGAAGCAGGCAGAGGGCTGCCACTGCCACTCCGAATCCCAGTGACCTCCACTTGAGGCAGCTGCCTCACATTGCCTGTTGGTCAGGCCAGCCCTGTCCCTGCTCTGAATCTTTGCCTACAGGGCGGCTGGGGACCAGGGAGAGGAGAGAAAGGCAGAAAGGGATGCTGTGCATACAGAGAGCCGTCATCATGATGCTTGAAACTGGGATCAATTCCACAAAACATCCATCCTAGGCAACAGCACATCTTTCTGCATTGCTCAGGGCTGGGATCCGTTTCTTTAAGCCAGGCAGTGTATACTTGCTCCTCCGTGAGATTGCTGCTTTCTTCCCCACAGCAGTCCGAGTTTGGGAACTGGTCCCTGCTGACCAAGCAAGAGTGTGTGCAACTCGGAGGCCACCTAGTGGGCAACAGCTGCAACTTCGTGCCTGACATCACTTTCATGTCTTACATTCTGTTCCTGGGAACATTTCTCTGCTCTATGGCCTTAAAGAACTTCAAGTCCAGCCGCTATTTCCCGGCAGCTGTGAGTACTTCCCCTCTCTCATCCATTCCCTGGATAAAGGGGTGGGCGGGTGGTTTCAATATGTGCGATTACTACTACACCCTCCAAGTTCTTTCATGTGCCTGGTTTCTTCTGCACCAGGAAATCTCCTTACTTCCTTCAGTTGGTGCTTCCTGGTGGGTCCCAGAAGATATTGCCCAGCACTCAGTGAGAAATGAATGCCTACATCCCTGGGCCACCGAGGCTTTGAAGGGAGGCAGGAGGCCATTCCAGCAGAATTCCCTGCAGAACTGCTCAGCTCTGCGCTTTTTATATCTGCAGGCAGATTCTGAACATAGCAGACACCAAGGCCAACTGAATACTCAATAAGCAAAAAGCTCAGCTCTACAATCCAGGACTGTAGAGCAGTTGGTTAGAGCATAGTGCTGATGATTCCAGGGTGGCAGGTTTGATACCCGTATGGAACAGCTGTGTGTTCCTTCATTGCAGGGGGTGGACCAGATGATCCCCAGGGTCCCTTCCAACTCTACAATTCTATGATTCTAAACAAAATGTTTCAGTGTAAAGTCTGTTTGCTTTGCTCCCCTATCCTCCCACCCTCCCACCAGCCATCACTTAACTTTTCTTTTTGATGTGCTTGTCCTAGTGGTCCATGGTCCAGAGTGAGGCTTGTTGGTCCCATTGACTGCATTAGATACTTTAGGGGAGGCAATGAGGGGTTTTTTTCCTTGACGAAGGGCAGCCCACTGTAAGGATTTCTGCTCTCGAATGAGCGTGGGTTGTGTCCCTTGGCAGCTTGTCCATTTTATTGCTCTTCTTTTTTTCTTTACAGCCATTGGGGACCCGGGGGAGGGGATGAGTTGCACAATAAGTGCACAGGCATTACTTGTTTTTAGCATTTATTTTATATTTCATTCTAAGATTTGCATCCCTCATAATAACACACAAAAAGGAAACTAAAGAAAAGAACAGGCCATTGTTGAGAGGATGCAGACCTCTCTCCTCAAAGTAGAGCATGTTTGCTAGATTGCTGCTGCCATCCCTTCCCTCTCTCACCTGCACGTTCTTTGCTTAGTTCCATCTCTCTCTCTCTCTCTCTCTCTCTCTCTCACACACACACACACACACACACACACACACACACCTCTCTTCCAGAGTCCACCATCCTCTCACACAAACATCTACAGTTATAAAGGAAGTATAATCTTGGTTTATAGAAAGGAACACACACTTTTTATCGGATCCTTCCTTATAAGGTGTTTCACTTCTGACTTTTCTGAATTTTATTAAAGTCCAGGGCTTCTTTGGAATGGGAACACTAACCTTAACTCTGCATACTTGCGAGTGTAAACCTTGCTCTGCAAATCTCATGGCAATTATTTTGTTTGGTTTTTAGCTGAGGAGGCTGGTGGGCGACTTCTCCATCATCCTGGCTATCCTCATATTCTGTGGAATCGATGCTGCCCTTGGACTGGAGACCCCGAAGCTCATTGTGCCCAACAAATTCAAGGTGGGCCTGGCTTGGAGCATGCCAAAGAGTTGCTCTCTTAGGGTGCAGAATAAGTGCAAATGTTGCGTCTGGGGCCATATGTTTCTGTGGAATTTTAAAGGTGTGAGAGGATTACATAAGAAAGAAGTTTAAGTAAAGAATTTATCTGCATGTAGCACTTTTGATCACATTTTCCAAGATGGCAGAATGGTAAGGCAGTTCTGCAAAACAAATTCCTTAGGGAGCATTAATGTTTAACTACTTGAAATGTTTTGGATCTTTCGTATGCCATCCCTATCTCAGAGTTGAGCAATTCCAGGGGTACAGCAGTTGCCCAGAGTTCTGTTTCCTTAGAATGAAGGTCAGCAGAGACTGTGATGTCTTTGGGGTGTATGGTATTATTTACACATATATACAACCTGAGAATAAGATGGAGGAGCTCACAGCATCAACACCCTTGAAGGTCTTGCTTCTTCATCTGCCACAGCTTTGGCTCCAGCACAGAGCAAGCCTGTGTCGGGTTCCAGCTTCCAGCCTCCTCTGACCCAGCTCACTGGCTTTTGTTCTCCTCCCTACCAGTTAGGTGAGGGAGGGGGGAAAGGACCACCCATTTGTTCTATGGCACAAAGTAACACTAGTTGTGGTGCTTAACTAGCTAGCCAAAGTCACTGCCTTAATAAAGTTTGCTCTGATACATTCTACCCCCACAGATATAGGACCCCAAGTTGTGGGAAGGGACTCAAGGCATCATCCAGACTGATGTCCCTGCCACCCAGCCCCCACAAACCTGAAGGTTGGGTGATAACGCCAGATGGGGACTGTAGTTTCATACAGCCTATTCAAAATAAGAATGTCTTGCAATAGCTCTGTTTGGCATCTGTAGTCCATCTTTGGTCCCTGAGCTCAGCAGAGGTTATTTGGGCATCATCTGTGCCTTCTTGACAGCAGGGGATACAACAAAAGATCCGGCAGTGCAGTGCAGTTTCTGGGTCTCTTGTAGCACCAGTACTATTCTTAAAAGGAAGTGGGAAGGGCCACTTCACTGTGTGGGTGTGAATGTCTCATGCTGCGCAATGGGCATACTTTTAATTAGTGTGTATTAACATGAATTAAGTAACACATTGTTGACTGGCTCAGTACAGAAGGCAAAAATGGCAGGAGTCAGAGAAGAACCAGTTTTCTGCACCTGGACAGGATGAAAGTAATGCAACATATTGCTAACATTGGTTAGGAGTTTGTTGTGGAAAATTTGCCCATTTATACCTCTTGGTTCCTTAGGGATTGACTGACTGACCCACCCTCTGTCCCTCTTGGAAGTGCGCCAAGAGGAGCAATAACACACAGCAATTTTGTAATTCTTATAAGCAGCCTGTGAAGAAGGTCAGCAGTCCTAGCTCCATGCCACAGATGGAGAACTGAGGCTGAGAGACACGGCTTGCATAAAGTCACCTAGTGACTTAACAGCAAGGTTTGAACCAGGAACTTCCTGGCTCTCAAGTTACACCCTCAACCACCAAACTATAGTGTCTGTTGGGTATAAAAGGGCACACCTCCTGTGTCTAGGCAGAACCTGGAGAAATTACACGTACCTCAAAAATTCTCCAGTGCGGCAGAAGGAGAGGTAGCAGCTGTCCCTGCATAGCACACTTGCAGTGCTGCTCATTACAGCCACACAGGGAAGGGGGAAATTACGGGACTGGGGAAGAACACTGAGAGAAGCCATGGGACGCCCCTGGGCTTCTGTAAGCCACCTGAAACACAGAAGTGGAGCAGTGGAAGCTTTTCCTGGCATGGAAATAGAATGGGCGTGATGGTGAATGCAATACCTTCTAGACTCTGCTTTGTGTCCAGCTGCAGAGCACTGAAATGAAGGAGGTGGCCTACGGCTAAAGAGGCTCACGATTATGACTCATGGCTTCTTGAGGCAGCTGCCCCCAAAAGGGAAGGATTGCTGTGATGGGAAGGAAGGCCTCTTTCTGACTAGGGTTGGCCCAATACATTTTGGCACCTGAGGCAAGCCACGAAATGCTGCCTCCCCCCGCCCCCAAGCAGGAAAGAAGGGGTGAGTGAAATCAGGAATAAGGGGAAGGGGATAAAGATCTACAGTCGTACCTTGGAAGTTGAACGGAATTCGTTCTGGAAGTCCATTCAACTTCCAAAACGTTCTTAAACCAAAGCACTGCTTCTGATTGGCTGCAGGAAGCTCCTGCAGCCAGTCAGTAGCTGCAGAAACCCCGTCAGACGTTCAGCTTCCAAAAATTGTTTGCAAACCGGAACAGTCACTTCCGGGTTCTTGATGTTCGGGAGCCAAAACGTTTGAGAACTAAGCTGTTTGAAAACCAAGGCATGACTGTATTTTGGGAACAGTGGGGATGGGGAGGAAACTAGCAGCACCTCATATTCACCAAGCAGCCGTCCGCCAGATCTGCGGCCCCTGTGGATCGTGCTGCCTGAGGGGGTTGCCTGGCCCTGCCTCTGACAGAACTCACCGTGTACAGGGTGAGTTCAGACAAGCGCTGCACATTGTGGGCAGTTACACTGATACATAAATCAACAATCCAAACTGAAGAAGTGCAGGATATCCCCACCGATAAGCCCATAAATCTCCTGTATTCGGACTACAAATAACAGCCATACTGATTGGCAAACTGAGCATGGATTCAAATTGATTGTCTTGCCTCTCCGTGTGGCATGTTGGTTTATTAAATAAAATACACACTGATTGCACACTGATGCAATCGACTTTCAGGTACTGTAGTTTAGAAGTGCTCTAGGGAGGAAAAGACAGCGTTGCAACGTCTTGCACACATCTCAGCCAATCAGAGCTGTGCACAGCCAGCCACCTTTTAGGTTGCAAATTTTGCAGGGCAGGACCTGCTGTCTTGTTTGGTACTCTACAAATATTTCCTGCACACGGATCAATTATTCATTTATTGCTTCCAACAAATATATATGGCATAGCTTTATAGCCGAGTCTATGTTTACTCCGAAATAAACTCCAATGATTTAAGTAGGACTTACTCCCAAGTAAGTGTAAATGGAATTGCTGTCTTAGACTCTTTAGCACAAATGCGGGGCAATGACCCGATGTTTGAAAGATTGCTGACTCCATCCCCACTCCCCAGGGACCCCTGGGAGGGAGATGTGCATGTCTCAGGCTTCCGTTGCCTGGATTCTTTGGGGGAACCCAGGACAGTTAGACGGGTATAAAACTAAGGTGTTTGAGGCCTGCACAGACTACAGGCATTGTAACTGAGCCAAAGCCAAGCAACCCTGCCATGGTTGTTCCCTGGCGGCACTGTGAGCAGGGAAGCAGGAGTCGGCTGGTGGATCAGGGCCAAGCTTGAGCTGCCCTGCTGCAGGCCTGGGTGTGGAAGGATTAACTAAGGATTAACTGAGGCTTCGTGGGGAGCAGCGCTGCCTGCCTCCCAAAGGAGGGGCGTAGGAGGCAGCTCCTGGTCTCTCCTCCTAACAGGCAGCCAAGAGGCAGCTTGTGCAATGTGGGTGAAACGTCAGGGCCAAGATCGGGGCCCCATATACTATTATTATCCTTATCACTATTAATCCATTTATACTGAGCCCTTTTCCCTGGCAAGAACTCAAGGTGCCTTACAGATAAAATAGGAGCAGCTAAAACTCAAACATTTATAGAATTAAAACTACACATAAATATAAAATATAATTATCTGTATGTCTTTTATTTACAGTAAAAAAACCAGCGCAGCACCAGCCCTTTAATTAAAACCAGTCAGTATAATAGGAGGAAGCACAGCAAGGAGGGAGCCAGTCTGGCTTCTCCAGGGAGGGATTTCAGAGTCGGAGAAGCCACCACCAAGGAGGCTGGCTTTGCAGGTGCTTCTGCACTTGGAGTAACCGGCGCCTGACATTTCGCTGCCAGTCTTACGTTAAATGAATTGGGATTCAAGTGGGATCCCTTGGCAGGGACAAGAAGACAATGAGCCCGTGTCAGATGCAGAAGCAGAGCTTCAGATAAGTCTTCTGCCTCAACCAGCACTTGAGGCTGGGACAAATGGCCTTGGTCCTGGCGGCCACCCTTAAGCCAGCTGCATCTTCTAGACTACCGGTTTCCGTACTTTTGGGTCCACTTGCCCCTTTGTTCCATAAGCTTATCCCCATAAGCTCCACCTTATAGAAAGCATTATTCGAAATACAGTAGTTGTTTACACAACCCCCTATGGAAGATAATAACAATAAAACTCAAACAGTAACAGTTAATTGACATTTCTTGAAAATCCAGTTAAAACTATTTAGTTTAATTAAGGCTGGATCTAGGCACATCAAAGAAGCGTTTCAGTTAAACGCCTTGTAAACTTTGTGTGAGAAATCAGGTTGGCAAAAATGGAGCTCCACAGCTCCATCTGGTGTCACAGTGTTATAATGCATATCCAGCACATATTTTTCTTTGCCAATGGAGCTGAGTCCTAATTCAACAAAATGGAAGAACTTGATCCAGCAAATCCAGATGTAGTTATTTACATCTCCAGCACCCCCTTGCCTCTTAGCACCCACTTAGGTAATTCCACCGCCCCACAAAGGGCAAGACCACACACTTTGGGAAACACTGCTCTAGACTCCAGTCTAGAGCAAGGCCCAATGTTTTATTTAATTCTTATTTAGGATATATGGAAGATAAAAAGGGAGGAGGAGGAGGTCAAAGAAAGAAGGCAATGACAGTTGAGGATTTGAGAATAATGGATTTGTTTTTAAAAGTTTGTGGTGTATTTTTGTTGTTGTTTTTTTTGAATTTGTATTGTTGGATGTGGTTTGTGTTTTTCTTTGTTCTTTCTTTGTTCTTTTTCTACTTTGTTTTCTTCTGTAACTCTAAAAAAAAATTCCAATAAATATCATTAAAAAAAAGAAGAATATATGGAAGATGAATGCATTTATCAAATGGTGGTGGTGGTTTTTCTTTTTAAAAAGTCATCACAGGACCTGTAAAACACTATCAAGATGTAATGAAAACAAGCCCTCTGTAATTTAATCAGCTGGAAAGCCACCCTCTGTGAGTAGCCTTGCAGCCCTGCCTGTGTGGTCAGAGAGCTTCCTTGCCTGAGGAGGCAGCTCAACAAATCTGTGGCTGAAATTCTTGCCGCCTGCCCTTGATCAAGCCTGGGCCCTACTAACTTTTCCCAACCAACCTTTTCTCTACAGCCTACAAACCCTGAGAGAGGCTGGGTTGTGTTTCCGTTTGGAGCAAACTCCTGGTGGATATGCTTGGCATCGTCAGTGCCTGCCATTCTGGTCATTATCCTCATCTTCATGGACCAGCAAATAACAGCTGTCATTCTCAACCGCAAGGAGTATAAGCTTCAGGTCAGTGCTGGGCTGGGTTCTCTCAGGCATGTGCTGTGATAGATTTTCCCAAAGAATCAAACAGCCATTGAACATCTGCTTCAAAGCAAATCTGTCCCTGTGACTCACCTCAGAGGTTGCAATGCGCCAGTTCTAGCTGCTGCAGACAGCCGTGGCCAGGCTTCCCATCATTCTGGCCTGACGTCAGTTAAAAAAATCAGAAGAAACGGAGGAGACAGATTGAGATTTCTGTCGGCTGCCCATCTCCTAGTTCTGAGTGCTGGATGCACTGAGTGCTGGATATTTCCCTCATCCTACACCTATCAGTCACCCCACAGTCACAAGGTAGCCTGTCACAACTAACAATTTTGTAGTTTTCATGCTTTTTGGTGCATGGAAATTGCTTAACTCTTCTTTTTAAAGCAAAGGTTTGCTCCTGTATTTTCCTTGTGAAAACGTCTGCTAAATTATATGAACCATTGGAAGTGGAGCACGTGCAAAGTTTTTTCCCCTCCTCACCATTTTAAAGGGTTCTTTCTTCCCCATTCCAGTTATTATTTCTCTTGATAACCTCCTACCTCTTTTATTGTATACTTTTATTGATGCTTCATAATACAAATTGGTATTATGAAGTATCACTCGTGACTGTCTGGGGCCATGCTGTGTGCTTGACTCTTCCCTCCAGGAACTGTTTATTACCACTGTAGAGCTCTTTTAGATCTTGGCATCAGAGGCTTTAACATGTTCGTCTCTCTGCTGAATTTTATTTATTTTATTAGTAATTAGAATATTCAGGCTTTGTAATGTTGGAATTTGGTTTGTCTTATCTGGCTTAACTATACAGTACCTGAAAACATACTACCGTCTTTCATTACCCATGCTATTATTCCACCTTTAGTCCACCTTATATTTTATGTATGTACATTCGTACTTCTGTGCCTGTATGATAACTCAAATTTGCTAGTGATTTATGTAGATTTCCTCTTTTGCGTGCTTTATTCTGAAGCTAGTATTTCATGCTTTTGGAGAAGGCAATACCTTCAGGTCTTTAAAAATATCAATTTATCCTTTAAAGCCACAAAGCTTTAAAATGTTCTTCTAAAAAAATCAGAATTCTGAATTCTGTGCTGGACCCCAGATTGTGCTGAGAATCTTGCTTATGCGAAGTTACACACAAAACTGAGAGGCCCTTCAGTTATTGGGAAGAGCCTGGCCATTGTCTTTCAAAACCTGAAGTTAGGCAAATGGTCAGGTGCAAAGCCCAGGCGCAAGTTCGCGGGCCTGTTGTATCTCCCTTAGAAATGCTACCCACCCACGCCTGAAGCAGCTGATCTAACATCCTTGGGAGTGGGGGCAGAGTTCCTTCCACACCAGCATCTGTTAATAAAGAGACACAAGTTGTGTACACACTCCCATTTATTCTGTATCCAGTGCGTTCCCACCATTGGTTTGGGAAGCTGTGTAATAATAATAATAATAATAATAATAATAATAATAATAATTTATTTATACCCCGCCCTCCCCAGCCAAGACCGGGCTCAGGGCGGCTAACACCAGGTATAAAAACAATTGATTAAAATACAACTTAAAAACAAGATTAAAATACAACATTAAAATGCAGGCTCATTTCAGTAGAAACTCAAATCAAAAACTTTTTGGGGATGAAAACATCAAATCTTCACCAAGGCCAACTATCCAGACTGGTCCTACGTGGGTCAGAAAAAGCCAGGGAAGTCCCCAAATAGGAGTTCCATCACAGAAGTAGAAAGGAAAAAGGAAACTGGGGAAGGGGATCAAGTTGATACCAAGCCAAAGGCTAGGCGGAACAACTCTGTCTTACAGGCCCTGTGGAAAGAAATCAGATCCTGCAGGGCCCTGGTCTCATGAGACAGAGCGTTCCACCAGGCCGGGGCCAGTGCTGAAAAGGTCCTGGCTCTGGTTGAGGCTAATCTGACTTCCTTAGGGCCCCGGACCTCTGGGGTGTTGCTATATATGCACCTTAAGGTCCTCTGTGGGGCAGACCAGGAGAGGCGGTCCTGTAGGTACGAGGGTCCTAGGCCGTGAAGGGCTTTAAAGGTCAAAACCAGCACTACACATTACGTCAGCCACAATCCATACCAATCCTGTATCTGTCCAATATATTGTTTAATGAAATACGGCATTCTGGTGTGTCCCCCCTCCAACCAGATTTGATCTGCATTGCAAAAAAGAACAGTCTAGCTGTGTTTCCAGGTGTGCACCACCAGTCTCACCCTTCTGTGGAGTAGAGAGCTTAGCAGCCACTCTTCCCACAGCATTCCCTGCTGGGTTAATGGGCTGCAGCTCTATCCATACTCCTCTGAGTGAGCAGAAACTGGTTCCTCTGGTTGGGTTGTCTGAGGGAGTGCCTGGCATTTCTCTGCCGTGTGGCCTCTCGCCCTTGCTGGCGTTTAGCCGGCTCAGACTTCGGCTGTGCGTGCGCCTGTGTTTTGCTTTGTTTACTGCCAGTTTCTTGACGTGGCAGAAGCTCTTCCAGAGGGAGCCAAGGGTTAGGGTTCAATGAATCAGCACACATGGTATCCCAAGCCACATGGGGCCTGAGCCAGACCCTGCACCCATCATGGCTAGACCAAATGGACAGATAGGATTAGCCTGGAAGGCCAACGAAACACTTCTCGTTCAGCTTAATTCTCTTTTCTTGGAGAAACAGCCAGCTAGAAACATCCATGGAGACGTAGGAAATGCTTTCCTAAACCTCACATTCTGTGCTCAGTGAGACAGTAGGTTTGTTTGCTTAAAACAAGCCATCGAGGGAGAGGGATTATGTTCAAGGGAAAGTTGCTCAAGGATAGTGCTTTAGACCAAGGTTGTAGTAGATGCCCAGCAGCTGGGGTTTGCATGAGATGTGACAGAACTTGCACCCCAAAGGGAAGATGGATGGCTGAGCCGGCTGCTGGTTGTCTGGCCCTTAAGTCCTTTGCATTGGCAGATACAGCAAAGATTCCAAAACGTATGTGTGTCCAACATACATTTTTACTGCAAGAGACAGAAAGCAGTCTTTGGCTCTTGCCATTCACTCTGTTCTCATGGTCAGGATTTGTTTGTTTATTGGTTTATTTTATTTGTCAAATTTAGCTGAGATTCCTGCATTGCAGGGGGGTGGACTAGATGACCCTTGGCTCCCTTCCTTTTTTTTTTTTAAATGATATTTATTAAGGTTTCAAAAAAGGTTACAAAAATAGAGAAAAGGGAAGAAAAGAAAAGAAAAAATACAGAATACAGAAAAGTAAAAACACTTCTTTCATTTACTTGTTTCCCTGACCTCCTCACACCTCCCTTTTTTGTATTCCAGTTCAGTTAGCTAATTCAGCAAATCCTTTCCCTCTTTGTTTTTACCCTAATCCTTTAACTTAATATATTGTAACTTTAAATTCTCACCTGTTAACAATCCATTTTTACATACTCCTTTATAACATTGCTGCTAAAACCACTTAGCTTCATTCTGACATCATTCTAACATTCATTAATTTTACAATATTTCTGTAAATAGTCTTTAAACTTCTTCCAATCTTCTTCCACCAACTCTTCTCCCTGGTCTCGGATTCTGCCAGTCATTTCCGCCAGTTCCATATAGTCGACCCTTGGCTCCCTTCCAACTCTACGATTCTGTGACCCATCATTCTAACAGCTGGTTGTTCAAGATGGTCAAGAGAAGAGGCTGTAATTCAGTGGTAGAAAATAAGCCTTGAATGCAGAAGATCCCGGGACCTCAATCCCTGACAGCTCCAGATAAGATTGGAATAGACCCCAGCCTAAAACCCTGGAGTGTCGGTGTAGACACTACTGAACAAGATGAATCAATGTTCTGATTTCATGTATGGCAGCTCCCTGTGTTGCCCTCCTATGGTAAAATATAAAAGGGCATCCTGGCTTGTGTTATGTAATCCTATACCTGTGGCTATAGGGCGGTAAAGGTAAAGGGACCCCTGACCATTAGGACCAGTCGTGACCGACTCTGGAGTTGCGGTGCTCATCTCGCTTTATTGGCCGAGGGAGCCGGCGTACAGCTTCCGGGTCATGTGGCCAGCATGACTAAGCCGCTTCTGGCGAACCAGAGCAGAGCACAGAAACTCTGTTTACCTTCCCGCCAGAGCAGTACCTATTTATCTACTTGCACTTTGACGTGCTTTCGAACTGCTAGGTTGGCAGGAGCAGGGACCGAGCAACGGGAGCTCACCCCGCTGCGGGGATTCGAACCGCCGACCTTCTGATCGGCAAGTCCTAGGCTCTGTGGTTTAACCCACAGCACCACCCGCGTCCCATAGGGTGGCACATAAAGGTAATAAAGAATAACAATAATAGCACTCCAAGGTTGGCTTGAGGTTGTTAGGGAACAGCTGCAATTTCCTTCCATGGTCACCTAGACATTCCACAAAGTAAAGTGCCTCTAACTTGTGAAACCTAGCGTAGGGAAAGATGATGTCCAGAAAGAGACAGGATGATTCTGCTAGGTTTCCTTCCCTCCCCCCACACCCACCCAAAGTCTAAAACGTTTCTCTGGCTACTATGCAACTTCCAAAGGTACAAGAGTCCAGTTGGGCACAGAAGACTGGAAATCATATTAATTTGTCCTGCTTCTCGAACCCCCTCAGTCTCTGATGCTGCTTAATAAAAGCTTTCACCTTGTTATAGTTAACGGGGCTGTTGGATAGGAATTGCACCACCATCACATGCATGTGCTTGTTCACCACAGCATCTTCAATGTCTTTGGTGAGGTTAAGTGGGCAGGCTACTAACTAGCAACGGCAGGATCTCTTGGTTCATTTCAGTTCTCTTGGTTCATAATTTTTCCAGTTGTAAATTCAGTTCTCCATGTGTTGAATTAAAAAAAAAATCCTCACTGATTTTTCTTTAAAAACACATATATTTATGTAGTTTTGACTAATTGTTCATTTTTTGCAAGCAATTTCTCCTTAATATAATGCAGTTTTGTATGTTACTTCCACTAATATCTTCATTTTTATGCACACTTTTGCCTAGTCTATGCGTTTTTGTAAAATATATTTTGGTTGGGGGGAAAATATTGCAAAATTCAGATTTGTGAATTTGGAAGGATAGCTGTGTTTCAGTTTGCATATTGTTTCAGAGAGTGTGAATTTGTTAGATTAGGATAGAAGTACAAACTGAATTGATTTGCTCCTCATCCTGACTCCTCCAACAGCTTATGATCCCTCCTGGTATGCTGAATCATGCAAGTAGCTGTCATGGAGTAAATGGATAACAAACAAAGCCCCCTTTGTGCTATAAAAGGTTTTCTAGACGGCTGACAATACACTCAAAGCATACCTCATGTTGTTCTTAATAGCTTTGGGTGTATAGGAGCCCTATCCTGATAAGGTGCTGAGGCATGAGTGGTAGAGGACAGTTGTCATGAACTGGACACTTTCAGACAAGGACATAGGATTCCCAGAATCCACAAGGCCACTTAGGGAGTGTGTTGGCCTCCAACGCTGTTTTGGCCCTCTCTGCTTCTCTGACTCCCAAGGCTGCTGCGAGGCATCTTATATTGCTTATCATGGGGGAAATTGTATTTGCTGCAAGAAATCAAAAGACACCTAAAATGGGAAATAAGAAGCAAGGCTTTACTGTGTATTCTTCAGCCTGAGTCTCCCGTTACTAACATGGCTGTCCTGTTGCAGAAAGGGGCAGGATTTCACCTGGATTTCTTCTGCGTTTCCCTGCTGATGATCTTTACCTCCATACTGGGTTTGCCCTGGTATGTGTCGGCCACAGTCATTTCTTTGGCCCACATGGACAGCCTTAAGAAGGAGAGCACCACTTGCGCTCCAGGGGAGCAGCCGAAGTTCCTTGGAATCAGGTGTGGTGCATTATGCGTTCTTATTCCACAGCTGTCGCTTGAGGCTCAGGAGGCCTTGGTGGCGCAGAGTGCTTTTAATAATAATAATAATAATAATAATAATAATATTTATACCCCGCCCTCCCCGCCAGAGCCGGGCTAACACCAAATCACAGTAAAAACAATAGGGGGGAAAGGGGGGGGGGAGGAAAAAAATTTAAAATACAGGTTAAAATGCAATTTAAAATGCAGCCTCATTTTAAAGTAGCTGATAAATCAAGACCATAAGGGGAGGGAAACATAAGGGTCAGACCGAGTCCAAACCAAAGGCCAGGCGGAACAGCTCTGTCTTACAGGGCTTGCGGAAAGATGTCAAGTCCCGCAGGGCCCTAGTCTCTTGTGACAGAGAGTTCCACTACATCGGGGCCAGGGCTGAAAAGGCCCTGGCCCTAGTTGAAATCAATCTAACCTCCTTGAGGCTTGGGACCTCTAAAGTGTTGTTATTTGTGGACCTTAAGATCCTCCGTGGGGCATACCAGGAGAGGCGGTCCCATAGGTACAAGGGTCCTAGGCCGTATCATTTTCCATCTGCATTGGCTGGTGGCCCAGCTGCACCCCCTTCTGGACACAGATGGCCTATCTTCTCTTGTCTATGCTCTGGCGACCTCTAGGTTAGATTACTGTAACAAGTTATATGTGGGGCTGCCTCTGAAGATGGTTGAAATATAAAGTGCTTTTCCTTGCAGGGAGCAAAGGGTGACAGGTCTGATGGTCTTCATCCTAACAGGATTGTCTGTGTTTTTGGCACCTGTACTCAAGGTAAGAAAAGCCTTTAATTGTTTGTAAGTTGCAAGCGCCTCTCTTCTCCCTTCTCTGTTAGATACTTGCTAATAGTGGCTAATGATGGTTCCAGACATGGTTTGATTACAAAACATTAAACTTGCCTGCTGTCAAGTACTCTTACAGTTGCTGCAAACACTAAATCGGCAAGACTGCCAAAATTGCCTGTAATATACAATTATTAGAAGTTCAGGAGTTCTGCCCTTCTTTGCATCTAATCATTCTTAAGGTCTCGTGGACAGGTAATGTTTTCTAGAATTCAGTCTTTGCGTAGTCATGCTTATATTTTGGATTTGATTTCCCCTCAGTTTATCCCAATGCCTGTGCTGTATGGCATCTTCCTCTACATGGGTGTGTCTGCACTCAGCAGCATTCAGGTGAGTGCAGAACAGCAGGGGAAGCATTTTTGGATTGTGGGGAAGGAGGTGCTGTGACCGATTTCTAGCTCCCTCAGTAGGGCAGCTATTGAAGACTGTGCAAGATGGAAGGCGGTGTCAATGTGAGTTGTGTCTGGCCAGAACAGGGTTCCCCAAACTTCTGGGTTCAGTGAGACCTTGATGAGTTTATGCAGTACAGGACACCCCCCCCCAAAAAAAAAATCTTAGGAGTGTAAATGAAATAAAGTATTTTGATTTTTACTTGTGTTGCCGTTGCTTATTTTGTGACTGGAGATGGGAGAAAGAAATGGAGGGAGGGTTTGCTCGTCCTCCTCCTCCTCCCACCTATAAAATAGGCTTTAAAAATGGACTTGAGAACTTCTTAATGCAGCAGCCTTGTGGAGCAACAAGGAGGGGTCCTGAGGAAGGGAGGGGGAGGGGGTGGTGGCAGCCTTTCCAAAAGCTCCTCCAAGTTTCCCCAAAGGCAGCTTGTTTATATATCTTTGGGGGAGGGAAAGAGTCATGTTACAATTGTGTTTGTGTGTGTGTGCACACACATACACAGTAGGTATGTATGTATGCATGTATGTATATGAACGTCTGCACCTATATGCAGTGTTTTAGTGTTAAAGGAGCATGGTCTGGGAATACGGCATTGTGGAAACTTGGTTTCCATTGTATGGTTTTTTTAAAACACATTTTATCATTAATTAGGTGATGGTGAAGCATATATGCAGTGCTTTTTTTAAAAGGGGGGGCTGTAGCCCATCTGAAACACCGGGGGCAGGGAATGACCAATGGCTTGTCTGTCATTTTAAGTGTGAACCTGGGAGGAAGCTGGGCTTGTGATGCAACTGAGGGATCTGCTCTGACCTTTATTCTTGTGTTATCTTTGTCATCACATTAGAACACATAGGAATCCCCATATGAGTGCCTCTAATCCAGGGGCTGTTGGCAGAATAGAATAATATAATTTACAATGATTCACATATATTATCTCAGTGATTCTTACAACAGCCTTGTAAGGTAGGCTAGTATCATCCCCATAGATCAGATATAAGGGTTGACGCTAAGCTATCAGTGGCTTGCCTAATGATACTACTAAATATGGTTGAGTTAGGATCTGAACCAAGTGCTTCCCAGCTCATTCTTAACCAATACACTATGCCTACTTTAGTAAAACTAACATTTTCAGTGAACTGGAGTTCCCCTAAGGAGTATTTGGTGCCTACTGGAAGGTTCTCCACATCATGTCTCTTGCTTTCCTCTACTGTCAGCTCACAGACAGACTCCAGCTCTTGCTCATGCCTGCCAAACACCAGCCGGACTTCATTTACCTCCGTCATGTTCCTCTACGCCAAGTGCATCTCTTCACCTTTATCCAGGTGCTCTGCCTGGCTGTTTTGTGGATCATTAAATCAACAGCAGCTGCCATAATCTTCCCATTAATGGTAAGAGTCTTTAGGGCAGGGATGAGTTTCTTCTGGTTGCTCCACCTGTGGATTCAGTGAGAGAATTTGCCCAACTACTTTCTCTCCTGGCTTTTGCTATATATTGAACTCCTTTATTATCCACTCTAGCGCAGTGTGAATTTTACCTTCCCACTCCAGGACTTTCTAGCCCTCGATTCCTCCTAATGACACCTGACTAGAGAGAAAATGCATTTGCCCAAAAATATCTCTTAAAAATTCTCCCTTACAAATACTGGTGTCTGCTATTTGCCGAATATTTACCAAATATTATTTGACTGTTTTATAACCCACGTCAGTATTCTACTTCCACAGATATTTTATATTGGTATTTATAAAAGTAATATTTCATTATTGGAGCTTCAATAGGCCTTGATAGCTGTCGTATGGTGGCTACATTTGTGTTTTGCTTTTTAATCAGAAAAAAACACTTTGCTGCCACCTCGGGCACTGTATTGGCTGCCCTTAGTAGCCCAGTGGCATTCACTTAACATTTGGGGCAGAATGTCCATGGGAATGATGGCAAGCCAGGAGCATTCTCTACCAAATTTCAGAGAAAACAGGGCAGTCAAGTCATTGCTTCAAATCATCACAAAAATTCTTCAACATTTTAGTGCACATTCTCCTTATAAACACATTTTGCATGGTTTTGACTTGCATACACATTTTTGCAGGCAATTTCTCCTGACACAATGCATTTTTGGGTGCTATTTTCAACAATTTGTTCATTTTTATGCACTCCTTTCCCCTATCTATGTGTTTTTGTAAACATTGTTTGGTTAGAGAAGTGCATTGTGAAATTCAGAGAAGTGTGACTTTTGAAGGGTGGTTGTGTGTCAGGCCTCGTTCTCACTTCCGCTTGACCGGTGCCTCAAGAGAACCAGCCCAAGAGTTTTTCCGTTTGCCCTGCTGCTTTACCTGAGAAAAACCTCTCTTTACTGCTGAATTGGAGCAAATGTCAACCTGCAGAAAACTTGACTGACATTTGCCCTGATTCAGCGGTAAGGAGGAAAGCAGCACAAGTGTAGATGAACCCTCAGTCCATGTATTGATTTGGTAAATGCAAATGTCATAAATTTGGTTTTAAATGTTAAGTGAATTGCATTTCTTCACCATCCCTAGATGGTAGCATTTTTTTAAGGCACAAAAGCGGGGGCGGGGGAGAGAGACCTTAGCAGCTTTATATTTCAGGATAAGCCCACCTCTGCCTAAAAGTACCACGGAAAGTACCACAAACTTTTGAGCCCCAGCACCATTCTCTGTGTTGCTACCCAACCTGTTGACCAGGAATGACATCTTGGCTTTATCTTTAGTTCCTCCCTCTTCCTTTCTCCATATATCCAATCTGTTGCCAAGCCAGGCTATTTCTCACTATACAGCATTGCAAAATGTTCTCTGCCCTGTCGGCTAAACTGGTTTGTGCTCCAGTTATCTCCTGCTTTGACTAATGCAACCATCTTTGACTAATGACATTCTGCCCTCTCACTGAGATCCAAAACTCTACTGCCAGGGTAATTCCTCTCTCTCATTGCTCTGATCATGTGATTCCTTCCCTCAGATCCCTATTTCAGCTTCTAATCCTTTTCATGTCTAGCACAGACTCATTATTCTTACTTTGTTGAAGTTTTCCAACTCTACATTTTTGCCCTCGTTTCCTGTTATCTCCCTGCTGTTGCCTTTTCTCCCCCAACACCTCATGCTCAGCCACCCAAAGGTCTTCTCTCTCTTAGGTGACCCTGCCATTCTTCCTAGATGCCCCCCCTCATAACTTGCATTCCGCCTCAAGACACTTGAATGGTGTTGCTTTTTTCTTCCAGATTTTTCTCAAGCCCTGCCCCCGTACATGATGCAGCTTTTAGTAAAACCCCCTTAGCCATCATCCCCAAATAAAACCTAAATATGCATAACTGTGCCTTTTTCTCTTTCTTTCTTTCTTTCTTTCTTTCTTTCTTTCTTTTTCTTTCTTTCTTTTTCTTTCTTTCTTTCTTTTTCTTTCCTCACCCCCCATTCTCTTTTTATTGTCTCTCCAATTGTCAACATAGATATTGCATGCTCCTTGTGGGCAGGGACCTATCATGTTGCTTTGATTACTCTGCAATGTCCCACATGCATTGATAGTGCTATGTGAGTCATTAATAATCATAATAAAACTTTGTGTGGTGATGTTCTGGTCTTCTAGCTGCTGGCTCTAGTGGGTATACGGAAGGGAATGGAGTACATCTTCTCCTTACATCACCTGGCTTGGCTGGATGACATCATGCCAGAAAAGGACAGGAAGGAAGAAGAAGAAAAGCTGAAGAGGAAGCAAGATCAGGACGAGAGTGACAATGAGGATGTAAGCAAGCAGCACTAAAATTATGGGGGTAGAGGAGGTTGGGGATGGGGCTGAAGCGGCTGGAAATTACACACACCCCCCAATCTCAACATGCCAATGTGATGGAGCAAGGAAGGAAGTAAACCAATGTAACCATCTTATGTGCCGTGAGGGGCTGATGAAACCACCGTTTGGCTGGTTCAGAACTCTTCGTGAGTACCAGTCTCTTTTTCATTATTAAGTCCATTTATAAAGAGGGTAAATACTCCATCAGACCACTTCAAAGAATGGAACAAGTCAATCAAGTATGTTGATGCTTCAGTTTTGAGAAGTGTCAGGCTGCCTGACTCTGTGCTTTGGTATTGGTGGGCACAAAACTGAAGGTATTTGTCAGTTGTCACAGAAATACATCTGTCAAATCTATGCTATGTAGGAACTAGTCCCCCACATCCATTCAAAGAGAGACTCCAATGGTCCCACCATCTGTGTTCTTATTGTACCCATGGAAAGTTATCCTATCACAAAACTTATCCTTTGAAAGGACAAGGTGGCAAGACTAATTCAAATGTGTTTGTGTGCACAGAGGCACACACGGGTGCGCCATCTCCAGGGAGCTGCTCTTTATTCTTCTGGATCCTTCCTTACTCAGATCTTAGTGTTGCCTCACTCTTCACCAGTAATGGTAGTCTAGGGGCCAAGTGGTACCAGTGTAATAATCCAGTCCGTTTTGGCCATTCAGAGGGTTGTGCCAACTTGGGAGCAAGAAAGAGTGAGCTTTAAAGTCCACCTCCCTGGCATTAGTCAGCAATCCACAGGAATGTTTTGAGTTTGCAGCCGAGCTTTCCTCGCAGTTTTGCCAGCTAAGGCCACGAAGCTGATATTTCTGACAGGGTGCGTGGTTTTTGCAATCATATTTCTCAGGAGAAGAGTTGGCATCTCTTTCCATGGACCTAGATTAGAAGCTTCCTGCTGGGTAGAACGGTCTGGGGGTGGACCTTGCTCTTGAGACCCACTGAGAACCTGGGTCTCCTTCACCCATTCTCTCTCCTGTCACTTCACCCTTTGGAAGTGGCTTTTCAGAGGCAGGGAAAACCAAAAACATGTTTGTGTGCTACCCTTGTCTGTCACTTTATTAACTCCTTGGCCTTTGTTCCTTTTTAGTCTGAACTTATGTACCAAGAAAAAGGACCAGAAATCAACATCTCTGTGAACTGAACAGACTGAGACTCACCAGCGGACAAGGCAAAAGATGACCATGTGTGATATGTAAGAATGGGCCTCCTTTAGGAGTTAGGGCCCACAGGAAATATTTGCCAAATCACAGAATAAATGCTAAGAGGGAAAGCTTAAGGGATAATAATAATAATAGGATGTCCCAATTTTCATTGGAGAAATGTTGAAGGGTATGAGAAATACATGTACACATGCCCAGAACAGAAAAGGCTGTGGAGGGCAAAGGGAGGAGGGATGAAAAAAACAATTCCAAATACATTCCATCAGTCTCTGCCCAGCACTATAGATGTAAGTGGCAGGATAGCAATAAATATCCATGACTATAAAAGAGGAAATGCATGGAAGCTAACACACCAAACATCCAGACAGAGAGAACTTGGGTCTGAACTTGTGTTCAGGAAGTCTCTGCTTTCTTCTTCTTTTTAATGGCAGCACTTCTTCACGTACATTGAGATAAGGGCTAATTCTGCTCTCTGTCCAGGTAAACCCAATGTTTAGAGAGGAGGAATGTTCCTCAAATATGTTTTTAATTGTAGCCCCCTTTTCCTTTGTCCTAGAGCAGGGGTGTCCAAACTTTTTTCAAAGAAGGGCAGATTTGATGAACATGCGTGAAGTGAACATGCATGAGGGCCAACCAAAGGGCCGATCAAAGTTGTTGTTGACCTTTTTTTAGGATTGCAGTTGTTGAGCTTTTTTTTTAGGATTTTACCCTAGGAGATAAACTTCCACAGGGGCCAAATTAAACTGACTGACGGGCCAAATTAGGGCCCCAAAACAGACTTTGGACATGCCTGTCCTAGAGAATGAAATGTGACCTTTTGAGAAGCAAGGCCCTTCCTTCATTTGGAGTGGGCTGCAGAACAATAGCCATAATTGTGTGAGAGACAAAGACTGTCACAATGCTCTTCTCATTTGCAGACAACCCCATAAGCGGTTTCCTGTAAGCAGTCTCAGAGGAAGGAGACAGCCTGCACTTAGAAGACCATCTCTGATACTCTGCAGAATATGGCTGATGTGTGATGGGTCTCACAGGAAGAGGAAAGCAAAGCATTTGATATAATTAAAGTATAAGGCGGGGGGGGGATGCATAGGCAATCTTTCTGTCCATCGCTCTCACATGCATGTTGCTGTGCTGAACAGACCATATTGGAATGTTCCTTGTTCCACTTTGCTACCATGTCATCTAGAAAGTCAGCATGTGTGAATTCACTAGGGATGGAAGGATCTCTCAGTTTCTCATTTTTCTAAGCTTAAATTTGCATTTTAAAAATCCTCAGGAAAATTCACCAGAATTTTACAGCAGTGTGAATTTCTTTTCAAACACATTTTTATGCAGTTTTGACTAGTGTACACATTTTTGCAAGCAGTCCCTGCTGATATAATGCATTTTATATGTTATTTTCACTAATACGTACATTTTTATACACAATTTCTCCTATTGTATACCTTTTGATAAACACAGTTTGTAAAATTTGGATAAGTGTGAATTCCATAGGATAGCTGTTTCAGTTCATGTATTGTTTCAAGAAGTGTGAAATCGTTATATTTGCCTTTAAATATGAACTGGATTGCATCCTTCCCCCAATCCCCAGGCATCACTGATGTATTTATTTATGAAACTATTGACATTCCTGTGCAACTTACACTTCATTTTAAAGGCTCTCTAGTTATGCTAAATAAAATATACTAAAAAGGTCATTGCTGCTGCATTCATTTATTTATCAGGGATAAATGTTGGACCAGTTTTTATCACTTACAATAGTTTATATGCAAGCCTTCTAAAGGAGCGGTTGTCTGTCTGGAGCTTTGGAGGCTGTGATCAATATGCTGAGGATGACACACCCTGCTCTCTATTTCTTCAGCTAAGCCACCAGGACTTATCTTGAAGATGGTTTGGAAGCTGCAAGTAGTTCAGAATGCTGCTGCTACTGCTTGCCTAGCCATGAGCTTATGCAAGTGAGAACGTCTAGAATCCTGGTTTCCAATATATGTACAGAGTCTCTGCAGATGCAAGAGGCTCTTCACTACAGTCAGTCTTCACATGGGTTCCGTAACACCTGAAGAGGGCTAGAGGCTTTTTGTCCTTCACAAAGAGATCTACGTTTTGTCAGGATTCATGCACCAAGTGACTACAAAAGCCCCAAATCAGAAATTTTAACATAAACATCTTTATGCATTTATGGGCTAAAGGAGGTGTCACAAAACTCTGTCTCCTCAACTTTAATTTGCAGTTTCCCATTATATCCCGGGTGGGTTGTTTCACAGCACCTTAAGTACTTGTCTATAATCCGATGGAAGTAGAAATAAAATGGAGCTTCCAAATATCACTCGGTATGGCAATGTATTATCCAGCAACATCTTTCTCTGTAGTCAATATTACGGTAATTTTAAAGGTTTACTCTCAAGTAAATCCCATTTCCCAATAAAGTTTGCAGGTCCTGCCTGTTTTGTTGCTTCCTCTTGAGCACGGCTAAAGGGTTAATGATGAACTACTGTTTAATTGCCCCTTGAATGCCTTTTCTTTGAACATTCCAACTTTTTATTGAATTTTAGTGTTACCCACAGAAACATGTAGAAACAGAAAAAGCAGGTACGTAACAGAAAAAGAAAACGTAATACAGAGTTGCAGAATGAAATAAAAACAGCAAACCAGGATACCAAATTTCAATCCTACTTTACTAAATATCAGGTGGTATTTAAATACCTCAACCATGATGAAGAATGAGAAGCTGGAGGGGTATGGGGAAACCCCTTGCTGCCAACAACTTGAGATTGATAATAAAGTGGGGAATCACTTGGCCTCAGAAAGGGTTGCTAATGCTGTGAAGCTTAATGTTGTAGTAGCAGCAGCAGCAGCAGCAGCAGCAGCGTAGTGTACACAAGAGGCTGCTGGGTCCATCAATGGCCCATCTAGTCCAGCATTCTGTTCTTGAAGCCTGCAAGCAAGACCTGAGCCAATGGCACTCTCCCTACCTGGGATTCTGAACAACTGGCCTTCAGAAGCATGCTGCCTACAACAGTAGAGGAAAAACATAAGTCCTCATGGCTACCAGCCATGAACAGCCTTGCCCTTCCTGAATTATCTAATCCTCTAATAAAGCCATCCAGTTTGGTGGCCATCTCTGCCTCTTGGCACCACAGCCTTCTTTCTGAGGTGAGGCAACCAGAACTGTGTGCAATACTCCCAAGTGGAGCCACGTCGTAAATTTGTATAATGGCATTATGAGTTTGGGGCATATGGGGTGTCAGGGGAGGGTTAGTACCTCTGGTGGGGGACATGACATGCTTCTTCTGGGGGTGTTTTTCCACCATTGGTCCCCACAGCGCACTCAGCTCTCACTTGTGAGAAGATCTCAGCAGCCACACACCAGCAACAGCTTCAACTGACTGGCTAAACCAGGTTAAGGGAGGTGGTGGGTCTCTTCCTGATGTTTAGTTGGATTCTCCTTTCTTATTATTTAAATCCATTGGTTCAGGTCCTACCCTCCAGAGCAGAAGCTTGTTTCATCTTCCATGTGATAACCCTTTAGATATTTGAAGAAGGCTATATCTCGTCTGTCTTTTCCAGGCTAAACATACTCAACTCCCTCAACTGTTCCTCATAAGGCTTGGTTTCCAAACCCTTGATCATCTTGTTCACCCTCCTCTGCACAAGTTCCAGCTTGTCAATATCCTCCTTAAATAATGCCCAGAATTGAACACAATACTCCAGCTATGATCTGGCCAAGGCAGAATAGAGCAGGAGTATGACTTCCCTTGATCTGGACACTGTCAAGGGAGTAAAGCATTCTACCCTTGAGGTTGTGATCAGTTAACTCAGTCAGAACCACTTACACTGAAAACTTCACATGACAATGACTATCAGTGCTCTACCATATTGGTAAATGGTTCATTAGGTAAAGTTGACCCTTTCTCTCCATCTTGAAGAGACTTGATTACAATTGTCTGTAAACAGGTTCAAACTCCTTCTCCTTGACCCTTCACTTGCCTATGGCAGATTTTGTAGGTGGATGAAGCTGTTAGAATTCCTGCTCCATGATTGCAGTCATGGGATTTTTGTCTGTCACATGATGGTGTGACTCCACAGAGTGGTAAATGATGGAGACAGGATGTTTGTGTTACCGTGTTCTGTGAAGTGGGACTATTGTCCTTTGTTCTTTCTCTTTGCTGTCTGATGCTAGAGAGGGAGCCATGTTGCAATGCTCTATGTGTGTTTATATGTAAATAAAGTAGATTAGCCAAAATGCTGAGTTGCTGAGGTCTGTTATGCAACTGCGAACACTCTGCGGATCCCTAAGTGTGCCGATGTCTGTTGGCATGGGTTGCTGTGATGTTCGGGCTGAAGAAAGCTAATGAAGCTTCCGAACGATTGACCAGGAGGGAGAGAACATGCCAGTTGGGCATGTGTCTCTGCCAGGGTCCTACTCGAGTGTAGGACAAGCTCCTGACAGAAGCCAGGAAGCAGACAGCTGACTAATCCCTAGGCCTATGAAACAGAATACCATGTTCTGTGCATAAGCTCCAATTGTCCCTATTTAATGATAACTATTACTAGTAAAGCACTGTCCTTATTTTGCCTTCTCTCAGGAGTTCACTGAGTTTACTCCAAAGTAAGCATCAGGGGCTGCCAACTTAAAAAAATATATTGGTGGGGCCCAAGTAAGCCCTGCCCCACATAACTGAACACACCATTTGAATAGCAGTGCCCATCAATTTTGGGGGCCCCCTCAAATATTTTATGGGGGGCAAAGACCCCTCAGCCACTAGGAGTTGGCTCCTATGGTAAGCATGTATATGGGTTGTAGCTCAGCGACAGAGCATGTGTTCTGTATGCCCACTCAATACCCAGCACATCTCCAGGTAAGGCTGAGAAAAACTTCCACGGAATATGATGGAGAGCTGCTGTCAGTCAGTGTGCAGATAATACGGAGCTTGATGGACCTATGGTCCTGCTACTTATGTTCAAGACTGAAGCCATGACTACTTGTCCTGGGATGAAAGAGGCAAGGCAACCTCTCTGGGCTTTCTCTTTTGTTGTTGCTGCAATCTGATGCACACATACTTCTGGGATCAGGCTGCGAGCACTTATGCTATTTTTTTAGTGGGGGAACAGGGATCCCCCAGATTCATTGGTGCCAGATTTCTCCCTCTAGATTGTTGGGTGCAGGGATTTAATTAGAACTTTGAGAATTAAGGTGAGCTGACAGGTTGAGCTTGTTTTTCTACCAGACAGAGCATCAAAGGGAGATGAAGGCCCTACCACTGATACATCGCAAAATAATAATAATAATAATAATAATAATGTTATTATTTATACCCCACCCATCCGGCTGGGCTTCCTCAGCCACTCTGGGCAGCTTCCAGCAAAATATCAAAAATAATAAAATGTCAAACATAAAAAACTTCCCGATACAGGACTGCCTTCAAGAAAAAGACCCTATTGGTAACTGAGGGGGTGGTTGCCTGAGCAAAGTTGGTGTGATTTCACACAGAAAAAAGTTGTCCTTTTTCACAGAGATTTTTGGCAAGGTGTTCTGGGAACAAAGAAGAAAAAATGAGGCAGAACTCCACGCAGGGATTCAAAGGCAGCAGCTCTTGCTTTTATTATATATTTTGTGTTCTAACTTTTTGTTTTTATGTTGTGAAGGGCGGTACAGTATACAAATTTAATAAATAATAATACAAAGTTAATAATGATAATCAGTGCTTTTTTCTGGGGGAATGCAGGGGTATGCATACCCCTAAACATTTTGTGAATCTTTGTACTTTTGTCCATTTACTGTATTTTTCCCAATTTGAACTATAAAATGGTGATTTTATTGAGTCAAAATGAGAGTACCCCTAAACATTTTTTAAGAAAAAAAGGACCGATAATAATGCTGGCTGGCTGGAGCAGACTGTTACAGAGAGATAGGGGGATGGTGCTTAGGATGCCTCTGAATCAAATGCTATGGTGCTGGGAAGGACAAGCCCCTCTTGAGATGAAGGCTTCAGGGGTGGCACTGTGGTCTAAACCACAGAGCTAGGGCTTCCGATCAGAAAGTCGGCGGTTCGAATCCCCACAACGGGGTAAGCTCCCGTTGCTCGGTCCCTGCTCCTGCCAACCTAGCAGTTCGAAAGCACATCAAAGTGCAAGTAGATAAATAAGTTTCTCCAGCGGGAAGGTAAATGGCATTTCTGTGTGCTGCTCTGGTTAGCCACAAGCGGCTTAGTCATGCTGGCCACATGACCCGGAAGCTGAACGCCGGCTCCCTTGGCCAGTAAAACGAGATGAGTGCTGCAACCCCAGAGTCATCCGCAACTGGACCTAATGGTCAGGGGCCCCTTTACCTTTATGTGAATAAAAGACTGCAGTTTTCAGTCTCTGCTGTGCCTTGATTTTCTAATGAAAACACAACCCTGGGTGAGTGCCTGGAACCCCCTGGAATATTGCTGCCGCTCAGCAGAGTTTGGGGGTAGTGTGTAAAATTACTATACATTCTAAGGCTGTATAAAGAAAAATGTTTATACTCTACTGCTGAAGTCAGTACAGGACTGGCTATCATAGCGTATGTTAGTATTTTTAAAACACGGCCTCAGCCTGCCTGGTGTCTCCTCACTTGCCTGCCCTGCCTACAAGTTGTGCCAGATTCTTCCAAGCGGGCTATTGCTAGAACCAACAATAACTCCTTGCACACAGGAGGGAGGAAGGAAGGAAGGAAGGAAGGAAAGTTTCCCTGAGGGAAAAGTATACCATAAGGCAGTATACAAATAAATAAAATAATAAAAATAAACAATTGCTATCAATTACAGTATAATGAATTGACATGTTTCTTTTGATTTTATCATTTCATCTTTTTGTAAACTGCTTTGTGGTTTTTAACAATCAAGCGGTGTTTAAATTTTATGAAATAAATAAATATGGTTGGGCGGGGGTGGAGGAAGGAGATACTGTGTTGCTCCTCCCACCCGCCCTGAACCACACTTTCCCCCTGTAGGGAACACGTTGGCTAAACAGATCCCTGAAGCCAGCAGGACTGGTAACCTTCTCACTAGCTGATGAGCAGAGGGTTCAATCCTGGTCAGTCTGACTGTGTGTGTTCTCCTGCTGGGATCAGATGCACAAAGTCAAAGCTCCTTCTTTCCACTAAACCCCCAGCACACCCACATCCCAACAGCCCTGGATCACTCTGGGAGGCCCAATCATGAGTGATCTGCAGCTGTCTCCATCCAACTCTGCCGAATTGGCTCAAGATTCAGACTTTGGCTGAATTTGATGCACAGCCCTAGTAAAAAGGGAGGGTGATATAAAAGAAAAGCCTTCTTCAGTAGAGCCTCTAGATCAGATGATTCAGCCTAAAATGGGAAGAAAGCCAAGCTATGTAACTCCCCGCCACAAGGAAAACATGGTAGCAAAAGAGCTAGCGATTTCAAAAATTGGATTAGATCTCAGTAGAAAGAGACATTGATTGCCAACAGATTATGCCAAACTTTGTCTCCATCTCATGACTCAGTGATTTTCTGCTGCTCCAAGTGGGTCCTGGAGTTTAGAAATTTTTATTGGCCCTGGGGTAGTTTAACTGTGTGTGAGCAGTGGAGAAGAGGGCTTTAGCTCAAGTGGCGAAGCACAGGCATAAAACCCCCAGGCTCATTTCCTGACATCTTTGGTTAAGAGCAGAGCCTCAGGGAGCATGGTTGGGAGAGGCCTTCCCAAGGACCCTGGAAAGATCTGTCAGCGGTTGGGGCTTGGTACAAGGCACCTTCTTATTGGCGGAGGCTGTAACTCAGTGGTTACAGAGGACACACTTTGTGCGCAGGGGGCTCCATAATCATAGCTGTCAACGTTTCCCTTTTTTTAAGGGAAATTCCCTTATTCCGAATAGGATTCCTTGCAAGAAAAGGAAAAAGTTGACAGCTATGTCCATAATCTGCTGCTGGTCAAAAGAGTGGTTTTTTGACTCCGAACTAGGACCGGCCCAAGACACTTCAGCACCTGAGGTGAACCACAAAATGGCGCTCCTCCCCTCCCTGCCAGGGAAGAAGGGGTGAGCAAAGATCTAGATCAGGAACACAGGTGCGGGGTGGGGATAGAGGTCCACATTGGGACCTGCCGCCCCATGGATTCTGCCGCCAGAGGCAGTCGCCTCACCTTGCCTCCTGGGTGGGCCGGCCCTGCTCCCACCACCTCCCACCTGTCCCTGCCCACTGGGCATGGTTGGCTGGGCCGGGGAGAGTCAGGGGCGCCAGAAGGACTACGGGATCCTCGTCCCTGGGGAGTCCAGGGGCGTGTGGCGCGGAGGTGGGCGCAGGATGCGGCCGCGGGAGCGACAGCGCGGGTGCTTGGGGCGCCCGGCGACCTTTGTTTCTCTTCGGCGGAAGCTCCTCGCTTCCCCGCACCGAGGTCGAGCCTTTTGGGGCCCGCCGCCTTCGCAAGGCAAGCCGAGGGCCAGAGGCCGCCCTGTTCTGCTTCTGGATCGCCTGCGGACCCGAGCAGCGCGTGAGGGGGGAACTCATACAAAATGGCAACTCGGAAGCTTTTCTGCGGGATGGAGGTTGGCTGAGAACCAGACCTCTGGTCCCCGTGACTGACACGCGCCTCGCCCAATCACTTTCCCCGCCACGGAGTGGCCCGCGGAGCAGTGGAAAGGCAGGTGGACCGTTACAGGTTGACCTTACAATTAACATGCACACCTTGCTTCCAATCAATACGCCCTGTTTTGAGGCGGGGGAGTCTGTCCTCCCTGACGGAGACCACAACTTGAAAGGGAGGAAGGTGGGAACGAAAGGGTGGCTCAAGCCAATCGAACGCCGCCAAGAGGAGCACGGCATGATTGACGCGCGCTCTGCACAATCAGGCTTAAGGGTATCTCGACTGACTGCACTTCTGTCCATTCAGATAGCAAGGTTCCAGGACAGTATTTGATTGACAGGCGAACGGCCTAGTAATACCGAGGCACTTTCAGGAAGCGAGCGTACAAGCCTAAAGGTGGTGGGCGGGCAGTCTAAACCGCCTCGACGTGTACTCTCAAAGCATCTTGGTGGTGGGAGGGTGAGGTAGCGCCTGACGAAGGCGCAGAGTGACAGGTACCGCGTCGAATGGCGCTGGGTCATTAGAAATATATGGCCAATGGGAACAGGGGAAAGGATTGGTGAGGGCATTGCGGTGGCTGCGGGTTAGGTAGGGTGTGAGAAGTTAGTGGCGCTGCTGCTGTGAGGGGACGGAGACGGCGTTTCCCCCTCCCCTCCTCCCACGGGCTTAAGCTTGGATCGGCGCGCGATGCTCACGGACGGCACGGCCGCCCCGACCCCCGCCGGCGATGAGGAGATAGACTCGGTGACGCCCCGCGCTGCCCCGGCCGCCATCGTCGAGGCCTCCACGGCCGGGCCTAACCCGCTGGGCTTGCGGGCCGTGCGCCTCTTCGGCGAGGCCGGGCCCTGTGGGCCGGCAGGGCCGGCAACAACTTCGGGGGAGGCCGGGGCCGCCGCCGCCGCCCTCGACTTTAAACTGGCGGCCGCTGTGCTGAGAAGCGGGGGCGGCGGTGGGTCCGGCAGCGACGAGGACGAGGTGTCTGAGGTGAGAGGCAGGGAGAGGTAGGCCTTCGCTCCCGCCAGGCTGGAGCAGGAGGAGGAGGAGGGGCCGGAGGGTGCCGTCTCGAACGGAGCTCCCTCCCGCGCTTGGGTACCAGCCCCGCCCGTCAGGCTTCAGAAGCCTCCCTTGCAGGCCGGCCCCGGAATAAAGGAGGGTGGAGACCCACCCAGATGCGCGCGGCGCCCCCCACTCACGCCTGCCTGCCTCCCCCCCTCCCGGTTTTAATGTAAGCAGTGCCCCCCCTTCTTTGTTCATTGTGAGATAAAACAACTAAAGCGAAGACAAAACATCGAGCATGTCCCGTCTCGCTGCGCCCCCCCCCCCCCGCCGCTCCGTACTTGCTTTTGGGTCCGGATGATGGCGGAAGCGCTCTTCTGCCGCGCCGTCCTCCCTGCCCTCTCGGAGTAATTTTATTATAGAAAGTGCTGATGGCTTATTAGCGTCTCCTCAAGGCTCGCTTTGAGAGATCGGTGGGAATAGTAAATCGCATTTCAAATGCTTCCATCAGTTTTTGGGGACGACAAGCGTCGTAGTTCTGCTGTGGTAGGTACACTGTGGTGCTTATTCCAGGTGTGCGTTTTGCTGGCACAAATGTCTGCACTGCACCTGCACAGTAAATAAGGCAAAACTTGAGTATATTTCAAATCTCAATAGAAAATTCCTGAAAGTTTAGTGAAGTCACAATGTGGTTTGTCCCATTTGCACTTAAATGTGTTCCAGTAGCAATGGAGGGTTATAAGCAAATTGCTTTTCTCCTTCAGTTGCAATATAATATTTCTGCTTTCTAACACAATAATTCATGTGAAAGAAAGTATCTTGTGACTCCATCATTTACAGTAAGTTTTGAAATATTCACTTGCTACTCTGCCTCTGGTGAAAAAGAATTTTTTTCACGCATCTGAGAGAAATGTGGACTTGCAGAAATGCTTGTTTAACTTCTAAAGATTGGTCAGAAAGTCCCTGTTGGTGATGGAAGTAAATATACTGTTTTTAGTATCTGGGTACATCTGTTGTAATTTCTTGCATTGTTTACTTTTTTTCTTTGGAAACTATCCTTTCAACCTTTTCACAACATTATTTTGTAGGGATTTACACAATATGCTTTTAAAATAAAAGATGCTTTTAAACTAGCATAAAATAAGTGATTTTACTAATAGCTGTGGCAAGTACAGAGTGGTTCTGAAGGCCCCTCTACATAACTTACAGGATGCTACTTGAATTTTAAAGACCAATTTTCAATTAAAAATAGGTTTTTAGCTCTCATAATTGGAGAATTTGTGTTGGGGGGGGAATCTTCAGATCATTTTTGCCTGGGGACTTGGGACATGTGGTATTTAAATACTTTGAAAAGATGAATCATGACTCCAAGAGAGTTTAGTCTGTCTAGTGGGTGAAGCAAAGAGAGGGAGGATGTAATGGAGAAATTTGGTTTCTTTCATTTCAAACACAAGTTTTTCATTCCCTTACCTTCATGGCTGTCACTCAGTATTCCTCTGTTCTTTGCATATTCCCATTCTGTTTCAGCATTTCTTTCATTAGGGAACACTTCCGACTTTAACTTGTCTTCCTCAAAAGTTCATTTTGTTGCTGTCCAAACAGCACCCATGCATGGATTAGGGAGTTTGAGGGAGTTAATTGGGCCTCACCATTGTCCTGTGTCTATTGAGGGCAAAATGAGATGCAACTATGGCAGACTTGTTTTAGACTTGGATCTGGGCAGTTGTAAACTGGGGTGCAAAACTGGCTTTTAGGGCAAAAGAGAAAAGAAGATAAGAACTAAATAGTTTTTGCACCTGCCTTTTCCTTTCACCCTTCACCAGGCACTTTTCTCCCCAACTTCCAGTGTTGAAGTTTGGCTGAGGTGGAGAACTAGGGCAGCAAACCCTGGGTAGGTAAATCATGGGTGGGGGAAAGTTCAGAACCTCCATCCAACCTGTGTTCCCTGTTTTGGTCTATAACCTGGACCCCATGCTGTTTATGTGATTTGGCTCCTCTAAGCAGGTTTGCTGCCATCACATCTATTTTAGCAATGAAAGTATGTCCCAGAACACAATCAGCAGTCCAGCTGCTTTCCAAAGAAATTTCATCTATTACTGATAATCTTACTGAATAAGCTCTAATAAACTTTTTCCAAAGAGCCCACCATTGCTTTAATATAATGTGTTCGTTTATTCTCTAGTTTTGTACACAACTCCTTATTTTCAATAATAAATAATTGGGCAATAAGAAACATATTTATAAATTGGAGTTCTCTTAGATTATGCTGATCAGACTAGGATAGAAGTTTTGTAAAATTAGCTCTTACATGCAAATAATTAACTGCACCACATACTTGATGTCCTAATACTGAACAGTATGTTCAGTAAAAAGATTTCTATAGATTTATGGCCAGAAAACATGCAAGTGGAAAAACATTTTTTAGTATATGGTAGAAGACCTAATTCTCATATAGTTCAAAAGCCCTCTATATTACATGTTGTGGAGAAAAGAAATAACTAAAGCCTGGTGAAGAATGGCCTGAATTGATCATATGGCAGTTTTAAGAATATGTGAGTTGTACTAAATCGGGGGGGGGGGGGGTTAAGGCTTTTTTCCCTTTGCAGTCTTGTGAACAGTTGGTTTGGGAAGCAAAGAAAGGAGCAGCAATCCATTATTTGAAATGTATTTCAGAAAATTGTACTTATATGGAACAGATAAGAAACTTAAAGGGGAAGTAAATTTGTGTTGTGAGGGGGAAATAGGTGCTATAGTTAGGGAAGATTTGACTATCATGATTATAGAACTGAAATATCTGTCTGGGGAAGGGTAGAAGGTAGTGTGAGGATGGGTGGTTCTCCCTGTCTGTGGAAACCTGGATTCATAGTGTCAGGGATAGGAGGTTGCAGTGTACTATTTATGGGTGAAAAGAAACCATTCACTTGCATGGGAGAACATTAATGTGTACTTGAAAATATATTTGGGGTCAATGCAGGGTCTGGCTCTGCTCCACTTGCTGCCTCCTAACTTTTCATTGGCTCCCAAAGATATCTGGGGGAAATGGGATCTTTGTATAATCTGCCTGTGAAGAGTAGAATAGGGCTGCAATCTGAAACTTTTTACCTTTGAGTAAGCCCCATTTAATTCAGTGGGACTACTGAGTTGGCATGGTTAGGATTGCACAATAATTACTGGCATATTTATACCTTAATCTAAGATGGTTAAGAAAATAATAGATTTGTTACAGTTGTGCCGTACTTTCTTTAAATGTCCATTGTACATTTACAGTTGGAATTCTGAAGCAATATCCTTGGTCTTCGCCTATAGTCTGGCTTGCGTGATCATATGAGGCTTTATAAACCCTTTATGAAGCCAGGAATGAGCATCAGGGCCAAGTGCACTTCAACTTCTGTTGTGTGCCACCTCTGGTGTGAAGATCCTGACTTGCATTAAGCTGGTCTCCTTGTTACATCAGGAAAATAAGACAGGAGCACAGTAGTCATGCTGGTGGACTACAATATAGAGACAAGGGCAAACTGTAAAGGTATTCTAGTCTTCTGAGGCTCCCGCTTGTTAGATGCTTTGCTGCAATTGGTCTTCTCCCCATATTCATTGTTTTAAAATGTATGAGAGTTTCATTCTCTGGTGTTGGTCTGTTTAGTTCAGATGTGAATCACATTCTTACATTTCTAGCCTGATTCAGCTAACAATGCAGTGACTCTTGGCTGGCGATTCAGCTACCCTTGGATATTCATAGCTTTGGGGGTGTACTCATCCAACTTCATTTGATAAAAAAAGTCTACAATCCTTGATTAATGGACCTAACTACTATTATTCATACCTTTTAAAGGCTAGACAGCTGGAGTGCACTCAGTGCAAGGGTTGCCATTTGAAGACTTTGGTGGCTACAACAAGTGCAGAACATAGTAACATTGGTCCTTGTAGCAGGAGGTAGCTGGGAGCAGGATATGATTGGCTCTCTTGCATTCTGTGTACAATTCAAATTGCTATGTTTGACTTATAAATCACTTAATGCCCCTGGGCCCTTCACATCCTTGAAAATAGTTACATAATACCTTTACAGCAATTTTATTAGGCTGGAAATAAGTTTGTAGATTTCAAAATTAATTTAGAGATTTCCCTGTATCAAGGCATATTAATCGAGGCATTGACTGATAAGACATTTCCCCTCAGTCACCAGCTAGAATAGTTTTAACTACCAAAAGCAAATTTTCAATTTTATAGATAGGCTGCTTGAAATATCCTAATGAGGTGAAGAAAAGGCATCATCATGACCCAAGAACTTACTTTACCAGCCAGTAAGGACTAACTGTGTTTGTGTTCTTGTAACAATTGATCCTTTTATATGCTACTTTAACAATGTTATTTTCCTTAAATCAAATAGCACCACGTGCCATTGAAAATAAGTTTTTTTTAAAGGCTTTTGCTGATCAAGTAGATTTTGGCCTATTTAATACACGTCTACAGCTCCAGAATTGTTGACGAAGTTGCTTCCGTCCTATATCTTGAGAATAAATTATCCTATCCTGGTGAATAAAACTTTACAGCATTTCAGCATGTTAGTTTTTAAAAAAAATTCTGAATTGAAAATGTCTTAGTGCCCAATTGGCATCTGACTTAGCATGCTTGATTTGGACTAAAATACTATAGAAATCTAATGTTTTTCAAAAAAACCCCAAAGCATTGGAACCAAAATATTTAATTAGGGACCAGGATTCAATAATGGGCTCATAATGTAATTTAAATGTTTTATTCAAGCATATTCAAAGCTTTACTTGGAAAACATTTCTGTTGGAATAATTGTAAATATTAACACATGACAACTCATACTCACTCTTATTTCTATTGTGTATATTTTAAGAAAAGAAGCAAGGCCTGTTAATGTAATTTATATAAATAAATAGTTAACATAATTGTAAATTTCAGTACACTCAGAGAGCTATGCATTTATGTCAGGGTGGATTTGATTTGATTTAAATCAAATCAATTTAAATCACTAGTCAGTAAGACTTGATTTAAATCATTTCTCTACAGAAAGACTCATTCTTGCTGGTATAATCTTAATATTTACAACCAGATGAAGGTTTCATTTTTGGAATAATAAATTTTCAGAGTGGTTTTTACAGTTATATAAAAAATCACTGATTTGGTTATACTATCAGAAATACAAAGACAGGTAATTATGAAATTATTGTTTATATTTGGACAACTTTTCTGCTGTACTTTATTGGAAGGAGAAAAAATCATTTCCTTAATAACAATTTAAACAATTTATTTAATTAAAACAATAACATTATAGCATATGTATCCATGTTTGTGAACTGATGTGGTTAAACGATTTAAAAAACAAACAAACTTAGACTGAGTTTTAGCACACATGAAAAACTTAAAACAAATCTTTATTTCCTGATGGAAATAAATGGATATATAGTCCAAATAGCCTTTGGACTATAATGTAACTCATGGGTAGGCAAACTAAGACCCGGGGGCCAGATCCAACCCAATTGCCTTCTCAATCCGGCCTGCAGACGGTCCGGGAATCAGCGTGTTTTTACAGGAGTAGATGTGTCCTTTTATTTAAAATGCATCTCTTGGTTATTTGTGGGGTCTGCCTGGTGTTTTTACATGAGTAGAATGTGTGCTTTTATTTAAAATGCATCTCTGGGTTATTTGTGGGGCATAGGAATTCGTTCATTCCCCCTCCCCCCCAAAAAAAATATAGTCCGGCCCCCCACAAGGTCTGAGGGACAGTGGACTGGCCCCCTGCTGAAAAAGTTTGCTGACCCCTGATGTAACTTAAATAGAAAACTATCATGAGAAAGATTTTTCCTCCAAAAGCATTTTATCTTAAAAATCTGATTTGAATTTTAAAAATCTCATTTTTAAAATTTTCTTTTAAAAATCATTGATTTTTATCCACCCTGATTTATATTAAGTATGTATGCTTTCTTGCGATAGTTGTCTGAAAAATGCTAATTACTGCGTGCCCACTTCATTATTGTATCCATTCAGCATGTCAGATTAATTTCATGAAAATGTTTATTAAGAAATATGTATTTTTCTGAAATCCTCATCATCACTGCAGAATTTGTTGAAACAGTGATAGCTTTTTGAATCAAATTGTTATAATAGTTTCAAAGCAAAATTGTTGTCTCCCTTCTCTTGATAAAACTTCACCAAAATGTTACAAAATATTTTTCAAGTCTTTAAAACTCAGAAATTACACTTGTCCAGTGCTGAATCCTGTTAGAACTTTTGCACACATAATTATTTTTCTTATTTATTTACTCCATAAAATTTTTACCTTACTTGATTGAAAACAAACAAACTTCAAAGGGGTATACAAAAGGATAAAACAATAAAACCAAGAAATAAAACCACAACCATACTTTAAAACATACAACAGTTAAAATACTTAATCTGTTCTAACTTCATCTCAGTGTTACATCAACACAACTGGTTAAAAATCTTAGAGAATCCTGGCTACCTTTTGCTGCCAAACTAATGCTTAATGATATTTAGGGCCAGCAGGGCAAGGGGGGAGGTACCATTTGTTAACCAGGGGAAGCAGAGAGGTAGTGACAGTACAGCTGCACATACTTAGAATATCCTTATATTTATTTGTTGCCATGATTCATTTTGTAATTTATTTTGTATTTTAGGCATGTCTGTTCTAATACAGTCGTACCTTGGGTTACATATGCTTCAGGTTAGAGACGCTTCAGGTTACAGACTCTGCTAACCCAGAAATAGTACCTTGGGTTAAGAACTTTGCTTCAGGATGAGAACAGAAATTGCGGCGTGGCGGCAGCAGGAGGCCCCTTAGCTAAAGTGGTGCTTCAGGTTAAGAACAGTTTCAGGTTAAGAACGGACCTCCGGAACGAATTAAGTACTTAACTTGTATTAGAATGAGAGGTAGACTTGCTTGCTCTATTGTAGAGGTTTTCAACGTTTTTGCGTCCACAGCTCCCTTGACCAACCACATTCTTTCTTCAGCTCCCCTGTGGGATACAGGGGAATCACCACTTACACGCGCATTCCATTCCAGGCCACCGTGCGCATCACTGGGATGCCCCCTCTCCATCCTTACTTGGTTTTGAAGGTTGCTGAGGAGCTCTGTCTTGCTGTGTTCTAAGCCCCAACTGGCTTCACTGGAAATCATTGACACCATCAGTCATAGTCATCAATTTCATTGGGCCGACACTGAGTAAGATTAACACTGACTACAACCCAATATAAAAGGGTATTCGCCTACTCAGGGAAGACCCATTGGAGGTCAGTGACCCCTGAGTCAGCCATACCCATCAATTTCAGTAGGTCTCCTCTTGGATAGGAGTAGTAATTATTTCCATTGCAGTTTATTGCCCATCTATTACCCACCTATTTCAATGGGATTCCTCTTGAGCAGGACTCAACACTGCCAGCAACCCAGTAATGATTATGAGGAGGATAAAGATAGGCTTTGCCTAGCAAAGTACTACTCAAGAGCAGAATGAACTGGGCTCAGCAGGTCGAGGCTGCCCCACTATCTACCAATGGGTCTACTGCCAAGTAGGGCTTACACTGGCTGCATCCCTGGCAGGAAGAAGTTACCTTGATGGGTTCAACCATTGCCTCACTCTTGCCACACTGGCCCCATGAACCGTCTGCTTCCCTCCATCCCTGCTTGCAGGCTTCCCTCTCATCCCCCATCAGCAGCTGGAATCATAGAGATGTGCTAGAGAGGTACACACTTGGGCAGCACTCTTTTGAAAGTGATGCTTCACATAGCACGGTCATACATGAAAAAGTAAAGAAGTTCATCTCATTTGTCTGAGTAGGGAGTTTCCAGCTTTGTGTTGGAAGCCATGTGGTTTTCTTCCCCATCAAAGGAGGGACGGGGGATGGGACCACTTGCTGCATCCCTGGCCATCATTCAAGTCACCTCAGGGTGCCATGGCACATTGGTTGAAATGAATAGGATGAGTTACCTGGCAGATTATACCAAAAACATAATGATGATGCTTTTGGTATTGATATAAAATATTTGTCACTGCCATGCCAGCCTTAACTTCATAGAATTGCATAGTTGGAAGGGACTCAAAACTACGTACACCTTAAACAATAATAGTAAACTATTAGATGATTCTCTAATGTTTTAAAGAACTTAATTTGTTTACCATCTTTCCAAATGAAGAGTTCTGAAGAACTTTCAAGCTTTTCGTGCTATTTTGTGACACTTTGGTTTGCCTAATAAAGGTTTTGCATGAGTATGTTAAGGTTTATTTGTCATTTTCGTGTTCCAGGTAGCAGGCCTCTTGACCGGGAAGTCCTTGTACCTTACTGTGGTCCCAATGAAATTAGTGCAGTGTGGTTGCACTCTAGAATAGCCTTTGGGAAGGAGGGAATCAATTTAGTTAAAGGATTCTTTCCTGACATAATTCCAAATGAAACTAAAGGGTGTACTCAAACTTCGAGTTACAAACTTCAAGTACAGTTGTACCTTGGTTGCTGGACGCCTTGGAACTTGTATGTTTTGGCTTCTGGATGATTGAAAACTGGAAGTGAGCGTTCCAGTTTTCGAACGATTTTTGGAAGTCAAAAGTCCAGCGCAGCTGTCGATTGGCTACAGGAGCTTCCTGCAGCCAATCAGAAGCCACACTTTGGTTTCCAAACGTTTTGGAAGTTGAATGGACTTCGGAACGGATTCTGTTCAACTTCCAAGATACGACTGTATTGTGATCTGAATATTTTGGTTGCTAACACTCCTGCAGAAATTTAGTGCCTGTACCTTGGAAGCCCATATTGCAGTGCAGTGGTATCTCTGAAATGGTTGATGGAGAGGGCTATTCAAGTTGCCTTTTTTAAAAAAACCCAACAACCTGATGTTAACCATTAAGCCTTTAGCCATGTTAAGACTAACTGGTCATCTCTACTTTCTTCAAGCCTATGCTAACTGTGTGTATTGACTATGAGCATAACAATATGAAAGTGTGACCCAGGTGTCTTGGATGATCTGGTTGGAAGGTCTCGACATGGAGTCTGGAAGGCAGAATTCTATAGTCATTGTGTGTTTTAATTGAATATGAGGAAGGTGTTGCACAGTTACAGTGGTACCTCTGGATGCGAACGGGATCTGTTCTGGAGCCCTGTTCGCATCCTGAGTAAAACATAAGATGCGTCTGCGTGGGTCGTGTTTTGCTGCTTTCGCGCATGCACGTGATGTCATTTTGAGCGTCTGTGTGAGCGGCAAAACCCAGAAGTAATGCTCTCCGTTATTTCTGGGTCACCGCGGAGCGTGACTTGAAAATGCTCAACCTGAAGCACATCTAACCTGAGGTATGACTGTATTTGGAAGGAAAACGAACCCTTAGTCAGCTGCTACACAGAGTGATGGTGCGGGACAAGGTCTCAGGAGAATTAAAAAGTTTGCCACAAAATGCTTTTTGTGACAATTTGGCTGCTCCTAATAAAAATATTGCCCAACTATGGATTTTGGAGGGTTTTTTTAAATGGACCAACATGGTTGCTTTTTTTGTGCTTCGGGGAATACCAAATCTAGTTGTTCAGAGCAGAATATACAACCAGAGGAAGATAAGGGTCATCTTCAGGTGGCAGGAAATTAAGGCTTATATCCCTTCAGCCACTATACTATACTATACTATGCTATGCTATACTATACTAGAATCATAGAATCATAGAGTTGGAAGAGACCACAAAGGCCATCGAGTCCAACCCCCTGCCAAGCAGGAAACACCATCAGAGCACTCCTGACATATGGTTGTCAAGCCTCTGCTTAAAGACCTCCAAAGAAGGAGACTCCACCACACTCCTTGGCAGCAAATTCCACTGTCAAACAGCTCTTACTGTCAGGAAGTTTTTCCTAATGTTTAGGTGGAATCTTCTTTCTTGTAGTTTGGATCCATTGCTCCGTGTCCGCTTCTCTGGAGCAGCAGAAAACAACCTTTCTCCCTCCTCTATGTGACATCCTTTTATATATTTGAACATGGCTATCATATCACCCCTTAACCTCCTCTTCTCCAGGCGAAACATGCCCAGCTCCCTTAGCCGTTCCTCATAAGGCATCGTTTCCAGGCCTTTGACCATTTTGGTTGCCCTCCTCTGGACACATTCCAGTTTGTCAGTGTCCTTCTTGAACTGTGGTGCCCAGAACTGGACACAGTACTCCAGGTGAGGTCTGACCAGAGCAGAATACAGTGGCACTATTACTTCCCTTGATCTAGATGCTATACTCCTATTGATGCAGCCCAGAATTGCATTGGCTTTTTAAGCTGCCGCGTCACACTGTTGGCTCATGTCAAGTTTGTGGTCAACCAAGACTCCTAGATCCTTTTCACATGTACTGCTCTCAAGCCAGGTGTCACCCAATGACATGGATTGATGTACTAGGTCAGGGGCCCCAAACTACAGTCCACGGGCCACACCCAGCCCTCCAGGGTCCTGAACCCAGCCCGCATGGCAATTGCAGAACCCGCTGCTGTCTAATGGGTCTCCCTGGATCTTAGCCAGCAGCAGCATGCTGCTGCAGCAAAGAACTCGGCCCAGACACCGTAGGGCGGAGGCGCCTGCAGAGCCCAGTCCAGCTCAGGGGAGATGACCTCCCTCTTCTCCTTCCTTCTCTGGCTTTCTTCATTCTCAATCCCAGTTACAAAACTCCTCGTCGTCCATGTGGGGCTTGCTGGGCAAAGATTATGGTTAGATCATGGGGAAGGCGGGCAGGAAGAGGAGAGGTCGCTTTGTTAAAATGCGCTTCTTTTGTAAATCGTCGGAAAATACGGGTCTCAAACATGAGGTGCTTTCAAACTATAGTCCGGCCCCCAACAGTGTCAGAGGGACAGTGAACTGGCCCCCTGTTTAAAAAGTTTGAGGACCCCTGTACTAGGTAAAATAACAAGAATTCAATAGGACTTAGTTCTGAGTAGACATAGATAGAGTTTTAGTCTTAATGAATAACTAGTTTACAGTTGCATCTGAAGTGGCCAAATAAGGTTTGGAAAAGGTCTGGGAACTATGGGTTGTTTCCAGTGCTTATCCTTCTCAGAGTAGACCCATTGAAATTAATGACTAGTAAGGTCCATTGGCTTTAGTGGGTCTACTGGGAACATTGGATACAACCCCATGATTTCATATTACATAAGTACCTGTCAAATAAGGGAAGATGGGAAACTTACTATGTAGAGAACAGAAATTGAATTTTTCAAATTGTTTTTGTCAGTAAAAACAAATTTGTCCTTGATTAAGACATTAAAACTGTTAATTCTGAACTCTATGCCAATCCAAGTCACAATCTGAAAGTAAACATAAACTTAAGTGTTTTCCTGCTGTTCTCCATAAGAAGGTGAGCATAACTAATCTATGGCCATCCAATTATGCTTCTGAATTCTCACTATTAGGTTTTCCCAGGAGATATGCAAAAGTTCTTTAATATTAGAACTTAGGGGAATGGAGACTTTTCTAGCCTGGACCTTTTTAAGGTTTTTTTTTAAAAAAACAACACACACAAAAAAACACATGGCATCTCATGGCCAAGAATAGTGAAGTTTTTTAACTCTTGTAAGTATAAAATGTACCAGCATATTGATCTGCATCAGGGTGTTCTCGGCTCTATTCCTGAACATTTTTGGTATGGCTTTCTTTATTGTTCATACTGAAACTCCAAGTTTATTCATAAATATTGGAGATCTTTCCAACTAAAATAGGCTTAAGACTCAATATTAATTACACCAACTTTCAATTAAATTTCAGATAAATTGATAGGGATTTCTCTCAAGTTAATCTATTTAGATTGATATGTATAAATCCATATGCAGTTTGTTTACTTTTGTATTAAATCTATATACTGCTCTATAATCTAAGGTTACAGGTTTTATACAGCATAAAAAACTAAACTAAAAACTAGTTGAAAGTTAAATGCAGAAACCTTGGTCTATAATGGTACTTATTTACACACCTAATCCCAAATACATCTTCTACACCCAACATACTAAAAAGCAGAATCCTTTTTTACTGCTCCTGGTTAAACATCTTTGCTAATCCTTTGAACAGAAAATCTGTGCTTGAACAGAAAACCTGTGCTTGTAATGATGCACACTATAAAACAGATGACGTAACCTTTTTTGCAGTGTTTGAAATTCATTGGGCGCCAGACACATTTTGGTACTGGCATGGGTTCAATTGCGACTACATAGATATTTCTAGGTGTCAGGTTGGTGACTGACATCTCCATTGAGCCAGTTGACTTGTGTGCAGCAAAATACGCACATCATATGCTTCTGTTCTCCCACATGAATCATGGATGCTGGGCATCTTAGTCCTCGATCATTGCATCAAGGAAAGTTAGTGCAGGGCTGAGTACAAATATATTTGACTGTGTTGCAGCCTTTACACAGAATACCCAAATGGAGACTCGGAGACCACAGTTTAAAAACCCATGCCTTAGTGTATAGTTAATACCATTTCCATTTTCACTCTGTTTCTCCTTCTTACATACTAGGACAAGTGAATTATTATAAGAGCAAAGTACAGTCAAGCAATACAGTTTAGATTAGACGCAGCCTTTCTCAACCTGTGGGTCCCCAGAGGTTGTTGGACTACAACTCCCATCACCCCTAGCTAGCAAGGTCAGAGCTCAGGGATGATGGGAGTTGTAGTCCAACAACCTCTGGGGACCCACGGGTTGAGAACTGCTGGATTAGAGGTTTTCAACCTTTTTGAGTTCATGGCTCCCTTGACCAACTACATTCTTTCTGTGGCAACCCTGTGGGACTCAGTAGCCCAGTTATGTCACCCCTTGCTGGCAGAGCTTGCAGCCTCTCTCCCTTTTTTGAACACCCTCCCTTGTGGAGTGTTCCCTCAGCCTCCTCTCCTTTCCCCACTCCTTGGGAGTCTTCTGGGCAGCCGCTGCTGCTGTCCCTGGTCTCTGAGCTGCCCCCTACCACTCCAGAGAGAGATGCCTCCTCACACTGCCCCACAGGGGCCTGGGAAGAGGATGCCCCCAGCCTTAGTGGCCCAACGGAGACTGGCCAAAGGTGAACGTGAGGCCAGCACCTTACCTTGATTGGCAGCAGCGAGCATTGCTGGGCCTGCATAGCGGAAAGGCTTCCTTTCAGCATCGAGCACTTAGCTCCCAGGCAGGACTTGCACACAGCAAGCACAAGAAAGGTCAGTGGCGCCTGCCTGCCTGGCCTCCCACTTGTTTCTCCATTCCAAAGAAAGGGCTGGTGGACTGGCTGGCTGGGCTCCTCGCCTGCTTGCTTGCTTGGCCACCTCAGCTCCTGGCAACCAGCACCCGTTGGCCAGCCCCAGAGGCACCATTTGCCTACAGTTTGGGGCTGCTGCAACAAATAGCTGTGCAAGCCTTTGGGAGGCAGAGATGCAAGAGGGCATTAGGGGAGGGAGGGGAGGAAAGAGGGACAAGCCAGTGTTGCCCACAGCACCCATGACCAATCATTCATGGCACCTAGGGTGCCACAGCACACTGGTTGAAAACCACTGGTTTAGATTATAAATAGACATTCTGTTGTGGTGACTGTAATCTAGGTTTGAGGTGCCGTTTGGCGCCTAGTTTATACAGTCATACCTCGGGTTGAATACGCTTCAGGTTGAGCACTTTTGGATTGCGCTCCGCGGCGAGCCGGAAGTAATGGAGCACATTACTTCCGGGTTTCGCCTCATGCGCAGACGGTCAAAATGACGTCATGCGCAGAAGTGGTGGATTGTGTTCGCTTCAGGATACGAACGGAGCTCCGGAACGGATCCCATTCGCATCCTGAGGTACCACTGTATATCTGAGTTTTTAACACTGTTTTTTTTTGGTCACTCACCCTTGGCAAAACACGCCCCCCCCCATCCTTTTGGGTGTGTTCAGAAGTCACCCCTCTCCTCAGCTGTTCTATGCAGATCAGCAGAGGAGAGAATAACTTGCATCCCCATTGGGAAATATGGGTGGAGAGGTTCAACTTTTTCCAAACCTATATTGTGCTGTGTCTGTGTTACTTTATATTCCTTTTGTTGCTGCTGGAAAAATTAATGAGAAAATTTTACTTGATCAGTATTGGGCTCCCAGACTGGAGGTTTAGCCACCCCTACTCTAAAAACATTTTTCCATCGGGTGAAATGAGTGTTTATTTGAAGATGATTAAAAAAAATAATAGTGTCATTCAAGAGATACATCTTGTTCACTGTCTTTTTCCAAATTGGCATCAAAAGCAAAAGGGGAACCATTCTTTTGCTCCCAGGTTTAATGTAATGCAACCAGGCATTTGACCTCTTATTCTGAAATTTTTACTTGTGTTACTTAAACTCATTGTGTCTACATGCTGTAGGCCTGTGGACTGCTGAGAATAATATCTAGAGGAAAATCTGCTATAGCTTCAATGATAAAACTAATCTTCTATAAACTGGTAGTTCTTCATTTGCTGAGTAAGTTTAATTATTACACTTGTTCAATATTGGATGGTGCTGGACTTGAAAATATTCATTCTGTGCTTGCTAAACTGGTAACAGATGAATTTCACTTCTACTCGGTATGTTTCTGAGCACAAGTCAAAGTGTTGGTGCTGACCTTTAAAGCCCTAAACTGCCCCAGCCCTGTATACCTGAAGGAGCATCTCCACCCCCATCATTCAGCCCCGACACTGAGGTCCAGCTCAGGGGGCCTTCTGGTGAGAAGTGAAGTTACAGGGAACAAGGCAGATGGAACACCTTCCCATCAGATGTCAAGGAGATAAATAACTAGGCAACAAATAACTATGCAACTTTTAGAAGGCATCCAAAGGCAGTCCTGTATCAGGATGTTTTTAATGTTTGAGAGGTTGTTTTTATATGTGTTGGAAGCACCCAGGGTGCCTGGGACAACCCAGCCAGATGGGTGGGATATAAATAATAAAATTATTACTATTATTACCACAGACTCTGGAAGTTTTCAGTTTTACTTTTCAGGGAAGAAAAATAAAAGTACAACCCTAGGTATTGTTACCTGGTAGTAAAGTCCATCTTGCTGTGTGGGATTTTCTCCTCAATTGGTGTGCATATGAATGCCACCTAAATTCTGCATTTCTCCAACTGGTTTTCCTAGGAAATTGTCAAGCCAAAGTAGATGATTAGTGAACTGTAGTTGGTGATTATGGTTAGAGTCTTTGAAGTAGTAGAGGGGTTTCTCTCATCTAGGGAGAACCAAATGTTGGCAGGTTCAGCAGTTATAGGTGACCTAAATTTAGTCTGCAGTACAGTCTAAATTACTGTTACCTTGGAAATGGTTGTAAACGTGTTCAACTAATAGTGTGTGTTCTGAAATTTCATTCTCCAGTAACATTTGTTCTCGAAAATGCATGCATGTAGCTATCAAATATGTGGCTTTGACACAATGTATCCAGTTTTATTCTGGTTTGGAATAAATTGTTAAATAAAACAGAAGTAACAGCTAACTTCTGTGTCTTCAAACAGGTTGAGTCGTTTATTTTGGACCAAGAAGATCTGGATAACCCGGTGCTTAAAACAACATCAGAGATATTTTTGTCAAGTGCTGCAGAAGGAGCAGACCTACGAACAGTAGATCCAGAAACACAAGCAAGACTAGAAGCCTTGCTGGAAGCAGCAGGTAGTTTTCTTTTTTCATTTTGATAGTAGTTTTATTTGTGGGTAGTGGAACCACTAGTTTTGACCTTGAGGAACAGAGATTGCTGTGTACTCAGACATTAACAACTTGAAGTTGAGTTTCGGAACACAACTGAGTTTCTAGAATTGAACAGTTTAAAACTTTGTTTGGGATGCCTAAAAGCGTTTAGAAGTGCTTATGCCAAATTCAAGACACTGAGGCAATGCACTCCACAAGGTTTTACCCAGATGCTGCTGTATAAAACTGTGTTTTACTCGTACAGACTGTATCAATTATCTGAGCTAAGTGATGCAGGAATAATGCTTCAAATCACAGTGGTGATGAGTTCAGGGATCTTGAGATAATATTGTTTAATGAAAAATGGGAGTATAAACAGGCTCTCATTCAAGTTTGTATCTGAATAAGTAATTCATGGTTGGTTGTAGCAGTCAGTGAATTGAGCAGTGATAATTTAAGTTTGCAATATGCAGACAAAAAGTAAAGGTAGCCCTTTTGAAAATGCATTCCAGTAACCTTAACCAGAGCATCTAGGATGTATTTCATTTGGTGCATCAACCTATATTAATGAAAGGTGTTTCATGGTACATTGGACACAAATATAATCTAGGCTAGTGATTCCCGAATTTTTCCCCTATGGACCATTGGAAAATTGCTGGTGGTCTTGGTGGACCAATTAATGATTTTCCTGCCTGTTGTAGCAATTTCAATGCACTGTACTAGATAGCGAATTCTTTTTATTTCTATTCCTGTTATTTTTTATATTGCATTTTATTGTATTACATTTTACATTCCATGGAATACAAATTATAATACAATAAAATACAATATAAGAAATAAAAAATAAAGTAAAATTGAAATATGATAATTTGATTTGGACATACCACAGAGCATGTAAATGAAGTTCACAGATCACAAGTCATCCATGGATCACAGTTTGAGAACCTGATCTAAGCTGATGTCTCTAGACAAAATCATGGCATCCATATTCTGCATCAGTTGAAGTTTCTGGGCTGCCTTTAAGGGCATATTGCAGTAATCTAACTTGAAGTGACTAGGTAACTATTAGGACCAGGCAAAGATTTTTTGGGGGGGGGGGGGAATGGGTGGCATGTTCAAGGGAGGATAGCTTCCACCTCCCCAATTTTTCTGTTTCCCCCCTGTGCCCTAACATTGGTTCCATATCCTCCTGGCAGGGGTACAGCTAGTATATTAAATCAAACTGATAAAAGGAACTATTGGGCCACAGTTGCCACATCAGCTTTCAGGAGCAGTACTGGATCTGGAAGTGCCCTGAAGCCGCACACCTGCTGCTTCAGGGGAGTGTAACCTCACTGAAAACATGCTGCACCTGGCTCCTAAAGCATCAGTCCTAAAACTGCTGGCTCTGAATTTTCTACATCCTGGCTTCAGTAGATGCTTTATTCATGCACATAATCAATGGAGATGGGGGGGGGGGGAATCTAGATCACTATAATGTTTTGTTTTTGAAAATGGCTATGTAGTTGTCAGTGTAGATCCAGTGTGGTGCATTATTGGATTTGAGAGACTCTGGTTAGAAGCAGTAATGTTGGATTTCTGGGGGGAAATAAATTGGAAAACTGGATCTCTAATTGAAGGTTGTCACTGCTCAGCGTTGTTGTCCTAGCCACAAACCCATAGCCAGTTGTTTTGGGGCTCTTGTGTCCTAAAAGGAGTCAAGGTTGCTCCACATACTAGGAATTTTACTCTTACCCTGTTAGGATTAAGAGGTGACTTGTCAGAAGCCTTTGCTTCTATTTCAGATTAAGCATAGTGGAGAATTAGTTCCAAATCCTAAATGGTGATTAATCAGCTGTGGATTATTGATACAAACTTGCTTCATAAATCATGGTTTGAAGTTGATTAGCTTCCACTAACAATAGTCAAAACTAACTGCAATTTGTCTGGGTTGAGATATTATAATAAGCTGTGGTTAGTTTAAGTTGGAAATGAAAGCTTCTAAACTCCTCACATCCATGTTAGAGAAAGGGGGAGACATGTAAGTGGATTGTCTCTGTAACTCTAAACTATAGTTAGCATTATATGCAAACACAACCATTAAGTTGTGTGTAAAAGACTTTAGAAGGAAATGATAGCCAATTTCATAATCAGTTCCCGTAACTTGAAAAATAATGCTGACATAATATTTCTAACATTCTTAAAAACATAGTTTAACACAATGTTAGAAACTCAGATATATACAGTCAGCAGAATGGAATGCCTAGTTGCCATTTTTGGGCCAGACGGCTTGAAAGTTGTATTTTTCAATATGACTTTTGGGTTCCTGAAATTCATTTATTGTGCCGATAAAATATAACCGATAGAATTCCACATCTCCAGATGGTAGAGATGTCGCATGCCCTCCTGGTGCCTAGGCATCTTCACTTGGTTGCAAGTGGCCGATAGCCCAGTGCAAAATCCTTCTGGTGAATTTTGAATGCTTGTTTTAGCATGGTGTTTCGGCAAAAGGTACAATGAAGTATCTAGAACACTTCTTAAGTTTATCAGTTATTGATTGATTCATTTATATAGCCACATCCGAGATACCAAGGGTTCTGTCCTTTATATTTAAATTGGCATCTAACTTTAACTTTAGTTTTTTTAAAAAAAATCTCACTAAATTTTCATTATGTCACCTTTAAAAAATTGAAGCATTAAGTGCAGATGCCGTTGACATTTTCCCATTCTTTTTGTAGTTCAGGAACATAAGAGTTGAATTTAAGGACGCAAAAATAATTATCAAGTCCTAAAGCTAGCTTTGTCTTTTCCATGTTCTGTTTGATCTTCCTGATATAGTAGGGTCAAAGTAGTTTCTAATTTTCTAGCATGTTTGCAGCTGACAACTTTAACTAATAGTGCATGTGGCTGAAGTTTAAAATGGTGTCTCTGCATTTTTTGTGTGGTTTTCATACTAACCTGATTGATGAACGCACATTCGCTGAAGGGATTGGTAAATTGTCCACTGCCGATGGTAAAGCCTTCGCAGATCCCGAGGTGCTCCGAAGATTGACTTCTTCTGTCAGCTGTGCATTGGATGAAGCTGCTGCTGCATTGACACGGATGAGAGCAGAGAACAATCACAATGCAGGACAAGTGGACAAGTATGTATTGAATTCCTGTTCATCTGGTTTGATTCTATCTGCATTTGACTGAAAAGCTGAGGATTGTGGATAAAGTGGCTCTTGGTATATCTAATAAAGCAATATAAATAGGCCTAGATCAGCTTCTGTCTCTGGGATTCAGAAATGTAAACTGAATTGTGACGACTTTGGGCTTTACCCAAAGTAATATTTCAGCCATATCAATCCCTCAATGTGATTCAGAGGCGAGGTTCTCTAATTGGGTTGGAGAGCTTCAGTAGCAAGATAAGGTAATGTCATGAGACAAAATTGACATATTTCCACATGTTAATTGATGAAGTATAGTCACATATATGTTGCATCTATGCAGTTTCATCCAAACTTAAAAATGGGATAGTTGTGAAATGAGGCAATATGGAGCACAGAGGATGAGGCTTATATACTGATAGGAAAGGAAGGAAGGAAGGTCAGGAATTACTTCATAGAATATTAAATGTCAAATAGTTGTCCTTGGTAAAACTGTACAGGGAAGACTAATTGAATGTGCGAACATTAATACTGAAATTGCTTGCATTAGATACATTCATTGCATCAGATGAAACATGCATTTTGGAAGAATTCGACTTTAGGCCTTCAGTGGCTGGATTTTGTTTTTTTAAGTGGCGGGTAGACTGCAAATATCCTTAATTCTCATAATACAGGTAAATAATCTGGGCTAAAGTCAGCATAGAGATTAATCTCTCATCATGTTTTTTAATTCATACAGTGTTCACTTAATGACTTGGAAACTTGATAGACAATATTTTCTGTGAAATTTACTGCTTAGCCAGCAGTATGGATATGCATCTCTTAAAGTGTTTGGCCAAAATGTTCAGAAAACCATGCTGCAATCTTTGTTGTTCCCTTTATTCAGTTTTAAGATTTAAGATTCTGAAAAAGAAAAACACATAATCTGGTGCATTTATGACTTAGTCATCCTTCTACCTATATTAGAAATTTATATAGCTGCCTTTGAAATTGTGACTTACCAGTGCTGTCCTATGAACTGCCACATGGCTATATAAAGACCAAGTGGTGTACAGTCAATTTATGGTATACTTATTTCTATATTTATATAAGCTTTGTGTATTTTTAATTTTTGGTATTTTTTATATAAATATACAAAACAACCTTTCAAGGTGATTACAATAAAATACTTCAATTTTGTCACCCAGAGTGGCAATTTAGTCCTTTCTAAATTATCCTGAATGCATTCTTCATAAATCTCCCAGATTCCTGGTTCAGGCATCTCTTTCCCTGTTGTGAGTTGCATGGAAAGAGTCCTTAAAGCTCACTCCCATTTTCCCAGATACAGTCACAACAAGAGAACATTGCCTAAGCAGCTTGCTAAATTATTCTTCATGTTTGTTTAATATAATTTTGTAAAGGACGCCAGCTGTCTTTAGTAATGAAAATTGTACTAAAGTTAATCATAAGTTACCATTTGTGTAATTCATTTCAGCTACTTCCATGTGTGCTCATTGTATTTAAAATGTTATCTTCCAGTCGCAGTTTGGCAGAAGCATGCTCGGATGGGGATGTAAATGCTGTCCGGAAGCTGTTGGATGAAGGAAGAAGTGTAAATGAACATACAGAAGAAGGGGAGAGTCTCCTTTGCTTGGCATGTTCAGCTGGGTATTATGAGTTGGCACAAGTGAGTAAAGACTAGTGTTCTAAACAGTTCCTTTAAATACTAAAGGTGTGAGGCCTATAGATAATCTTCTAACTTATCCAAGAATTAAAAAGTGTATTTTTAACCTGGTATCTAGAGGGTGCAGTACAAACATGCTTTCCTTAACACAGTCATATCAGTTCTTTAATGCTAAAACGTCTCATGAACCCAGAAATAATTGATATGTTTATAAAATGGACTACTGATTTAAAAGGACAAGGCAAATGTTCTGCTCACGTATTCAGTGGCTTTTGAAGGGCTTAATCCTGCAAGGTTTAACTTTAACAAGAAAGTTGAACAAACACCACCAAACAGGTTTTTTTCTGATATTCCTGGGTAAAGATGAAGTTTAGTAGAACACCTTGCATTTCTGTTACTCCTTGATTCTTGAGCTATTACCGTATTTTTCGCTCCATAGGACGCACTTTTTCCCCTCCAAAAATGAAGGGGAAATGTGTGTGCGTCCTATGGAGCGAATGCAGGCTTTCGCTGAAGCCTGGAGAGCGAGAGGCATCGGTGCGCACCGACCCCTCTCGCTCTCCAGGCTTCAGGAAGCTATCCGCAAGCCTTGCAAGCCCGGTGGGAGTTCCCGCGGGCTCACAAGGCTTGCAGGCAGCAGCCTGCAGCCCCGGCGAGTGTCCGCAAGCCTTGCGCGCCCGGCAGGAGGTCCCGCCAAGCGCGAGGCTTGGGGCAGCAGCCTGTCGCCCGAAGCACGGGGAGCCCTCCGGAGGGCTCCCCGGGCTTCGGGGGAGTGTCTGCAAGCCTTGCGCGCCCGGCAGGAGGTCCCGCCGAGCGCGCGAGGCGTGGGGCGGCAGCCTGGCGCCCGAAGCACGGAGAGCCCTCCGGCGGGCTCCCGTGCTTCGGGCGAGTGTCTGCAAGCCTTGCGCGCCCGGCAGGAGGTCCCGCCGAGCGCGCGAGGCTTCGGGCGGCAGCTTGTCGCCCGAAGCACGGGGAGCCCTCCGGAGGGCTCCCCGTGCTTTAGGCAAGTTTCTGCAAGCCTCGCGCGCCCGGTGGGAGGTCCCGCCGAGCGCGCGAGGCTTGGGGCGGTAGCCTGCAGCCCGAAGCAAGCGAGGCTTGGGGCGGCAGCCGCGGGGGGGGGGGGGGATAATTTTTTTTATTCATTTCCCCCCCCCAAAAAAACGAGGTGCGTCCTATGGGCCGGTGCGCCCTATAGAACGAAAAATACGGTACTCTATGATTTTTGAATGCCTTCATCTGCCCCAGCTGCAATAAAACATGTCTCTCCTGTATCGGTTTCAACAGCCACAGCAGGTGCTGTAACTCTCCAACAGTTTGTCTTCACCCCCAAAGGCACACTCTTCCATTGTCTTCCAAGACAGACAGATGCCAGCCAACTTTGAGTGTGGTGTCATTTGTCAAGAAGTTTCCTTGGAAATGTCATTAGGACTTGCTTTGTATGTCTTAACACTGGCAGTATCACTATCGGTGGTAGTGATGTGGTTCCATTTAGTTCTATGGCAGAAAGTAAACATCTTCATTGGTGGCACCAGATTGCTCTGTTGTAAAAAGCTGCCCTCTAACCATCATGGTTTGTTTCCCTTTCCCCACTCCCTTTTCCCAGTCATGGTAAGAATATTCAAGTAGAGCTGTCCCCACTGTGAAAAGGGAATGGTAATGGTTTTTCAGCATCAGGTTAGGAGAACTAACCATGTCCATCTCTGTAACCCTATCTTCTGCCTGCATAATCCGAAGGATTACTTAGTATGACATGGACTTCATGAAGTTATTGTCAAGATTCTGAGGGTCACTATAGGGCTGTAGCTCAAGCTGGTAAGAGTTATTGTGGACACAACTGAGCTAGCTGGACCAATTTTTCTAACTTGGCAGCTTCCTGTATTCATGGAGATACAATGACAAAGTCTGAGGATGGGATTCACACTATGAGCCCCATTAGCAGAAGCCCTGTTTAAGAACTTCCAGTTGTGCAGTGGTGCTTTCCCCCCTCTGCCCTTGTCTCCCATGTTCCCAAAATTGGATCTGTGGGGTTCTGGAGGATGCTCAGAGCAGCACACGGGTGTGTGAAATCCTTCCCTTGGTGGCACGTTTGCCATTGTGCAACATTTAATTCCACCCAACAGCTTTGCAGCTCTCAGCTTTCGTTCTGTATGTTTTGTGCCAGAGATTATTACAGCCAGAGAACTAGAAGCTAGAAATAATTTTTGCCTCACCTTGTTTGAGAGAAATTCAAAAAGAAAAAGTGAGCTGAATGTGGTGGTCATGTGAATTTGGATCATATCCACATATCTTTGATGTATTCAAAGTATGTATTGAAGTATTCAGGTTTACAAGTACTGAGGGGGTGGTCATCTTTCACTTTGTATTCTTTTATCTTCTTCCTTCCCTACAAGGTGCTCTTCCCTTGTTGCCTTATCACAAAACCATGATGGCGTTTAACTTTACCACCACCTTAGTGTGAAGGCCGTGTGGAAGGCTAAGATAGCGGATGGAGAATAGTGCAGTTCCCACAGTGCTGTGCTGTTTCTTTACTTCAGGAAACAGCTCCACATTGTGGTGGTGGCAGGAGTGCAATAATACAGTCGTACCTTGGATCCCGAGCGCCTTGGAACTTGGATGTTTTGGTTCCCAAATGCCACAAACCCGGAAGTGACTGCTCCGGTTTGCGAACATTCTTTGGAACCCAAATTTCCAATGAGGCTTCCATGGCTTCCGATTGGCTGCAGGAGCTTCCTGCAGCCAATCAGAAACCGCACTTTGGTTTCTAAACGTTTTGGAAGTTGAACAGACTTCCAGAACAGATTCTGTTCGACTTCCAAGTTAAACTGTATTGAACTTAACTATTTCATTGTTAACCCAGGACAGTTTCCACATTTCCCAGGCTTGTAAACGAATCACATTTATCTTTATACAGACTGATTTAATGATTTCCCATGTTTCCTTTCTACATCCTTATCTAGGCTAGGCCCTTCTCTGCTCATACCTTTTCTTTTTTGTTTTGTTTTCTTCCTCTGTTTCCTTTACAACTAGTCTTTCTCAAAATGGCATTCCTCTGAATGGAGACTCCTGTTTAGAGGGCTGGCGCAGTGCTGGTGATAAATGACTTTTCTTGTGACTGAACATCTGATTCTTCCCTTCACATCGAGAATGACTAAGTTGAAGCCTTTAAAAGACCAAGAAAGGGGAATAGTAATGACTAATAGGAGTTTAACTTCTGTTTCATTTATTCAGGTACTGCTTGCAATGCATGCAAACGTTGAAGATAGAGGAAATAAAGGAGATATAACCCCACTCATGGCAGCAGCCAGTGGCGGCTATGTGGACATTGTGAAACTGCTGCTTGTTCATTGTGCTGATGTCAATGCCCAGTCTTCAACAGGTAAGTGTAAATAAGAAATGAAAAACTACTAATAATTTGAGTGCCAATAGATTATTACTGGAAATAGATGCAAATATTTACTTAGGGATGTAGTATTATGTGTGAAAAGTAGTGCACTGTAAACTTTGTATTTTAAGTGATCACTCAGTTGAACCTGGATAAAGAAGTTCATGTAGTATTAGTGTTAACATTATAATATTTTAAAACAGCAACACTGTCACATTTAGGAGAAATTAAATACCTTGACACTAACTTTTAAGTTTTCATAAAGCATTTCTCTGTAGTAAGAAATATATTCTAAAATCATTGCTCATTAGAAATGACTATTGAAAGTACACTAATGTAAAACTGCTCAGAATGTCAATTTGTAACCAGTGTTTTCTGTTTGGTATTATGCAGATTTAAAGTCCCGTCAAACAGTAGTCATCCTTTTGTGGGACCAATTTCTTAATAAAGAGTTAAACTTGCAAAGGCAGGGGTATAAGTGACCTTGGTTTGTTTTCCCCTCTTCTCTTAGGAAACACAGCACTCACTTATGCCTGCGCTGGGGGATTTGTTGATATTGTCAAAGTGTTGTTGAAAGCAGGTGCGAATATTGAAGATCATAATGAAAATGGACATACCCCCTTAATGGAAGCAGCCAGTGCAGGTCATGTTGAGGTTGCAAGAGTACTTCTGGAATATGGTGCAGGAATAAACACTCATTCCAATGAATTCAAAGAAAGTGCTCTTACACTTGCTTGTTATAAAGGTAGGACATTTTGAAGGATTGCACTGGAAAACCTGAGTATCCCTGTATATCCTTCTAAAGAAATCTGCTTGTAGCATTACACTGTGTGTTTAATTATAACATAAAGGCACAGTATGCCCTCCACAATTCACTGTGTGTAATGCCATGCAAGAGGGCAGGGCTGAGAAGGGGAGGCCATGGGCTTAACAGATTCCAAGTTTGGACCAATTCCTTGAAGAATTTCTGTATTCTGAACTTCTGAAATTGTTTTACATAGTAGAAGTTCTATTGAAACTGAGTTTACTACTTTTGAATTTTCACTCTAGAAGTTTTATAGCAGTTTGATTGGTTGTAGCAATATTTTATCACTAAAATAATACTAAAGCTTTTCTCATTGTGTGAGAGGCTTTTCACTTTCAAACTTCAGATTTTGGTTTTGGGAAAATCCTGAGGAAAATAAAGAGCCAAACAGTTTTTTCTCTCTCCCTCCTCTATGCTAGAACTTACTAGTATTTGTTAGTACTGGTTGTACTCTGTGAACCACCCTGAGATCTTAGGATGAAGGGTGGTATATAAATCAAATAAATAAGAAAGAAAAGGTTGATTAATATGTCTAGAATTATGATTCTGTGAAACCTGCATTCTTTTACCCAGTGCCACAGGGAATGTTCAAAGCTATATCTGTTGAGAGAGAGAGGGAAGATTAAAAAACCTAATCTCTGTACCAGAGCAAGTTGAACCGTACAGCCTGAAGGATCAAGCCATTTTATATATTTGCATAACAGTTTATTCTACATTTTTAAAAGTTGTTTGGTCATTGGATTAAAATTGAGGGGGGGAATGTCACCTGGCAATATCACTACCAGCATCTTAATTCAGAAACTACCTCAGTTTCCTAGATTTCCTGTTTTTCAAATACTAACATTGCATTCAGGGCATATTTTCCTAAGCCTGTTGGGGAAGAAGGAGTGCTCAGTAGAGCATTTATTGATTGATTGATTGATTGATTGATTGATTGCATACATGCCTTCCCTAATGTCCCAGGATGGGTTACAACAATTTAAATTTTAAACACTGCTTTTAATGTTATACCAGTACAAAAGATGCAATCTCAAAAAATAGGGTGTGTCCTGAAAATATATACCTCAGGTGTCAAAGGCCCCTGGCTAAAGAGGTGCATCTTCAGCGTTTGCCAAAGACGGTATAATGAAGTTGCCAGATCCTCCCCACAGAGGTGCGAGTTCCACAACTAAGTGGCTGCCACAGAGTGCCTTCTCTCAGGCAGTGGAACTACCAAGCGATAACCCTCTGCTGATTTTAAAAGGTCTGTATGGAAGGAGATGGTTTTTCAGAGATCTGGGGACTCAGTTTTGTTTAGGGCTTTGAACGCTAACATGAACACCCTGAATTAGGCCTGTGGTTATCTGGCAACCAGTGCAACTGTTTTTAAATGGGGGCTATAAGTCATCTAAATGGAACCCCAGTCAGTAATTTGTCCTCTGTATTTTGGATCAATTGAAGTTTCCAATCGACTTCTAGGCCATCCTCACATAACATATCTAACATATCCCGATTATTACTGCTGCTGTGAAGGATCTTTTTAAAAAGTTATTTTCAATTATGCATACATAATATAAATTATATTTAAGCTCATATCAAATTGCCATGGACTACTGTTTTCATTCCATTGCCATTTGACTCCAACCTTTACATTTTGTTCCTCTTTACATCCATATGTATATATGGCTTACAACAAACCATACTATTCAATGCATGCAATGAAATGGCCTCTGACAAAAGCTGCCACATGCCAATATACAATGTGTTAGTACGTTAAGTTGGCTTAATGTACTAGCTTGGTGTGAAACTGTTAAGCATAGTTGGTTTGAACCATTATTAGGTCTTGTAACATGCTGATTTTTCTCTTTTATTTGAAGGTCACTTAGATATGGTTCGTTTCCTGCTTGAAGCTGGAGCTGACCAAGAGCACAAAACAGATGAGATGCACACAGCTTTAATGGAGGCTTGCATGGTAAAATAACCATTGGATTAAATGGTGTTTTGGTTGAAGAAAACTGAAGAACTTGAGCATACCCAGCCTTACCTCTTTCACTACTTAAAGAAAACACATTGCAAGAATGTTTATGCAAGATCACAGCTATTCATTTATGTTCTAAAAACAGCATTCCAGTATTTTTTGTCATGGCATATAATTTTAAGTCGAACACTATTTTTCTTCAGCTTGGTAAAATTGTAAAAGTTAGTAGTGGGGAATGAGTTGTTAACAGCTTGCAATCACAACTTAGGTTAGCAGTAAACTAACTGTAGCTTGTAATAGCCAGAAAAAAGAGGATAAATATAGTAACCACCTCTCTGAAGAAGAATGGTCTAATGCTGCAGTAGTCTTCTGCATTATGCCATTAGCACTTGTGCTATATAAGGATGCAGTGAGTAGTCAAAGCTTTGATTGCCTACTGCCTGGTTTGAAAAACATGTAAGGACAGTTACTGCTGGGATTAGGTATATTCTGCATAGTTACTGCATAGAATTAGGTATATTCTGTATCAATGATACACTTTATATTCTGTATATAAGAATACACTTCATGATCTGCTGTGAGACATCATAGAAGCATTTGAATAAAAGCAACAATCATATCGCATAGTAAGTAGCAACTGATTAAGCAGCAGCAAAGGGGCAAATATTCTAAAAGGCTCAGTGAAACAATGGTCTATTACTGTCTGCCTAACAGTAGGCAGTGATGGGTATACCTCTCTAGGGAGGTTGTGCCTAAATGAGAATGAAGTGACTCTGTTCACATATAACGTTAAGCTAGGTATGGGGAACCTTTGGCCCTCCATGTTGCTGAACTACAGCTCCCATGAATTCAGAAAATAATCAACAAAATCTATTGTGCTGTGGTATTCTTTCAGCTGATCCCTGCAACCATGTTGAAAATGGAGGACAATGCCAAACTTCCCCTCCCTGTCCCCAGCAAGCTGCAATGAACATGGAATTAAATATCTACTCTAAATTGATGACAAACAAACAAACTCTTGTAGATGCTCCTAGATTTGTGCATGCTCTGTCCAGCAGAATATCTTGTGACTCTTCATCCCATGCAATTAGTACAGGTGCATCTGAATATAGAAGGTGTGGAAGAATAGTTGATTCTTGGACAGCAGAGGAGTGGAGCATACAGGAAAGGGTTAACTCCTAGAAGGCAGTGGTCCAGGGCAAAAAAGTTCCCAATCAACCATCATGTAGTGCAGGGGTAGTCAACTTTTTTATACCTACCGCCCACTAATGCATCTGTCTTGATGGTAAAATTTCCTTACCGCCCACCAGTGCTCAATGGAAGGAGGATTCAGCTTCTGCCGTAGAACCCCCTACTGCCCACCTAGAATCCTGAAACACCCACTAGTGGGCGGTAGGGACCAGGTTGACAACCCCTGATGTAGTGGGTTAAGGAGTTCTGCAGCCATACTGCTCTTAAATTCAGCTGGTCTTCTCCCGGCATTGCTGCACATTCGGGGGGGTGGGGACCCGGATGGACGACGGCCACCAAATGTGACTGTACACACCACTGCTCCTCTGGAAGTTATATATGGAGCAGCCATCGAGGTCCACACACACAGCTTAGTGAGACTCCACAAGGTGGACAAGTTTGCATCAGCTGATGTGGCCTCCAGAAGGAGGGTCCTTCAGCAGTTCCTGTAACTGGAAGTTGTCATCCCACTCAGTTTCAAGGTATACTGCTTCTGAACATCTCTTTTGTATGCTTCACTCCTCCACTGACCAAGAATAGAAACTTGGACGCTTTCTGGTCAGTGGAGAGTGGCATATACAGCTTGATTCAAGTTGAACCTGATTCCACTGATATCTCTTCTGTTTTACCTTCTCAGTTGGCTTCTGTATTGCTTCTTCTGTTCTTGTTTCATAGTTCTTGTTATTAGACACAGTGGGGTTCTCCTTCGGATACATTTTAGTTACTATAACCAGTCTGTGGACTAGTGGAAAGGTCTCATCTGGCTGTAGCAACAGGAAATTTTAAAAAAAGAAAAATTTTGACCCTGTTTTCTAGAAGATGACATTCCTGCATGTTTCACTCTGCTGATCATAATAAGATTTCACAGTAAATTCAGTTGTTTGCAATTTAAACTGAAGAGTGAACATACATTCCTAACATAATTCAAATGATATTGAAAATTTCCTTTCTAGAATATTTGAGCTTTCTTTCTTTCTTTCTTTCTTTCTGAAATAGGATGGGCATGTGGAAGTAGCTCGTCTGTTACTGGATAGTGGTGCTCAAGTGAACATGCCTGCTGATTCCTTTGAATCTCCACTGACGCTTGCTGCTTGTGGTGGCCATGTGGAGCTAGCAGCCCTGCTAATAGAAAGGGGAGCAAACCTTGAGGAAGTTAATGATGAAGGTTATACTCCATTAATGGAAGCTGCTCGGGAAGGCCACGAGGAGATGGTGGCTCTCTTACTAGCTCAAGGTAAGACAACACATGTGTTGCAAATTAGAGCGTTAATATTTTTACTAGCTTCTTTCTTGGTGGTAGTGTTGGAAGGGACCACAAGAATCATCTAGTCCAGTCCCCAAACACCAATTGTGGTGTTGATTCTGGTGCCTCTTACATTGAGGATAATTACTAGGGCTGCTAACCTATTCAGAATTCTCTAGATCAATAAAAATAGTAATTGGAGTAAAAAATGGTGTTCCCAACCAACCTGATTAATTTCTAAGCACCTTTTATTGCAAGATGTAATGTTTATTGGCTTAGGAAACCTTCATTTTGTGCTAAAGGAAAAGGCAAGAGAAGGGGTTTAAAGGAACTTGCTCAGCCAGCCAGTGTTGAAGATGTGATTAAGGAATGTTGCCCTTTATCTGTGCCAGCAGCAGTTCCACAAAGCTCATTATTAGGCTGCTACTTTGGGAAGAGTACAAATGTGCCTCCAGTGCTTAATGTTTGGCTGGTGCTTCTGTGTTTCTCCCACTTGTTCCTACCTCTACTGCTAATACTTTGCAGATTGGATGAGGATCTTGCACACCATAACATTGCTCTGTTGGCTACCTTCGTAAGAAGAGCCAAGTGTAGACCAAGAAGCAGGTATTGCAGGGAGGCATCTTTGCTTAACTGGGTGTGGAATGTGTGAAAATGTCTTAAGTTAATGTGTTACCTGGCAGATAAGTTGAGAGAAAATTGCTCTATTGTACCTCTTTTAAAACCATTTTTTCAAGGTGTTGGGCCTTTTATTGCCATTGTGGTAAGCCAGTGGATTTATTTATTTGATATTTGGTTTTTATATTTTATACCATACCACACAATAATCAACCATGTCTTCTGGGCAGGTCACAAATTAAAAAAAAAAATGAATACAGTAAACTAAGACTATCCATGCAGAAGCTGCGCTAGCACAGAAATTAGCAGAAACCATATGAAGAAATGCAGGCCAATAAAATAGCACTAAAATCCAGTGGGGGGAACCAATATCAAATGGGCATGCTAATGATTTTTTTTCCTAAATAATTTTTTTGTAGGTGCTAATATAAACGCACAGACAGAAGAGACACAGGAGACAGCTCTAACTTTAGCATGCTGTGGAGGGTTTTCGGAAGTAGCTGACTTCCTCATTAAGGCAGGAGCTGACATAGAACTTGGTTGTTCTACACCTTTGATGGAAGCGGCACAAGAGGGCCACTTAGAGCTGGTGAAGTATTTACTAGCAGCAGGTATGTTTGCTATTACAGTTGGAAGAGATAAACCAGATATTGGACCTTCAGATGTTTTTCAACTCTGACTCTAATCACTCTTGACTAGTATGGCCAATTTATTGATGCAAATTGTAATCCCTCAACACTTTCTTGCATGAGTCACAATGTAGTTTCTCCGGAGCAATGAAGAATATAGTCATAATTCTGGAACCACTGGAAATTAGTATCAATAATGTAAAAGTATTTAGTATTCAAAATGTTTATGTGGTTAATCTTCACAACATTTTTGTGACATGTTTAATACTCCCATCAGGATGACATGCCTAAGACTTCAGTGTCCAGATTCATTTGACTGGTTTTCCCAAGAGCGTTTGTGTTCTCAGTGGCAGTCCCTGTACTCAATAGCAAAAGACTTATGAAACTGAGAAATGTTACCAAAGGAACCTGTGATATGCAGAGGGGTGACTTGCTGCTCGGAGAGTGCTAGCCTAAAATAAATATTCTGTCACCTCACCAGTGCTTTATTTTTTTAAATGTTGTTTCCAGTTGAGGTATCCTGTCAGTAGCATTTGAGAAAGGAAATGTTTTATGAGCCGTTCTAGGTTGAGTGTTAATTGGGTAGATTTTTTAATACATTGTGAGTAATCTAATTCCACACTCTTCCACAGGCGCTAATGTTCATGCAACAACTGCAACAGGAGACACTGCCTTGACCTATGCCTGTGAAAATGGACACACTGATGTTGCAGATGTTCTGCTTCAAGCTGGTGCAGATTTAGTAAGTCTTGAATATTTCTCTAAAATTTTGGAATGTAATGGGAGCTTTTTATTTTCTTTGAAAACAAAGAAGAAAAGTGCCTATGCAAACTAGATGGGAGAGTAGACCAAATTGTTATCCAGAGGAATGAATGCAAAATAATTCATGAGTGAAAGTATAGATTAACAATTTGTCTAATACTTGGATTCTTACGTTGTGAACTGCCCTGTGATCTTCGAATGGAGGGTAGTATGCAAATTTAATAAATAATAATAAATAATTTTGTAATTGTTCTGTTTACACCACAGTTTTTTCATCACTTTGAAAAAAATAACAATTTTCAATCTTTGATTTCCTTCCAGCAGTGCATGTTCCTTGTATTTCTTTTCTTTAATTGGTTCTATTTGCTGATTTATCAAGAAGTGCCAATGGGACAAAAATTTATATCATTTATTTAACTGGACTAAATATGTAAAAGGGTGTTCAAAATGGAAAAGGTTGTTTGTATTCTGCATGCTTCAAGTACAACAATGGGTGAACTGTATGACTGGTGTTTTTAGGTCACGTTTTTGTGCACAGCTTGTACTATAGTATCAAAAATGTTTACAAAAGCATTGTCGTATACCACCTTTGGTCCATTTGCCAGGCAAGGCAAATCCCTAATCTTCAGGTTGTGTTTGGTCCAAACAGTTTAGTGTTCTGTTTAGCTCTTGGGTAAGACTTCAGTCTTTTCGTTGTTGTTTGTGACTCTCACCTATTTTGAAGGGGGCTTTCTTTTACCTCACTGAAAAAGCATCAGCTCTACCTTAAGCTTGTCTGCTGATCTTGCTCTAGAATATTAGCAAATTAGTTCTTCTCTTTACTTTCCCCCACAGTATGGATTTTACTTTCTTCATAATATTTCTAAACAGGAGCATGAATCTGAAGGTGGAAGAACACCACTGATGAAGGCTGCAAGAGCGGGTCATCTATGCACTGTACAATTTCTTATTAGCAAAGGTTGGTAGTAGTAATAGTAACATTAGTAGCTGAAGGAAGGATTGCTTGACTTTTGGCTGTTAGGAAGAATGTGTTGCTTTATAGCAATCATTACCTTTTGCTATACATATAATGTTTTGTACTAAATGTATGTTTGGGATGTGTTTCCTTTGCAATTTTATAAGAACAGTACTTGGACCGTGTTTTTGAAAGCTCAGTGCTTCATATACTTCTTCTTTTTAAAATAATTCTCCTTTCATATCTCCATAAAGTATTACAACCCCCATGCCCCCGCATACTTGGAGTATGAGATTTAGTGTATCTTGCTTGAGGTTATGCGCTTGTGGCAGAGGCAGTGTTACAGGGGTTGTCTCGTTCTTGTAGCTGAAGACTAACTGCAGCAGGTTCAGGTTAACTGTCATTTGGTATACAATGCTTAATGAAAAATGAGTTTACCAGCATTTTCTTTTAAGCGAACATGAAATATGAACGTGAACCTTTAAATATTTTGGTACCTGACTATGTCATACTTGGAGTAGGCCTATTGAAACCAATAGATTTAAAATGGCCAGCACTGGTTTCAATGAGTCTCCTCTGTTTATGACAGAGCTGTACTGTCCTTTAGAACTCAACTATTTAATTTATATTCCAAAATTAACATACAACTAATAACAAACTGGCCTTTACTGTGTGAAATGTTTTTTAAACCTAAATGTAAGCAATTTCCTCTTCACTTGCAAATTATTGTTCATTTTAAAATTAAATGATTTGGAATCTCATTCCCAACAAATGGTGTCTTTGCATTAACTTTGTTCCTTGAAATTTCCCTTTAATTACGTCTCTGTGATAGGTGCCAATGTTAACCGAGCTACAGCTAATAATGACCACACAGTGGTGTCACTGGCATGTGCTGGGGGCCATCTTGCTGTTGTTGAGCTGCTCCTAGCTCATGGTGCAGACCCTACTCATCGTCTTAAGGTATTCCAAGTAACTCATTTTATTATTTTACAGTATATACCTTTTGTCAGTTGTATTAGCTAATGCTCCCAAAGTGGGTTAACTATAAGGTTGGTTTTGTTGTGTATACCTAGTTAGTACAGTACTCAGATCACAAACCACTATAATCTGTCTTCTTAAAATGTGTATTCCAGGATGGCTCAACCATGCTCATTGAAGCTGCGAAGGGTGGTCACACAAATGTTGTTTCCTATTTATTGGATTACCCAAACAATGTTCTATCAGTTCCAACTGCAGATATGTCTCAGCTCACACCGCCATCTCAGGATCAGTCTCAGGTAAGCTGTAAAGCTTTTAACTATAGCAGTGGAAAATGAATGTTTACTTTTACCAGCTTGACATAAATGGTGCAAGTTTTTATATAGATATAGAATATGAATTTGATATAGAATATGAATAGTACAATTTGAGTAAAAGTCAAGTAGAGAGAAAATCCCAAGAACAATGATTCAAAATTCAGGTGTGCTACCTCTTCTATTTCTCATGCTGTTGGATTTCTTAAAAAGCTTAACTCTTAAATTTGAGGGGAGGAAAATCCAGTTCCATACTAAAAGCTCACAAATGCTTATTTGAACAGTACACTTAACGTTGTGCACGTACAGCGTGTGAGGAGAGTATCCTACTTGCTTTGGATTAATGTTCAGGTTACTTTAAAATCCGCTGACATAAGTTTTTAATCTGAGTTGATTTTGCAGGTTCCACGTGTACCAATGCATACACTTGCCATGGTCGTACCTCCCCAGGAACCTGACAGAGCTCCTCAAGAGAATCCCCCTGCACTTTTGAGTCTCCCAAAAGGTTAGTATACAAACATTTTTAAATTTTATAACTTGTGCTAGGATTCTGAATTCATTGTGTGTCTGGGGCATGAGAAGTATTTGGGACTTGATAGTGAATGGTGCAGGTCTGTTTCTCTTTAGTCATTTTAGTATAAGATTTTGAAAACATACTAGCAGTTATCTAAAGAACTGCTTTGGCTCCATGCCTGGAGTTGTGCTATTCCCGTGATAACTTTTGATTTGAACAGCCAGTGGCAACCTTAATGTCATCACATGGTACCATATCTCAAACTCCTTTTAACACTCTCTGCCATGTTGCATGGAGGTTACTGTTAACAAAAGCAAGTTTTAGATGATATTCAACTAAGTTGAATTAATGACCATGACTAAGTTAAGTCCATTAATTTTGGTAGGTCTATTATAAGAAAAACTTTCCTGAATACCGCTCATTAGTTACTAGTTGAATAATATATTTGATAACATACTTTAGTAAAATACTCAACCATGTTTAGTTATACGTGTAAGAAGTTGCCTCTAATAGATTTAGTAGATTTCTGAACTTGGCAGTAAAATTGCATCTTCACCAGTAGTAAAAAATTGTGTGACAGATTCAATAAACAGTGACCAACTGTAGTATTCATTTACACATTTCCTTAGCTGATTTTATTATTGCTGTAAATGAGGTCAAATAGGAAATTCTGTATTTTGCAGAATTTTGAAGTACAAAGAAACTCCTTGTGTACCTGTTACAGAAAACGTCTTGTCTTGGGTTAGCAAAATCTGTGATTCACCTAGCCAAACATGTTTTGTGTCAAGCCAATGCTTGATGTACGCATGCTCTCATATGTGCTTTCTCGTGCTCTCGCTCGCTCTCTCACTCACTCACACACACACACATACATACACACACACCACAGTCTCCATTTGTTTTCACCATGTTTGTGAAATACATGGTTAGTGGACCGTATTCAGCTTGGTGGTTCATATGCTGTACAGTTTGTTCTTTCTCATTCTGGACAGTTTGCCCAGTTGTTAATTGATAACAGTTGCATTAAGTGAGTGAGTCAACTTAGATTTCAAAGAACTTACAAGTTTGTATGTATAGCCTTTCTGGAGACCTATGAATGTGATTAATCAAATGTTTGTTGAGTCCATTAAATAAAGCATAATACTTGGTAGAAAGTGAATTGAGCACGGTTGTACTCAGAAGTGACAGAATTTTGCAGTGCAAAATCACTGCAGAATTGTTAATTAAAACTGATGCATCTGCATATTTATTTAGTGTAAAGAATATGCTAGGTGCTGTGCAGCACATAATGTGACGGCTCCTCTCTGAAGGTTTAAGAGTAGGGGAGCTAAGTTGTACAGAAGGCCAGAAAGATGAGAAGGTATTGGACAAGTTGGGATTTTTGGGTAAGCATTTTTAAGGGAACACTGAGATCCTCAAAATAGGTTAAACAAAACATTCTTATAACAAGTTATATATAATGCTTTTTCTAAATGCTCAAAGTGCTTCACATATAATAGGCAAACTTAAGATAGGCTGCTATCATATGAATTCTGCACACAGGCATCCAAATTATTTTCATGGAAAAGATTTGTATCATATAGAGCACTCCAGTAATTTACTTTATTTCACCTAGTGGATTATGTGATTTATTCTGATTTTTCTTGTCCTGAAGAAAGACAAGGAGCTCTGCCCAGGGTACTGAATTCTTGACTCCAAACACTAGAAATATTTTTGAACCGTACCTTTGCCTTCTGGGATTTTAACTCACATTAGCCACATTTTTCAAAATTTATATTTTCATCCATGAAAACTGCTTTTCATTGACAGAAAATTCCTAATTGAAGCCCTTAGTTGGCTAAAATATTTTGCAAAATTTATCAAATTTATGCAGCTGAAGTTGTTTTATGTATTAGAAAGGTTCAGCTACCTATAAATCTTGTTCCATGACAAGGAAATGAACTGTTCTCACTGAAGCAAGTTGCCCCCTTAGCACTCGCACGTCATTTCTCTTGGTAAGTGCCTGTGTGTCATTTCAGTTTGAGAACAGAACACCAGACAAGGCTTCCTACTCTGAACTTAAAAAGGCTCCCAAGGTAGTGGGTAAAAATCCATAAAAACGGTAATCCTGAAAAAATAAATAGATCTAATTCATCACAAAAATAATAACCTAGCAGCTTGCCCATGATCCCCTCCCAAAATAGTGTACCATACTCATTCCCTGTCTCCTGAAAGAGAGGCAGCGTTGCAAGTGGAGAGCAAGCTTCATTCTTTAGAAGCCACTACTAGAAAAGCTTTGTTTTAATAAATATTTTTTCCCAGTGAGGGGGTTTATTGTTTTAGTTTGTTTATGCTATATGTTTTTACATTTTTGTGTTGTAAACCTCCCTGTGATCTTTGGATGAAAGGCAGTATAGAAAATAAATATTTGTCCTTTGTGGCCACTGGGCCTAGTCTCTGTGAGGTAGTGCACACCATAGGGCAGCCAACAAAGTGGTGTATTCTGATAAAATGGAAATGGATCTCTTGTCCATGTATATGCATAAACACTTGTAACTGCCAGGCCTTTAAGCCTCTTCAGCTCTTTGTTAAATACAAATTTTGTAAAATTTTCTCATGATTCATGAAGTAGAGCAGAATCCACTTCTGTACTAGCGATGCTTCTCTGAGGGCCAAACTGCGTGTTACATGTGTTCCAGCTGGCCACTTAGCTTGAAATAAAAACAGCCTTGGGGCCCCAATTTGGAACATATTCATGATTGGGATGGGAGCCCTGTTCCAGTCTCCTGTTGAAAACTTCTACCTCCCAATTGCTACTTGCTTCTAAAGATGCTGGCTACTGCAAACAGCATGTGTTGGGGGCCATAAACTGCTAGGAGGTTTTGACAGGAAACCATAAGTGCCTGTGTTCTGGATTGGAGCATCACACTGGTTGTTTTGTAAAAATGAGTGGCCACCTTAAGCACAATTTCTAAAACCATGTGAAGAGCACAAGTGAGATCTACAAAAAAAAGTAGTATGTAGTGCTTTTGTTCAGGATATTTTATTTCATTTACTCTGCATCCTCCTCCAAGCAGTCAGCTGGCTTTCCATGGCAACTAAGCATAGTCCTAATTGGACTTGGGTTTTTTTTGGAGGGGTCATTCCCACCTTACATTTTTGTACTTCAGTGAACCTTGGGAGTCTTCCAGGCCTGTTGATAGCTTCCTCTTGTTCGTTAATGGTGCTATTTTGGCAACATGGGCACTGGCATTCGTGATTCAACCTAAAGGGTCATTTGAAGTTCAGAGCGTTTTTAAGAGACTGCATTCAATAAGCCAGTTTTACTGAAACAGTTTGATTGAGGTTCTGACCTCAACTGTATATAGCATGTTAGATATCAGCATATTTCAGTTATGATGAAGCAGTGGAATTTTAGCAATGATTATAACTGTCTTGTGCTGTGCATTTAGAATTTTATGGTATAATACAAACAAATTGAACAAATTGTCCCAAAATGTTATATTCTGTTATACATTAGATTAGAAAGAAGTGATCTGGAATGCATGAGATGCTATAGACATTTTTGGAAGCTCCAGATAACATCCACAGAAGCTACATCTCTTTGTGGCCTTAAAAGGGGGGGTGCACCCCACACTTTTGAACTGTTTCCCTGCTCATACTCCTGATGTCAATTCTTACCTCACCATAGCTGAGCAAACAAGTGGCTTGTTTGCCAAAAGGTATCAAAGGAGGTCAGGCTTTGAACTGAGTGGTGGTGGAACCTGATGAGGATCAGCAGAACTCGTCTCAGCAGCCTCCCAGTGCCCTATTTTGTCTACAAAATTGCAGCTTCCTACCAGTATTTGAGGCATTGCACCACCACTCATGGATGTAGTTTAAAAACACTATTTAAAAAGAGACAAATATGTCTACCAGTTAATCCCAAACCCCCCAAAACTTTTGAAGACCTCCCAGCTTGTCTGCCTGCAAATGGGGCAACAGATTTGGGGTGGGGTGGGGGAGCCTTTTGGTTCCACATTAGGTTGTTAGAGATGCATGCAGATATTGTGTGCTTGGTGGAGGAGGCTGAGCAACCTAGTGTTAGGCATATTGGGCAAATATCTCTTGGACAACAGTGTAAATACAGTGTAAGTACAACAGTGTAAATCTTTTTCACACATACACAAACATTGTCTGTTGCCTCCCAAGTGCAGCAGTTTATTTTTCCCCATAGGAATAAATTGCAACAATTCACTTAAATGGCAGAAATCAAATATTTGCATTTGAACACTGTGGGAGGTGGTTGGAGGCTAAATCTTTGCCCTGCCCCTTCTGATTCCAGTGCTGGGGTGAGAAACAGCTATGTTGGAGTTCATCTTGTTTATTCTGTGGAAAACAATGGGAGCAACTTAAAACCAAACCATTCTTTTGGGTCTGGAAGGCAGGTGCATTTCTGGAAAATGTTACTGTAAATGAGTATTTTGAGATAAAAGACAGGAAACAATGTTTTTAGCATGACCTGGGTATACTGAAGCAAAAAACGTTAGTTCCCCAAGCTCAATTGTGAGTGTTTGACCTTCTAACTTAAGAGGGGAAATGCTAAGAAAAGCACCATTTTGAATTTTGTACTTCTCCCTATGTGCAAATGCTTTTTGAATATTGCTTCAAATTTGTTAAAGTAATTGCTTGACTACCACAATATGACTGGAAAACAATTACACAGTTCAAAGTTCAGTGTAACTCCAGGCAGTGAGCTTTATTGTTTATTATAAATAAGCAGTATTTATAATAGTTATAGAACATTGGGCCGTACTTTACATTAAGAAAATAGAATGCCACAAAACAAGTGCAATATATGAACAAGACTAAAACCCAACATTCGCAGAAGACTGAGAAACAATTCCATTAAGGATGGTGGTAATAGCACTACCATTCAAGACAAAATCTCATGTGTTGCTAAAAGATAAAGGCAGATTACTTTATGCTGCTTTCACTGATGTGCACATCCTAAGAAGCACATAGGTTATGGCTATAGACACGAGTGGATAAATACTACAAGCTGCACATCTTGACTACAATGGTAGTCAGCCAGTAGTGGTTGACTTTATGGCAGCTGAACTAAATATTATTTAGTGTCTTAAGGACACAACTGAGGCATAACAAGACTCAGAAAGCAGACCTTATGACATGATGACATAATGAATTGTGTCTAGATGAAGAAAGTCAAGTATTCCAGCTGAATGATGATTGAGAGTGCTATATAATGCTGGCTAAGGAGTTTTCCACTGTCATTCTGAATAACTGCAGTAGAAGGACAGCACAAAGGGAAAGCCCCTATCTTAGCTTCAGAACGTTTTCCATTTCTTTCTACTTCTTGCAAAATGCCCCCAAGACGATGAATTTCAGCAGATTTAAGCATACATCTGTGATACATCTAGTACTTGAAAACCAGGAGACCGACAAAACTATAACTATTCCCCAGTATGCACTGGAGTAGGATAACATGTATTTGCCTTTAATTTATATAGCTCTAAAGCACTATAGTATTATGACAACGCCAGCTTATACAGGATTATTTGTAAGGACAGAGGATGCAATAAAGTGCACAGAGAACAGCTGCTGTATGTCCTTGAGATTCTACAAGGTGATTAGGTTGTTCTTGAAGGATGACACTTAAGCCAAATGTTCAGTACTAAGTGTGCTGCACAGGATCTTGTCTATGGAATTTTCAAGGTGAAGAAATTAAGAACAGAAGACATTGGACTGGGTTTCACTGTGCACCAAACCACATGAGCAAACGGTATGCTGTGCTTAGCCCACAAAGAAGCCACTAACTCTGCTCTGAACAGGCATTCCAAAAGGCTGAATTTTGTAGCTTTGAATAAGGCTGACCTTGCCGTGTTTTTGCCCAGGGAGCTGTTTTTAGTACTCTGTGCAGTAAGGAAATCGTTGCTGGAAGACGTTCATATGCAGTAGAAAGTCATCAAATAAGACAAAATGATGTAATTATGTCAATACATGAAGCAGACATAAGGTTGCTTCTACATGTTATACAGAAAGTTCTGTAGAATTATATATGCAAAAGACTGAGATTTTTAGAGGTTGTGTTATTTTTACAAAATGTTGTAGAAGTGCTAGATGATGTGGGTGACATCACAGAAAATGCATTGTATACCCATCAATGAAGTATTCAACAAGCAACTGAATGATTCAGCAACAGAATATCTATCCTCTCTGTCCCATTCTACCATGACTGATTTGTGGCTCAGATTTCTATTTCACCAGCCAAGTCAGGGAACTGCCTAGCAGGTGAGGGATTTTGAGGCCTTGTGTTATCAGACAGGCAAGCACTACAGCTTCATTCTAAATGGCTTCTTAGATACTGAGTCACCTCAAGTCCTGAGGGTGATATTGAAGAATCTGGAGCTGGTGGGCAAGATGTGTTGGGGCATATTGGGTCCTCTGAATCTGCAGCCTCATGCTAGATGTCTTTGAGCGTGGTAGTCTTGGGAGGGTTCTTCTGTATATACTGATTCCCTTTGAACCATATATATACTGGAGCCAGCAATAAAGTTGTCAGCTTCCTTCAAGGCCCTCATCCAGTTCTGACTAGTCCTGATAGGAAGGTGATATGTATTTACTGGGTAGGACACTTCACTTTCACAGCAAATTCAGCATTTGAAAGCCTGTTGAGAGAACCGTCACCTAATTAATAATTTGGAGAAGGCAAGCTCACAGATAAAACCATCATATCCACTAAGAAGTTTTTGTGAAGAATATACAATGTGAAGGCAACTGACTCTGATGTAGCACAGCATGTCTTGAAAACACGAAATTGGAAATGTTGCCACCAAGAAGTGACATTCTTCATTTTCACTCAGTGTGCAGTATTGAGTCATCTGGAGAAATTCTCTTTGTGCCATTGTAGAGCTCCCAGTGCCAGCAAATACTGGTTGGAAGTGCTCTTAATCAGTTATTCTGGTTGTTCAGATGTCAGTGTCATTTTCCAGTTGTTTGTTTGGAACTAATCTGTTGTTCTTTGGCACTGCCCTTCTTTGGGTTTGGGATGTAGACTGATCTTCTCCAGTCCTCTGGCCACTGCTGAGTTTTCCAAACTTGCTGGCATATTGAGTGTAGGAGGGCATAAGGAGAAGGGGACGACAGAGGACGAGATGGTTGGATAGTGTTCTCGAAGCTACCAGCATGAGGTTGACCAAACTGCGGGAGGCAGTGGAAGACAGGAGTGCCTGGCGTGCTCTGGTCCATGGGGTCACGAAGAGTCGGACATAACTAAAGGACTAAACAACAACAACAAAAATCTGTTGTTAATGCCAAACAAAGTGTGTACCTCTGAGATGCAAATATAGCAAATCTATATTCATGTCAGTTCAACAGATACTTTGGCCTGGTTCACATGTATTGACAAACCATAGTCCAAAACTATGGTTTACCTTGAACAAGCTGGTGCACACTGGCTTAGCATTATGTGTGAATCTGTGCTTGTGGTATGTTTCTCTCTGGACAAACTGCAAGTGGATGCAAAGGTTTTTTCCTGGCTTACCACTCATGATTTGATTGGGAGAAACAAACCGTGAGCGCTGATTTGCATATGACACTAAGGCAGCTGCTCCAATAGTTTGTTTTCCAGCTCTAGAAAGGAACAAACAAAGCAGGCATAACAGAGCAGCACGCACGCACAAGCTGCTCGTTTGAGCTAAGCCATTGTTTGTTTCTGATCATGCTTTATTGTTAAATATGATTGAGGCCACTGACTACTAAGTACATTCGTGGATGTCCAACTTGAAATGCCTGTAAGCATAAAGACTGTCAAAAGATTAACAGTGCAATTCCTTTTCTTAGTTGGTACCAGTATCATTTACAAATTTTACTTTTGTGTTAATTTCAACTTTTTTGTTATATACTGCTTTCATTTTTTTATTTTTTTCAGTTGAGCTAAAACTATGGACAGTGTTGCATGGAATTTACAAAAATCACATTTTTTAAAAAAATTAGAAGGTCAAGAACTCAATTCAGCTTGGAAGCCATCATTTTCATAACCATTAGCCAAAATGTGTTATGTAATATAGTTTCCCAGCTTTTACCCCTTTTTCCAAGCCTCTTTTCCAGAAATCCATCTAGACTATTTACTTACACAAGAGAAAATAAAGGGATTTTGCCAGGGGATTGGAGGGAAGAGGCTGTTTTTGTCTTTTCAAGTTGCTCAGAAGTGCATGTTTGGGTACTGCTGGATTCATTCACCTAAAACTTTGTGGAGATGTGAATTGTTTTTGTTAGCTTTACTAGCCGAAGAGCTGTGGCCCTTCCATTTAGTTCTGATTTAAACCTTTGTGTAGCTACTCATAAATTTCAATATGCCATAAGACTTGAAGTAAAAAATGACCGTAGCGGAGGAAGGAATTAGTCAATGGGTGCACACTATATCAGGGCTGCACTATCCCAGTTAAGCTTCCCCGTGTCTTCTACCTTCAACTGAAGATGGTTTCAACTTTTATAAAGTCTTAAAATTGCTTCAGCCTCAAATGGCTTCCTCTCAGATGTTTCATTGTAATTGCCTCAATCTGTAAAAAAAACACCCTCTAAAATATTTTGTCTAGACACCACATTAGGCCAGCAAGCTCATTCTCATTGACTGTACACTTACAGAAATTCCTCTTTGTGATTTACCCAGACACAACCCTCTCTTTAGAAGTCCTACAGGGTTAATTGGGGTGGGCTTTGAGTTGAAGATTACAACTTTAATTTTATGAAGTTCTGGCATATTTTTTATGTTTTTGATTTCATGATATACCTGCTCCAAGCCCTAGGGATAGGATGGGATGGAAATTAAAATCTATGAAATTTTTGGGCAGCTAGTGTACCGTAATTCTTTCTGAAAAAAGCCATGCCAATTTTCCTTCTGATTACAAATTAAGACATGACTTTGACAACCTTTATCTTATGGATCATAGACACCATTTTCTTCTAGAACTTAAATACTTGAAGGCATATTAATAAGTTCTAGTTTTGGATTCCTGGGCCTTCAAGTTCCATGAACAACTTAAGGGATAAAAAAAAGTGCCCTGTGGCACCTGATAACACAAATGCCAAGGCCCAAGAGACCTACTTTTTGCCAACTTGTGAATAATGGTGATATTACCTTCCTCTGAGGCGGCCAAAAACATATTTCACCTTAGCCATTCAGATATTTCAAGGCACATGTTTTCTCTGACACAAGTTTTGATGCTCCTTTAGAAAACAATTATACATAAAGCTTCCTCCAGCATTGCTCTTCTGCCTCGGCTTATACCAGGTGTGATCAACATGGTGCCCTCTAGATGTTGCTGTACTACAACTTCCATCTGTTTTCTGTGATGAGCACAGTATCTCGTCTCTCTGGGTTTCTTCTCCTGGACTTCCTGATAACTTAAATTCCTTACTAGGCTAACCTTGTGAGAATCAATGTACCTATACCCTATAGCTTGTTGTTAGATTATATTTTTGGTATATGGTATCAATATAATATTTTTGGAGTAGTTTTGAAATATTCAAAATGTTTATTTGTATTGGATCCCAGTAGAATAATAATACTGTCAAAAATATGTGATGGGAGAGGGTAAAGGGGGAGAGTTGACATATACAAATCCCATCCTAAAGTCAAATCAGCACAGTCTTTGGTCTATGCTTTGAGCTGTGACCAAACTTGGTTCACTTTAATATTATTCTTAGAGTAATACAGATGAATTTAGGGTTTTTTCTTCAAATAAAAAGTGGAATATGTTAATGTAAAAAGTTGCATATGTTAATGAAGGTGAATGGTGACTAAATGCTTCTCTCTTCAGATGACTGATAGAATTAACAGTCCTGATGGGTTGAGAAAATAAAAACATAACAGTGGTCCAGTTAATTACTTGATGTGCTGGCAGCTTTAAAGTTGGCTTAATATGTGACTTTCATACTGCAGGCGGTGTCAGTTGCCTTAATCTATATCACACTGGTCCTATTAAGGCAATATAATTTAATTGTGCCTATAGGTTTGCAAGGTTTTATGCCTCAGCACAACTCCAAAGATAGGAAAGCTCAATTAATCTTGCATCAAGACAGTTCTAACTTTTTAAAGCATATTTTAAGAACTTGACATTGAATATATATATAACTATAGAGCCCCAAACCCACGCATTAGTTCATTTTTAGCTAAATTTGTTGTAGTATAAGAGTTGCTGTGAGCATCATAAAATCTGAGTCAAAACACAGTGTTAAAAGCCGGTAGTAGTAATGCTCTGTCTTGTCAAATAAACTTGTTTGAGATTATTAGAACAGCTTGAGTGTTGCCATGTAATTTTGAAACTTCAGGGTACATAAAGGCCATCTTGAAATTGCATATTCACCCCATTAAATGTTGTATCTTTTAGTAGTTTCTTTTCTTTTTCTCCCTCTCCCTCACGCACCAACTAATATTTTTTGGGGGGGGGTGTTAAAAAATAGTGCATTAATGTAACATTGACTTTTGACATCTGCACAGCAAAGCTCTGAGCAAAGGATGACTTGAATTTGTAGAGGTACTGATACAGGATAGCTGTTTCTTTCTAGATGCCTTTTGTGATGCATTTAAACCTTTGAACTGAACTGTTCAGAGAAACAGCGCTTTCTGCAGCAAATGCTCATTTGCTTTTAATACGTGTTCAATATTTTTGCATTGGTCCTTGTATTGAGGAATATAGCTGTTTGCAATTTTTACAGTATGTTCTTAAAGCACAACTCCCAGAGATAGGTAGAGCGGCGTATGTGTTGGATGTTGTGTGTGTTCTGCAAGTTAAGTCTCTAGTGTTGCAGCGTATTTATAGGATTTTGCTGCTTTTGTCTGTCTGAACGTTAGTAGTCAAGACATCCGTAAATATTCTGTATTTTTTTTGCAGTATAATTTTATTTATTTGATAAACAATATTTAAGGGGACACATTTGTATTTTAATATTAACATAGTTTTTTTACAACTGGAAGCTAGGGTCCATTTTAAAATTACAATTCTGTCTTGTGCTGTCTGTCCTGATATGAGGTGTAGACTTTAATCTATTTTATGCTAATGTGGTTAGTTATAAAGTTTTGGGTGGGAAAAGCGTGGGGAGGTATGGGTTAACCTCAGCATGGCATTTTTTCAAACATTTTTCGTGTGCTTAGGTACATCCAAGCAGAAGTCAACTTCCCTTCAGGTAGCAGATCAGGAGCTACTGTCACCTTTTCACCCATACCAGCCTTTGGAATGTATAGTGGAAGAAACTGAAGGCAAGCTGAATGAACTTGGACAGAGAATTAGCGCTATTGAAAAAGCACAGCTTAAATCATTGGAGTTAATTCAAGGTGAACCTTTGAATAAAGATAAGATTGAAGAGCTCAAAAAGAACAGAGAAGAACAAGTGCAGAAGAAGAAGAAAATACTGAAGGAGCTGCAAAAGGTGGAAAGGCAATTACAGATGAAAACACAACAGCAATTTACCAAAGAATATTTGGAGACCAAAGGTCAGACAGAGTCACCCCTTACCCATCAGCAGCAGTGCCCACACACAGGTGTCCTCCCAGAAGTGGAAGGCAATGAGGGTCTGCCTGGGGATAGCTTTTCAGAGTTATGGCAGGTTGACAGAATCCTGGCAGGTAAAGATGAGCAGCAGCACTCTCCACCATCTGCTAAGCAAACCGGGTTTGTCCCTCTCCAACCTTTGTCAACGCCACAGTGTAATTTTTCAAGTAACCTAGGCTGTAATGGGACAGATTCTTTTGAACTTCAGAAAGTATTAGGTAATCAGCAAAATGTAGGACAACAGCAGCCAATTGCAGGACATGGTCAGGGGCTGTTAGTTCAAGAACCAGACGGATTAATGGTTGCCACTCCAGCACAGACGCTAACCGACACTCTTGATGACCTGCTAGCAGGTGGGTTGAGAAATATGTTTTCTTGCATTAATGTGTGTGCTCCGTTCCCTCTGCCCTCATTCCCTCTTGCAATTTTCCCTTTGGGGAGTATTTGTTTTAAATATATTTCTTTCTTAGTGCTCTTAATGTTGACATTCAAGTTATAAATTCCCAAATATTTGGGTTGCATTATCAGAGGTTAAATATTAATATTTTGCTATATTGAAATCTTCCTATATCAATCATTTGGGCTTCCACTTTAGTAGTAGTAACTTTTTAAGGAAAGCTAGTTACAAGAAACCAAATGGTGTTTGAATGTATGGTGTTAATGGAAATATGTCTAGTTGACACTTGCCTCTGAAGGTATCACTGGGCTCATGATTTCAACACTCATGTGAAGGTGCCATTTGTATGACCTGACACACCTCTGTAGGGACTGCGAGGAGAGTTTGATGTATTAAAACACCAGCAGCTTTATTTGGAACTTAACCTACAGGCCTACTCATTCATATATAGTAATATCAGAATATCATATGCTTGTGAAAATGAACACCCTTGAAATATGCTCTAACTACATGGCAGCACTAGAAATACTTGCAGCAGAAAGGAGATGATAGGTCCTGCTTAGGAACAAACTTAGCCTACACTAGCTATTGTCAGCTTAGCTATCACACCATTTTAACATCTTAAATAAGAATAGTTGATTAAGACTAATAGCGTAAGATGCTAGGTAAGAAAAACCATATGCATGGTTTATGTATAGACTGCAAGCTTTAACCTTCATTGTAGAGTAATTTGTGAGGCTGAAAGTAAGAAAAGGGCTTGCCCTTGTGGAGTTTGCAGTGATGTGCTGGCTCCATTTTCCTTTACTGTCTTTGGCAGAATATAGTTTTCCTTTGCGTTTGTATCCTAAATTGCTAAAACCAATGCTAAAACTCCAAAGCTAAAACTGCTGTGGCCATTCCTTTTAGATGTTGAAGCTGTAGATAGCAGTGTTTATTTGAGTCTACTGCAGTCTGGATGGGTCTTGGTTTTGTTTTGAAGCTATATTTGTTTTGTGTTGTGTAGTAGGAATACTCCTTTTGAATTTGAAAAAGGGAATGTGAAAGGTGCCTCACCTAACTTGTAAATATAGTTTTTGCTTATTAAATGTTAAGTTATTCTTCTTGTAAGGAAAATAGCCCTCTTGATGACCCTGTTAGCTCATGTTCAATAAAGTAATACTATCAGGTGCGATAAAACAAGAAAAAAGATTTCCTTTGGCTGGGTTGGGTTCAGAAATATAATGCAGCATAACAGAATCCCTTGTAGGAGAAAGGAAAAATGTTTATGGATCTAAATGAAGTGCCTTTTACTTTTTTATTGTGCCAGCATTTTATGGATACATTTTCATAGATGATATCTCATAGAACTGGTGCTGTCTAATCTGTTGGAAGTTTGCTTGAAATGGATATCATGTAAGTGAAGTGATTTCCCATCTAACTTACCAGCAGTAACCATGTGCTCTGTGCTATTTCCCTTCAACTCTGCCAAAGTGAGGACAGGAAAAATAAATCTCATTCTGATTTGGCTTCTTGATGTCAATATGTGGCTGATAAATCTGATTGAGAGAAGCAAATACTAAATAAACTTAAGTTTTAATAGTGTATATATCACCAACCAGGAACTAGGAGAGTTAGAATTCAGCATTGGGGGAAATCAGAAATTTGAGTAGGCAAAAATCCACTTGAAATTGAATTGGTGTGAAGATGTTTGGAAAATGTGTAGTGAACTTACTAAATTTAATAAGGGAGCTCAGTTAAACTAATTTGCCAAAGTTGTGTACTGTTTATGATTTATGTCTTTTTGAAAGATTATGAAGCTGTTAGGTTTATTGAATATGTAGGTTTCTGAAACCTACAGCAGACTTTGCAGTTCTCTGTTCCTCATTTGCTCAAGTAAAATGATTGGGAAGGTTGCATATATCATGGAAGGAGGAACAGCTGTAATTTTAGGGATTTTCTCTAGTGCCCAGATTAAAAAGAAGAGAAGAACTATACTAGTGCTCATTGCAGTGTCTGAATCAGCTTAATGGGCAGATTCATATTTTAGAAGAATATGCAGATACTTATAAGTATTGCATTGTTAACATCATACCTGATAGTAATCAATATGCAGTCTTTGATGTGGCTGACCAGATTTTGAGTCAGCTTGAGTGAAGATTGGTTAATGCTTAAACTTCGTTATTTTTTTAATGGAATTGCTATTTCAAAGGAAATACAGTGGTGCCCCGCAAGACGAATGCCTCGCAAGACGGAAAACCCGCTAGACGAAAGGGTTTTCCGTTTTTTAGTTGCTTCGCAGGACGAATTTCCCTATGGGCTTGCTTCGCAAGACGAAAATGTCTTGCGAGTCTTGAGATTTTTTTCCGCTCCCCCCCCCCTTTTTCTAAGCCGCTAAGATGCTAATAGCCTTTTAGCAGCTAAGCCGATAAGCCTTTAATAGCCGCTAAACCACTGATAGCGCTAATCCGCTAAGCCGCTAATAGGGTTGCTTCGCAAGACGAAAAAACTGCTAGACGAAGAGACTCGCGGAACGGATTAATTTCGTCTTGCGAGGCACCACTGTATATGAATCAACATTACTGGCTTCTAAACTACTAATGAGCATGTCTAGCATTTCAGTAATAGTCGAAAGATGACAAAGAAAGTAGGCTTGCTGATGACTTGAACTGGGAGGGACTGAAATATTTATTTTATTTTTTACATCTGTCATATGCTCTTGAGGATGGGAGAGGATTGCATACAGCACCTTGTGAGAATTGGGCAAGTGGTGGTGGGAACGTTGCAGAGGAAATGAGATGTAAGAGTATCTGGTGATATAAAAGCAATGCTGGAGTGTTCATGCATGCAATTTGAATGTTATGTTCATGTTGTGAATTGCCCTGAGACCTGCAGGTATAGAGCAGTATACAAATTTAATTTAATAATAATAACAGGTACTCAATATTTGGTACAAAAAGGAGATGAAACACTGTCTTCAGTGTAAATGTCTTCTTGTCATATATAAGCAACTATTCTCTTTTATGGAGAAGAAGATGGTGAAATATTTTCCACAGCTACTGTGGGAAGTAGTAGGAAAATACCAAAGCCCTACAACTTTGAATTTTGTGTTAAGCACCCCTGCTCTCAAATACTCATTTATACTTTATTTCATTGATTCACTGGATTTACACTAAATTTCACATTGAGCTTTCAATTCAGATTACTATGATTTTGGGGAAAGCTGTTGAATTTCTTAACCATTGTTGGTAAAGGCCACATTTGGAGTGCATATTTGAATGTTTATTTTTTGTTGAATTTCCCCATTTAGGACAGTACTAAATATAAATCTAGGTTTGTTTCGTTTGTTTTTTAAAAATGGGAAAACTTCACCAGAATCCCCCAGTGGAAGGAGAATTAACTTTTGCCATCATAGTCGTAAAAGAAATAAAGGCAGTAGGTGGCTTACATGAGGTGAAATGCTCAGCTATTTAATCACTTTAGGACTACTACCGTCTTCCCTAAAATATATGTACGTTCCCTTGTATGCAACCAGATCTTAGTTTGTGTACACTTGGATTTCAAAATCTAAAGTGTGAAAGTCTAAGAGCCAAACATGTATGTTCCCTGTGTTCTGAGAACTTCTTGCAACAAAAACCTTGCGTAACATTCCCCTCATAGTTTTTTTTGGGGGGGCGGGAAGGAACCTGTAGTAAGTCAAAGGTGTAAATTTCAAATTTCACAAGTAAACAAAGTATCCATGTTTAAGAATAGCAAGATCCTATTATTTAATTCGATCAACCCTAAATAGTGGTATGACATACCAAGAAATGAATTTCAAAATTTCTCCCTGGGCAGGAAGAAATCATGTAAATGATTTAATTGCAACAAGTGTTCATACACTAGACTTCACATACTTAAAAAAAAAAAAAATCCTGTATGTAGGCAATTTTTCTCTCTCTGTACATTAAGTACCCATTGGCAAGAAATTGTCTTTATTTTTATATGGGCCATCACAGCATCTTGTGTGTTTGTTGAGCTGGCTAGTAGTTGCTTTTATTCATTAACGCAGTTAAGAGATGCACCTATCTCTTTTTTCAGAAGTCCTTTTCATTTATAGAACATAACTACTGGCTACCGATGGCAGCTCTTCTTCTAGCAAGACACATTGCTTTTGCCTGGGAAAGAGGAATGTTGTAATCTTTCCAGATCATAAATTAGACAATTGTGAAAGTGAAAGAAACAACATAATTTGATTAAACATAATGTCTGGATTAAATTTTTGCCCAGTTAAATTTCCCTTACCCTTTTGTATGTATGGCACTGTAACACGTTTCTCTGTTGCTCTTCTTGGCTCTCAGGTTCTGCTTACTCAGTGAGAAGTGTCAGAGAATCATAGCATCTCTCCTTTTGTTTTGTTAAATTGGCTCATGGCTTGCTCACTCTTTTCCCAACATCATGCTTCAGCTAGCCCAGCCAAAGGAAGATGTAGAACTGCTGGTGCCTCTTCTTACCTCTTTAAAAAGACCATTGGTCTCTGAAGGAGGGTCCTGTACTTGCTGTGTCTGGTGGCTGATAGATCTTTATTGGCAGTGAACTGTGCAGGCAGCGGTGTGTGTGAGAGAGAGGGAGAGAGAGAGTGGATGTTGTGATCAATGAAAGCTGCTGTGCTTACTACTGGGAAAGAGCAGGTGCATCTAGCTGATCATTGTTGGAAGTGAAATGCCAGAGGATTGTGGGTGTGGGTGCACACATACATTTATTACTCCTCCATTGTGTGCCATACCACCCCTCTCTTGTGCCTTGCTGCATTAGTTTCCTTCTCTGAGGTAGAAGGAGTAGGAAATCAGTATATTGTATTCTCTTGTATTCCTGTGTCTGTCCTGCTTGCTGCATGCTCTTCTGAGAGATTGGAGAAGGGTGATCAGTTGAATTCTCTTTAATCAAGTTGTAGCTGTATATCAGATGAGTCCTCAAAATTAAGCACTGCAAAACAGTAAGTTTTAATTTCGTGTCTAACTGTATGCTTGGATAGGCAATGGTTAATTCAGGAATCTGTGGAATGTGATGCAGTCAGTTCCATGGTTTCTTAAATGCCCCCCTTGTTTCTTGTTCTCCTTTGTGACTCTTTCACCAAATATTTACATGATACCACCTCTTTCCTTACAAATCCCTTCTCGGGCAATTTTTCTACAAGGTCTTTGGCCCCATCTCCTTGTTCTCATCCCTATTTGAGACATTTAATTGTTCCATGTTACCTTTGGGGTTCTCTGCCATACTTTCCATCTGCTCCTTTATCTTGTGTAAATTGTAAATTCATTAGAGGCAGTAACCGTACCACTGGTTTGTTACCTGTAAACTGCTACTGGCTGTGATGGGACTATAAATGCAAGTACTGTCTTTTCTACCTAGTGCCTTCTTGTAATGTAAGCTGATACTACCATATTTACTCGAATCTAACGCTCACCTTTTTTGGCCAAATTACAGTGCGAAAATTAAGGTACACATTAGATTTGATGGCACATTTACATTTGGCACCAAATACTTTGCTTGGTTTCAAGGTTCTGAAAATTGAGGTGCACATTATATTTGATGGCACATTAGACTCGAGTAAATACGGTATGTCACTTCAGTTGGTCCATAAAGATTTGGATATTGTCTCTGCTGACATTGACCATGGGTGCAATACATACTTACATTTCAAAAGTTAAAGCATCCATTTTAAGTTGTCCACCAGAAATGAAAACATAGAAGGATTATAGAACTGTAGAGTTGGAAAGAACCCTGAGGATCATCTAGTCCAACTGCAATCTAGTCCAATCTTTTATTCCAATCATTTACGCTTCAGCATTTTTCTGGGCAGATTTGAGTGAACTTAACTTCTGTAGGTATATAATGGCTAACAATGATTTGTGAAAGCACAGCTCAGGGTCGCTTTTAGTGTTTTATGTCTTTAAAAAGATAACTCTTTTTAAATGTATGTGGTATGGTGTCTTCTGTGACTGAGTGTGAACTGATTTGGGAACTTGGAAGTTGAAAGCATCAATTTCGGGGATGTCACATAAATTTCAGAAAGAAATTCGAAGATTCCCTGGTGTATTTAAATTATGAAGTTATATTCAGGTTCAGATATGAGATGTCACTCATATGTCTATACATCCCCCTCCCCCCGATTTTTACAGGGATTGCATTCCTGGCTCTGAGCATGTCAGCGGAGTGCACAGAAGCCAACCCTCTTTCACTCCATTCTGGACTATTCCAAAAGCAGTCAGTTGCGCATCAGTTGAACGCATGCAAAATGATCGCCACCTGTACAGTGTTGTCAGCCAATATTGACAACTTTGAACAATTAGCTGGTGAAAGTTTTATATAGTAAACTGGAAAACTCTCAGAAGCTCTTGTTTCACACTGTGCTCCTTTTTTGTACTACTTTGTCCTGCTGCTGGAATTTGTGTAGTACATGGGTGAGGAACCTGTGGCCCTCTAGAGGTGGTCAGACTCCACTTCCCAGCAACCTCAGCAAATATGACTAGTGGTCAGGGATGAAGAGAGTTAGAAGTTCAGCAACCTCTGGAGGGAGACAGGTCATCCATCCCTGGTGTAGAAAGTTGTTGCAAGTTAGGTGGGAAATAGTAGCTAGCTTTGTGCACAATTTTTACTCAATTTCTATAGTGTAAGCTACTGCTTTTAATACCACTCTGATCAGCCTAAGTTCAGTTGACCTCAAGGTTTAATGTGAAATCAAAACAAGTGTCCTCCCTACTTGAATGGCACTTAAAGAAAAAATTGTCATGGTATACATTGTGTACAGTCAGGTTTACTCTCAATCCTCAATCCATTTGAATACCCTTTTGTGTATTTACATTTCATTCGATGTAAAGAAGACTGCATTGTCAGTTGTTGTTTTTAAAAATAACTGGTATGGAAATATTGAAATTTATTGCTTACATTTGTTCTTTTCATGTGTTCAATTCATTTTGAATGGGTTGGATCCAGACTTGACCTCATGCAAATGGAAAGACTTACTTTTATTTGCAGAAAGGGCCAAGATCCAGCAGAGGATTCATCTAGATCAGGGTTTCCCAAACTGGGATTTCCAGCTGTGGTTGGACTACAACTCCCATCGTCCCTAGCTAGCAGGACCAGTGGTCATGGTTGTACTAGATGGCTCTTACAGGTCCCTTCCAATATTACAATTCTATTATCTCAACTACATTGCTTGACAGTAGCTTGCTCTTGCAACAATTCACTTCTCCCAGTATGCAGCGTTCGAAATTCGCCTGGCACATTTTGAACTTGGCTATCAGCCACTTGCGCCAAGTGAAGATGCCTAGGCGCCAGGACGGTACCTGATCTCTCCAACCATCTGGAGGTGTATGCCTGGGGATTCTTGGATCCTGACTGTGCAGATAAAATATAGCAGATAGAATTATACAGATTGTGTTGCTAGTGTATGAAAACAGTCAGGATCCAAGAATCCCCAGGCATGCACCTCCAGATGGTTGGAAACGTCAGGTACCATCAGAATGAATTTCAGGAACCAAAAAATTGTTTTGAAAAATAGGACTTTCAAGCCATCTGGTCCAAAAATGGCAACTAGGCATTCCATTTTGGCGATTGTAACCCTTGTTAAAGGAGCCATTTGACTCCTAGCTTATATTGATTTTCTAATACTGCCAGTATGCAAGAAACTGGAAATAGTATTAACTGTGGACTAAGGCAGAGGTTTTAAAACTGTGGTCTGTGAGTTCCATTTGGGTGGCCTGTGGAAAGGCTGCAGTACAGTCAAATATATCTGTACTCAGCTACACACTTAATTTTTTTAATGTGATGATAAAGGACTAAGATGCCCAGCAAGGGGTCCATGATTTGCACGGCAGCACAGAAGCACATGACATGCATCTTTTGCCACATATGAGTCAGCTGGCTCGATGGAAATGTCAGTTGCCAACATGGCACCCAGAAATCTCCATGTAGTTGCAGTTGGACTTGTTTCAGCAGCAAAATACACCTGGCACCCAGGGAATTTCAAACACTACTCCAGAACAAGAGAATAGGGAATCAGTGAAAATTTCTTCCCCACTTTCCTCCAGCATGGTGTTCTGTGTGTGAATAGTGTGGATCTAACCCAGTGTGTAATGACCATTCAGCAGATGGGAATTTTAATCTTAAATGTAATGTTTCATAGCAGTACGTTTTTTATAAGTAGTTGACATAACAATTTTAGTACTATTTGATGGTTGTATTGTTTCATACTTCTTATTTCCTGTAAAACAAAATAATCTGGCCTAGTTAGCTTTAAGCCACAAAATGTGAATTATGAAAGTGTCACCTGCTTATATGTAAAAGGTTTAACAGTCTAGAAAATGTCTCATGATGGGATTCTGCAGCACTTGGATACAATCACAAATCTCAACAGCAGCCATCTCTTAGTTACTTTAGAATGCCTTTGAATATGTAGATGGGGTGATCCAGTCAATATTGTATACATTGAAAAAGCTTTTTATAAAAGCCCTTCACCAAAATTTGTTGAATAAGCTTAGCAGTTACAGGATAAGATTAACTAGTTACAGGGTAGGAAGATAAGATAAGATAAACTTTATTCGCATTAGCCAATGGCCATAGCAACATAAAACAAGCAATATATACAAATAAAATATAGACAAATAACAGGGCAGGAAGCAGAGAATTAGGAATAACTGGGCAGTTCTCACAAAGGAGAAAGTGAGGAATGGCCAATCCTGAATGATTTATATTAGGATTGGTGCTTTTTAAATTGTTCATAAATGACCTGGATTTGAGGTGACCAAATTTTCTAATGACACCAAATTTTTCAGTGCAGTAAAAATGAAAAGTGATTGTGAAGAGCTCCAAAAGGAGCTCTCCAAAGTGGGTGAATAGGTATTACAGTGACAAATTCTGCAAAATTGTGCAAGTTGGAGTGAAAAATCATAACTAATGGAGTCTGAGCATTCAATAGTTGATTTTGGTGGATAGCTCAATGAAAATGTTAACCTAATATGTGGCAGCTGGAATCCTTTAGGGAAATGCCTTAAACTAAAACATCTGATAGTGTAATGTCTTTATATAAATCTATGGTACAATCACACTTTGAATACTATGTGCAGTTCTGGTCATGATCAAGGAGCCGGAGCAGCTCCTGCAAGTAAAGGTTACAATACTTGAGGCTTAATTTAGAATAAAGGAAAATATAGGGAAGGTGTAATAGTGTCAAAGTGTGCATGTTTCAGAAAAAATGTGTAGAGATTTTTTTCTATAATAGTAGGACCTTGAGTTACCCAATGCAGGTTTGCAATTAATTTTCGCTGAGCTTGCTTACTTAGAATCAAAATTCACTGAAACTGAGTATCTGTGAGTCAGTTCTTTACATGTTGTATTTTATTATTGTGCGGCTTCAGGAGTGTAGCTGGTAAGTCAGATAGAACCGTAGCATATTGATGCTAAAGTCTGTAATACCAGCGTAGTCCATCAAGTTTGAAGGAGGCTACACATGTAAAATATGATGCCTGTCTTGATTTTGGGGGATGAGGAGAGATCTTTTCCTATGCCTGCTTCCAAATATTTTAAAGGGGTATACTTCAGATCTTACATGTGTGCCCTTCACACGCTTTAGGGTGTGAGTGTGTATACATACACACCCACCCACACACCAGAGTACAAAATTTAAAGTGAAAATCTATCCTAAGTGTTTCTGTGGTTGGGGTACAATTTTGCATTTCCCTGTTAGTTCATTATTCAATAACAAGTTTAGTAATTAATAAGACATGATTTCTCTGGGAAAGGAGCTCTTTATGCAAGTGATGTTAAATGTTATCCTTTTTTCCAGCTGTTAATAGCAGAGTGCCTACTGGCTCCAATTCTTCACATGCTACAGAATCGCCTACACCTGAACCTTGTTCACAAACACTCAGTGTCACTTCTCAATCTGTGCTCCCCACGTATCCTTCAGTTGACATTGATGCCCACGTGAGTAATGTAGATAAGTTATAAAGCTGTTTTTGTTATAATAGTTGTTTCTGTTATATAACAGAGTAGTAATAAGGTGTGTATGTAGTAAACCTAACATATCCTTTCTACTGTTAAGACGGAGAGTAACCACGATACTGCGCTGACTCTTGCATGTGCTGGTGGTCACGAAGAGCTCGTCTCTGTATTGATAGCACGTGGTGCCAGTATAGAACACAGAGACAAGAAGGGTAAGCTACTGAAGTGCTGCTGTTTGTTGGTATTTTTTTCAGGGCTTGATGCATGGATATTGGACATTCCATTACTTTTCATAACTTTCTAGCTCATAGAAGAAAAACTGCTTTGAAACAGTTTTGGGGGGAATTTAATGTTTGTTATATGGAACTTTGAGCATTAACTGAGAATGGAGGATATGTTTTTTTTAGCAGAGGCTTCTTGTTAGCTTTTTGCCCCCCACCACAATTGCTTTATCACAAACTCAAACACTGACTGTTCAGTGATTTCCATTGCCAATATTTATTGTGAATTATTGGCTTTAATACACAACTTTTCTTTCTACCTCTTTGCCTCTCGTTTGAAAATGGCTTCTAATATAATAATCTCTATTAGGATTTACACCGCTAATTTTAGCTGCAACTGCTGGACATGTTGGTGTTGTAGAGATCCTTCTAGACAAGGGTGGAGATATAGAAGCACAATCTGAACGTACTAAGGACACTCCACTTTCATTAGCATGCTCTGGTGGACGCCAAGAGGTAAATGTTATAATCTATCATATTCTTTAGTCTTAAGTTAGGAGAAGAGAGCATGAATGTAGCAGCCTGATATGTCCCCTTGCTCCCTGAAACATTTTTTTTGGGTATATTTTAGTTTATAAGTATACATATTGTATTGAACATGTTTAATTTTTTAATTTGTGGATTGCCAGTAGTAGAAATTTGTTTCCTACAAACATCCTTTAAAATGGCTCTTGATAGATTTGATTTTGTCAGTCAGACAAACAAGATTCTTCAAAATCTACTCTGGTGTGAAAAAGGCATCCAAGTTGGACTGTCCATACTCCCCATACTGCTCAGGATGGGCAGGTATCATGCAACCTGTAACTGTAAAAGGTAAAGGACTCCTGGGTCGAATTCGTCTATGGAGTGTGGTGCTCATCTTCACTTTCAAGCCGAGGGAGCTGGTGTTTGTCCACAGGCAGCTTTTCTGGGTCATGTGCCCAGCATGACTAAACCACTTCTGGCACACGGAACACCTTGACAAGTTCCAGAGTGCATGGAAATGCCGTTTACCTGCCGCCGTGGTACCTCTTTATCTACTCATGCTGGTATGCTTTCAAACTGCTAGGTTGGCAGGAGCACGAGCTCACCCTGTCGCACAGATTTGAACTGTCGACCTTACGATTGGCAAGCCCAAGAGGCTCGGTGGTTTAGACCACAGCACCACCCACATCCCACCTGTAACTGTATACCAGATCTGAGTCCAAGAGAGATTTTACTCTTCAGCCTGCTTTGCCCAGGAACAGAGCTGAATCTTCCATGTCCTTTCTCTCATTTCTGCAACACCTTTTGTGACTTCAGTAGCTTCTACACCTTCACCAGTTTTACCTTTTCCAGTTCTTGTTATTAGTACCTTTTTGTTGCCTTCTCCAAGTTCCATTTGAAAAGGAAAAAGAAAACAATGCACTCTGTAAGAAGGAAAATTTCCTCCATGCAATCAGACAAAAAAGGGCATGTTGGGATCTGCGGGGGGGAAAGAATCAACCAACCAAATGTTTATTCGGCTTTACGCCCATCATAAAACACAACACACAAAACAAATCAAATAAAACAGCGGTCTCGAACAAGCCACAAGTAATAAAACACAATTCACAGCTCACAAGGACAAATATTGGCAGATCAAAACAGAAATTTAAGATTAAAGTTAAAAATTTGGGCACTACGCTAAATCAATTTCTGATGTCAATATCAAAAATTCTTATAAGTATCAATAATCAGTTAGCATTCCATTCCGTCTCTTGTACGAGAGAACGGCTGTTAGGAATTTAGCAACCTGTAGAGTAATATAAGGATCTACATCTTGAAGAACCCAGGCAAGCTGTAGGTCTACTGGTTTGTCAGCCATAGGCTGGATTATGGAGTTTAGTATACTAGCGCGAGCTAAACTGTACATAGGGCAGATAAACATAACATGATGTAAAGATTCAGATGTTTTCATTTCACAAGCACACATTGAAGGGACTTGGCCCTTAGTGAATCTATGTCTCAGCACGTTTGTTGGGAAAACATTGAACCTGGCTCTAATGAAGGCATATCGGTGAGATGCGGCTATAAGCGATGTTAAGTAGGACGGAGCACGATAGATAGGGGTTATACCGAGATTTAACGGGGAGCAGGCTCCACCACCAGCTAAGAAATTTTGGTATAGCTCCACATCATCCAGCCTTTGATTTATACACCTTTTTGCCGCGTTTAGATCCAGTTTGAGCAATTCCGTGGGCGAGATCTCATAGGACAGCAATTTGGCATGGATTTTTCCTGACCACAAATTTGTAAAGTCATCCCGCCACATGCATTGAATGAGATAGTGGTTCGGTAGTTTATGCCATAGGGATATCCAATAAATCAAAACTCTCCTCCATAAAACTAACTCCACTGAGGGGATCTTCATTTCTAAGCGAATAGCCGCATTACTTACGCATGTTGGTAGTTTTAAAAGTCGGCGCAAGAATTGGCTTTGAAGCGACTCTAAAGGTGAAAGGTTTGCAAAGGCAGCCCATAAAGGTGCAGCATAGGCCATTGTGGCCATCACTTTGATGCTATACACTTTCAAGGCCGCAGGAATGAATAAGGCCCCCTCAGAGTAGAAAAAACGGAGGAGGGAGTGTGATAGGGCTTTTGTCTTGTTTTGAAGATATTCAACGTGCTCTTTCCACCCTAGATTATATTGAAAATAAATTCCTAAATATTTAAATTTATGTACTTGTTCAATATTCGTGCCCTCCAATTTCCATGAATATAATTTTCGACTCCTTGAAAATATCAGTACTTTGGACTTGGTGTGGTTGATAGACAGATGATTAGAATGGCAATATGATGCAAAAATCTTTAGTGCCCTCCTTAAACCCACTCTGGAGTAAGAGAGTAGTACCGCATCATCTGCGTAGAGAAGTAAAGGACAACGATAATCTGCTATACGGGGGGTGTGGATAAATTTTTGTGAGTCGATTAATGGGTTCCTCATATCACTGATAAATAAGTTAAAAAGAAGAGGCGCTAAAATACAACCCTGGCGTACACCCTTATTTACTGGCACTGGGTTAGTTAGGTCTCCAGCAGGGGATATTCTTACCCTGGCCACGGACCCGGCATGAAGTTGGGAGATAAGCCACAGGAGCCTTCTATCTATTCCCCAGCAGGCAAGTTTATCCCATAGTAATTGCCTCGGAATACTATCAAACGCAGCTTTCAAATCTATGAAGGCTGCGCAAAGTTGGCCCCGTCGAGGTGTCGAGTATTTCCGGGCTAAGTGATAAAGAATAATTGCCTGATCTGTTGTGGATCGGTTTAATCTAAATCCAGCTTGCTCATGCCCAATCAGGTCAGCCTCAGCTGACCACTTCATCAGCCTTGCCAGCAAAAAACGGGCATATATTTTCCCAATGGACGATAGCAGACTGATATTCCGGTAATTCCCTGGGTCACCGGAGAACCTTTTTGTAGATAGGAATTATAATGGCCTCCTTCCACGTACCTGGTATTAAGCCCGTGGCATTTATTGCGTCAAACGTTTTTGCTAAAATCCCTGCCCACCATGCAGAATGTAGCTTTATAGCCTCAACAGGGACCAAATCTGGCCCAGGGGCCTTACCAGTTTTCAGCTCAGCTATCAATTCTAGGATTTCAGCAGGGTCGGTATTGTGCCAAACGGGAAGGGGATTAGAAGGTCTCCAGCGAGTGGCCGGAGCTTCTGCCACTGAGAAATATTTTCTCAGGAACTGCTTCCATGTAGGGGCCGGGATCACCGTTAAGGGGTATTTCGTGTTTCTTCCCATTATTAAGGACCAAAATTTCCGGGAGTTATGAGATTTTGCGGTAGAAATTATAGTCTGCCAGCGATTTAAATGCCATTCCCGTTTGGCCGATTTCTGGGCCTGTTTGTATGCTTTTTTAGCCAGGGAATAAGATGGAGGTAAGGCCAGAGCGCCGGAAAGTTTATAGTCATTATATATTGTATGTAGATGGAGTGGGGGGGAAAGAATCAGTACTTTGCTGCTTTCAAGCCTCACAATGCAATCTAGGGACTTTGACAAATGTTACATTTCCATTGATCACACACTTGCCACGATTTTGAAATTCCTGAAGTCCTAGAAGCCTGTTGCAGGAATGAAAGAGAGGGAAGCTAGAATAGGGAGCTCTGTTCCTGGTCAAGGCAGGAAAGTAGAGAAGAGTCTGGAGCCACACAATTTCAGGTCACATGAGTACTCTGTGTCCTGGGCAGTACAACAAGACAGCCCATTCTGGATGCCTCCACATCAAACCAGGAAGAGCCTTCATGGTAAGCAACCAGTGTTCTGTTCTGTGGATTTTTTGTATATAGAGCAGGGTTTCCCAAACTTTGGTCTCCAGCTGTTGACTACAACTCCCATCATCCCTAGCTAGCAAACCAGTGGTCAGGGATGGTAGGAATTGTAGTCCCAAAACATCTGGAGACCCAACTTTGGGAAACCTTGATATAGACTATTGTAGGATTCTCAGTACCATTAAAAACATACAAACTAGTGAAACTAATTTTGAGGAGTGCTCTGCTGCCGTAATCTCTCTATACTCTAATGTCAATTGGCAACTGGTTCTTTGTATAGCCATTGAGGAAAATAAAGGATTAAAAAAGAACCTTGGTTCCCTGACTTGCCATTTTGTATTCTAGCTATTTATAGATTTAACAGTTTGGCTGTTTGTGAATTCCACCCAGTGCCAGAGTATTGTTATCCTCTGATCCTGCTAATATTGTACCTTTCAGGTTGTTGACTTACTGCTGGCACGAGGCGCAAATAAAGAACACAGGAATGTGTCTGATTATACACCTCTTAGTCTTGCTGCATCTGGGGGATATGTTAATATTATTAAGATCCTGCTTAATGCTGGAGCGGAAATTAATTCAAGGTAACAGGCTGCGTTTATTGGGCTCTGTGGCATGCTGCATTTGCCACTTCTGGTTCTATCTTGGGAGGAGGAATAAAGGGGATGTCTAAGTCAACTGATCTATTTTGATCCTATTCAGTTGTATTAAACTATCATAATACGGGCTCCTGGTAACAAATGTGCAATTTTTTTATGTCTGTTTTTTATATATTAAAAGCTCACATGCTTTGTTAGTAGATTTCCCCCCTCAAATTCCTGCTAGTGTTTTTGGCATGTAAAATGGTGGTATCAAGTGAGACCAGTCTGCTTTAGTCTGCTCTAGTCTGCTTTTGTCAGTTAAGTTTGTATTCGATTTTTCTGTAAACTTGTGTCTATTCTTCCAGGGGGGGAAACTTGTTTTCTGTACATTTGTCTAGGTTATTTTGTTCTGGTGGTTGTATTAATTATCTCTTCCCTCTAGGACTGGGAGTAAGCTAGGCATTTCTCCTCTGATGTTGGCGGCTATGAATGGCCATGTTCCTGCAGTGAAGCTGTTGCTTGATATGGGCTCTGATATAAATGCTCAGATTGAGACCAATCGGAATACAGCGCTCACTTTGGCCTGTTTCCAGGGCAGAGCAGAGGTGGTCAGCCTGCTTTTGGACAGAAAAGCCAATGTTGAACATAGGGCAAAGGTGAGCCTGCAGATAGCTTTCTTCTCAAACAGACTTGTGGTAAAAATGGTTTTGGCAATAGACTTAGTTTAAAGCTTCCGGTTTTAACTATTTCAGTAATTTGAAATCAAGCCAACTTATCTTATCCATCACTGAGTATTGGAAGGCTTTATTGCTTTTACTTTAATAAATGTACCATTATTCATGATACCACATCATGGCTGACATTGCCTCAAAAGCTACACCTGATGGCAAGATACCTTACTGGTTATCATACTGGTTTTCACATAGTGGGTTGCAGCTATCCAAGCTAAAGTGGATTGCAGCCTAAAGTGCACCACACCACTTGTTTTGATATTAAATTAGAGTGAAGAGAAAATTGAAGCAGATATGAAACTTATGTACTTTTGTGTGGAATAGGGAATTTTGGCAGCTGTTTTTTTCTTGCCGTTGCATAATAGATTGTAACTGTAAAGTAGAGAGGCTCTCACTGTTGCAATAGCCTCTTTTTTTGCTGGTGGTCCTAGAGAGAAAAGGCAAAAGATGAACAGTGAAAAAATTGAGTGGCTCCTATATTGGAGGTGGGTGTTAAAGATGAATTCTGGATCTGAAAAGGATTAAGACTACCGGTTTACAGTAGGAGTGAGGAACCTCTGGCCTATAGACCAGAAGCCTCCTCATCTGCCCCACCAGCCTCTTCTTCCAGAGTCTGCCTACTCCATGTCCCAGTTTCTCTGGCCAAGCAACAAGAGAGTGGTGGTGGAAGAGATTACGAGCTGTCCAAAGAGTAAAAGATTGTTATTTTTCCATGGGCAGTTTGCTGCAGTGTGTGTAGGATATATTGGATGGTTGTGGCTTTATTCTTCAACACAAAGGAATGCAGCTCTCGAATCGAAAAAAGTTCCTCATTGATCGTTCCTCACTTCCTGTCAATTGATCTTTCCTCACTTCCTGTCAATAAGGGGAGAGAAAAGAGGAAAGGGATGGGGAACCTTCTGCAATTCGAGGACCGCATTCCCATTTGGACAACCTGACAGACGGTGCATGCCAGTAGTGGCAAAGACCCACTTCTCTTCCCTTATTGACTAAAAGTGCAGAACCCTTGAGGTAAATTGAAGATTAAAGAAATACATTAGCTTTGACTCAGTTTAGTTCCTGAACTATAGCCCTGTGGGAGCCTCTGCAGGAGGAGTCGTACAGGTGTATTGGAGAGAAGCAGGAAACAAAAGCCCAAACACTAGCCAAAGAAAATGCAAACTGCAAAGTCTTGAATATTGTGGTGAGCAGATTAATATTAACATTCTGAATATCATGCTAGTAAATAAGTGATGAGGTACTTTTGTTCAAATTGTTCAAGTGTGCAGTGTTCAAGGCAGCAAAGTTCTATACTAAAGCAAAGCATTGTATTTTGATGTAACATCCATTAAAGTGAACATTTATGCTGTACAGATGCTTCTTGAACATAATAGTCCCAAGACCTTACAGCTTTTTTTTTGACTTGTGAATCCATTGTGTGTGACTCTAGCTACCCTGAGTGATGTTGATAGGTCTTGCATTCATTGGGGTCCTTACATAGTGAAAGAGGTTGGCAACTGTTTCTAATTATGTTTAGAACTGCTTTATATAGACTCTGTTTCAAACATTCTTTTAAACAGACTGGGCTCACCCCTCTGATGGAAGCTGCTTCTGGAGGTTATGCTGAAGTTGGAAGAGTTCTTCTTGATAAAGGAGCAGATGTCAATGCTCCTCCTGTGCCTTCCTCAAGAGATACTGCTTTAACAATTGCAGCAGATAAAGGCCACTACAAGTTTTGTGAGCTCCTGATTAATCGGTATGTCATTGTTTTTACATGAATAACTATAACGACTAGAGTACCCACATACAAAAGTAGGTACCAGCAGACTCAGAAGAACCTGGTGGTTTTGCAGCACTATATAAAAAAGCCACAGGGAGGAGCAAAAACTAGTTCCTTAAAATTCAATGGCATAGAACGTTGAGACTGGCAGCATTCACACATCATAGTAAACCATAGTTAATGGTTTACCATGTGACTGCAGAAGGCTCCTGCTTCACTCCTTCCCTCTAACTAGTGGAACTTAGCATTGTAATATACTAAAGTTCTGCTCCTAACAAACCACAAAGTTAAGCCAGGCTTACCAGTCATGATTTGTTTGAATGAAACAAACTACCTGGTGTTGGACATAATGCTAAACTTGGTTTGTTGCTCCTGCTAGCTAGAGGTGCTGTGTGAAAATGTTGCAATCATCGTTTGGAGTAAACCATTGACTATGGCTTACTAAAGGGGTGAGGAAGCTGTGACCCTCCAGATGTTAAATTCTGCAACTCCCATCATCTCTGGCCATTCTGACTGTGGTCGATGGGAGTTTAGTCCAACGACATTTGGATGTGTGCAGGTTCCCATTCTTGCGTCTACTGTAACCTACAAACTGGGCTATTTGAGTGAAGGGGGAATTGCCAACTGGGTGGGAGGGGGAACAGAGTGGAACAGCTGGGAAGGATTGTAGGAGAGAGACAGATGTTAAGAGGTGCAGAGAACCATCTCAAATGAAGTTCATTCTCCATATTACAGATTGAAAGGGCTTGTGATAGGGAGAATATAGCAGCCCTGCAGTGTATTTAACATGCTTTACTGGTTGGACTGAACCAGAGTACAAACCCTGCACTGTTATCCATTGCATTTATCTCCACATTGCAAGCTGGGTTCAGAAAGTAGCATGCAACAACCCTGCAGTATAATTCACTGTTAATATTGCCAGTCAGGGGTGGTCACTATTCTAAAACTGCCCCTTTAGACTTTCCTTTGGGCCAAGTCAAGCACTGAGTTGCATTTACAAAGACCATTGCTCTATTGATTTTCATGCAGACTGTAACTAAAAAATTTGTAACTAAAAATATTTATTTTACACATGAAGTCAGACCAGAAACTCCTGTCTTTGATGCTCACTTTTGTGTTTTCCACTTCCTCAGCCACAAGTTCACATAATATATGCACCCATGATAACACCGCAGCTCTTAGTTGTGAGACCCCACTTGTAAGATAGTAAAGTCAATTCAGTCCCATGCATAAGAGGGAAGTATCAGCAAGCTTGGCAAGGTTTGCAGAAATAAAAAAAGAAAAACTTACAGAGAAAAAAGCCACTTTGCATGTTCCGATTGACATAGTGCTAACATGTTAGGAAAAGGATGGGATGATTTGAAACTCAGACCTTAAAATTTTGTTGTAGGCCCCTTTTTTGGAATTCTAAATTTCAGTTTAGTCTTTATAGCACATACCTCAAGATCATGGATGACGTTCTGAAGTTCTTAACAGCTTCCATATAACCAGTGTTTGTGAACTGAAATGTAGTTTCAATTTCTGCCTGGATTTTTTTGCCAGCTTGAATTTAATTCTAATTCCTTTCAGGGGGGCACATATTGACGTTCGCAACAAGAAAGGGAACACACCGCTCTGGCTTGCAGCTAATGGTGGCCACCTTGATGTAGTTCAACTGCTTGTGCAGGCAGGAGCTGATGTGGATGGTGCAGATAACAGAAAAATTACTCCCCTTATGTCTGCATTTCGTAAAGTAAGTTCATTGATGTTTCACAAAATTTAAATCTGAAAAAGTCAACTTGATGGTTTTTCCTATCTTTTATCTTAGAATGAATGAAATTTCCTCTTTTTCTGTTTTCCTGTTGCTGTTTGCCTTATGACGACCTTCCCCGACCTAGTGCCCGCTGTGTGTTTCTGACAGCTGCCCCCAGCCATTATGACTGATGGAGGGCAGTGGTTCAAAACATTTGGAGGGCACCAGGTTGAGAAAGCTTGCATTAGGAATTGATGTGAACTGTAAAGTTTGTACTTTACATTTGAAGAAGCAATTTCGCCTGCCTAAAACAATGTTTATGTCCGCTGATTCCCAGGATATAATTGCTACCTAGTTGTACTTACTCACTTCCTCCATAGTAATTGTGGAACTGCCTCAAATGGTCATGATCCTGACACTCAGAGCAGGACATACCCTCAACATGTTTTGGTCTTCAGGTGGGGAATGGTCATGGTCAGACCACTTCCTGGTAAAGTTTGTTATTGTAACTGCTATTCATGCCTGCAAGAGTGGAGGACCAGTTCAGATTGTCCGTTCTGAGGCTGATGGACTCTAATGGCTCTGGAGGATTTCCCAGTGGAAAAAGTAGGTGATTTTGTTGCGGTTCTTGTTTTGCTGTGGAGCAGTGAGACAAGAAGGGCTGCTGACATGATCATTCCCAAACCTGCTCTTCAGTGCTGTGGAGATCACATTGCTTGCTCATATTCCCAAGAGCTGCAGTTGATGAGATGGAAAGTGATGAAATCTTGCTTTCAAACTGGCTAAACACTCGTTAGGAGACATAATCCTATTGTACTGCATCCATTGCTCCCTCAAGGAGTCAGCTAGCAGGTCCAGAGACTTGTTACCCTGGATTCGAGTGCAGATCCATGAAATCATATCTGCAAGTAGTTTGCAGTACCCTTTAAAGACAAAGTCTTCATCTTGACTTGGATGCCACTGTCCAATCACGATGTCCAGTGCTACACCTGGATCATTTTCAGTTGATGTTGCCTGATGATGTAGCCAGGATACTTACAGCAATGCCTTTGACCACATGCACTCTAGACTGTGGCTGGTCAAAGCTAGCTAGAATTTGGGGTGACTACATGGGTCCAGGATGTTATGAATGCATCACTGCATGATGGGGTGGTCCCAGCTGCTCTTAAAGAGGGGGGTAGTGCAATTACTCCTTTAAAAACCTATCCTGGACCCACTACTGGTCAGCCATCAATGTCCCTTTTGCAGGGAAGGTGGTGGAGCAACATCCAAGTGTTCCTGGATGTCACTGATTATCTGAATCCACTTCAGTCTGGTTTTAGGCCTGATTAGGGGCTGAATCAGCCCTGGTGGATGACCTTTATTGAGAGGGACAGGCAGATTGTGATCCTGTTACTCTTAGTTTCCCAGAGGCTTTTCATACTGTTGATCCTGGTATCCTCCTAGATCAGCTGTGTGGCCTGGTTATTTGAGATACTGGGCTGGATTCAGCTAATGGTCCTGCTACTGGAAGCCTATTCAAGGACTTCCACTAGGGCAAAGGGGCTGTCCTGCCTCCTGCTCTCCGCCCCCCGCCCCCATGACTCAGGTGGAAGTCAGGAGAACCCCCACGGAAAAAAACCCCACCCAACAACCACGTAGGAGGAGAAGAGAGATTGTTCTGTTGAGGAAGGTGAAATGCTTGCACTGACAGAACATTTGTAACAGTGCAACATCAAATTCCTCCTTTACAAAGGTTCCATTTCTAGCTGTGTGGTAAAGTTCTGAGAGTAACATTGGGGCACTGCTCTTCAATCTTCTGGCAGTTGTGCTGTGGGGCTCCACGGGGGTACCGTTTTGTCCTCAACTATTTAACATCTAAATATGGAAGATGCCATTAGGAGTTTTGGAGTATGGTGCTAGCACTACACTGCTTTTTTCCTCTATAACATCTGAATCGGGAGAGGCTGTTAAAGCCCTGGACCATTGCTTTTAATGCAGTGGTGGTCTGGATGAGGGCAAATAAACAGCATTTGAATTCTGGAAAGACAGAGGCATTATAGGTAGGTGGTTTCAGTGTCCAGAGGATAGGACAGTTGCCTTTTTTAGACAGGGTTTCACTTCCTCTAAAGGAGGAAGTACGTAGCTTGGGGATTACTCCCGGGTAAATCGTTATCATTCCAGACCCAAGTGACCTCTGTAGCTGGCATGCCTTTTACCAGCTTTGTTGGGTATGTCTGCTACCACTATATCTGGATCAGAATAATTTTGGCCACTGTAGTACATGCATTGTTAATCTTGGCATTTGATTGATTGCTTCCAGCCCTTGGTCTGGAAGCTCCAATTAGATGGGGGGTAGATGACTGGCAGCATGTGACCTCTGATAGATATCATATCATATATCATATATGTGCACTGGCTGCCTGTATGCTCCCTGACCAAGTTCAAGGTTAAACAAAGCCCTGAACAGCTTGGGTCCAGGATACCTTGAGGTATCCTGATCCTTGAGCCTGATCACTGAAATCATCTAGAGGAGTGCTGTTGGTTGTTCTCCATGTTCAGAAGCCCAGCTGGCCTCAATCATAAGTCTGGTATTAATGTTGCTGGTTCTGTGCTGGAAACACTTGCTTTTGATTTTCTGTTGAAGACCTTGTTATGCTGGCAGGCCTATGCAGTTGTTTAAAGTTTTAATGATTGTTTTGTACTGTTTCTAATGGTGTTTTATGTTTTAGTGTATACATATTGGTGTGTACCATTCTGATAGGAGATGATAAATGAATAAAACCTTGGTGCTGCTCTTTTTTTTTTTCAGGGTCACGTAAGAGTAGTGCAGTTTTTGGTAAAAGAAGTTAACCAGTTTCCTTCAGACATTGAATGCATGAGGTACATAGCAACAATAACTGACAAGGTGAGTGCCAGAAAGGCTCCCAATGTGTTCTTAAATGATGTGGTGCACCACCTGCAACTTAACAATGATTAAAATCAACAGTGGCGGTTTTTCCCCAGCAGTAGCTCCCATATTTATTTTTAATAATGCATAGATAAATTCAACAGATATTGATGCTACTGAGCATGAAGCCAAATCTAATAAATATTGATAGTCTTCTTGAAAACCAAACATATACAGAGATTGAACATAGCCTACCTTGGTTATTTTAGAGGAAAGGTGAACTATAAAAAATGGAAACAATTATGTCTTGGTTCTGTGATATGTTTATGAAACTGAGTGTTAGACCACTTGGATCTATTAACTTGCAAGCAATGTTGCTATCTGACAATGAACAGCTAGGTGTCCCCACCCCGAATTCTTGAGTGAGGGCATTTTCTCCGTTGTAGGTGTGGTGTGTTGGTGGGGAGGGGACGGTCTCTATTCACCACTTAAAACAAACAGACAAAAAAAACAGATTGCAAGACTTTTATAATTGAAGATCGCAGCTCCCAAATAATTTAGGGGAAAAGTCTGAAAGAAAAAAAGTTCACAAAATGAGGTCAGACTAAAGGGAGGATTTTCAGCACTTGTTACATCACTCTCACAAGATCCAGTAGGTGCCCTCTCACAAGATCCTGTATAGTGGAACCACATTATACTATACAAGTATATTAGCAATGCATGTTTCATATGTAGGTAGAACAGCATTGTTCATGTACCAAATATTGAAAGTGCTTATTTTTAAAAACTTTATTCAAATAGAGATTATATCCAAAAAGCACATCCTTGATGGAAATTGCGTGGACTGTGCACAACAAATTGGAAATAAATGTATGTAGGTTGGACAAAAATGAGGTTCAGAGAGAGGGGGTGAGGCTGTTGAAAACTGGTGTATTTTCACAGGCCTGCATTGGAAATGTACAAGGGAGGCATTGCATCTATTATCCAACACGCCTGCCTTCCACCAGTACCCAATAGCTGAATTTCAACAAGCACTGGATTTTTTAACAAAAATATTGTGTTCAGTTTTACCGCATATGTCTTAACTACCATTATATAGAGATATATACGCAGCTGCTATTGTGAAGGGCTGTACTTCACAATATGTTAGACTTTGTGAATTGACATGGCTGAATGCTTTTGCCACTGGAAAAAAGACCTTCCAAAATGTTAGCAAGAAGGCTAGGAGTGAATGCTTCTCTAAGATGCTAGATTTCCCCTAGTAGGAATATGTATGGGGAAACATTCGGTAGGAGGGAATAAATCTTGTCTGAAGTAGTAAAGACTTTTCTGGTCTGTACCATATCCAACATCTGCAAATCTGGATTTGCCTAAGGAAATTGATCACCTTTACTTCCATTAGTAGTTATGGTTTTGCACCTATTATCAAGGGTAGCATAAGAAATGCTTTCTAGATTTGGAATGCCATGCTATAGTTGTATTCTAAAAGTAGGCAGGTGGACACCTGGCCAGCACAAGGCCTGTCAGTTGAAACAATAAACTCTTATAGTATTAAACTTGCAGCTTCAGTATAAATTCTGCTCTTTTTGCATTGAAAGATCAGTTAGCACATGTATGGCAAACAAATTGATAATTGCTTTAAAAGCTGTATTTTCAGAAAACTGTAGATCAGCCTAACAGTAATCAAAAATCACTAGTTTTAATTCATTACCTACAGACATATTCTCTGGTACTCCATTTGTATATGCCAGTGAAGTAGTTCTTAGACACCAAGAACTTGGTGAACTTGCTGAACCTATCTTTCCTTTTCACAAACTTTCTACTGTATAGGATTTGCTGAAGAAATGTCACCAGTGTGTTGAAACAATTGTGAAGGCAAAGGACCAGCAAGCAGCTGAAGCAAATAAGAATGCAAGCATCCTGCTAAAAGAGCTAGATTTGGAAAAGGTAAGATGATAGAGTACTTCCCCTTGCTTAAATACTGTTACATAAATCAAGTGAAATCCTCTCTCAGACTTATGCATGCACCTGTGTGGGATAAATGCAGCAGAGGATTAATCTGAGTCTGCTGTGGATTTTAATTTTCTGGAGTAAGCCACCATCACTCCTTCAAGGCTAGCAAGACTTCTAAATCAAATGGGTATAAATCTAACAGTTGAAAATCCTAACCATCCCCATGAGCCACATTCTGGATTAGATTTGGCCTTCTTCCTACATCTTCCTGTGTAACGTAGCAAGCTAGTAGTTACTAAAGCAGTATCTTGCGGTTGGGGGGGATTCCAAAGTAAAGCTTACTTTAGTTATGGATAGTAATAACACAAAGTGGTCCACTACACTATGGTCTACTTTGGACACCCTTTCTCAGCCTCATACATTTATAAAGCTTGAAACAAGTGTCAAGAGTCCCAGCACTCCTGCTTCACCTTGTGTGCTTGATCACCACTTTTTTTAGCTTTTAGTAAGCATATGCTTCCTTCGGGGGACTCTTGAGTTCATGTTAATTAGTCAGGATCGTATTCATGTTTTATGAAGCCTAGACTTAAACATACATTAAACTAAATGTAGTCCACTAAAAACAGGTATAAAAAATTGGTCTACAATTGCAATACAGTGGTACCTCGGGTTAAGTATTTAATTCGTTTCGGAGGTCCGTACTTAACCTGAAACTGTTCTTAACCTGAAGCACCACTTTAGCTAATGGGGCCTCCTGCTGCCGCCGGAGCATGATTTCTGTTCTCATCCTGAAGCAAAGTTCTTAACCTGAAGCACTATTTCTAGGTTAGCGGAGTCTGTAACCTGAAGCATATGTAACCCGAGGTACCACTGTATAAAAGAGCAGGACCACTGCAGATTGATTTATATTCAGTATTTGAAGGTGGCTTTCAGGGTTTCCACTCTTAAGGACAATCTAGGCATATCTGTAGACAAATCTAATACAAAACACATTTGTAGCACAGTTGACCTAAGCAACAGTGCGCTTTCCCACACAGGATGAGATCTGTGGGAGCCAAGCCAGATAGGAAAAAGCACTTCTGTTTACTTTCATTTTTTTACTTTTTCGTTTTACTTTTTAATTTTACTTTCATGTTTAGGGAAGTTTTTAATGTTTGATGAGGTATTGTTTTTAATATTCAGTTGGAAGCCGCCCAGAGTGGCTTGGGAAACCCAGCCTATTATTATTATTATTATTATTTTATTTTATTTTATTTTATTTGTGTGGGGGATCATTCATTATGGAGGTTTCTTGAGCCAAAAAGAAGACACTGGAGAATTTAGAATTCTTTATATAATGCATTTGCTGTAGTTATCAATGTAGATATGTTTATATTCTATATTGGTGTGTAATCAGGTATATTGTAAATTATTTTTCCACAGTCCAGAGAAGAGAGTAGAAAGCAGGCTCTTGCAGCAAAAAGAGAGAAGAGGAAGGAGAAGAGAAAGAAGAAGAAAGAAGAGCAAAAACGAAAACAGGAAGAAGATGAGGAGCACAAACCTAAGGAAACACTAGAGCTGCAAGAAGATGAAGATGAAGATGAGAATGATGATGATGGTGAGGAATTCATCACTCCTTCAACTTAGCTTTCTAAACTTGTATTTTTTGGATTTAAAACTCTTCTAAAGCACAGAGTGAAAGTAATTTTTACATGTGTTTTGGTAATAATTGGTCACTTCATTTGAGTAAGGAAATCCAAGTCATGTGTGAGGGACTCTGTTAGCAGTGTACATCGTACACAAACAATTGCTTTTCCTTTCTAATTTATATAACTAGTAGAGTTGTATTTAGAATGACTCTGTAGCGAAGAAAAGGCTTAGTCCAGAAAATACATTTTGAAAAAGATGGGTTTTAAAACCCATTTAAAAATGCATAGTTTCTGTGCTTCTGTGTGTAGGAGTGTAACAGGCTGGGAGCTGCCACAGAAAAGGCCCCGTTTCTCATGCCTGGCAACCAAATTGACATCATAGGAAGGTACACAAACAGGGCCTCTGAGACTTATCTCAGTGCCCAGGCAAGTTTGTATGATTGCTTCATACAATTATCCTTCAGATAATTCTGTCTCAAACCATATAGGGCCTTCAAGGTTAATACAAGCACTTTGAATTGCATCCAGAAACGCACCTATAACCAGTGCATTTGGTACAGAATTGGTGTCATGTCCTCCAGTTCCCTTGCCCCTACCAACATCCTAGCAGTGGAAACCTGCACCAGTTGGAGTTTCCAGACCATCTTCAAAGGCAGCCACACAAAGAATCCATTATGGTAATGTCTTGGATGTAATATGTGCGTGGATTACTGAGGCAAGGTCTGGTCTCTCTAGATAGGGCCATAGCTGCTGTATCAGCCTAAACTGGTAAAAGGTATTCCTAGCCTAATCCCAGGATGCAAGCCAGAGTGCTTCCCCATTCAGGACTGTTAAATCATTCCATCCATGGAGAGCACCTCCGTCTTGTCTGGATTAAGCCTCAGCATGTTCACCCTCATGTATGCCAGAATCGTTTTCAGACACCTGTTCAGATGTTCCACAGCTTCAGGAAGATGCAGGCAATGCTATTTTTCTAGAAAAAGAGGTGCCCTAACTCACCGTGAAAGCTTCCATTGTTCTCTTATAATGGCACCGAGTTCCAGCTGGGGGAAAAACAAACCTGGTTGTAGGTTAGAACTAGGTGTTGTCTGTATATTGGTGACACCAAAGTCCAACTCTCCATGTTAAACAGCGTGTGGACAGAATAATACCTTGAAGCACCCCACAGATCAAGGGTGAGAACTTGAAGGCCCCCAGCACCACCTTGGACTGATCCTTTAGGACGCTCTGGAGCCAACATACTACAGTGCCTCCCATGCCCAACCTAACAAGACAGCCCCAAAGGATAATCTTTATCTTTCCTCTTCTGCCACAACCCAGTCAAACTGTAGATTTAAACTCTGCTTTGGGAAAGGATCTGTGTGTCTTACATAATGGATACTGTAGGCACTGTGTCTATTACCCTTGGCCATCCAACAATCACCTGCTCTCTCAAGTATCCCTTCCTGTTTCTTCTTCACACCCGGGTTCTTCCCCCCCCCCATAATTCTGATGACGGGAACTGACTTGAGCACCACTTATTCCTATGGCACTGGGTAACGTAAGTCCTGGTTACAGCCCCTTCTGAATGGCTCATCTCATCTCTACCCTAACCATGTGGGAAGAAGTTCTGCAGCAACTCTGGGGTAATGCAAAAATGGGACTCAAGCTGTACTGACACTTTTTTTACTCCCTTGTTAGTAACTCAGCCAAAGCCGCCTCTTCCCTAAAGCTTTTGAAATCACCTTCGAATCTCATCCCTCTGAAATGAAGCTTTGCATGTTAATAGTGTCCAATTTCAGACCATCTGAGTTCTTGCTACCCTGTAAAGTACCTTATACATTGATGCTATATAGTTCTATATGATAACATACAAAAGAAAATCAACAAATAGTTCCTAGAATAGCAGGTTTCAAAAGAAGTGCTTTTTTAATTCATCCGTTGTGATTTAAACAGCTAGTAAAGCATTTAAAAAATAGATTTAAAACCAGAATCCTAAAAGTCTGGTCTAACCTGCAGAAAAACTCTGCCTTTGATGTCATGGTACAAGTCACTACCATTCTGATACAGTTTTTTTTGGGGGGGCCCCCACTGTTCCCATCATTAAGTTTTATTTTTTTTAAATCTGTTTTGTTTCAGTTGATCAAGAAGTTCCTTTAGAGCCTCCAAGTGCAACCACTACAACTACTATTGGAATATCTGCAACATCAACTACTTTCACAAATGCTTTTGGAAAGAAGAGGGCCAATGTGGTAACAACTCCCAGCACAAATAGAAAGAATAAGAAGAATAAAACAAAAGACACTCCTCAAAATGTGCAGATAATTTTGCCAGACCAGCATATAACTCTAGCACAGCAAAAAGCAGATAAAAATAAAATCAACGGAGAGCCAAGAGGCGGTAGTGCTGGTGGGAATAGTGATTCTGACAACTTAGACAGCACAGATTGCAATAGTGAGAGCAGCAGCGGTGGTAAAAGCCAGGAACTAAACTTCACTATGGACACACACTCTTCAGGCGAGAGACGATATGCCTCAGTACTGCTCCCTTCTCAGGAAGACAAGACTAACACCTCAGTTTCCAAAGTGCAAACCAGGTGAGTCACAAGTTACATCTCCATTACTGAAGCTTTTAATGAGTCTTTTTCATGCTAGCTTGATGCTGAAATGTTTCTGAATGCACATGTTTTGGACCTTGGGCTTCAAGGTTGGGGGATTAGAGGCTTTAAATTACCTTATAGATCCCCAAATTAGATGTTACTAAGGAGATGAGCTCTCCTTGGTAACCTCTAATTCATCCCTCCTGATAAAAAGCAAAGCAAAGCAATTAAAAGCAACAGCTGCACGTTAATCCTCAAGGACAACAGTAACAGCAAATGAGTTTTGCCAGAATGTAACTTTGAAGACAGGGTTGGGCAGCAGGTTCTCTGACCTCATGGTGAAGGTGGGTGTAACAGATGCTGCTTGCTCTGCACATGAGCACCTGTTCTCCTCTTAGCAGTTGTCATCCTCCTGCATCAAAGGTTTCCTGTTGGTGGGAGCAGTGACCATTAGCATGCAAGTGTGTTGCTTAGCCAAGGCTAATGGTTCCCAATTCCCCATAATCTAGAGCAGGGGTGGCTAACATGATGCACAGGCCATTTCCCCCCGCTGCACCCACCTGTCCCATCCATACCTGACATGACTGCAAAGGAACTATTGGGAATATTAGGGTGCACTTTATACAGTGGTACCTCAGGTTACATACACTTCAGGTTACATATGCTTCAGGTTACAGACTCCGTTAATCCAGAAATAGTGCTTCAGGTTAAGAACTTTGCTTCAGGATGAGAACAGAAATTGTGTTCCGGTGGCGTGGCAGCAGGAGGCCCCATTAGCTAAAGTGGTGCTTCAGGTTAAGAACAGTTTCAGGTTAAGAACGGACCCCCGGAACGAATTAAGTACTTAACCCGAGGTACCACTGTATTGTCCCTGTGCAAGCAAGGCTTGCATTCGGAACCTTCTAAAATTTAGCACGGAATGCAAGGCCCACCGGAATTTACTGCTTGATAAGGAACAGTGGGAAGCTCCCTTTAATGCTCCTGGTGATTCCTTTGCAGTTGTGGGTTTGCCTGCCCCCACAGTTGATGTCGTGTGTGGGCAAGTGGGTGTGGTTAGACAGAAACAGCCCTGTGGGCCTAATTAAGTCCCTTTAAAAGTTTCCCATGCTTGTTTTAGAGAGATCCTGTGAATACATGTTGGCTACAGGCCTACGCTTCATGATTAGCTAGTTCCGTATTCTTTAAAAGATTCATACCTTACATTTCTTATAAATAGTACAAGGTACCTAAGAACATCACTATTAAAATAACAAAACATCAAGTTTTTACAAGATCTAAGCAGAGTGGCTGGGGAAACCCAGCCAGATGGGCGGGGTATAAATTGTTGTTGTTGTTGTTGTTATATAGCATAAAAAGATAAAACAAATCTTTAAAAGCAACAACAGAAGATGAAACAATTACAACTGACATATCTAAGTAGCTCAAAATCAGCCAGCTACTAAAACCAGATGTTATAGTCCAAAGTCAAGTCTTCTTTTTTAAACAAAAATATTTGGCATTCACTATAGTTTCAAGTGGCAGGAGCATGACAAACTTGTTGAGCACCAGGGCCTTGGTACAGCTATGAAGAAGGTCCTTTTCATGGTCACAGCCAGATGGATTTCAGTTATAGTTGCAATATATACCAGTTTTGTTCTGCCCAGCACACACAGGTTCTGCCTCTACACTATTCAAACCTTCTAGAACTAAACCTAGATACTTCTGGTGTAAAAGATCTGCTCTTTGACTATAGTGCTTGTGGCCTATGGGGTGAATTCCACATTTTTCTGTTCAGTTATCTTTTCAGCCACCATTTTATCATTAGGGAGAATTTCTTCTTTGTCTTTCATCCAAGTGACATCTTCAGAATTTTCTAATTGGGTCTCTTCACATACCATGTAACATGAACTGGCCCAATACCAAGTACCAGGTGGTTTTTGAGTACATTCTAGTCACAACCTTTGAATGGTGCTCCATATGTATTGTTCTACCTGGCCCCAGTTGTCAACTTAAGCTGAGTGGACACTTCAGATGTGGGCTATCCTTATCCTTGTTCATATGAAGATACCTGCATCCAGTATCTCAATAACTAGCTTACCAATCTCCTATGTTTGTGCCCCCACAAAAAAAACACAAAGCTGAGGTTGCTTACCTGAAATTGATGTTTCCTACATAGCTATCTGTGCATCCACACAGTTGGTCTTCCTTGTTGCAGGTAGCTATATAACTATGATACTTAAGTGCCAAGCAGGAAGTTGTGGTACATTTACACTACACTTGGGCAGATCGTTCGTGCCAAAAGTTAGTTTTAAATTCAAAAAGTTCTGAACAATGCTGTGCACAAGTTCATAACCTTTAAGCGTATTTGCATAATTACCACTCATAAGAACACTAGAGTCAGGTAAGCAGGCTGTTCAACAGTCCCCCATCCCCTTTGCACATAATTAATGCAACTGTTGCCACAAAATAATTTACGCTGCCATTAAGTGTTATCAAAAGTTATTAATCTTTTATCAAAATAAGTGCCCCCCTACATAATCATTAGCGCTCATCTGTTGATAGAGCTTCCTGTATTAGGACCAAATGTTCCATATTCTGTGCTCACCTGAACTCATCTGGAAATAGGATTATGCTGCCTGAGCACTTGGAGGACTCTATTGATAACAATTTGTATCATTGACTTACATGGAATTCAGTAATTGGAATTGAGATTTGGATCGTTTGGTGGCAGGCAATCTATAATCAAACTTATCTTTGTTTTTAGACTTGAAGGTGAAGCTAATCCAAACTCCTTAACAACAAGTTATAAATCTGTGTCCTTGCCTCTGACGTCTCCGAACATAAAGTTGAATCTGACTAGTCCAAAAAGAGGGCAAAAAAGAGAAGAAGGCTGGAAAGAAGTAGTGAGAAGGTAAGTTGTTTTCATGCAGTTTCATGAATGGCATCTGACCAGTTTGAGCATGATTGGTAATTTGGTCAGTTTTGAATTGGGGGTGAAGGTATGACAGTATACAAATGGTAGTGGATACACGTGTCAGATTTTTTAAAAAAGCACTTGGCATTTGCTAACTTTAACATACATTATAAGTCTTAAATGCTGTGGACTTGAGGAGCAAACATTAGGGTCACATGCTCTCTCCTATCACACAAACTTAAGTAGCATCACATAAGCAGCGCCTACTCATGGATCCTAGTTCACAGTGAAGGTTCTGCACGTGGAGGTGGGGAGTTGAGCCTAAGGTTTGTGTATGCACCCCATTATGTAAAGCTGAGATGCTGGGTGTCTGGGAAGCAGACTGTCAATTCTCTTGTAAGAGCCCTGTTGTTGTTGTTGTTAAGTTAGTAAGGCTCGAGGATGCAGACAAGGTGCTTGGATTAGTCAGGGCGACCACTTATGCTCTGGACCCTTGTGGCTGATAAAAAACTAGCAGTGAGGAGACAGCTGGCTGGGCCAGTCAGGTGATTCATGCCTTCTTACGAGAGGGGTTGGTCCCTGCCTGCTTGAAGGAGACAGTGGTAAAACTACTCCCGTTCTTGGGCAAGGTTCTAGAGTGGATGTTCATGCACCAGATTCAAGCGCTCTTGGTGGAAACTGAATTTCTAGATCCATTTCAATTGGGGGGTTTTTGGGTTTTTTGCCTGGTTTTGGCTCAGAAACTGTTCTGGTCACTCTGTATGTTGACCTTTGCTGGGAGAGAGACAGAAGAAATATGTCCTTGTTTATTCTTCTTAACCTCTTAGCAACTTTCAATGCCATCAATTTCTGGAGCAGTTGTCTGCGTTGAGGGTAGATGGCACCACTTTGCAGTGGTTCCAGTCCTACTTGGATGGTGGTTCTCAGAGGGTGATGCTTGGGGAGTGCTCTGCAGCCTCGTGGAACCGTCAATGTGGAGTTCCTCAGGGCTCGATTTTATCCCCTCTGCTGTTTACATGAAACCGCTGAGTGGGGTCATTTGGAGTTTTGGAGTACGTTGTCAGCAATATGCTGATGACACAGCTCTGCTTCACCTTAACTTCTGCAGGTGAGGCAGTGGGTGTGCTGGACCATTTTCTTGCCTCAGTAATGGACCAGATGAGAGCCAACAAGTTGAAGCTCAGTCCAGATAAGACTAAGGCACTGGTCTGGATGGATGGGAGGTTGCCTGCTCTTGATGGGGTTATACTGCCTCTGAAGGAGCAGGTAAGCAGCTTGGGGTGCTCCTGGATCCTTTGCTGTCGCTTGAGCCTCAGGTGGCCTCAGTGGTGCTGATTGCCTTCCATCCGCTTTGACTGGTGGCCCAGCTGTGCCCCTGTCTGGACAGGGATAGCCTAACTTCTGTGTCTGTGCTCTGGAAACCTCTAGGTTGGAATACTGAAATGCATCATACATAGGGCTGCCTCTGAAGACAGTTCAGAAACTTCAGCTGGTGCAGAATTTGGCAGCCAGGTTGCTTACAGGTGCAAGACAGTGTGAGCATATACTGATCCTGGCCGGACTACAGTGGCTGCCAATTAGCTTCCAGACCCAGTTCAGAGTGCTGGTTTTGACCTATAAAGTCTTAAACAGCTCAGGACTGCAATACCTCAAGGACAAACTCACCTCATATAAACCAACCCGGAGCCTGCAATCATCATCTGAGCCCTTCTTTGTGTGCCTCCTCCATGAGAAGTCTAGAGGGTGGCAACACAAGAATGGGCCTTTTCCGCAGTGGCTCCCCATTTGTAGAAGGCTCTCCCCAGAGAGGTCCATCTGGCACCTTCATTATATATCTTTAGGCACCAGGCAAAAACATTCCTCTTCAACCAGGCCGTTGGCTGATTGATATTCTACACATAGCTGTCAATGTTTCCCTTTTAAAAAAAAGGGAAATTCCCTTATTCCGAATAGGGTTCCTCGCAAGAAAAGGAAAAAGTTGATAGCTATGATTCTACAGTTTTTTAAATGTGTTTGTGAGAGGAGAGGTTTTTGTTTTAACTACTTATTTTGTTCTTTTATCTTGTGAACTGCTTTGAGATGAAGGGCAGTATATAAATTTAATAAATTATTATTATTAATTAAATTTCTGTACTACCCTTCAACCGAGGAGCACAGGCCTATTTACATTATAAAAAGTACACTTAATAGATGCAAACAACTTTGACATTTTAAATCTGAGCCGTTAATATGAAACCATATACTTTTCCATATGTAACAGTTCTGATGTAACTTTTTTCTTGGCTGCTGATGCATTTGTAAACATATTAACAATAGTGAATCTTGTAGAAATATGTATGCTTCCAAAGCCTTCCCTTTCTTTCAAACTATTTTAAAAAGAGATATTTTGCTATCCTAAAAGAGCTATAGATTCTGCCCTGTCTGGAGCACAGTGATTCTAATGAAGTACTTAATCCTGTTGAAATGGGGAGGACAATAAGCCATTAACTGCTCAACTGATTTCAATGGGCCTTAAATGGACTGCCATCTAAATTATGTACAATATCAGGTTCCATATGCCTATCACTCCAGTTTCTTAAGATTTCCTAGTGTTTTAAATAATTGTGATATTTTAGTCTTGACTAATCTAGGGTATAATTAGAACATGTTTTGGAAGTGCCTACAGTAGTTCCATATGTGTAGAGCTGAGTAGATCTGGGACCTGCTAATATCTGGCTTGGAGATCCCTTGGGTTTCCACAGAGATTGATAATATATATGTAACAAATAAAACAGGGGAAATGAGAGAAGGTTTTCTTGTCTGGACCTGAGCTTGAAAATGTATGACTCGAAACTTTTTTCATCTCTTGCCTAGAAAACTAAGGAAAATTGTATTTTCTATCCTTGACAGGCAAGTAGGCAGAGTTTTAAAGGACCCTTCCCCTAACAACACTCTGCAGTCAACGCCAATTGAACAGTTTCAGCTGCAGAGAGGCGGACGCTGCCTTTCAGGAGCAAAAAGGTACTTTGGTGGTATTCAAAAATTCTGCATTGGAATTGAAGAGGATTTATGAATAGGCTGTAGATGAGGCTGTGAGCAGAATCAATGAGGGTTTGGAACTTCAGGGAGTATGGATTACAGGGGTTTATGTATCACTGTCGGAACTGAGCTGAAGAGAGGAAGAAAATAGAATCCATGTGAGGAAGTGTTGGGGAAAGGGCTTTTAAACTTCCAAGGCTGCTGGAATTGTTGGAGGGAATGTCATTTTTTAAAATAACTAAAGGAAAAGATAGTGACTCAACAAGTACAAGATATATAATAACAGGGATTAAAAAAAAAAAACCTTTCCATGACTTTCAGCACACATGGAGCTTCTTCATTAGTGTTTTCAGAGCTGTAGGGTAAAATATGTGGTATATCTCCAGTTCTAAAGCATGCATAGCAGTTAAAAGGCATAGTAACCATTCAGTTTGTCAGTAGTACACATATTCTCAAGGGGGGCTTTTTAAAAGTTTGGCAGTTAATGTGTGAATTACAGTAGCATTATCTGAAGAGCTATTAGCCTAAGTTAAACAAAAATTCACATGCCCAGAACACACATCTAACAAGGCCCAGAATATCCGCAAGAATATCACTTTAACTATCCTGAGATGCTTGGCTAGTTATCAAAATGACATACTATAATATTTGGTTAAAGGTAAAGGACTCCTGGACAGTTAAGTCCAGTCAGAGGCGACTATGGGGTGCAGTGCTCATCTCGCTTTTCAGGCCGAGTATATTATAATACTACCTAAATCTCTTAAACTTAAAAGCAGGAAGCCCTCAAAACATTTATAATTTTTGTCATTTAGGTCAAAAAAGCTCTCTGTCCCAGCATCCGTTGTTTCTCGAATAATGGGAAGAGGTGGGTGCAACATCACAGCAATCCAGGATGTCACTGGTGCTCATATTGATGTGGACAAACAAAAAGATAAAAATGGAGAGAGAATGATCACAATAAGGTAGAGTGCCTAAAATCTAATGTTTAAAGCTCATGTTTTTCAAATGGATTTAAGTTGTACTGAACTGAGCCTTGTGTTCTAAAGATGATCCTGCCTTCTCTATTTCAGGGGTGGAACAGAATCAACAAGATATGCAGTACAACTTATTAATGCCCTTATTCAAGATCCTGCCAAGGAACTGGAAGATTTAATTCCTAAAACTCATATAAGAACACCTGCTTCCAGCACCAAGTCAGTCCATACAAATTTTTCATCTGGCGTCAGTACTGCTTCAGCTTCAAACAAAAACTCATTTCCCCTTGGAGCTCCATCTCTTGTCACCTCTCAGTCATCAACGCTGTCTACCTTCCAGTCTGCTAACAAATTAAGCAAGAATGTCCCTGCAAACGTGCGCTCTTCTTTTCCAGTCTCTCTTCCCTTAGCTTATTCCCACCCTCACTTTGCCATATTGGCTGCCCAAACTATGCAACAAATTCGTCACCCTCGCTTACCGATGGCCCAATTTGGAGGAACATTTTCAACCTCTCCAAACACCTGGGGACCATTCCCAGTGAGGCCAGTTAACCCAGGCAGCACAAATAGCTCTCCAAAGCATAACAGTTCAAGTCGCGTAGTTAACCAGAATGGCAATATTTTGCAGCCTGAATCCACGGGTTTAGCTCCCACTTGTCCTGGTACTGTCTCTTCAGTAGTTGCATCCTCTCAGCCACTCTGTGTTACAAGTAACCGGACTCCATCATCGGTCAGGAAACAGTTGTTCGCTTGCGTTCCTAAAACAAGTACCATGACGACAGCGATCTCAACTGTGACAACTACATGTAGCACACTGCCTTCAGCTTCTCCTGCACCTGAAAACACTGGGCATGTTCCCACTACATTTCTACCCGCTAGTGTTCCACAGGCACAGCAGTCTGCACTTAAAACAGATGCTGTTTCTTCTGCCCCAGTACCCAAAGAAAAGGCATCAACACCAGAACAATCTGTTGGAAACGCATGTGTGCCATCATCGGTTGCTGCTAGCAGCAATATCTCATCTGGCAGCACTTCAGGAGTCATAGAAACGTGCACATCTAGCAGTCCTGCACCTCCAAACAACGCGCAAGATGAAACACTGCCGACCAATATGTCTGACTTAAGTCCTCCCATATCTATGCCTTTTTCTTCCAGTTCAGAACCTACTCCATTAAGCTTAGCTTCACCTAGATCGGTTGCTACGGATAATCAGGACAATGGTACCTTACCTCAGTTAGCTGTACCAGCACCCCGTGTCTCTCACAGAATGCAACCTAGAAATTCATTTTATTCAATGGTACCAAATGCAAACATACATCAGGAACCTCAGTCCATTTTCGTTACAAATGCAGTACCTTTGACACCTTCGCAAGGGCCGCCACCCACAGTTCAGCTGTCATCGCCCATGAACGTTATGAACGGTTCTCAGATGCATATTAACCCAGCAAACAAATCCTTGCCTCCTACATTTGGCCCAGCAACACTCTTCAATCACTTTAGCAGTCTTTTTGATAGCAACCAGGTGCCAGCTAACCAGGGATGGGGAGACTGCCCACTGTCCACACGAGGAGCAGCAGACCAACCTTACACTGTCCAGTCTACGTTTTTGGGTAACTCTGTGATGGGGCACATGGAAAATGTGCATCCTGATAACTCCAAGGCTCCAGGGTTCCGGCCTCCTTCCCAGAGAGTTTCAACTAGTCCTGTAGGTGAGTTGCTATGTTCTGCATGGAAAGGGAGATAATTCTTCATGGCCTCTTGATAGCAATTGAAAAGCTTCCCCAAACTTTAAAATTGTTTCTGTGATCCTGAACCAGAGGAATACTGAAAACAAGAATTGTGTTGGGTCTTTGATTATTTTTACTCAGTTGATATTTTCTTCATAATGTGACTTAATATAACCAAGAGATGGGGGAATTGGTGTGACTCTGTAGAATGAACGTTGGCACACAATATTGGTTCAGGTAACTTCTGTGAAATGATGGGGGAAACAGAACATCCTAAAGAAAAATTCTGGCCCAAATAGATGATGGGGACTTTTTGTTTAATCCTTCACATACCCTCATACCAGTCCCTCCCCTTTCCTGTGTTTGTCTTCCTCTAAGACAAGATAATGTGATTCATTGATAAGTTAGCCTTTTTCTTTACTCCATAACAAAATGGAACCAAAAGTTGCATTTTAGGAAAATGTTTCTCAGCATTCCACCTATTAAAGCTTTGCTCTGCTTTTTTATTTTTGAACTCTTGTCAGAACCATAATGAGATAAAAATAAGTTGCATAATTAAATAGGAAATGGAAGGATGGCCATTCCCTCTGTTGCTGATTGGTGGTGTTGACCAGTTTTAATTGCAGTCAATACAAGCCACACTCTTTGATTATGTTATGCTTGCACTAAGGTTTTGCATTGTGCTTTATACTTAGCAGATGATAATTCCTCTTCAGTCAGCTCTGAGATTTCTTACATTCTCAAACTTGAATTCCAGTAGGGTTCAGTTAACAAAAAAAAACCCCACTCTGAATCTTTGCTGATGCTGTTTACAGATATTTATCTTTGACACATTGATGTAATAACCAATTGCTGAGCATAGGCAGCATTTCTAAGCCTCAGTCCTGATAGTACTAACCTTTACAGAGACCATAGTTGGTAAAATAAGATTAAGAAGGATTTTACTCAACTTGCTGCTGTTCATAGTTTAAAGCAAGTTCTGCATTGCATGGGCACTATATCCTTGTGACCTGTTTTTGTGAATTCCATTGTGAGAAAATTATGTGTGTACTAATGGACATAAAGGAGACTTGTGGGATGTTAATTTAGAAGCCTTTCAACCATCCACTATGTGGTGGCATTTAAAGAACAAGCAAACCAGAATAGTGACCCTCAGTTATCCCACAGTCATTCTGGGGGATGTAAGAGCTCTTAAAACACACACCACACAGTAGATGCAACAAACCACATAGAGAGAGGTAAAGTGGGAAAGCGCCTATATTCAGCCATCTGGGGAGGCGTTCTCGCTAGTTTAGAACCTAAATATGCAAGCAAAATAGCTTAATCAACCATGAGAAAATGGTCTTGAGCAGCAGACTATCCCATTATTGGCTTTTGCTGCAAAAGAGGAGCAAAATCTTTTCATTGAGTCTACAGAAGGGATGGGGAACCTGTTCCAGATGTACGGTATTTGAATTTATCTCAGCAAATGTGGCCAGTGGGCAGAGATTATGGGAACTGTAGTCCCAACAACATCAAGTTAACCACTCCTGGTCTGCTTCATCTAAAAATGTGGTTTTGAATTGAATTCTACGCTGGTTGTGTTTTCTTCCCTGAAGTTTTGAAAAATGTTTAATGCCTGCAGTAAGAGTGATAGTTTAATGTTGTGAAATGCTCACATCAAGCCAGGTTGGTATTAGTTTGACTCAGTCTGAAAATATTTGCACTGCAAAACTATACAGGTAACTGCCATTTTGAGATTACTGTATATACTGGGAATTTGACCAGTTTGGCAATAACAAATAATTTCCCCTATCTTGGCTTAACTATTTATGCCAACTCAACTATGCACAGAACATCTATAAATGTTCTCCTTAATTTTAGGTAGGATTGTGAAAAGCAGTTCATGCTAGAAGCAAGTAATATTTAAAACACAGGATGTAATTAATTATTATACGGGCAGGCTAGAAAAATCCCAAATGTAACCCAGCCCTATTTAATGATAGAAATCAAGATAAATGAGAATCTGTTTATCCTACAAACCTCATCAGATTATGATGGGAGGGTTTCTGTAATTCATAGAATAACTGGGTAACAAGTAGGGTCTTTGGAGTTATTTTCTCAGACATAATCATATTAATTGTAGACTTACCTTCTCTAGATCCATCCAGCAGCTCCTCAAACTCCTCTTCAGCGCCTATGGCTGGTTTTTCAGCAAACATTCAAGGAGCACGGGTTTATCTTCAAGGGCCAGCACCTGTTGGGACCCCCAGCTTTAACAGACAGCATTTTTCACCACACCCTTGGACAAGTGCTACAAATTCATGTAGGAGTTTTGGGGGTCTGTCTAATTCAACTCTTCAGTCTGTTGGTATTGACCTTTTTGCTGGCTGTATGATTCTAACACATAAATTTGTTTTCAGCATTAATTAAAGAAATTGAGGCAATTTTAAAAGATGAAATTACTGAACTGCTTAAAAGGGGCCAAATTAGACATAACATGCAGTCACATGAAGGTTCCCCTTCCTTTTCAGAGAGTTTGAGTAGAAGAATAGATGGAGTGAGGGTTGCTTGACTTTTCCCATCTGGCTTTCCCTACACACAAATCTGTCACAATTACTTTTCTCTCTGTTGGAAGGAAGATAAAGATACCCTTCCCATTTCATTGTTTACCCACTCAAATTTGCAGCTCCCTATGACAACTGCTGGTCTTAAAAACAATTTAAAGGAAACATGCATGCAGTTGCACATTTGCTTTAGTTTAGACCCAATACTTTTAAACTGCCTCTATCTATCCATCTATCTATCTATCTATCTATCTATCTGATCCCAGACAAATTAAGAATATCTGAATGTAAATACGTGATGCTTAAGTCATGTTATAGATTCAGCTAGAGAGTTGGTCTATATAGGATGCTTGCTGAATGAGATCAGCTCTTGATAATTTTGTTTGTTCAGCAGTGATTTGGAGGAGGCTGCAATTATACACCACAAGGAAGCTGCTGGCTGGCTGCCTTTGGGTTATTTCTCCCCTTATCTCTCTCTTTAGTGGCTTATTTATCCTAGACATTGGTGTATGGAGATGGGAAAATCAGTTGAGTGCTTGTTAACAGACCACTACACAGTCCAGTCTGTTTCATAGATCAGTCATGGAGAAAACGTCCCCTATAGTTATTTTTAAGCTTAGCAAATAAACTAGAGAGCCATTGGCTCCTATGTCAGTCAGGGACAAAGAACAATAAACCTGGCAGATAGCTCTGAAGTATAAAAGTTTAAAGAGCCTAGATAACTTAGGCAGGGTGACCCAGCTTTTTGTTGAGGCTGATGATTAGAGACATTTGGGGAAGGGAGGGAGACCCTTTTGGCCGACAAGTCAGATCTTAATCTCCTTGCAGTCCATGGGCCACCTTTGGCAGGTGAGCAATCCCAGCCACCTGTCAGAATTGTCCAATAAGAAGTGGTCTGCTTTGCCAATGCATTCCCTGAAGCATGTTCTCAAACAGCTCCTTGATGGATGTACAGTTTTGAAGACATGAGCTAATAATAAACAATATCATGAAGCACCATGTTATAACCTAATTTAAGATGCATTAAAATTCAAAACACAGTTTTCATCTACTTCAAAATACTGATACTATACAAAAAAAAAATGTTTTTAGTATTTAAATCCCACTGATTTCAGTAGAAGTGTACTTTTGCTGAAGCATTGAGAATTTCATCTCTAGTGGAAACACCCTAGAGCAGCAGTTAAGGTAACTCAGCATTTCATGTGTGATAAAGCAAGAGAACTGTTTTTTCATCAGGTGAATCTCCTATTCCATCAGTTTCCTCGGGATCATCCTCGCCCCTTTCAGCTGCTTCTGCACCTTCTTCTCTGGGTCAGCCAAAATCAGGGAGCACAGCACAAGATCGAAAGGTGCCACCGCCTATTGGAACAGAAAGACTTGCTAGGATTCGTCAAGGAGGTTCTGTCACACCTACCCCCTTGGGAACCAACTTTGCAGCTCCTGTTGGACACAGTGGTATCTGGTCATTTGGTGTTAACAATGTTTCAGGTGAGTATCTCAAAGGAAATGATTGTAAGAGTTAAAGAAAACAGTAATTTGCAAATACAGGATAAGGGTTCCCAGCCGTATTATATCAAGCTCTTGAGCTTTTAACTAAATAAATCCTAAAGAGTCCATTGTTTAGACAGAAATTATTTAAACATCTTTAGTACTCTAAACATGTATTCCTGCACATTGTGCTTTTCCTACTTTATGCAAGAGTGGAAATCTTCCATGCAGGAATTTAATAATGCCAGTAGTAGCCCTGAATAGAAGAGTGTTTCTGAGAATAGCCAGGAAGGTGGCTAAAGAAGTGGAGCTGCAGGAAAATAAGTCTATACAGGGATACAGAACTGTTGCATGGCAGAAAGTTCAGAGAAAGGGGAGTGGGAAAAGTGGCTGATAGTGAGCCTTGTGTGAAAGGAATGAAGACACATGAGTAGAGAGAGCTCCAAAGCGAATCTTCAAGTCAGTGCAATGCTTCCCATGGAGTCAGTGTAGGAAACTGGAAAGGGGTGATCGGTATGGAGGAGACACAATGGTTTAGAAGAGGCATTCAGAGCAATTGAAGATAGCAGTTAACAGGAAGGAAGATCTTTCGATAAGTAATTTTCAGTAAATTGGATACGGAAGACCATTGAAAGGGCGTATAGAGGCTAGATGAGAACCTGGAGATACCAAAACGGGAGTGGTGCCAGGGTGTGACAACTTCTAGGATATGGGAAGAAAGGGGGGGGATACGTGCCTTTGATGTGCAGTGATCAGACCCCAAATAAGGGAGGTACTGGCAAAAAGGGAACCCTATGATAGCAGCTGGAGTTTTAATTCCTGATTTTTTTACTGCAGCATTTTCTATTTCAGAAGAGGCAAGTCCTTTTGAATTTCAAATAGTAGTTTGTATCTTGGGGAGTAGGTATTGCTGCAGTGAATCAGTATGTGAAGTTTCAGCTACTACCAAGTAGTTCTGTTGTGCAGATATGTCCTGCTAGCACCATGTTTGGCTTGAGACATTGGCAGGACAAAGTACAAGAGGATGTTGGTGAGGAGGGAAAGGGACAACGTACCCTTAAATGGCAGAGCAATTGTTTTGCATGGAGGTAGTCCCAGGTTGAATCCCTGGAATCCCCAGTTAGAAGGATGACACAGAACTATCTGCTGCTAGTCACAGATAATACTTGGGGCTAGATGGGCAAACAGTTTGTTATGATAAAGCAGTTTCTTATGTTCCTAAACCTCAGGCCACAGGAATCTCAGGAGGGTGGCAGATCAACTTTGTTAAAGGACACAGTCATTAATCTTGGAGAATGAGGACTGAGAACTAGTCCTTGGATTTGCCATGGAAAGGTCACTGCCCTTGAAGAGCAGTGTGTGTAGAGTTGGGTTGGCTCTTCCTGCAGCAGGAAGGAGCTTTTCTAACTTTTGGGTAATATGAGAAATAAAATTTGATTAATACGAGAGATTTTTCTGATCCCTAAACAAGTGCTTCGTTATCTTTCTAGAAGGCATGTCAGGTTGGTCTCAGCCTGTCATGGGAAATCATCCAGTTCATCAGCAGCTGTCGGACCCTGGCACCTTTTCCCAACATCAGCCGATGGAGAGAGATGACTCTGGAATAGTGGCGCCCTCAAATATTTTCCAGCAGCCTATGCCGAACAGCTTTGTAGATTTCTCTAAAGTACGCTTTCAAAAGTTTCTCTCTCACACTTGTGCACAGTCATACTAGGCACAGACCTCCACACAGTTGCTTCAAATCAAACTAAATCATACAGCTGTAGAACATTCTTAGAATTTGTATTCTCAATGGAAGCTGTTTGTGAACATTGGGGGCTTCTCAGTTTCCAGTCCTTCCAGAATAGCATCACTTCTGTTTGTCCGGGGTGTCTAATAGGCAATTTGTGCTAATTGGGGATAACATTCTGCATTGCTTGCCGTTTTGTGTATTAATATGTATTGTTGCGTATCTCTGCTTGTTCCGCTTGCCAACCTTGCCTACCTGCCAAACCCCTTCTCCCCCCACACACACACCTGGCCATTCCCTCATTCCTTTACACCTCACTCACCCCTTGCCTGTCTCCTTACAGCTCGCCCCAAGTCCCACCCCCTTTTAAAGGAGGGGAGAGATGCTTCAATTTTCTCTGAAGTGTCTTCCTTCTGTTAAACTTTGTGCAGCTGCATTTAGCAAAGAGAGGGAGGTGCTTCACAGAGCAATTTGCTTGCACAGCTGCCTACCTGCTGTTCTGTTGTCACACTGGAGTTGGTGTGCCCAGCTATTGGCAGCCATGCGAACTGCCAGGTGACAACAGCCTTACATTTTGATGTGTATAGGAAAGAAGAGCCTGTTACACAGTAATGAGTTACTCTTGAGTATCAAGGATTGTATATGTACTGTGGAGAGGAAGACTTTCCAAACTACTGGTTTATGGGTGGAATTCCAATCATTCTGTTGGCACGAGCATTCCAGCTTGCCTGATTGAACAGACCTCCCAACACTGTTCTGACCCCCAATTTTTCCTGACCCCCTCAAGCCAGTTGGGGGGAAGCCCCATTTCCCAAGCAGAAGTCCTTGTGCAGGGTTTCTGTTGGTGGGGGCTGTTAGGTGAATCCCACCCTATTTGTTTATAAATTGTCTAGGAACTGTATAGAGGATTAAAAGAACCTTGATAATTAACAGCCATGTCATACTTATACCAAAATTAGCACCAAAACCCAAATAGAAAACCAGCACAATCAAATACAGTATATAGCATATAACTATAGCAGCCATTAAATATGTTTAGTACATTAAAGCATCAACCACATCGCAGAGACTTAAAGACAGATCTTAAAGTCTTGTAGAACAGAAAAATATTAACATGGAATTGAAAAGACGACACAAGACAGGCTTCACTGTCTACTCTGAGCTTTAATTGAGTGTGTACTGATGGGCATTTTGGAGCCCACAGGCACAGTGTTGGTGATCCCTACCTTACAGTACAGTAGGTAAATGTGCTGTTAGGCATGAAGGTCTGTTAGGTCCAATGTCCCAATTTACATAATATCTTGTGGGCAGGACCAGATTTATTATGATAGAAGAGGGATTTAATTGGTAAGGAAAGCAGTATAAACATTAATTTGGATGGGGAAACGTGTGAACTGCCCTGGCTTCTGTTGGCTAGAATGTTCACAAATTTCCAACAATATGCTGGTATCAAATAAATGAATCTTATCTAGTTAGGCAGCTTCTAAAAGAGGCGGATAGGTGCTAAAATGTGCTTTTATATTATGTGATGAATGTAAAATAATAATAATGTAGGGTTGACACAGATACATTATTCTAATGTAGAACATGAGTTGGTTAGTCTATGCTCAGGAGCCTCTTAGAGGTGGTGTACAATTCTGCAGATAATCTCTGCGTAACAGTAGCATTGTACTCATTAGTTACTACAAATAAAATTGCTACTGATCTGTAAACCTGTTTCTCTGCTACCATTTTCTGTAAATTGCCATGTCTCTCCTTAGGGCCTTCCAATTTCCATGTATGGAGGCACTATTATACCGTCTCATCCTCAGCTAGCTGATGGACCAGGTGGGCCTCTCTTCAATGGACTGCATACTCCAGATCCAGCATGGAATCCCATGATAAAGGTTGTCCAAAATTCAACAGAATGTACCGATGCTCAGCAGGTGCAGTAATTAATGCTTTTTGTACTATTAAATTTTCAAACATCTGCCTTAAATAATATAATTGAATTTTTGTAAGAGTACTAGGAGTGTCTTCATTCTTCCATCCTAATGCTACATTTTCCTTAAGTGTACTTCAAAATGGAGTCTTGGTGGGATAGCTGATCATTACATCTGGGTGTTGGGGCCAAGCTTTAGTCAGCTAGAACTTGGTTTTTTGCACCACTTGATTCTGTAGGTCTTTGTATAGTGGTGTTGGAGCCATACTCTGAAATTAACTATTTTGTGATGTTTCTCCTCCTGTAGATTTGGCCTGGCACCTGGGCGCCTCACATTGGAAACATGCACCTCAAATACGTCAACTGATTTAGGAGGGCCTACCTTTTTCTTTCCTTTTCTTTTTTTTAAGCCTTGTTTGGAGAAACATATGACCTTGGAAGAACTTGGGAATTTTTTTAATGTGCCTAACTAAGCAATTTTTCTGCGGGCTATAACAAGAGAAACTTGTTTGCCCATTGTGTAAGAACAAAATGAGTTACCTATTCAACTGATTCTGTTCTCCAGTTAGTTTAGCCATTTTGAACTCAAAATCGGATGAACCTAGTGCTTTTGGCTAAACACTACTGAATGCTACTTGTATGCAGCAGAGAACTAGATGAGTACATGATTTCAACCTTTTAGGGTGATAAATACATGTATAATTGTTTACATACTTAAAAGGAAAAACGTTGAGTAAATTTCATGTCGTATAGTGGCTCTACTTTATGTAGCCTGTATTAATGTGAAATATTTACCTGAATATTCAATAAAAAGATGAACATTATAAGTTTTGTGTAATGATCTTAATGAAATACCAGTTGCAAGATTGTACCGTTGGATTGGTACTGTCAGTACTTAATTTTAAGATCGTTAATAGATTCCCAGCACTTTTAGAAAACTGTTGTACTATATACAACACTGTTTCCAGTACTATTATCTGTTCTGGTATTTGATAAAAAGTCAGAGAAATCTAGAATATGGTTGAATCACTGGACGGCCATGGTAGCTGACTCCTCAGCACTGTAGCCAAGGGTAGCTTTATTCAGCGGACACAGTCTACCAGGTTGTGTTAAAGTAGGCACTCAGAAGTCTAACACACATGCAAATATATATTTATACTTTAAAATATTTTTAATAAAGATAACAGTATCACAAGCAGAACAAACCAACCTAAGAACCATCAGCAGGTGTTAAGAGTACATATAGCAACACATCAAGCTACTTCACTTAAGTAACAGATTCATATTTAAGTACACATTCCATACCAACCTAAGGTATCTACACTCAACATATACCTCAGAACTAAAATTAAATTATCTTTAAACATGGAAAATTCTTCTCTGATTTCAACTCTCAAAAATGGACTTGCAGAGTTACGAGATGCTATGCCAAAGCCATGTTCCTGCCTTGGGAAGTAGGTGACTTTACTGTGCTGGTGCCCTAAGTCATATTTCATAGTGATGCTCTAAAACTGGCTGCTTTAATATGAAACCTCAGCATCAGTTAATTAACTTGTCACACAGCTTGTCATATTTCTGGATTTGGAAGAGCTTGCCATGCAGAAGCAGAAATACTAAGTTGTGTTTGGCTGGAGTGCACAGAAGAAAGCTAATTTGTTTCTAACACAACGAGGCTTGCCAGCAGGCCACACACTCATCTCCTTCACAATGTGGCCCAGTAGTGAAACTAGTTGCTGACTAGGGAAAAGGCAGCTCATCACCTAAATAGTGCAAGGCTGCAGATGATACACTGGTGCACTTAGTCTTTTGGTAACCAATGATGAGTATGATGCAGGACTCTGTGTATAATAATCAAATTTATTGTGGGCAGATACGATCAGTAAGTTCTCCAAATGCTCAGGATGTAGAGAAGAATTGGGAATCTGTAATTCTATGTAGCAGTTCAATTGCCAAGCTCACCCAGGGAGTTTAATACTTGAAAGGGGTTTTGAACTAAGATCTTCCTGTTCAGTTCCTACCCCCTAGAGCATCGGTAGGGAACCTTTTTGGCCTGGCAGGCCATATCTGTGTAACTTCCCTATCCCGTGGCCAACTTTAACAGATGGGCAGAGCCCACCCACCTGCCAAAGTTAACCCACAGGAAATACACACGCCAAGCAGGATTGGCTCCCACCCATCACCTGGCTTCACCCAGCTGGGTGAAGTCGGTTGATGGACAAGTAGACATGGTTCAGTGGGGTTTTGTTAATCTAAATACTGCAATATGTAAAGTGAATTGAGAGTAGATTCCCATTTATAGAAGTGTGATCTCAACTGCCAAATCTGGTCACCTTACGACATCAAAGTTCCAAGATACATCAGTACCTTTTTGCACATTGTTCCAGCCTGCCTGAACACACAAAATTCCCAGGTGAAGAAAGAGTCTTACTAATTTGCAGGGTTTTGAACGTTACATTCCACAGATGTAAATATTGAGGAAGAGATGTTTACCTGTCCTTTACAAGTGCAAAACACATAAAATAGTGGTTTAGGGTTTTTTAAATCTCCACTGCACCCAAATTCCTGGGTTGGAAGCAAGTCTGGCTTCCTTCATTTCTGATACACATGACTAGGAATGTAGCCTGTACAAACTCAGCTGGAATGTGTTATTAGGACAAAGGCTAACCTCTGGTGGCAGCAAGAGCAGCGCATTTCCTCCCTTTGTGAGAGTTTTGTTAAAGAGTGATTAAATGGAGGACATGGATGTTTATAACCAGCCTTAGGAGCAAGATTTTGACACACACTTCTCATTTTCAGGGCTGTACCATGTGCATTTGTTAGTGTCTGTTTGGTTGCATCATTCTGATAGTCTGTCCAAGTTGTGTTTGTCGAGCAGCTCGTCTAGCACCACCTGGGGGTGGTGGAGGGAATTCCACTACAATGCTGTTAGTGAATCTTTATGGTATCAAGAAAAAAAACAATCCCTAAAGCTAACAGTGAAAAAATTGTTTGGTACAAATTGCAAAATGACCTTAATCAAGGGCTTTCACCTCAGTCTTTTATAACCAACAATCCACTGCTAATGGATAAATCTCCACACCATACATAATTATATAAAACACTATCCTATGCTACAAACATAGCCTTTCTTAGTAGGAAAGGTACTCCAGGTCCCCATTCATTTTTATTACCCTACGATACTATGTGATGGGCTTGTCAGAATTGTGCAAAGTATTCCAAGTGTGTCTGCACTGCAACTACATATTAGGACATTACAGTACTGACAGTTGTATTTTAGTCCTCTTCCTTATAATCAAAGCTACCACATATATCCAACATTAGCCGGAAGTATGACTAATTTTGGATGTTACCAAGTATCTCTCAGATGGGGAGAATATTTTTTTATTCATGAAAGAAGATAGAATACAGAAAAGAAAAATACAGCTAATAGCCTTTGAATACATTAGGACAATTCACAAATCATATCCATAAATTAAAATATTGAAGTCAGAAGGATTTTACAGCACCAGAGTATCGATCAGAGTTCACAACTATATCCCTGTATCTCGGTATTTAGAGATCTTCTGAAGAAAAACTTTTAATATCCATATTGTGTGGTGCCGGTAACAAGTTCTAGACGTTGGTATATTGTACTAGGATCATGTGGCTGTTGCATGAAGAAAAAAATCTTCCAAACGGGGCGGGGGGGGGGAGTTATTTAAATCTCTGTTTAATCCAAGCTGATAATTTAGTTTCTCTGATATTAGGAAGTAAATCACTGAATACAATTGCTATTGTTTTTCAGTGTTGGTGTTGCAGTGTTGGGAGGTTGTTTTTAGAACACTTGAGATAAGAGGAGCAAAATCATAGGGCAACCCTTGGTCACAACTCCATGGGTTAGTCTGGAGCTAAACAATGAGTCTGGGTTCAGACAACACACTAAGCCAAACTATGGCTTAGCTCAGCATGGCAGAAGAGAAAAGTGGCTGCTGTCTCTTCTCCTAGAGCCCACGTGCTCATACTAAGCCATGGTTTGGTTTAACATAATGTGTGAATCATGCCAACATGTTGACTGTTGGCAATGTCCAGTACAGCCTAGACGGAGGATGCAGACTTGACACCTTGCTTCTGAGGTGTTGTTGGCTGCTAGCTGCTGTTATGCTTGTGTACAGCAAGACATTTAAGAGGCCCATTTGCAGCCAACAGCTGGAAGCTGGGAACTCATTTAATATGTGTATTATACAAGTTAAGATACAATACTTGTTTCTAAGAATTAGCAAAATTAAGGTAGCAACATAAGCCTTAACTTATAGATGCTGTCAATAAGCTGTCGTAGCTCAGTCGGTAGAGCGTGAGATGCTTAATATCAGGGTTCTGGGTTTGAGCCCCATGTGAGATAAAGGGGAAATAAAGTGTAATGTTACCTTGAAATTGTGTACACAGTATTCCTTTTTTTAAAAAAAACAACCCCACAAAAACTTATAGATGCTGTCAGCCGATCAGAGGGATCATTGCTGAATAACAGTAACTCCCCACCGAAAGGTTAATGGAATGTTATTATTGAATTACTATAGTAACCTTCAATAGTTGCCACAATGGAAAAATTACTTCCAGAATTAAACTGCAGTGTTTAAGACTGAAAGAAGCAGGATGCACAGCAACTGTTGTCATCATATTCTCCACGCTGCCCCAAGGGCATGTGGAGAGAACGTCACAGTGGGAACTGGTTGAATGGAAGCCAGTAGAGGGTTACAGTAAAAAAAAATATAGCAGCACAATATCCTCTCTACAATGAAGACATTGCAGTAAAAAATGGTTCCTTTAAAATAAAATAGAAATAGCATCTATCCCAGGGGTCAGCAAACTTTTTCAGCAGGGGGCCGGTCCGCTGTCCCTCAGTCCTTGTGGGGGGCCAGACTATATTTTTTTTGGGGGGGGGAGGAACGAATTCCTGTGCCCCACAAATAACCCAGAGATGCATTTTAAATAAAAGGACACATTCTGCTCATGTAAAAACATGCTGATTCCCGGACCGTCTGTGGGCCCGATTTAGAAGGCAATTGGGCCAGATCCGACCCCCAGGCCTTAGTTTGCCTACCCATGATCTATCTCCTCATTTTGGTTGAATTGCTGAGGACAGATATGCAATTGCTGGGAAACATGAGACCTCACTTTTGTACAGTCTACATTTTCCTAGAAAGATTTGAATGAAAAATACAAGGTACATGCAACCCAATCTGGGGGGGGGGGGGGGTGCGTTTCAGGTCATTGTGTGTAGTGGTGGAGCATGCACAAGCCCACGCCTCCCCATTCCACCCCCTTTTCCAGCCACTTCTGGGTTGCCGCAATGCGCATGCGTGCAGTCACACATAAATCGGTCGTTGCCTGTAGATGAAGACCAGGAACCTTATCCAGACTGAAATGAACTCCAGAGCAGCAGTAGCTGTAAGTGCAAGCTTTTAGTTTCAGTACCACATGTATCAGTCTGGACTTTCATTGTACACTTGCATTACAATTGCATCACCTAGTCACTTCCTTCCATTTTGTACCAAGTCCAGAAAGAGCTGGCTGTTTTTAACCACAGTCACCAATTTCAAATAGCTGCACACAATTCTCCAGCTTACTTGAGAGATTCTCCTTAAGCTTTGAGCTTTGGTCAGATTGGCAAAAATTAACTTGAGTAGGTCACCAATGCTCAGGCGATAAAACACCTTCCTCTGCTGCTTAGGAAATCAGTCCCCTGCGGGCCCAGTCTTATACTGCCAACTCCTTGGACGTGGCCTAATCTTACTGGCATTCTGGTTCCAAAGAGGTTTCAACTTTTCGCTCGTAATCTTCTGTGGCCAGATCTTCTGTATGCAAGTTTCTTGTTTCTGCAATGAGCCTTTTCACTCCTACCATCCACTGGCTCACTTCAGTGACATGGTCCACAATTAGTGAGCGATGGATCTCATCAGCTGCATCCCAGTGCTGCTTCTTGAGCTCTGAAAGTAAAAAGAAAGCATCTCAGAACTGCAAAAGGTAATGAAAAAGTAGCCCAATTCAACTGCTTCCCCTGACCCTAGCTCCTAAGTCACTAAAGAAGTAAGGAATGCAGATGTTTGTGGCTCCACAGGCCACGCACATGGACTGCATGCTAATCCTACTGCAGCAGTAGTTCTGCTATAGGAATTATTTAAGGTGGCCAGAGGCTGTAAGATAAGAGTTTACAATGAGGAATGTTGCCGCAGAGCATTGAACCTTGTCCTTGCTGCTTACCTTGTGTCAGAATCTTCATTCCTTTTCTCACTGGGGCAGAGAGTTTCCCTTGTACCCACATCTGCTGCAGGATTCCTAAGCGCTTGCTGATGTCATCACAAACCTGTTTCTGAAAAAAGCAATTCTTATTAGGAAGCACATCTCGCAAAGGTTATGTTTATAACTTCTCACCACAGTCTCCTTGGTCCTCTAAAAGGGAATGGCAAAACCCTCATTAGCTTTGAGCTCACAAAAAAGCAAAGCTGTTTGCCTGCCTTCATTTTCATCCTACCAGTTTTATAATTTCACTCTAATCTCTGCTAAAGCAATAGCTATACCTAAGATTTGTCACTGCAGACATCGTGCCAAACCATAGTTCAATATGACGTCCTAGTTAAACCATCTATTTTCAGAGTCTGGCACGATCTCTAGCTCACTGAGGATGCCATCTTTTCAACACTGCCTGACACATTAATCAAGTCCTCATTGCAAGAAGTCCACAACAACAGAGCTCCAATTTTATAAAATATCTAGACCTGTTGGAATTCCAGCTACAGAAAGTCAAAACCATTTCATGTTAGATGCTACACTTAGATGTAATCCACAGTAATACAAGAGATAGAAGCCTCACTCCATATATTTCTAATGATCAGCACCTCCGTTTTTTAGGTATTTGGCTTACATGCACATACAGGTGGCTGGAAAATTGCAAGCATCTTGTCATCTCATCCTCTTACTTCCTTTCCCCAGAATGATGATTTTGCCTGCATTTTTGTTTGCTATGTCTTATGTTTTTTTTGTGGGGGGTTGCTTGTTATCTTTCTTTCTCTTCTTTTTCTTCTTTCTGTAGTTACTGGGAGTGTTGTGCCGTTTGTTTATTGGAAGATGTTTTGTCTTGGTTTTTTGCTACCTACTTGCTTGGGTATGCTGGGGCATGGGTTGTGGGGGAAGGCGGCCAGCTTTTTTTTTTTAAAAAGGGCTTTGTTTTGAGGTGTATATAGGTGTTTTTATTGTTTCATGAGGTTCTGAGCATTGCCAGTTTTTTCTTCTGTGAAATGGTGCCCATTGCACCTTCTTAGATTTCCAAATGTGCCCCCACACCCTCTGCTCTAGCTATTCAACTAATCACTTTAGTACAACGAAGCAGACCACAACTGCTCATACAGAGGCAAAAGAACTTTCTTCCCTCCAAAGTAAAATGGGGAAATCCTGAAAAGGCAGCAATTCTACTTACTGGTACAGATCTCCTGCAATTGGCCAGAGCCTCATTCAAGGGGGCAAGAACATCCTCCACATGGCAATCCTCTCCAGCCTCAGTGACGGGTTGGTTTGTGGCATCTACCCTCATAGAGCGGCCTGGCAAACCAGGAGGAGGCAAGCCCACCGGTGGCGGTGGAACAGCTGATGACGCTGCTGAGCAGGTAGCACTTTCTGGACCAGGTGCTAAAAATACAAGTCAGGAGAAAGACACAATCAAGCATACAACCAGTGTATAGTACATAGAGAAAATTGAATTATGGGTCTCAGAATCAGGCAAGCAAAGCAAAGCCAAGCCACACCCCTTAGATAGAAACCAAGACTTTTATGTCATTTGCCCAGTATTGTGGAACGCTCTGTCAACAGAGGTTCAGCAGACACCTTCTGCTTCAACTTTTAAGCATCTGATGAAAACTTCTCTATTCCATCAGGCTTATGCAGGGAATTAAGAAGACAACTTTCCACAATAGTTAGCTGATTTCAACTTTGTATATTTTTTGTTGTATGTTTTTATGTACAATTGTTGTACACAGCTTTGATTTTTTTTAAGAATAGCAGTATTTGTGTAAGTAAATAAATAAATTTGATTCAGTTATGTAGTTCCCACCCTCAGAATTTCTGCAAGCACTTCCTTTAGAACACACATCACACAAAAACCCAACCTCCTGATCAAAACCAAATAGCTCTCAGAGGATGACCAGTTTTTCTGAAGAATATCTATTGATCCCTTTAAAAATTGGGCTGGATGAAGCACTTTCATGTTGAGAGTTTCACAGACTATTTTTAAATAGATATATCTGATGGGAAACCACTAGCAAAAAGAGTGCAATTCTGAGGTGGGTCCAGGAATTGCATCAGTAATCCTTAAGCAGGTCAACTTTCTCCAAGAAGAAAGGGGTGGGGCCTCCGGTCTAGGAATGGAGCTGTGAGGGACGTCCTTCTGATCTGTCCGACTAAAAGGCCTTTAAATACTTGGAAAGCAGCTCTGTGCTGCCAAAAGATTAATGTCAAATGGTAAATAAACTTTCTACTATCTCTTTACTACTTAAGATAAATCACCATGTCTACCAACAAGAGAGCTGCTGAAAGAAAAAAAGCGGCAGAAACTGCTGAAAAAAATATGGCTGATGCAAAAAAAAAAAAAGCTGACTCAAAGGCTACTGAGCATTAACAGGCAGATGCAAACACAGCTACTTTACAAAATATCCTGGCCCAGCTTCAAACCCTAAACCATATACAAGACCAGCTGAGAACTCTTAACAAAAGACTTTAATGAGTTCTGGGTACAACTGGCGAACTGTGAAGGCAGACTGGACTCGTTTGAGAAATTTTCACAGGCCTCTCACAGCACTCTTCATTGTGGGAACCCATAGTCACACTTGTGATATTCTTAGAGAAAAATTCCTGTGTGATTCTTGCTGTGTGCCTGTCAATCTCTGGAACTGACTTTTATTTCTGTTTTACGTTATGATCTTCAAATCCATCTTGGAATTAGGAAATGCTACAAGTTATTGATAAGCTTGGCCTTCCTTTGGACATTCTGAGTTTGGACATCTCGCCACATGAAATCTCCTATTTTAAAGCATGATTTTTGTGCTGATTGCACTTCTGCTTGTCTGTCCGAATTTGCCCCTTGGTATGCCAAACTACCCATTCAGACTCCTTGCCCTCACTATATAACCAGCATCACAAATATCAAACAGAGAAAAGCCTTTACAGCTCTGCAGTTCCAGCCTATGCATTCTGCCACAGTTGAAGGACACTATTGCTGGATCCCTTATGAAGAGAGTTTGCCCACATGGAGGAAATCTGCCTGAAGACTTACCCCACTAGACTGGTTGCCCAGTCTATGAGGATTAAGAGCAGCTTTGTTCAACAAGTTAAATCTCACAGGTGGGAGATCGACTGGGTATTTGAATAACATTTTATTAGAGTACAAATAAAAAGCAGCCAGCTTTGCCTTTAGAGTGGCAATTTTAGGGAGACGTTTGTGGGGGTGACAAGTTGAGGTCTTCAGGGGAGCAAGCTCTTATCCTCACATAATGTCTGGTTTTAATAATTAAGCTAACTGTTTAATGTATTTCATTCTGTTTTATGTATTTTGCCCTTTATAATAGCTTCAGCTCTTTGCATGTTTCTTATGGGTACAATTTTATTTTTAAAAAACTAATAACGCAAGCAAGACTCCTGAGCAGCCCTTCTACAGGAGGCCCTAGGGCTTGGAGTGAAGTTGGCTACAGGAGGCAGTGGGAGAGAGAGGAAGGAAGGAAGGAAGGAAGGAAGGAAGAGCCTCTGGAGGTGGGCTCTGCGTTCCTGGCAGGTGTGGGGAACTTGACCCATCTCAGCACAGGAAGAGCTGGACAGTCCCAGAGGCTCCTCCAGGGGTCACATTAAGAGAGCCGCTTGCAGGGGCTGTTGGCTGGTTTGCTTACAAATTCCATGAAACAAATAGATGGATGACTGAATAAGTGAACGTATCGTGACGGAGAGGAGGATTATGGCAAAGATAGCAAGGTCACTTAATATGGGAAATATCATAATGACAGCAGCCTTGATTTACAAATAGCATCCAAAAAGAGTTACATGGCCTGCTGGTATGGAGAGAGCGAATCCGCCAGCGGATTTGGTTGGGAACCCTGATTTTATAGTCCCGAGTTTTGTTTCTACGCTTTCCCTGTTAACAAAACAATCAGAAGGGAGGGAGGAAAGAAAGAAGGAAAGCATCTCCGCGTCTCCTCACCTGGCCCGTGAGGCGGAGGCGGCGGCGGCGGTGCTGCTCCCGGAGCCGCTCCCGGGCGTCGCGTCAGGATCCCCCGCTTGCCGCCGCCGCCGCCGCCTCCTGCCCCGGAAGCCTGAAGCTGCTGCAGGCCGTACGAGAACTGAGGCGGGTCGTTCCAGCCGCGCTCCCGGTTCCCTGGAAAGGAAAGCGAGACGTCAAGGCCATCCCTCCGCCGGCCGGCAGCCCGCCCGCCCCTCCGCGCGCCCCTCCGGCGCCCCCTCACCCGGCTTCACGTAGAGCTCCGCCATGGCCTCCCCCTCAGCCGCTTCCCGGCGCGTGACGTGGCGGGCCGGATCCGGAGGGGAAGGGCCAAGGACGCCAGGCCCGCATGCGCCGAGGAGGAGGAGGAGGCGGCGGGCCTCGGTCCGGGCCCGGGCGGCGCTTGGCAGGTGGACTGTGGACCAAGGAGGCCGGCCGCGAGGGCGTGGGGTTGGCCGGCCTCGCCCGCCCCGCTCCCTTCTCCCGCGGCCGAGTGCCAGCCAGGGGGGCTTGCTCTGAACAATTTAATGGGTTAAATTGAAAAAAATCAAGGTTAGACCGTTAAGATAAATTATAGAATAAAAATTGAGAAAGATGGGAAGAACCTGCTGAAATAGTGAACTGAACTAGAATACAAAAAAAGGGAGGTGTGAGGAGGTCGATGAAACAAGGAAAGGAAAGGTAAAGATACGGAATACTGGATGTGTGTTTTAGTTTCTTTTTTGTCTGTATTTTTTGCTGTATTGTTGTATGGTTTTTATATGTTTTATATGTTTTGTTATTGGTTTTTTTTTTTCTTCTTTTTTCTGTAATTTTTAAACTTTTAATAAATATCATTTAAAAAAAAAAAACAGAACGTGAGCCGCTGAGGTAAAGGTTGCTGCGTAACTCAAAGGTAATACTTAGAAAAATGAAAATGTATATACACATTTAATTAAAATAATATTAACAACTCGGTGGGTTCCCGCCGTTGCTGTGCAGAAAAGCAGCGCCTTTTTAATAACCATGTTAACAACAACAACAATAAATTTATAGAAGAAAGACAAGAAATGATTCTGGACAGAGAAAAGAAAGGACTTTTTCGGGCAGCGCTGGGTCGGAACTGCGGAACTTGCACAGACCAACTCGGGTGGCTTTAAACAAGGATCAGAGCAGTTCGTGGAGGAGGAGGAATTTTTATTATTTCGGTCACAGACCAGTTCCAGCCCACATACAATATCAAGGAAGTCCTAAAACACGATAGGGATACATGGGAATTTGCAATTAGGTGTAACAGAGACAATGCAGGTATAGCAACAGTTAAAAAACATATAAATGCTTCCAAGTACCAGTTGCTGGAAACCGCAGGAGGGGAGAGTTGCTCGTGGGCTTCCCATAACTGGCCCTGGCCCTCATCAGCTGTATGCCAAAGAAGGGCATCTGTTTATGATTGCAAGGTCCAGGTCAGTTCATAGGGAGGAAGCAGTCTTTGAGGTACTGTGATCCTGAGCCATTTAAGACTTTATAGGTCAAAACCAGCACCTTGAATTGGGCCCAGAAACTAATTGGCAGCTAGTGTAGTTGGGCCAGGATCAGTGTAATATGCTTAAACCTTCTTGTCCTGGTGAGCAAATGTTGCACCAGCTGGAGTTTCTGAACCATCTTCCAAGACAGCCTCCTTATAACACATTGCCGTAACCTAACTTAGAGGGAACCAGAACATAGATGGCAAAAGTATTCATCTTTGGTTTGCACTTTTTGGCAGTCAATGCAGCTCATGCATGACTGCATTTGATTAGCTTCATCTTGGAGCATCCTGGCAATCATACCAGCAGGCCATGTAACTCTTTTTTATGCTATTTGTCAATCAATGCTGCTGTCATTATGATATTTCCCATATTAAGTGACGTTGCTATCTTTACCATAATCCTCCTTATGTGTTGTAGCTAGAGACAGGCATTGCATCTCAGTCACTGTGTGGATTATATGACCTTTGTTTGCCTGCCTGTTTATATAATAAAACAAAAAATTGTAATATATTTCCTACACATACTCCACTTGGCTAATAACCCTGATGATGGCTCTATTCTTTCTCCATGATTGATGGCAGTGACGCTTCTGAATACCAGTTGCTTGAAACCACAGGAAAGTAGAGAGTGCTGTTATGCTCAGGTCTTTTGGGCTTCCCGCAGGCATCTGGTTGGCCACTGTGAGAATAGGTTGCTGGACTAGATGGGCCACTGACCTGATCCAGCAGGCTCTCCTTATAGTTCCCCCACAGCATTGCACATGCATTGTCAATACAGTGGTACCTCTGGATGTGAATGTGATCCATTCCGGAGCCCCGTTCGCATCATGAGCAGAATGCAACCCGGTCTGTGCATCTGCGCGGGTCGCGATTCGCCGTGTCTGCGCATGCGTGTGACATTCTGAGCATCTGTGCATGCGTGAGCGGCAAAACCCGGAAGTAACCCGTTCCGTTACTTCCAGGTAGCCGCGGGACGCAACCTGAAAAGATTCAACCTGAAGCAAACGTATGACTGTACAGAGTTTTTGTTTTATTTCATGCCAATCTCTGCACTGCCAGTGTCTAATGGTCTGTTGCGTCTTTGCCTTTTCGTTTCATAAAAGTGCACAGCCCAAGGCCCAGTATTTCCATAAGCCCTTTGGGTTAAGTCATTTTAACAGCTTTGTCTAAAATTAATCCAGCATGAATTACTATATTTTCCATGTACAGTGTTTGAGTTCAATCACACAAGATTCCTGTCCTTAAGCGTACCGCAAAGGTACAATCCTGAATTTCTCATAAGTTGTTTTAGTTGGGCCTTGATCCCTTTCATAGACGTTCCCTCTGTATGGAAGCATTTATCTTTGGGCTTTAATAGGCCTTTGGTAGTTTTTCTCCTAAAGGACTAATCTCTGCAGATATCCCTACTCTTTGGACCAAGGCACATTAGAAAATGAGCAGCTATACAGATGGTAGACCACTCACCTGTTCCTGTAAATATCCATTCACTCCTTCCATTTACTCCACTTCTCTGCTGCCATTCATGGTAGGTAACAAACCACAAGAGGCAGGAACTATTCAATCTAGGCTTACTTGCTGCCTATCCCCCTTTCTGCCTACTTATATCATAGAAAAGGACTCAGCTCCTCATTCAGAACTTGGCATTTTCCACTTCCAATTTAGCCTTGAAGTGAGCATGGCCACAGAGTTGGACAGTGACACCAAAGGGAAGTCATTCATTTCCCACCCATATCAGCAGCTCATTCTAGCACCAATAAAATTATCTGGAAACAGAGACCAAAGATAAAACAACTCTAGATTTCTTCCATATTAGTAGTTTATTTGCACAAATGATCAGATATAAAGTATCACTGAGGTAGACTTGAGTCTATCTTAATCTGGGGCTAGTTATAAATAAGATAAAGTTGATGGGTTACCTTATCTCCCAAACAGAAAAGAAAGGAACGTGTTTGGAGATTTACCCTTTCATCGCACCAGCCTCACTCCCCATTTCCGGACACAGATCAAATGAGACTCAGCAGTCACTTTTGCCAATGTTGGTGCAATAAGCTCTCAATATTTATAGGCTTTTTCTTTTTAAAAAAAAAATGGGGGTGGGGGGTGGGGAGAGAATCCACAGGCAGCTTTATATTCTCCTTACCTGCATCTTACAAGTGTGAATCGCTTGTGTCTGTCAGAGTTGCTAGCCAGCATTGGGTCCTACAGTGATGGCCTGGTCAATTCATTGTTCCCAATCCAAGTGCCTGACTAGGCATGCTGGTGTTATTAGGACAGTAATGAGTGCTGATGACTCTCTCACTCACATGCCGGACATTTTGCTAGTGAGCACTGGAGCTAAGTGCACCCTTTGATTATTCTAGGCTTCATTATGGTCACTGGCTTGTTTCAAAAGAATAGTTGCTACAGCACGTACAGAAGTTAAAGGATTAGCCCAGACGTTGCCAAAGAAACACAGACCTGTTGCAGGCTATACTGTGAAGAGATAATAGTGTTTATAGGCATTGATGGAACAGTGTATGGGATGTAGCCAACATAGCACTGTGTGAAGAACATCCAATTGCACAATAAAACGTGGAACCCCCCCTCCTCCCCCTGTGTGCCCCCTAAACTGTTATGGAGCAGATTTAGGGAGGGAGGGAGGGGGGTTGAGAGAGTCCTTATGTCTCAGTATGCCGATTCAAAAAGAAGAGACTATTTGTCACTTTTCAAGGGAAATGTGTATCTGTACTGGCATCTGATCAATCCAGAGGCTCACAAGCATCTATTTGCTGCCGCAAATTAACACGAGTGGCTGTTCCATGGCCTGCCTAGGGTTGCAGTCAGGTTTCGTATGCCAAGCATTCATGCTACAAGCTGGGGAAGGAAGAGTAGCGATACTCACAGCTTTTACTGCAAAAACCAAGTGGAGCTACTGCTTCAAGCTGGCATGCCTGCTCTGCCCTGTTCCATAACCCACCTGGGCAAGCCGGAGCAGCGTTTTAAGCCTGTGTGATGCATTGGATCACATGCCAGGGAACATTATCAGAACATTCAGGTGCAGCCTTGTTTATTCTTCCCCCTGAAAACAACATTGCCTCCTTCTCATAGCATCTACATGGCAAAGGACTAGCAAAACTATGCATAACATGTCTAGAATCAGCCACAGACCTCTCTCAGGGGCCAGATTTGCTTGGATCTGTTGGCTCTTAGATTCAATGAAAGAGTCAACAGACAAAAGTACGCTATTTACATTCTGAACCTGGATATCAAAGGAAGGCCACTGTTAAGTATCACGAGGGGCCCACCATCCCTGTCTCACACCATATATTTTGGGCTAAGGGGTGTGTAGTATGGAATGTTTTTGGCGAAATGCTTCGAAGAATGAGAATAAACCCCTCTTGCGTGTAGTGGCCGCGCTGCCATTTTTCTGCAGGGAGTGCCCTGTGACAGGAAAGGAACAGACTGGCGAGTCCACTGACACTGTCCTTTTCATCTTCAGGATGGAGCGTGAGCCACTCTTTGGTCTCATTCGCGATGTAGAAGCCACTAAGCACTTTTGATACTGGACCTACCAAAGAAAAATAAGCAAATCATTGTGGATTTACAAAGGGCAGAGCTTACCAAAACCTGGTGGTTGCTGAATCTAGTTATTTCCTGACATAAATTCTTTCAGTCTATGTTATAGGCTTATAAAGCTCAGAGCACCACATTTATAAGTGGGGGAGGGGGGAGAGAGAGAGCTCCAACAGCATCATCAGTGCTTACAATGAACATATGAGAACCTTTGATGCAGGATCCCAGCTTCAGATGCTTTGAAACTGCTGAGGGCAGAGATCAAAAACTAGGGTTTCTAACTGATGGGGTGGAAGTGGGGTGAGATTGGTCCACTCTGAAGCTCAAAGTGGGCAGTGTTGGTTAAGAGGCCTTGCAAAGGGTGCAGCCCCCTTGCAGAAGCTGAACAGTGCGTGGCCAGTGTTTGGAAGGGAACCTTACGTATGGCGCCTGGGATCCTTTGGTGGAAAAAAGGTGGGATGTAAATGTAGTCAATAAATAAATGGGCATGAACTACTGAGCAAGCCCTGCTTAAATGTCTTGGCATTTACCATGCATGCGGCTTGCACCGCTTCTGAGATGGTGCCGGCATCTGGCTCACACCAAAAAGCTGTGCACTGGAAACGTTGTTGGCCCATGTCAGTAATGAGTGCGAAGGTGTGGGCGTCTTTCCCAATCCCAATAAAAGTCACATAGCGGACCTGACATTCCCACAGGCAAGAGCCGTCCTCATCCTCAGCCTCAAGAAAGAACACAAAAGAGATTAGACTTAAGGATGCATCCAGGCCAGCATTCTTCCTGCACTTCAGTTTTATCCTAGGTACTAATATTTACATGTCCTAGGCCAAATATTGAACCTGTGTGCACATTCTAATAAACCTGATGCAGTGGCCTTGATATACAAATTTAATACATAATCATAGCATAGGCTTCCAACATTGTAAAGCATGCTAAATGAAAACAATAAGAAAAAAGGTAGATTTCATTGTTCTACTGCAGCTTGCCTGATGAAATTATCTCCCCTCTCCTCCCCCCACCCATGCACTGTTCTTCTGACCCCTCAGAGACAGTTGTGGGGTGGGGGTGGGGAGAGGAAATCCCTGTTACACAAGTGGAGGTCCTTGAGCAGGGCTCTTGATTATCTTTCTGTAATCCTTACAGCAATGAGATCCAGAGGGAACCACAAACTGTGGTTGGCTTTAGTAACCAGCCCAAAATATGTGGTCACTAAGATTCTGTCCCTCTCCTTCAGCCCAGCCCTTACCTTGTATTCATTGGGGCCTCCTCCTCCATAAATGTACATAGGATTGCAGCGTTAAGCCAGAGGGAAAGTAAAGCCAGGCAGTGTGTTGCAGAGGAATTTTGAGCACCATCTCTAGCCTTCCTTTGGAACTGGAAAGAAGGGAGGGGGGTCTTCCCCATAGTTGTGCAGCACCCCCAGAGGCTCAGTGCAGCTCCAGGGGGAAATCCCAACCACTTTCACAATTTTAATAAAACAAAATGGTACGTGCCAGGTGCTCAACCATTTGGCAGAAATTAGCAAAAGAAGGGGGGATCTCGTAAGGCATTAGGAAACAGTGGGGAAATGCTGCTGCCCAGCGTGTATCACGGGCAACTCTCTAGTAATTTCTTTCACCAGATACCGTATTTTTCGCCCCATAGGACGCACCGGACCATAAGGCGCACCTAGTTTTTTTGGGGGGAAATAAAGGGAGGGAATTATTTCCCCTCCAGGCACGGGGCTGGGGAAGCCCGAGCTTCCCCGGACCCCAACCCCCAGAACAGGCAGCTCTCCGCAAGCCGTGGGAGCCCAGCGCGGGCTCCCGCCGCTTGCGGAGAGCTGCGCGAAGCCTGGAGAGTCCGAGAGCGATGGCGAAGTTGCGCGCAGCTTTGCCATCACTCCGGGAGCTTGCCAGGCTGTGGGGATAGCTTCCTGAAGCCTGGAGAGCGAGAGGGGTCGGTACGTACCGACCCCTCTCGCTCTCCAGGCTTCAGCGAAAGCTTGCATTCGCCCCATAGGACGCACACACATTTCCCCTTCATTTTTGGAGGGGAAAAAGTGCGTCCTACAGGGCAAAAAATACGGTAATATCATTTTTGCTGTCTTCTGTACCAATTCAGTCCATCCAAAGAAAGGTCTTAACTATATATATTAAAAAAAAGGATATGGGCTGCAGCAGTTTTCTACAATAGACTTTTCTGTCCCCCTGATGTTACCCTCCACTGCTTCCTTTCTTAATTCCTTCTTCACCCTTTGGCACTCTTGGTGGTGGGCAGTAGAAGGCTGATTTTTTTTAAAGACGTGGAGGAGTGTGCAGAGTGAAGAATACTCAAGTGAACCAAGGAAGCTGTCAGTCAGTGCACATGCAGGATCTCAATGGAGACCCCAGCAATGCCTCCTAATGATTTGTGACTACTGCTAAAATGTATACCTTAAGCGGCAGCATTATTCTGGTATTCTGCTTTGAGACTGTGCCTAACAATTAGAACTGCCACCAGCACATAATTCTTATAGACAGTTTGTTTTATTTTGTGAGAGCCTATGAACAGAATGTATCGGTATTTTCTCTGACTGCACCAATGTTTATTCAAACAAATTTCTTTTAGTTCTGCCTTCAGTTTCAGAAATATGCATTTATGACTAAAAAGGGTTTGTGCAGGCAGAATTTTTTTTAAAAAAAGATAAATAAAAGGAAAGATGTTTTGTAACTGTCTCAGCCTTATTCCACAGAAACTTGTGATTAGTTCTCATTGAAATCAATAGAACAAACCAGCTACAAGTCACTTTCTCTGGACTTGATTCAGAGTGTTATTGTGTTTGCCATCTGTTCTCTGAAAACTGAAATCACTGGGAACAAAAAAGGCTAATGAGGGGTTTGCATGCCCACTAGTGAACTATTTTCCAAATTTGTATTTAATAAATTAAATCAAACTATGCACATAATCCAGTCCCATTGATTTCAGTGGAAAAGATCGATGAAACTGTTCAACTCTTTGATTGAAATCAATTGGACTTGTATGATCCAGCCAAAACTAAGCACTTTAAAGTTCCATTGATTTTGGTGGGAGAATTAAGCAGTTGCATCAATCTCTTTCACTGAAATAAATGGGATCTGAAAGTGCTTAGCTTTGTCTAGATCACACGATTGCCATTGAAAATGGCTAGCGTACAGTAAAATACTGAGGCTGCACTCATAAACACAATGTCTGCTCTGCTGCCCTCCCTGCATTGGAGGAGAAAGATCTGCAGGAGGAAGCCTGCGCTGCTCATGGAGGATCCCTACACTATCAAGCTGATGATGATCAAATGCTTCCAGGACAGAGCAGGACAGAGTTTGGGGTCACACACATAACACAGATTGTGTAGCCTTGAACATCTGGAGAGAGCTCATAGATGAACTAGGGCATGGGAAATTAGGTATAAAATCACTGGATTTCTACTTGGCATATGTAGAGCTAAGATGTCCTGACTACATTTGGCAAACCCCTGATTATGGCATTCAGCGACTGGCTTTACACTAAAGTCCAACGGTCCTCTTGTCATTCTGGTCTAGCTCCTTTTCCAGTCTCTCAGCCTCTGGGGCAGGCAGGATGCCAGATAAGAGGGCTACTGTCAGTCACTTGGTAAGAGGAGAAAGCTGCCAGGGTGGCCAGTATCACAAGGAGCCTTACCTCAGCTTGCTCTGCTTGCATCACTGAGTCTGAAACACTGACAACAGATGGAGTCCACTGGTCACGGCCACGGCTGCCCACCAGGTCTTCGATGGCAGTATTTAGCACATCCATCCCTGAAGTGGTGAGGCAAGAAATAAATGGGTGATCCAAGGGAAAGTGAGAATGCTCATCAGCCAGAGAACAGGGTTCTCTCAAGACTTCCACCATAACTGGGGCACAGAGAAGGGCCCCTGCTTCAGATTTTGGGGGTTGACAGACTTGGTAAAGGAGGAGGTGCCCCATAAGCAATAACTTCTCCCATTGAACACACCAGAGATAGGTAGCAGAATTCAAAGAGCACAGCTACTTACCCATGGCCTTGGACACTGGTGAGGTGCCAATATACAAAGCTTCATATTTCCGGACAGACTCTCCCACGGCATCCAGAATGTCAACTGCCCGAAGCAAAAGGAGGAATTCAGTGTCACACTGGAACAAATGCTTCATCAGCACAAACATTTCTGTTTGCCTGATGGGACAATCTCTCCGCTTCCCAGACACAGTTCTGAGGGTTCTCTCAACCTTCTCCCAGCCAACTGGCAGGGTGGCAGGGTGGGTGGGGAGTCCTATTAGCCAAACCCAGCACTTTATGGAAGAAGCAGGGGTGCTTCTTTAGACCAAGGATGGGAATACCGTAATTACTTCAATTCTGTCAGAGCACAGAACTGATAAAGTGCTGACAGGTGCCCCAGAAAGGGACTCATGGGATTTGTAACGTTTGTTACCTTGTAGAGAAACGTCATCTGGAGTGACAGGTTCAAAGGTAACAGATCGGCTGAGGCTGCTACTTGCCACGGCTCGCTCAGCCATGATCTGTAATACAGAGAAAGGTCATGAAAAGTTGGGACCACCTGCTGGAACTTCCCACCTAAACTTGGGTAGTGGTAGTGGCAAAGCTCAGGGAGAAGACCCTCCTAGATGGTAACCCAGGAGAAAGTATCGAAAGAACATTCCCAGTCTTCAATGACATGGCTAGAAGTTGCAATTCAAGTGGGAATCCCATTAGCTTTATGAATGTTTACTCAGAAGTAGGTTCCCCTTCTTTCAGTAGGACTTACTGCCAAGTAAGCATGCACAGAATAGCCACTCTCCTTATAGCTGTGCCCCTCCACCAACAAGGACTGCTAGACTTCTAGAAATCTGACAAGATTCATTTAATACAGAGGTCCGATGAATGCATGGTTCAGAGGAATTTCTTCCAGCCCCCAGCCAACCAGGATGAAATTCCACCTGCCACCTCCTTGCAGAATGAGAGCAGCCTGGTGCAGGGCTGGGACACTCTTCCTTCCTCGTGTCTGCATGTGTGTATGTAGGGAAAGAACCATGCCAGAATCAGCAGGGATACCTTGGAGCACATTTCATGCAGGGCCTTGGCAATGGCCTTGGCAGGCACATTGCAGTGGAAGACGTGGCACTTCAGCATACACGTGTCCTTGTCACTGGCCACGAAAGCAAAATCCCTGCAAGGAGAGGAGAGCCCAGTAAGCAAGGGCAGGGCTCCAGGCACTGGTCCTTGCTGCAGAAGGAAGAAGGGGCCTTACCTGTCCCTTGGGTCAAGCACAGCATGTAGGGAAAGAAAGAAAAATCTGGTTAATTCAGAATCCCTCAAGAAGCAACCCTCTTAATGGTCTGTGTGCTATCAGCTGTAATAGTTTCTGGCAAGAAGAGCAAAGGTTTCTTTGTAGTGAGCAGAAGGACCTCATGGCAAGGTGAGGACAGCAAGATGGACACAGAGAGAGAAAGAGAGAGAGAGACCACCATTTCAAGATTCTCCCTCCTACGGGGCCTGTGGCTCAGTTTGGTGCAATGCTAAAAGACTGAGGAGTCGTCCTTCATATTAATTTCCAGCAGCAGAAAATGCCCTCTCCTCTCCACTTCCAGAGCAAAGGTTCCCTCACCTGCCATGGTTGCATCCCACACCCCAGACACGGATGTTGATGATGGGTTGGGAGTGGATGAGGCTCTGGTCCAAAGGATCCACTAAACTCATTGTGTCCTTCTTCAGGATCATCACCATGTTTTGGCCCTGTAAAGGGAAGACTAGAGGACTGTGACTGAGATACAGTGCAGGGGTAGGAAAAAACTTCCACTTGCCTCTTGCAACAAGAGCGACAATGATGTCCCTTTCCTAGGGAAAACAGGGACTGGCATGTTTATCCACCCAGCAGTGCATAAGAACACCTGTATGTAATGCCATGGACTGAATAGGTGCACGTTTGGCAAATATGTACAAGAAAGAGGAATGGGGACACCCAGCAGCTCATGCCTGTGTTCCTGCCAAAGGTGGAAAGGATGCAAAGCAGTGCCTAGACCCAGGAATAAAATATGGAGGGGGCAGACAGAGGTGGAGCTAGTTGCTTCAGTGCCCAGAGTGGCACACATGCAGGAGCGGGGCAGGCATCCCGGGGGGCGGGGCAGTGATGTCAAACCCCCCCCCATGGATGACACCCGGGGCGGACCGCACCTACCACACCCCCTTCCTCCGCCAGTGGGGGCAGGTGAACCCCGTCTCACATAATTGATCACAAGATGTGGTACCAGCACACCATTGGAATGACAATGCCCATCCACATAGGAGTTGGCCCCTATGGCTGCATACAGCACAAGGGCTGCTGGAAGTCTACATGGGAGAACACATTTGAGTAGATCTTTCCCTGGGCCTCCCGCACTCACCTCGCCCCACCTGTCTGCAGGGTCCCAGTCGTCACACTTGTTCTGGGAGAGCTGCTGGATGCAGTTATTCACGGCAATGCTGCTTTTGCCAGGAGCCAAGTCCTCCTCAGGGATTTCTACCCAGCCCAACGAGCGCACAACGAAGCACTGGCAAGAGAGGGGCGGAGGGGTCACCATAAGGCGTGTCGCCAGCCTTCCTAGCTCACCATTGGCTATGCAGCCCAGGCCATTGGCAGCTTTTTGTGAACTTTTCAGCTCATGTGAACTGGAGCAGCCCCTCCCTCCCTGACTGTACCTCAAATCTAGCCATCATGAACACTTCTGGAGAGCATCAACTGATACCATCACCGCCAAATTCATTGTGCTCTTCTTTACCACATTGTATGTCACAAAGGAGTCCTCGTGCCTGTCCTTATTCGTAGGATGTCCCACCAGATTAGGCCTGAGGGCTGCAATCTTTTGGAGGGGGGCATGGCTCACATGCCAGAGGCAAAAGTGGGTGGAGCAAGAGGGACTGGATTAGATGACCTTTGGGGTCCCTTCCAACTCTACAGTTCTATTATTCTAAGAAATGTGGTTTTCACCTTTGCACAATAGATGAGTTCCTACTCACGCTCCTCTCTGTCCTCCACCTAGACAGTCAGTAGGCATTATCAGTGTTCAGTGACACATCCCAGGCAGGCAGAAACATTCAAGGAGGGTGCAGGGCCAGTGAGGGGTGTGGTCTGGGGAAAGAGGCCTGGAGGGTCACACTCAGCCCCTGGGCCTCTGAGGTCCGTCCCCCACTCCTTGTGCTGCATGGAGAAAGACTAGAGGTATAGAAAGCGAGGCTTTCCTAGCTTCTTTTCCCTCATCAAATTGTAGCTTGTTAAGGATTCATAGCTCAGATTGGTGTGTCAGTGAACTAGTCTTTAATTGCCTTATTCCAAATCTCTAATTATTTACCCATGTAGAAAAAAACACTTCCCCTCATTTCCATACTTCCCAAATGCCCCAGGACATCCTGTTTTTTCACGGGAGATCATGGTGGCCATTTTGGGTGCTGCACTCTTGCGCTGTGCTCTTGCCCTGAACAAAAATCACTTTCTTAGGGCCCTGCAGCACCCAGGAACGCATCCCAGAAGACACGCATCCTGGTTTTGGCTCCAAAAAAGGTTGGATGGCACGCCTTCAGGTGAGAGAAGGAAACAGCAAACCAGCTCTGTGTAATTGTATGTGAACTCTCAAAATGAAAGAAATCACAGGTGATACCGCAGGGAGATGTTGTCAAGGATAAACCTACCTAAAAGGGTATGGATGGGAAAGGCCATTATCTCCTGCCCACATCAGAGACAAGTTCTTCTGCAGATAATATCTGACTGGAAGTGGTAGAAGTTCCGAATCCTGAAAATTTGCTTTTAGAAAGTCCTTCCCTCTCCCGCTTCCTAAAGCATTCTTTAATTACTATTTTGCTATAAATTGGACTTGCAGTGCCGTGTGATTTAAGAGTTGTTGAATTCTGATTAGGTATTAGGTAACTCTGGACTGAATAACTTATTCTTCTGAGGCAGGGTACTTCATACATGTTTATAGTGATCTGACAAGAGGGATGGGGAGCACAGTTAGTCATCTCTGTCTTCACCCAGCAGTTCACAATTAAAATTACAACTTATCCAACTAAAACAATAAATTCCAAAATACTTGGGCTGTGTTTAAGTTCTGGGGAAGGAGCTTGTAATTTTTAAAAATAATTTTAAGAGAGGTATCATTCAGTTTTAAAAAAACACATAGATTAACCAGTTAAAAATAGTTCAGTTACTTGATAAACTATTTTATCAAGGAAAGGGGCCACAGGGTTCAAGGATAGTTGAGGGAACATCACAAAGGACATGGATAAGATCACTCAACATGCATAGATTACTCATTTATACCATCTAGCCAATCCTTCACATGAATGAAAGGGTAGTTAAAACATATTGAGTGATACTGGGAATGCACTGTAAAATGCCAAGGGAATATTCAAAGCAGTTGCTATGATTTTCAGAGCAGTACCGGAAGGTGACACATGCCAGCTTCTCCAAAATAAGAGAGAGACTCTCAGGTTCCAATGAAGAGCCTGATATATTGTGTTGTGAACTGCCCTAAGATATATGGGTATAGGGCAGTATACAAATTTAATAAACAAACAAACAAAGCTCACAGAGGGGTAAATTTTCTGCAGCAGCCTCCAAGGAAGGGCCTTACCTATGCTGAATCTGGACCCCTTGCCTCAAAGAAAGGGGCTTCCTCAATCAGCCAGGTTTCTGAGCTACGTACCCCCTGTGTCCCCCACCTCACCTGACTGTACCTTGGAGCCAAGCTCTGGGTTGCCCTGGTGATGCTCCTCCCCATGCCAGCTCACTGATGTCCTGTAACAGGTAGACAAGCATAGCAGTGACATGGAGGTTCTCAGTCGTGGCATAACTCTAGCGAGCGTCTGTTCATCCCCAGAGTGGCAGCTGTGGATCTCATCGTTCTCTCAACTCGCCAACACATCATTAAGTTTAATTCACTTACATTAAGTTTAATTCAATGGTACCAGCCTCCATTGGTCCTAACCAAAGGCTTGTCAGCTCTAACCCTATTGATGTAATTTGCAGGGGCTAGGCACCTCCAGCCTGTACTTTGCAATCCCAGTCCTTTCCCATTTTGGTGGAGCCATCTGAGTAGGATGGAGATTGGAGCAGAGGATCAGTATTTCTTTATGACTCAAAAGTTAGACCAAAGACTTGTGGGATGGAAACAAACCTGCTTGCTTCTGCATCTGGGCTACCTGTGAGGTCACCAGAAGAGACCATGAACAGGCCCTAGAGCTCTCCTTCACTTTTACTCAGATTCGATGTGCCCTATGTGTTTGGATGAAGTGCCCCTGCCCCCAGGAGACAACCCTACCTTCTGGGCAGCGATGCCATTGGACTTGGGATAGGTCTCTCCCTTGGCAGACGTCTTACTGTTGCAACCTGAAGGTCCTGAATGAGGACAGAAAAGAAGGTTGTGAAAGTGAAGAGAATCTGGCACTGTTGTTTTATTACCATTGAGGCTCAGCTAAGCAGCTAAAGTGTGTATGTAGAAATTCAGTCTATGGTTGTGAGCAGTTGAGCCATGAAACATTTGTGATGACTTTTTTATATAAAAAAGAAAGGAAAATCCCAGGAGGAGGGGGAGAGGGAATTGGCCAGCTTAAGCCACTATAGTACTCTGGAGGGATGTATACTTTGATATTAAAAAGCTCTTATCCCCACACTTCTAATGAAGTACTGAGTCCTTTAGCACTATTTAGACAGCACAGGAACATTTCAGAAAGGTGGGAAAGGGAAAAAAACATGTCATCTGCAAGCCCCAAGCAGCACCTACAAGGACTTCTGTTTTGGGCTGGCTGGAGCTGTGAAGACGAGAACTTCTGAAAGGAGCTGAGGACATATTTTGTTGTACTCTCCATTTGTTTTCTTCTAAAAAAGCAAATTCCATCATGATTTTCAAAACAGATGCATTGAGCCAAGTCCTAATGGAAAGCAGTTTGGTACCCCAATAGACAATGTTACTTTACTGCATGAATAAAAAAAGATCATTATGGCAAATCAATAGATTTTAGCATTGATTACATCTATTTTATCCTAGGCATTCACAGTACCTTACTGGATAGCTTCTGCCGACTAATGCTACAATCCTAAACATACCTGGAAGACCCACTGAAATCAATCCAAGTAAATGAATTTAGGCTTTTTAAGACATTGCATTTTACAACAGAAGCGCCACAGAAAATGCAGCTGTAATCTCCCTCTCTCCACAGCTGTTCACCCAGTCAAGTGACTCAGTTGACCCCACCAGTTCATGCCCTCTGGATGTTATCAGTCATTGGAGTCAGCTTTGAAAGCCAGAAGTCCCTGTTGCCCAGTAAGAACAAGATCACGCAGAAGCATGCAAACCTACAAATGGTGCCAGGTGGGACTGACAGTCCCCAGTTACTACTCTGTTAAATTTTACCACACAAGGCTCTGTATATGTGTCACCACGACAGACAGGCGAGTGCATTTATGGGTATATGTAAAGAAAAACAGCAGCCCTAGAGAGAACAAGGGTTGGGCTGCTGGCATTACTTTTCACATGGGTCCCATCAATCAAACACAAAAAGGCTTTGGAATCCTGATACCGTTTCTGGCAATGCAGCTTCCCCAGTGTGTGCTAAACCAGAGGGGCAAGATGGGTGTTGCCACTGGGTGGTACCCGTGGGCACATGCCAGTAGTAGGTCCCAGAGGAGTCGTGGATTTTCCTCCATCCTGGGGGAAGATCAAGATCTGCCTCCAGATTCTGGTCGTTCCATAGGTTGTCTAAAGAGAGAAAAGACTTCAGATGAGGAAAAGGGCAAGTTTCATTTCAAAGGATGGTCAAAATGCCACTCTCTCTATTTTAAGACACATCATTTCTGAATATTCCAGCTGAAAAATCTAATGTGGAATAACAACAGAGGACAGGTGCATGAAGGATATACATTTACAAGCTTCCATCTATTCTTACAAACCACAGAATATTTCTGAGCCCCTTGTCCAGTCCTTGCTGGGCAGTCCAGTGGAAAATTTCAGTCAGTATTTACTCCTATATTTGCAAGGGTTAAACTTAAAGCCTTCTTCTCCCTACCTGGTTAATAAAGAGTTAACAAAGATCAAGGATGTAGTAACATCACACAGTGGGGTGTTCAGCATTGAACAGAAGACTCAACACTGTAAAGATGTGAAATCAATACCCACAACCCCCACGGCCATCACACAGATACCAGAAGCAGAGCACATAGTAAAACTATGGAATTTGTTCCCAGAAACAGTGGTGATGGCCACCAACTTGGACGCTTTTAAAAGGGATCTGACAAATGCATGCAGGATAAAGCTATCAGTGGCTACTAACCATGATGGCTATGCACAATCTTCAGTATCAGAAGCAGTATGCAAAATTTCTGGAAATCCTAAAAAGCACGGTTTTAATGAGGAGTGAGATGGAGCCCAGTTTCCCTCCCTCTCTACTTTCCTGGAGAATGAATGTACAGGCACCAGAATGTGAAACCTGCTGTTTCCCTGCAGGACTTCCAGGAGCAGAGCTATGACCGTAACTGTATCTGCCCCAGCGCACACAGCTAAAAATACCCAAAGGTCAGTGTGCCCCTTCTGCTTTATTATCCTGTTGATTCTCCCAGTATGGAGGGGACAGAAGGTGAATAATCCATCACTTGCCATTCAATTACATACTGCAGGCCCTGCTCTCTCTTGCCTGCCAAGCTGCATTCTATTTAATCAGGTCTCTCCATCCTTTAGAGTGGCTCAACCAGCTGCCAGAAGTAGCAGCACAGAGGTTGACACTTCCCGCCTGCAGAGATCAGAGCAGAGAAGCACCAACCAAACTGCTTTCTGACATTCACACATTTCCTGACTGCCAGTTGTCTCCCAGGAAACAGCACCCAAGAGCCTGACCTGCATCAGCAAAGGCTGTGCTGATGGACAGCCATGACGCACAGACCATCTGAAATTATTCTCCAGAGCAGCCTTCTTCAGGTAGCAAGCCGTTTACACACAGCATCGCACCTCGCAGGCTGGGCTATTTTCTCCCTGCCACACAAAGCTATTTCTGTGCCAAACTTTGTGGCAAGATGCTAGATGTGAGCAGACTGATACGCTGAGGCTGTTGCTATGGGGAATCAGATAAAACAGCCTCCAAGTAGCAGTTGATTTGGGTGCCTCTGGCTGGACTGAATGTGGCTGACTGTTCACATCATTCTAGAAAGGGTAGCCAGAGCAAAATGCAGACACTCCTAGTGACTAATCAGTATGCACAAGCACAGCATGAACTTAACTGTTAGAGTCAATAGACAAATTCTCCTGACTGCCACTGGATTCATCAAACTGGCTCCCAATTAACTAGTTGAAAATGAAAATTAAAGCTTGTTGACTTTACCTTAATGATGCCCCCATTCAGGCAATTTCCTAAACTTCTGCGGGCTCAAAGTGGGGACAAGAAGGGCTGCACATGAAAGTCCCAGCCACTTGCATTTGGTTGAATTTGCTTAGAGACCTCATCGCTGTCAGGATCCCTGTCTTATCAGGGTTTTTCTTCACAAAGAGGATTTGAAGCATGTTCCCATGAATGCACTTAGAAATGCAGATGTCTAAAACGAAGCCTGTGTGCCCAGGGGGTGTTAGAATGGGGCTTAAGCATGCTCATCTCTGCCCATACCCACTTTGAGGCTACAAGTGTTCAGGTGAACACACAAACAGGTCTTATGTGTATTCTCGCCTGGGGAAGCAGACTTAAATCCAAACCATAGCAAAATTGTTGGTCTTTCAGGTTTGTATTTTTTCTATAACAGACTGTGTCTCTAAAAGTTTTTCTGAAAATCCTGGAAATTGATAGTGGATCTGGTAAGTTTTCCTGAAAAAGAATGCTCCAATTTTCCATTTCCTCCAAATAGTGCCCTGCCCTGAAATTCATACTCAGCATAGCTCAGGCAGTGAGCTGGCATCTTAATTCAACCAAAGCTGAGTTCTAGTTTTAATCATTTACCTCTGCCACCTGCTCTTGTTTTCAGAAGTACCCACTTTGGAAAAATTGGTGATACCCACATTTTGCAAAGAGAAATGGAGTGTCTTCCATTTGTCTGGCCTCTCTTTTCCTTCAAAATCCAAGGAATGTGGGAGGCAAGTTTCTCTGTTCACCAGCCTGGCAGGGAGTTAGACCAACAGCTAATTTTGCTGTAAGACCACCTGCATAAAGGAATGCGGTGGGAATGAAGCCCCAACCCCCCACTGTCCAACTCGGCCTATTTGTATCCAAATGCCACAAATGGCACTCCATCCTTTTCCCACTTTCATCATCTAGCATCACAAGTGAATCAGATTTGGCAAAGAAACTGTCAGCTGCTGACTTCCAAATGCAAGGACATAACAAAGGATTAGCATCCAACCAAGTCCACCACTAACTTGCCCTCTGTAGAGAAGCAGTTGGTCAGTAATGGTGCAATCTGAAGATCAGCAAGAATAAAAAGGAGAGATCACTGAAGAATAATACATGTTTTTCAAGGCAGCATTATTCTTTAAGAAGCAAAACAATAAACAAACATCAGTGAGGTAGCCGTAGGCTTAATTTTCTCTGTTGTGGGGTTTGGGAACTGGAATGGAGAGGCTATTCATACTAAACAGCAAGTTCATAAGAAAGATGATGTAGATTGGCAGGGTAGGGGAGAGATTTACAGGTTCTTTCCCATAGCCCTCTATGTGCATAGGCCTACACACCAGGCTGTGTGTTGACTTGCCCAAAATTACACGAAAAAAATAGTCCCTAATTCTGTGTGCACTCCAACTATTAGGATATGACAGCAACTAGGAACACTCAACACTACCCAGAATTAGAGCTTCTAATAACAGCTTTCATTAAACCACAGCATTCACCTCAAGGCCCCTTCATAATCAAAGTGTGTTGACTGAGTTATGAGACGTGAAAGAGGACAGAACATCTACACTTTGAATAGTTATGCAGAAATGGGACTTGGAGCAGGCATAGCTTGTCACATATGCTGCACCTTCTAAAACTCCCACTTCTACACAGCTATTAAAGAACACTGTCTGCTTTTACATCTGGCCACGCTAATTGCCAAATGGTCAGTGGGGAAAGGGTTAAACATATCCTCCCTATCACTACAGCTCTGAGCAAATTCATACTGCAATAGAGTAAGAAGAAAAGAAGTTAGATAATTTGTGCATCTCACCATAGTATTTTGTTTGATAGGCTTTTGTATGGTGGCTTCTTATAAGATCTGTGCTGCTAAGGACCCTTTGTACAGTAGAATTGCCTCTTCTACTGTCCCTTTACTAAAATGGTTGCACAGGGGGGAAAATAACATCTTAACCTTCCTCCTCCCTACCTTGGCAAACCAATAAATTGTTACGCTTGTGCCAAGCTCTGAGAATTTAATCAAGGAAATGCAGCTTTCACAGATGGGATTGATTTGGCTAGAACAGTGATGTCCACAACTCAGCCCGTTCCTCCCAATTTTCAGGCCTTGGGGATGAAATATTTGGGATGAGGGATGGTAGTAACTTTCCTTCATTTTTATTTGCAAAGAAATGGAAGCATTTCCCCTCCTGGAACAAGGCAGCAGATGGGCTCAAAAAAGCTGGGAAACTGTGTGGGAGTGATTTTCTTAGCAAGTACCGTACTTATCTTTAGCAAAATCCTGCTCTCTTTGCAAATCTTACAGGTTCAGAGCAAAATTTTGGCTTTGAGAGTGAATCTTGAGAATCTCCAAATAACATAGCTCTTCTCAAACAGACCCAGATACATTTTAAGTGACAATTGGCAGGTGGTAACCAAGGAGAGGGGGTGGTGCCATGCCTATTAAATGCTCTCAACACAGAGGTACACTGGCACCAAGTTTCTTATCTTGGCAGCACCAGGCAAATATGCTTGTATTTGCCTAGGTTTGGAATGTCAATATGGCATCTATGGATGCAATGGCAGTTATGAGGACCTCCCCTGGCACATGTAAGACCTATGTCTGTGCTCACTACCCCTTTTATTATGAGTACATACAGCTGGAGGAGGTGGTGGGAAGAGCAAAATGCAAAGCTCTGTGTGCTTTTTAAGGCTCAGGCTCAGATCTGAACAGCAAACAAAATGACCAAGATGTCATTTTGTATCAGATGTATCAGAGAGGAAGGAGAATGATCTGGGTGACTGAGAGAAGGAAAACATAGAAATGAAGGGGAAGGTGAGGCGATAGTAGGATGCCACATGAATCCAGGTGGAAGAAAGGCCTGGAGAAAGAGACACAGACAGACAACAGACAGACAGACAGAATGGAGTGGCAGAGACAGGAGAAACATGTACACCCATGTCAGACAGGGAACACCCATCCTCTTGAAACTTCAGGTTTTTTCACAGGCTTATCAGCAGTACCACATCTTCCTATTGACTGAACCATTGATCTGAGGCAAAGATCCCTATGGGTCCTCATTCTTTTTCAAAAGGGAACTCCTCAAAACCACCATCAAACCATAGTTTGCCCCTGTATCCATATATATTTTCCATGATTTGTCACCCTCTGCAAAACTCATGAAGATCCATGCCTAAATAAATGTTTTTTTGTGATGCTGGCAAGCACTGGATCTGTTATTTTTACTGTGTAGTATACCACAATGAACTTTATCTTGGTGGTTTATTTTAGAGGACACTATGTAAAACTATTGAAATTGAAGAGGATCTGTTGTTTATTTTATCTTAAACTTTCATTGTCAGAAACAAATAAAACATCAAAATAACCATGTTGATATACTAGAGGTCCTATAGCATAGACTGCACAGGTTTGGTTAGTGATAATACACCCAAGTGTATGGCTTCCTACCCTTGAAGCATGCAGGCAACATCATAACTACATTTCTCCCCTCCCCACCCCCTTTTTGACAAGGACCCTCCCTCACGGCCCCACAGCTGCTGGTCCATGACAGCAGCATTGGAAGGCAAGGAGGAGGGAGGGAGGGAGGGAGGGAGGCAGCCAGCCAGCCAAGGCTGGTGAGGGCCCAGGTCAGCAAGCTGGTGTTTGATGTGTACTAAGGGGTGAGCAGATGATGAGATAGGCTTTCATGAGTAAGGAGAGGGAGAGGGGTGGCTTTGGCAAGGCATAAAGGGAGAGTATTGGTGGCTTTGGTGAGGGGTAAAGGGAGATGAGTGGATTTGGTGGGGGTGGTGTAGGGGTAGGCAGGGTTGGTGAGTGAAACAAGGAAGAACATAAGAAGGCCCTACTAGGTCAGGACAATGGGTTATCTAGTCCGGCATCATGTTCTCACAGTGGCCTAGTGGATGCCTATGGTGCAGAACTTGCTATGGTTCCCTGGAGACTTTCTTGTAGTTCAGAGTGCCTGAAGTAAGAGCTCTCCTGTCAAAATGAGAGCAACGGGGAGTGAAATTCAGAAGGTGGTTATCCCTGGACTATTAGATTGAGATCCTAAGCGTATCTCGTGGGAATGAATTCCACTGAACTTGAAAGGACATACAGTTGTATTTAAACTGGGTACAACCCTCTGACGATGCCAGTCATCGCAGGCTTGCCTTTCTGTTCTACACACTATAAGAAACTGATGAAATATGGTACAATTTATCCTCTGTGTGTGTTGTACTCCTAATCCTGTGAAGTTGGGGGACTCAAGGGGGATTTCAGAACTCGAGGCGACTTTCCCTAGGGTACAGCGGGCTTCTCCTTTCAGCACTATGGAAAGCTCCCAGGAGGCTGCTGCCCCCGCCCCCAACGCAAAGCTAGAGAGCGGGACAACAGGCGGCGCTTAGCCTCTGCCCCACGGCGTCGAGAAAAGCACTTGCAGACGTCTCCGGCGAAGTGCAAGGGGTCGCCATAACCCTTTCCCCGACAGCAAGTTTCCCACTCCCTCCTTTTCTCCCCAAGCGACAAACAGCCTGAGTGGTTTGGAGTACATAGGGGGGACCTGGGGACGCGGGGAGGGGGCGCGCACACTCGCTGCTTCAGCCCAGCCACTGGGTAACCCCTCACCCAACTCCCCCGGAGCAGAACTTGGTCGAAGAGCCCGAAGTCCCAAGCGGGCCGGTGAGCGGGGCGGGAACACGAGGAAATGCTCCCCGCACGGGGCTGGGGGGAGTCCGGGCGCCCCTTCCAAAACAGCCGCGCAGGCGAAGGGAAGAGGCGCGCGCTCGCGCGATCCCGCCCGCCTCCGTCCTGGAGACGCCCGCCTGGCTGCGCCCCCAGCACCCCCGGGTGGGCGCCGCGACCATCTCCCCCCACCCCAGCCGGCGCCCCTTGCTCTTACCGTCGCAGTTGACCAGGATGATGGCCAGCATATAGTCCTTGCCCAGCATGGCTTCGCTCGGTCGGGCGGCGAGCAGCCCCGAGCGCGGAGGACGACGGCGGCGGCAGCGGCAGCAGGAGCGCTGTGCCAGAGGCCGGCCCCAGAATGCGGGGCGGGCGGAGCGAAGAGCGCGGACTGGGCAGATCCGGGAGGAGAGAGATGCTGACGAGGGAGGGCGATCCAAAGCCGTGACGCAAGAGGCATCGTGCAACACCGAGGCCCACGGGCTCCAGTGGGACTTGGCCTCCCAAATTGAGCGTGCACAGAATGGCAGCCCAAGGGGGGAGGAAGTGTCTGCTGATCTTACTTCCGAGTAAACAGGCTGGGGGGAAAAAGAGCCTTCCTGGATCAGGCCAAGGACCCATCTTGTCCAACATCCTGCTCTCAGACTGGTGGACCACATGCCCCTGATAAGCCCACCAAAAGGACCAGAGCTTTCCACACCTGCGATTCCCAGCAACTGGTATTCTGAGGCACACTGCCTCAAGCATTGGAGCCAGAACACAGCCACAAACACTCCATAAATTTCTCCAGCCCTCTTTTAATGCAATCCAAGTGGGTGGCCATTACAGCCTCTTGAGGTAGCTAATTATTTAGCCTGCCCTGAATGTTCCAACATTTAGTTTAATTGGAGAACCCCACTGTTCTAGCATTATGAGAGAGAAAAACTCCTTTCCCACTTCCTTTACACCTTGCATAATCTTATACACCTCTTAACACATTCCCCTTATTACACATTTTTCTAAACGAAACAGCCCAAAATACTGTAACCTGCTCTAACCCCTTGATCATTTTGCTTGCCTTTTTCTGCCTCCTTTCCAGCTCCACAATGTTCTCTTTGCAGTGAGGTGGCCAGTACTGTGCACAGTTGTACTGTATTACAGTACAAGTGTAGTCTCACATCATGTATAATGACACTTTGTATAACGGCATTATGATACTGGTAGTCTTATTTTCAATCCCTTTCCCAACGACTCCTATCATGGAATTCACCCTTTCACAATTGTCACACACTGGATCAACATCTTCATCCAGCTATCCACTATGATGCTTCTTCTGTGCTTTGAAACACGTCCACCCTCTGTGGGTTGGGCAACCAAGTCAGAACTTGGGAGGGACATCAGAAGCTGCCTTATAGCAGCTCAGCTCCACATTGTCTACTACACTGACTGGCAGTGGCTCTGGGGGTTTTTGGACTTGGGTCTTTTCCAGTCCTGCCTGGAGGTGCTAGTAGTTGAAAGAGATGGAGGGGATTCCAATGGTCTTCTAGTCCAACCCCTTGCAATGCATGAATCGAAAGTATAAATGACAGATGACCATCCAATCCCTGCCTTAAAAACTCCAAGGAAGGAGGAGGGCACCGGATTCGTGGAAGGAAGCGTTTATCACATTGATACCAAAGTTAGAAGCTGAAAAGACACAACTGAAGAACTACCGTCCCATCTCCCTTTTAAATGTGGATTACAAAATATTTGCAGATATTTTGGCAAGTAGATTTAAAAAGTTTTAAATGAAGTAATTCATAAGGACCAGGCCGGTTTTCTCCCAGGTAGACATCTGTTTGCTAACACAAGGAACATTATTGATATCTTGGAACTTCTCCAAACTGACATAAATACAAAAGCAGTTTTAATTTTTATAGATGCGGAGAAGGCCTTTGATAATATTTCTTGAAATTTATGATGGGAAACTTAAAAGAGATGGGAGTGGGACGGGGTTTTGAGAATGGGATTGAGGCGATATATTCAGAACAGAAAGCTAAACTGATAGTTAATAATGTGGTTACAGAAGAGTTCAAAATTGAAAAAGGGACACGACAAGGCTGCCCTATCCCCTTTGTTATTTATTTCGGTTCTGGAAGTGCTATTGAACATGATTAGAGGGGACCAGTTGGTGGAAGGAATTCAGGTTGGTCAGAAACAATATAAACTAAAAGCTTTTGCAGATGACCTGGTTTTGACCTTGCAGAAGCCAGAGCCTAGTACGAAAAGAGTATTACAATTGATTAATGACTTTGGTCGGGTGGCGGGATTTAAATTAAATAAACAGAAAACCAAGGTTTTGGGAAAAAATTTGACTGAGACAGAGTCAGAACGGTTTCAGAATGAGACGGAACTTAATGTGGTTAAAAAGTAAAATACCTAGGGGTAAACATAACAGCAAAAATCTAAGTCTATTTAAGGATAACTATGAAAAATGTTGGACAGAAATTAAGAGAGACTTAGACAGTTGGTCAAAATTGAAACTTTCTTTGTTAGGCCGAATTGCTGCGATTAAGATGAATGTATTGCCAAGAATGTTGTTTTTATTTCAAACACTTCAGGTTTTGGACAAAATGGAGTGCTTTCAGAAGTGGCAGAGAGACATTTCGAGTTTGTCTGGCAGGGCAAAAGCCCAGAATTAAGTTTAAGATACTAACTGATGCAAAACAAAGAGGGGCTTTGCCCTGCCGGACTTAAAGTTGTATTACGAGCCGCAGCGTTCTGCTGGCTAAAAGATTGGCTACTTCTTGAAGACACTGATGTGTTAGATTTGGAAGGGTTTAACAATGTTTTTGGATGGCATGCATATTTATGGTATGACAAAGTTAAAGCAAATAAGGCCTTTAAGAACCATATTGTTAGAAAATCACTGTTTAATGTCTGGACAAAATATAAAGACTTGCTGGAAAATAAAACACCAAGGTGGCTTTCACCTTTGGAAGCTAAGGCCCGAAAAGACCCAATATGGAGGCCAAATGGCCAAAATATTGGGAAATACTAGGAAAAGATGGAGACAATTGGAAATTGCAGAGTTTGGAGAAAATGAAAGACAAAGTGCGAGATTGGTTACATTATGCTCAGATTAAAGAAGTTTTTAAAAATGATAAGAAACTAGGGTTCCAGGTGGAGAAATCGAAATTAGAAACAGAATTGTTAGAACCAAAGACTAAGATACTTTCAAGGATGTATAACTTGCTGTTGGAATGGAATACACAAGATGAAATGGTTAAATCGGCTATGATAAGGTGGGCACAGGATATTGGGCATAATATTATGTTTGAGGACTGGGAAAGGCTGTGGAGTAATGGATTGAAATTTACTGCATGTAATGCTTTGAAAGAAAATGTAATGAAAATGATTTATAGATGGTATATGACCCCAGTCAAACTCGCAAAAATTTACCACCTGTCTGATAACAAGTGCTGGAAATGTAAAGAGTGTGAAGGAACGTTCTTTCACCTCTGGTGGACCTGCCCTAAAGTGAAGGCGTTCTGGGAAATGATTTATAATGAATTGAAAAAGGTATTTAAATATACTTTCACTAAGAAACCAGAGGCTTTCCTTTTGGGTATTGTCAGCCAAGGGGTGGCAAAGAAGGACCAGACATTTTTATGTATGCAACAACAGCAGCAAGGATACTACTCGCAAAACATTGGAAAACTCAAGATCTACCCACACTGGAAGAATGGCAGATGCAACTGATAGACTATATGCAACTGGCTGAAATGACTGGCAGAATCCGTGACCTGGGAGAAGAGAGAATCGAGGAGGATTGGAAGAAATTTAAGAACTATCTACAAAAGCATTGTGATTTGACTGAATGCTGAATAAGATGCTAGACTAAATAACTGAGCACCACTTAACTTAGAAGTTTTTAAGAAAGTAAGAAAAACTGTGAAAGTTTAACTCTTTATGAGAACTTTAAGATTATGAAATATCGAAGAGATATAAGAACTTAAATAAGATGATAAATTGCTGACAAAATGTTATAATGATGAAGGTGGGAGCGGGAGATGCGAGGAAGTCCAAAGAAAATGTGAAATTATGTTAAGACGAATGTTATATTGTTTATTACATTTATTCCTATTGTAAAATCCAATAAATTGTTTTAAAAAAAAATAAAAACTCCAAGGAAGGAGAGTCCACCACCTTCCGAGGAAGTCCGTTCCATTTCATGCAACCAATCAAAGTAATGGGCTGTAATCTATCAAAGTGTAAACCTTAATAAATTTGCCCAGACTTTAAGGTGCCACAGAGCGCTTCGTTGCTATTTTTTTGCCTGAAAGACTAACCCAACTACCCCTCTGGTTGGCTGACACTCATCTGTCTCGGGAGACAATGGAAGTGTGCGCCTTTTGCGGTGTAGTCAAACCTTCGAAAAGTTTGTGTGTGCTGTGGCTGTAGAGACCAATGCAGGACACGTTTTGTTGCAGCTGGGACAAATGAAGGTGTCTAGTTGTGGTGATCCTTGGGGATCCTGCCATTTTACATTCCATGGAGATAACCAAGCCAGTGTGGATGTCACTGAGACAGGAGTGCGAACATTCTGGGAATACAGGCTTGGGAGAATACATATTTATCTGTCCTGCCATGTGAATCCCAAAATCTGCCTGACACAGGCTTTGAGGAGTCTCTCCTGGTGGGTGCGAGTTGCCCACATCTCACTTCCATAAAGCAGCGTGCACAAAACACAAGCCTGAAAAACACAAGCCTGGTAGACTCTTGGTATCGGTCAATAGCATCACATTCTCCCACACTCTTCTGGAGAGGCGAGCCATTGCCAGTTGCCTTGCCAACATGCTTGAAATTGTATAGCTTAAGTCATGGTCCTGGCTGGTAGCCAGATTCTGCGCCCAGATTTGTAGGCACAGATCATCCTCTAGAATAAAATAGCTCATTAGGGAAATGCTGAAGTCACCCTTTGGGGCGCCTCAGGGTCAATTTTTTATGGTAGCCCAAATCTCAGTTGTACAGGTGTATGTATATATCTCAATTTTAACTCATGAGCTAATGGCGCAATCTGCTCCGACTGTATATTATGAACGCTGTTTTTATTGTGTTATGTTACGTGAGCTGGTCTTTGACCGTAATAAATTATCTCATGGTCAATCCTTTAGTCTCTGTGGTGCCACAAGACTAGTCATTTCGTGGTTTGTTTGTGTGTCTGTGTGTTATGCTGTGGCAGCAATAACTCTTCCAGCTACGATGCAACTGCCACTAGGCTGCTACCTGATGTTTAGTTTCCTATTTATTTACTGATTTATTAATTTTTTTTAACCCCAAGCCCCGCATCCCCCTCAGTCACGGAGGCAGCAGCTCAGACTGCGTGAGAGGAGGACAAGGGGGCCTGGCAGCGGCAGCGCGGCGCCCTCAGGACCCTGGGACCTTTAAGGGGTCGCGACAACCAAGATGGCGGCTCCCGCGGCCGCTTCGTCCCGCGCCTATTTCTGAGCCGAAAAACAAAACTTCACGAGCGCCCCGCTCGGCGAGGGCGACGCAAAACTGACGTCAGGAGCACGTGCCGACGCTGCGGCAGGAGAACGCCGTCGGTAGGCAGCTAAACTGATAGACACATAGACACAAGAATCTGTAGAGTAAACCTCCTCGCTGGTTTGATAGGGATCTTCCGGATCAGCCTTGGGAAGCGGCAGAAATCGAAGCAGTTCTTCTTCTTCTTACTTAGACGTTGCTTCATGTGGAAATGGTTGCTATTATTACGCCTTAAATTTGTATACCGCCCTGCCTCCGAAGAGCCGGGGCGGTTCACAACAGGGGGAAAACGAGAACGCAAAATTCATAACAAAACAAACACATATAAAAAGCCGTGGAATGTGAACCTGGCTGAGGAGAAGCGTTTCCGCCTGGCGCCTAAAGGCTGGCAATGGAGGCGCCGGGCGACACGTGTAACGTGTGAATCCCCGTCCCAGCCTCTCTTCCTTTCCCTTGAGTCCTGGCTAGCAGGGGGCTGGACTAAGTGACCCTCACGGGCCCTTCCTCCTCTACCTGTCTCCTGGGGGCGGGGGGAGCGGCCCTCAGAGCCCCCCTCGCCGGGGCTGCTCGGAGAGAGGAGCCGGGGGAAGCGGAGAAGGCCGGTCCGGAAAGAAGGGCGGCGCCTGCAGCGGGCGGAGCCGCGAGGAAGATGGCGGACGACAAGGTACCGGGGTGGCGGGAGGAAGGCGCTCGCGGCCTCCTTGGCTTCTCGGGTGTGGCGGGGCCTGCAAGTGCGGCGGGGGGGGGAGGGAGCCTTTGCGGCCCCGTTTACTCGGGAGTCGTCGTGCCCGAGGGGACGCGGGGCAGCTTCGGGGCGGAAGCCGGAGCGTGACTCTCCTTAGGATGCGGCCTCTTTCAGGGAGGCCCGCTAGCTCCCCTTTTTTAACACCCGCACTTTTAGCTTCTGCTTACCCATGTTTTCCTGGTACTTCTGTGGAGTTTATTTTTTGGGGGGGGGTTTGTAGCTTTCTTGATGATCTTTTCTTTTCTTTTTTGTAAACTGCCTCTTTGGAACTTTCTTGCTTTTTTAAACTGCCTCTTAGGCCTAGTTTGGGTGCTAAGGTAGGACAGAGACGTATCAAGTGAGGGAAAACGAAAACACGAAACTGCTTGTGTGAACATGGGCACTTGCTTGTATAAGACGGAACTTGAAGTGGGTTCTGTCGGGAGGAAGGGTGGAGTATAAATGGAATGAATAAGTAAAATAAATAAATGTTGACATTTTCAGTTTTGGGAAGGAACTAAAATAACTTGCCCCCCCCCAAATTTTTATTTTTTTTTATCCAGAAAATTCTAGCTGTATAAAAATGAAACCGAAATGCATGTCTTTTGTTAACCTATCCGGACTAAAATAGTGAGCTATCCATATGCAGCCTATAATTGTTCATGGCAGCAAAGTATAAAAAGACTAGACAGATGATTTTTTTCATTGATTTATAACACAAGTTAATATTTGAAAATTAATCCACTGATCAAGTCCATTTCCCACACCCAAAACAGCATCATACTAAATTGCTTTATACTATTGTATAGAACTCATTGTGGATAGAAGCACCTGGGATAGAAGTTGGAGAGTAAAAACTACCTAAAGTGCCCCCTCTGATGTGGTGGCAGTGATAGCCAGAAACAGAATACTGGTCTTGTATTAGACATCCCATTAGAATTTCTAGACTGTGCCTTTCCTCTTAGATATTTGCTTTCTATAACAAAGATACTAAAATGCATGTGTGCATGCAGTTTGGAATATGTCATTTATGTTTCCAATGTATAGGACTCTCTGCCAAAGCTGAAAGATCTTGCTTTTTTGAAGGATCAATTGGAAAGCTTGAAACGAAGAGTCGAAAATGAGGTACAGGCTGGAGTAGGACAGGTAAAAGTGGGGCTGTTTAATACTGATTTCTCCAAGTCTGTCACCGTATTTGTCTCTCAAAAGTCATTAATAATGTCCTTGATATGTCTGGCCCAGTAACTCAGGCATAGGCAAACTCTAGCTCTCCATATATTTGGGACTACAATTTCCATCATCGCTAGCTAGCAGGACCAATGATCAGGGATGATGGAAATTGTAGCCCCAAACATCTGGAGGGCCGGAATTTGCCTATGCCTGCAGTAACTTATTAGAGTACAATGTACTGTATTTTTCGCCCTATAGGACGCACTTTTTCCCCTCCAAAAATGAAGGGGAAATGTGTGTGCGTCCTATGGGGCAAATGCAGGGTTTCGCTGAAGCCTGGAGAGCGAGAGGGTCGGTTCACACCGACCCTCCCGCTCTCCAGGCTTCAGGAAGCTATCCGCAAGCTTGCGGAGCCCGGTGGGAACTCCTGCGGGCTCCGAAGGCTTGCAGATAGCTGCCTGCAGCCCAAAGCCCGGGAAGCACGGCACTGCGCACCTCGGGCTTAGGGCAGCTATCCGCAAGCCTGCGGAGCCCTGCGGGAGTTCCCGCCGGGCGCCGCAGGCTTGCGGGTAGCTGCCCTAAGCCCGGGGTGCGCAGCGGGCTACAGCGCTGTACTCCCCGGGCTTCAGATAGCAGCAAGTTCCGGGAGCGATGGCGAGGTTGAGCGCAACCTCACCATCGTTCCCGGACCCGTTCTGGGGGCTGGGGTCGGGGGAAGCTCGGGCTTCCTCCAGCCCTGCAAGCTTGGGGGGGAAATATTTTTTTTTCTTTATTTCCCCTCCCCCCAAAAAAGTGCGCCCTATAGGGTGAAAAATACGGTAATTATACCTGTAAGGGACTGTAGTTTATTTTCAGTGTGTTACATCTGGAAAATACTGAGACTGTGCTTGCTCCTTTGATTATAAATACTACATCAGCCTTGAATTGTAATCCAGCATATTAGGAAAAATGGATGAACCATGAGAACACATCCCAGTCTGCATTTTAGTTGTGTTCAGATGGCTGTTTCAATTGCCCATTTATGTTTTTGTTTTTTGTTTTTTACAGGAAGTCTCTCTGCTGGCATCCCCATTTCTCAAAGGGTTTCTTGCTGGCTATGTTGTAGCCAAACTCAGATCGTCAGCAGTCCTTGGATTTTTAGTGGGGACTTGTACTGGTGTCTATGCTGCTCAAACCTATGCAGTTCCTGATGTGGAAAAGACAGTCAAAGACTATTTCAGTTCATTCAGGAAAGGACCAGACTAGAATATAGAATCTCATGTAGCAATACACTCCAGAAAACCCCTCTTATATTAGGCTTTCTAAACAATGTAAACTCAATTTAGGTCAGAAATGACTCCTGCTCCCCTTTCACCAGTCATATCAATCGGAAGTGTTTTTATATTGGATGAGATGAAATTTCAGCAGGTCTGATTATAAGTATTCTCAGACATTCAATCATGAAAAGTCTTGGTGGCTGCTTCAGCCATCCTGGGATTAGATGGTTTCTGACTATCAACTCGGACAGCTGCATTTCTCACATGATGGGATTCTCATTCTGATGGAACACAGAGCAACTGCTGGGTCATCATGCCTGCCAGCTTTAAACTGGAACCCACCCCATGTCCTTTCATGTACCCAGAAAATGTGGCTTGATGCATACATTGTCCAAACTTTTTCTTAATCATGCATACATCTTATACTGACATGTGAATCTCATCACAAATGTGTCATATTGCTCTGATTCATTGGATACTTCTGCCTTTCCATGAGCATGACATTATTTTTTTAAAAAAGCCTATATTAACTTCATTTTTCTCCTCCTATAAAAGTTAGAGGTTGGTGTTTCCCTTGCCTCCACACTTCAGAGAAATGTTATTTGACAACGCTTGTACTGATGATAGCCGGGTCAGCCCAGCTGCTGCTGTCGTACTTGGGAAAATCCGATGGGGGCTGATGCTGATCTTGTCTGTTTTTATCTATGGCTCCCATGCACCACTCCTGACTCTCAGTAAAGAAAATGGTCAGATCCCATTCAGTGCCTCCTCTGTGGTGGTTTTGATTGAGTTAACCAAGTTGATGCTCTCACTAGTCTTCCTGATGATCTGGGGCTGCGGACAACAAAAGCTATCTGTGTCATGGCATCATGCTGCTCCCTTTGCTCTTTCGGCATTGCTCTATGCAGCCAACAACAACTTAGTAGTTCATTTGCAGCTGTTCATGGATCCTAGTACCTTCCAAGTGCTCAGCAACTTGAAAATTGGAAGCACCGCCCTCCTATTCAGCATGTTCTTGCACCAAAGACTGACTGCCCGCAAGTGGCTAGCTCTTTTCTTGTTGATTGCTGCTGGAGCCTTTTATACATATGGAGGCCTGCAGGACCCACAGCACATGCCTGCTTCTGAGATGCAGTTGCACATCACCCCCATTGGCTTAGTGCTGATCTTTCTATATTGCCTGATCTCTGGCCTTTCAGCAGTCTACACCGAAGTTGTCTTGAAGACCCAGGATCTGCCTCTTAACCTCCAAAATGCATTTCTCTACTTTTTTGGTGTTTTGCTGAACATAATCATCCATCTGTCAAGCAGCTCAGGGGCTGGGTTCCTAGAGGGTTTCTCATTTTGGGTTCTGTTAATTATTGTGAGTCAAGCCTTGAATGGCTTGATAATGTCTGTGGTCATGAAGCACAGTAGTAACATCACTAGACTCTTTGTGATCTCCTCCTCTATTATGGTTAATGCTTTGCTCTCTGTCCTCCTATTTGGTCTTCATCTAACCACCTTTTTTTTCCTTTCTGTTTTGCTGATTAGCTTCGCTGTTTACTTTTATTATGGAATCAAATAGCTTCCTTGCCTCTGTGTATCTTTAGAGAAGTCATTTATATGGAAATAATTTGCTGCTTATATATTTTACCTTGAAAAGAGTATAATAGACTGCACAAGTACTTTACACCTCCCTTGTGAATGGCTTAATAGCTATTGTTTCATACTTCTCCCTGAGCTCAGAAAAAGTATTTGTTGTTTGGCTGAGCTGCAGCTTAAACCTAGTATGCTAATCTTGTCATTAGCCAGCAAGCATAGTTTGAGGAAGCAAATTGTTAGCTAAAATCCCACTTTCATGTCATTTTGAATAGGCATTGGTGGAAAAGAGAAGAGTTGTATGTATTCTGTATATAGCTGGTTTCATTATGCTTCCTTTTTTTGGTTACAGCTCAGTAAGATCTGCCACTCCTGATATCAAACAGGAAACCGGACTCCAATATATCACTCCTCTACTCCTTCCCACTGTAATGTCTACCTAGTGTCTAGATTCATGAGTTCTCAAAAGGAAAGAATGAATTATTATTTCTTAATGAGCAAAAGCAGTCTCCCAGGCTCCTATTTCTACACTTGTGGAAAGGGAAGCTCTATATCTTTCTTTTCTTTTTTAACTAACCCTTTCATTGTTACTAATCTGGAAGAGTGTAGTATGAACAGCTATTTATTCTGCACAGGGAAGTGTTTTGCTTTTGATGTTCTTGGCAGAGGTTCTGCTTCAACCCAGTGATTACAAATGACAAGTGCCTTTTGCAAGTTAATGCCCTTCTGTGTTTGTCTGCTCCTGAAAGAGTCCATTGCTACCAGATAGTTTGTGATGAGTTGTGAATGTTTTGTAAAAACCCTCCAAAATAAATGGAGCACAGTTTCCTGTTACATTTCTCTGGATGTTTTCCAAACAGGACTCATTTCTCCCTTTCAGTATTGAATCTGAATGTGTAGACCTGCCTCAATATACAGCCAGAGGTTCCAGCCATGTAAACACACATGCTTAACTTTTCCAGGTGATGTTCTGATAATCTGTATTCTGCTCAATTCAGCTGCTGGTAATTGGGAACACTATGCAATGCATCACCATTTCCTTATTGAAGCAACTATAATCCACCTCATCCAACACTAAAGTGTTCAGGCAGCTTCTGACAACATTCGCATTTCTGCTGCCACACAGCTGAAATTTCCCACACCCAAATATTTCTGCCTGTAACATGTACTTGGCATATATATATATATATATATATATATATATATATATATATTTATGCTACCAGTACAGAGGTTCAGAAATGTACTGTGCGCCTCTTGCTTTGTTTTATCTTCAGTATTACTGATAAACTTAACAAACTGGGTTGATCACTCTACCTCTCATGCACCTTCTGTGTCTGGAACAGGTGTGGTGGGGTAACAGCTCTAAATGAGAGCTATGGTTACATAGGGTTTTTTATTACCATTTGTTTTGTTTTGTTTTTTTGCAGTTTCTCTCTGTGTTTATCTGTGCTGCCGCATTTATTTTAGCTCATGATTTTGATAACATTTTGATAGCTCAGTGATTGGATTGGATTGTATCTGGATTGCTATACACTCAGGTTCAACTAGTATCAATTCAATGCAGCAAAAATGTCTAGTTTGAAATAAAATTAAAATTTAGTTTACAGGGTTGTGTGTTTGTGTGATCTCTTATTGTTTGCTTGTTGCAAAGGAAACTTTAAAATGCTGGAACATAAAGACAACTTTGAATTTGACATGGAATAGAATTGAGCACCTTCATGTGGAGATAATAGAGAAAGCTTAATCACACAACTCTTCCAGAACAGTTTCTGTGTGCAGGATCCAAAATAATTTACCACCTCCTTCAAGGTTCAACGAAAGTTTCAAGGTGGGAGCACAGTACTTATCTGATGTTTGGGAGAAGGTAGTTTCACTAGCCAGGCAAAGAGCAAAAGAACTTATCTGTTCCACTGGGCAAACCTGCCTCTTCCGAATGCAACTTCGGGTTCCTCTTCCAGAGAAAATTATTTCAACAAATGTTTTACTATTTTGATTATGGTATCTTATGTTTTCCTTAGGGGATTGTTTTATTTAACACAGTTGAAATAATTGAGTGAAAGAAGCATATGCTTAGCACACATTCCCATATTCAGTTACAGTAGTACCTCAGTTTACAAACAGTCCTATTTACGAACTATACGGTTTAAGAACTCCGCAAAACCGGAAGTAGTGTTCCAGTTTGCGAACTTTACCTCAGTCTACGAACGGAAGCCAAATGGTGGAAGGGCACCGGCGGCGGGAGGCCTCATTAGGGAAAGTGTGCCTTGGTTTAAGAACCAATTTGGTTTAAGAATGGACTTCAGGAACAGATGAAGATCGTAAACCAAGGTACCACTTAATTTACATCTCCAGTGGACAAAGGATCTTGAGTAGAAGAAAGCCTCCTACGGATTTATTTTTAAACAGTTTTATCTAACTTACTGCTTGAAACAAGTAGCATAGTGACTATGCAGTGGTGTCCAAACTTTGTTTAAAGAGGGCCAGATTTGATGAAGTGAAGGGCCATTGACCTTTATTTAGGGTTGAAGTTGTTGAGGTTTTTTTGGGATTTTACCCCAGGAAATAAACTGCCACAGGGGCTGGATTAAACCGACCAATGGGCTGGGTTAGGCCCCCGAAACGGACTTTGGACATGCCTGATCTAATGGAAATAGACACAAAAACAATGAAATATAAGCAATCGAGAATATCTGAATTGAATAGGCTAGTCGAAGAGACCTCAGAGAAGATTGGCTTACAGTATTTACTATGGGTTCCATAGTAAATATTTGCTTGCTAATATGGGACAGGTGTAAAAAAATATTTTTTCCAGTAATGTCATGTATATTACCAATACTTTATGGTGAGAGATTTAAGTTAGATAGACACTTTGTGAACTTACACACTTGGAGGGAAAAACAGCTGTACTTCCCTTGCCGATCAGAAGGTCAGCGGTTCGAATCCCCGTGACGGGGTGAGCTCCCTTTGCTCGGTCCCTGCTCCTGCCAACCTAGCAGTTCGAAAGCACGTCAAAGTGCAAGTAGATAAATAGGTATTGCTCCGGCGGGAAGGTAAATGGCATTTCCGTGTGCTACTCTGGTTCGCCAGAAGCGGCTTAGTCATGCTGGCCACATGACCCAGAAGCTGTATGCCGGCTCCCTTGGCCAGTAATGCAAGATGAGCACTGCAATCCCAGAGTTGTCCGTGACTGGACCTAACGGTCCAAGGTCCCTTTACCTTTTTAATGCTCCATTAAATCTAATGCGCACCTCAATTTTCAAAACCTTGAAACCAAATTTTTTTTTCTGGAGAATGTAAATGCACCATCGAATCTAATGCACACCCTAATTTTCGCCATGTAATTTGGCCAAAAAAGGTGCACATTACATTCAAGTAAATACAGTAATCTGAGCAAGTGGTAGAGAAAATATAGTTAACTGTACACACACCCTCCCAGTAGGGTAATAGTTTCAGATGAGAAGAGGTAGTATTATATTGTGGGCTCCAGCCATTCAGGACAAAGTATTGCTCAATGCATGGTGTGTAGAAGTGCATTGTAGCATTAAACTTACTTGAGAATGACTTACTCAGTTCTGATGGGGAACCAGTCTTCCATACTACCTTGGTGGTCAACACCAACCCATGGAGACCAGATAGAATACTAAACCCCAAGCCCAAGGGGCAGACCTTTTGAAACCCACCATCCCAGAACAGCAGTACCCTGTGTTCTGTCCCACATCACAGCCGAAATCTACCAAACCAATGCACAGAAATAGAAAATGCAAAAGACTATGATTTTGAAACTGGCAAGCTGTCCAAAAGCCACCTTCCCATCATACACTGCAGGTTGTTAGCCAGGCCACTGAGGCCATTTCCATCCCCAAATCAGATCAGATTGAGAGGCATTCAAGCACGCTTCACGCAAGCCACACATAGAAAGGTATGCCAGTGGTCTATTCATATATCCAACCCGTGTTTGCTCAAAACTGAATGTTACTCAGTTTTAATCTGTTCCAATGAAACAGGTTTCCTGTCTTAGTTGAGATTCCATTATTATTATTATTATTATTATTATTATTATTATTATTATTATTATTATCATTATTATTTCTACCCCGCCCATCTGGGTGGCTCCCAACCGAATGTTAAAAACACAATACAGCATCAAACATTAAAAACTTCCCTAAACAGGGCTGCCTTCAGATGTCTTCTGAAAGTCAGATAGTTGTTTATTTCCTTGACATCTGATGGGAGGGCATTCCACAGGGCGGGCACCACTACCGAGAAGGCCCTCTGCCTGGTATTGAACCAGCTGGATGTGGATAATCTTTGTTCCTGTCATAGAATGCCATTCTGCCTTCTCAAATTTACTTTGGAGAGAGATCATTCTTCAGTTTCAACCATTGCTTTCTTTACATTTCAGCATGTGAGTGACATAAGGTACTGGCCACAAGGAAGCAAATGGGGATGAAACATTAAAGTACTTACTAAATGTTTGCCTAGGCTGGGGAAGTGTCATCCGTGAGACAAAATTTCAGGTAACTTTGTGTAAGCAATACCTTAGTTGTGAAAGCTAATGTGTCAAAAGCACATAAAAATGAAATTACAAAGCACAAATACAAGCTCTTAGGGTGGGGAGGCTCTCTCGTGGCTCTGTGTAAGGGTCTGGAAGTCAGTCTGAGTAGCTTTCTCCATGTAGCCCAGTTGCTTCTGAGCTTGTAGTTGCTGGTTCTGAGTGGAAAGGAGAACAGCATCCTGAAGGGACTCCTGGAGCAGCTTTCGATATCTCTGTTCAAGGACATCTATATGCTCTTCAGCATGTTTCCTATAAGCCTGGAATACCTATAGAAGAAGTTCAACAAGCCTTTTAGTAGATGAAAGAGAAAGGTCAAGGCATGAAAAGGGCATCATCTAGTACTACTGAACTCTCCCATTCTCTTACACATTCAACAGGAAATAGCCTGGCCTGACAACTGAAGCTGTGCTCTCTTCCTCTACTGCTGCCCTGCAGAGCAAGTATATATATAGAGAGATGTCCCAGTGATCCAATAAATAAAGGAATTGCAGGGTTTTTATTGTAACATAGACTTTTCTTGCTCCAGCTCCAAAAAAAGAAAAATCAATTGGGCTTTTTAGGAGGTTATACCATTGGAATCACGTGTTTTAGTCCTTCAGGCAAGCTGCTAAGCTGTCAGCTGTATTGATATTTATTTCAAACTTCTAATGTTGCAGAGGGTTGCTGTTTCTCTCACACAATCAAGTGAAGCCCTTATCTGATGCTGCCACTAGAGGTCTGTCACTCCTAAAGATTCCCTGAATCTAAAGGTTCCCACTGTGCCTCCAAACAATGAAACAAAAGAGCTAGTTCTGAGATTAAACCTGCCATCTCAAAGGGGCCACCAAACAATGACTGGTTTGAAACTTAGAAGGACCCTTCCCCAGGATTAGTCTGAACTGACAGCTCTCTTGACCTGCAGGATGTGGTGTTTTTGTGTTTCAGTTTCTCGTTGGCATTCTTGGTTCAGCTCCTCCAGATCCCTTTCTGCTTCCGCCTGTTCTCTTTGCAATGCCTCCATGCGCAAAATCAGCAAAGACTTTTCTTTCTGCCACAGCATGGCTCCTTGCTGGCCTGGAGGAAGCTGCAATTTGAGAAGAGAAAGAACCTTTCAGATGAGTTGTTGTGAGACTGCAGACTATGGGACAGATAAAACAGAGGTTTGGAATTTGTTTAGTTACGATGTTAATTCCTGGTACTGGTTCCAGCATTGGGTGATTGGCGGGAAAGCCCTTGTCTCATCTGCCCTCCCTCGCTGTATGTTTCTCTCCCACACACAGTATGCTTCCTCAAGGAGCTGATAAGTTGGTCTCCTGCCACCACAGACAGGAACTATTCACCTCTTGACTTGCCAGCTCCTTTTCCATTCTCAAAAGTTCCTGTTGTATCAGGAGATGGTGTTGCTCTTGAAGAACCTGCCAGCGGGTTTTTGCTTGAGAGAACCTCCCCTTTGTGTCTTGGAGCTGCTCACCAACCAGGCTCTGAAAAAGAGCAACGCAGGAAGACAGTCCAAAGTACTGCAATAAGTGCTCACAAAGCAAATCTTCTCCAATCTCTCATTTTCTCAGAGCAATATTGTTCATACAGCTCAGTCTCTTTGCAAGAGTGCATTGAGTTACATAAAGTATACACATGAAATATTTGTGGTCTGGGGTTGTTTCTGCTCCCTCCTGTGCCGTTAAGAATTATGCAAAACATTATCAGGCAAAGCTTTTCCTGCTACAGGATTGGGGAAAAACAGAAAGCCAGGACCCTTGTTTCTAAGGTCCAGTTTTTACGTGCATAGAGCCATGTGGTTGCTACTTAAAAACGCAAACAGCTGGAGGCTGTCTATGACGCTGTGGCCACGTTCATGTCCCTGGTACAAACCATTGACTGGGGTGGGGTGGGGTTGAATGGATGTCCTGGAAATCACCATGCATGCCTTGTGTGGCTGCCTCTGTTCATATTACATTTCAATTAGCATGCAACTACTTGTAGTTAAAAGTAGTTCACACAAGTGTTTAGGGGAGAAGCTCTTGAAGTGTTCATATACTTTCAGCATTCTATGGGCAATTGTTAAAATAGTCTACATTGAGGGAGCATATTCCATGAGGCAGGTGTGAGCTACTGTAGACTCATGATCCCCTGTTACATTCACAAGCAATTCAAGTGCATTGCACTTGAAAAATCTCGCTGCTGCTGGTGAAATCAAATCTTCACAGTCTTCTGAGGACTTGGATTCAGGCACATGGTCTGAGACTCCCACATGTCACTTACAGGGCTAGATGATTTGGTTGCCTCGCTCAAGTCTCTGGCTCTGTGCATTGCAGCAGTGAAAGGTTTGTCTTCCATGGCACTTTGAAGTACACCAACCTGCTCAAGCTGGATCTTTGGGATGCTGCCACCTCATGTGAGAAACAAGTCTAGTATGAAAGAAAGCTAGTAGCAAGGAGGGATAAGAGAGTATTTAGACACAAGGAAGGGGGTGTCTTGCTGTGTATGGTGAAATAAAATGTACCGATTCCTCCCCCCCCCCCCCACCATATAAAGATACCTGATTTATATTAATATGTCTTGCCCTACAATGTGTTGTTTACATACACAGGTCTTTATACTGTAAAACCATCTCTCTCTCCATATTTCTTTTCCACACTTCATGTTTTCCCTTGATTGCTTCCTGTAGGAGCTGAAAGGGCAATACCAAAGGGGATTGTCTTTTGGGCAATTCACAGGCAGGGCCCCATGAGTGGAGATTGTAGCCAGAGATGGTCCATGGGGGGGATGGGGGGGGGATGAGAGCCATGAAGACCTGGGTGAGTCAGGTGTGATTGATATCAGGCTGTGATCTCAACTGCAGTTGTATTAGCATTCAGTTCATTATCTCCTAATACTTGCTTCTTATATACAGTACTCTGCAGCAGAACTTGATGAATTAGCACTTGTGAATTATTAGTTCTTAGCATTTTGTGTGATTGCTTTCCTGAATCTGGGAAGTGTTGTGGTGACCTGTTAGTTGTTCTTGGATCCACCATTGTTAACGAAGATCCCATGTGGCCGGGGTGGCTAAGCCTACTTTCAGCTGCAGCTGTTTCACCAGCTACAGCCTCTCTGGGACACTATATTCCATGCTCCAGTAGCCTACAGGCTGCTGACAGGCTACTGTCAGTTTCAATGTGCTCTACATGGGGCTGCCATTGATGATGGTTTGGAGGCTACGATTAGTGCAGAGTGCAGCAGCCAGGATGGTATCTGACATGGCAGAAAGGACTCATAGTGCATGTATCCTGAAAATTGTGCCAATTCAAGGTGCTTATTTTAATGTATAAATCCCTAAATAACGTTGACCCCAAACTTCTGAAGGAGTGCCTCCCCCAATATGTGCGAGCTTGGGTATTGAAATCAATGGAGAAAGCTTTGGCAGTGCTGCCACCTTTAGGGGCTCAGGGTGGTGATGGCTCATGGCAGGGTCTTGTCTGTAGCAGCCCCCAAACTGTGAAACTCCTTTCTCACAGAAGTGTGCCTGGCACTTTACACGTTTTGGCAGATAACTTAAGTTGCAACTGTTCATCCTGGCCTTTGGATGGTGGTAGTTTATCTATTTCATGCCTTTATTGTTGTTCTGTGGTTTAAAGATCACTCACCATTTCATTTATCCTACAAATCAATGAGTTATCTATATATTTATCAAGCTGTTTCACCTCCAGATAGGTACAGAGTAATTCCAGCCTTGAATTGTTTTCAAACCTGATGTTTCTTTCTCCTGCTGTGTATCATCTTGGCTTTGCTGATTCCCAAGTTCACCCCCATCATCCGTATCTAACGTAATTTTACCCTGAAGTGGAACATAGTCAAGTGATTCAAAATACAGAGTGGCAATGATACTGGTATCCTAACAGAATTCTCTCTACCTTGAACCCCCTTCACACAGAGAGTGAAAGAGACTGCAGAGGACATTTTTGGGCCTAGCAGGTCCCTTGGTTTGCTCAATTAGGACTGGGGATTGGCAGACACCTACTCCCTCTCAAACACGCATACATGCACTTTCATGTAACACTGCTTATTTTTGTTATTCCTAAAATAATAAACAAGATGCAATAAGATTCTTTTCCAAATGAAAGGGCCAGTGCACTTCAAAAGCCAATTGCATAAAGACGAAACCATATGAGGGTACTCTTACAGTTTTTGGGTTCCTGACAGTTCCACTGTGAACTTCTACACTGGGCTTCCTGCTACACTGTATACTAGGACAAAAAATTTATTCCCCTAAAGTTACAGGGTGGGTCTGATAAGCTGAAATAGCTGAGAAGTGCTTACCCTGACTTCAGGAGAAGTAGCCTTTGCTTCATATGCTGAGGCCTCTTTCTTTTTCTTCCACCGTTGGCTTTTCAGAACCTTAAAAACAGTCGAACCCAATTCCTCAGCCTCAAAATAGTTTACAGCTATTGCGGGCACACTTCTTGGAGCCCTCCACCCTGCCCTGCTGTAATAGCCAAACACTTAGCAAGCAAAACCATGCAAGTGGTTACCATCTCCACTAGTTTCTATGGCCATTCAGAAGGACTCAATGAATCTGAATGGCAGCAGTGGCTTCCGAGATCTTCTGGAAGCCGGAAGCTGCCACAGGCGCTTCTCCTTGCTTTTCTGGCAGCGGGGACGGAGGGGAGGCATGCCCATGGGGGTGCCCCTTGGATTCTGCCACCCGAGGCAGCTGACTCATGGATGGGCTGGCCCTGAGTTGGCACAATGTGAGTTTTAAAGTGAGTTCATTTCTCTCCTGCCAGCATCCTTCGCATAGGGACACGTGCACACACACTCGAACCAACCCCTACCCTATCTGAAATTTCTTGCAACATGGAGAAACAGAAATGTTGTTGTGAACCGCCCTATGGATGAATGATGATATATAAATTTAATCAATAATAATAAATGTTCTGGGCAGCCCACTGTACTTTACATTTTTGCCCATTGTACTTTACATTTTTGCCACATTCTGCCGCAAATCAACACAAAGCAACAGGTGCACCCGGATTGTCTTACCAGTTTACTCAATTGTGGAACATATTCAACCTACTGATTAGTCTAAGCCAGTGGTTATGCTATTCCTCGACTAGGGGATTGGCCTCCAAGCCAATCTGCGCACGAAGCCAAATCAAGCAGCCCTGGGTTTCTGCAGGCATCAGCTCTAAAAGGGACTTCTCCCTCATGCAGCTGATGTTTGCAAAATGCAGGCTTTCTTCTCGCCTCCCCGTCAGCTGATGGGAACGAGAGAAAGAAGGCTTTACCAGCCCTATCCTTAGAGCTTTGGAAAGTACCTCAACCTACACAAATGCACATCTACCACAACTGTGTACCCTAAGAGATTGTGAGATAACCCCTTGATTTTTTAAAACCAGAGAAGGGATATCCCTTCAAAAGCACTTCATGGAATGCATCGTAAGATTCCTTGTCAACTACTAGGCCAGTAAAGTGTAGCACCTGAAACACTATGACAGCTAAATTAAAAACCTGGAGCACAGGGGCAGCTGGGGACAAACAACACGGGGAGTTCTGCCTCCATTCCCCACTGTTGAGCTTCCCAGAAGTACTTGACTGGCCTCTTTGGAAACAGAATTGACCTGATCCAGGATGCCAAATCATATGTTCTGATCTGATTTAAAGAAATATAATTTACTGTAAAACCACTTTTCATTCAGATTTTTAAAAATGTCTGAATTTTAATTTTTCCATTACAGTCATACCTTGGTTGTTGAACAGAATCCGTTCCGGGAGTCCATTTGACTTCCGAAAACGTTCAGCAACCCAGGTGCGGCTTCTGATTGGCTGCAGGAGCTTCCTGCACTCAGTCGGAATCCACGGAAGCTGCGTCAGACGTTCAGGTTCCAAAGAACATTCGCAAACCGGAATACTCACTTCCAGGTTTGCGGCGTTTGGGAGCCAAAACGTTCAAGTTGCAAGGTCTTTGGGATCCAAGGTACGACTGTACTGATTTGGGGGGGGGGGGCAGTGCAATTAAGGGGGGGAACCCCCCACATAGGTTAGATACCATAATTAAAATGTAAGAGACTGGCCAATGATTAGCATTTTCAAAATTAACTTGTTTTCAAATTGCTAAACATTTTTCAAAATCTTTTATATATCTATTTATAAGAAGAAAATAATAATATTACAGTTTAATTTTAATTTAGCTTCGTGAGATGAATTCAATGTTAGGGATAACTAGGAAACAGACTGAGACTAAAACTGAGTTTCAGTATTGCAATGACCACAGACAAACCTACAAACCTACAGTGCAGCTGCAATTGGAATATGGCATATAAATGGAGTTGTCCCATCTCTAAAAGGATGTTGTAAACTTGGAAAAGTGAAGGAAAGAGCAGCCAAAATTATCAGGGAGGACTGGAGCACCTTGCCTACAAAGAAAGGCTAATGTGTTCGAGGTTTTATAACATAGGGGGGAAAATTCTAAGGGACAGGGGCTGACACACACTCGAGTTTTATCAGTTATGCATGGAGTAGAGAAAGTGAACATAAGTTTTTCTCATTATAATAAAATTTGGAATCCACCCATGAAACTATTTGGTGCCTAATTAATTTATGGAACTTGCTGCCACAAGATGTGCTTATATAGCAAATAAACTTGGTTTTAGAATACAATGTGACGTGTTTACAGCTGTCAAGTCCTGTATCAACTATTAGTCATAATGGCCATGTGAAACTCTCACACATGGGGGCAGTATCCCAGGGAATACCAGTTGCGAGGCAGCAATAACAGGAGAGGGCTCCTCTTTCCGACATCCCTGGAGGCATCCGGCTGGTCCCTTTGGGAGGCAGGATGCTCTGTTGGTCTGATCCAGCAGAGCTCTATGGGTGACTGTGTTCTACTTATTTAGGCTTTAATTCAGATAACTGTCCATTAAATGCAGCTCATTCTTGTGAGTGCCTGAGAGATTCTACAGTTAACTGCCCAGTCTTCTGCGAGTCCAGAATATTGTGCTTCAAACATGGCCTTTCAACTCTGGCTGCATGAGATTTCTGGCAAATACTTCATTATGCAGAGTTCATACCAACTAGAGTGGTACCTTGGTTTGCAACCGTTTTGGATTACAACCATTTTGGATTACAAGCACGTCAAACCCTGAAGTGTGTGTCCCTGTTTTTTGGATTACAACCTCTCTCTTTTTGGATTACAACCAATATTTTTTTTGGAGGCCCCATTGGCAAAAGCACGCCTTGGGTTACAACCTGTTTTGGTTTACAACCGGACCTCCGGAATGGACCAAGGTATCACTGTATGCTGATGCTGCGCAGTTACCTGTATCTCCTTGATCACCCTCTCCAATTGGCTGAGCATGCTCTCCTGCTCCATCCGACTCCTGAAGGACAGCTGGGCTCTCAGCTCTCCTATCACCTCTCTTCGTTTCTGAGCCTCATGAGTGGGATCCCAATGGACTGGTGCCACTTTCTTTGTCACAGTCCTCACTTGTTCAGTCAGTGAGATGGCAGACCGTATCTCTTCTCCAGAAGCATCTGGGAAAAACCCCACAAAACTCTCAGCCAGACTTTGTAACATCTGGGTTTCTTGGTTGGCCTCTTGAGTAGTAGTCACCACTTGAGGCAAACATCATTCTCTTTTAAAACTCTGATAAAGACACACTGTGGGCTTATCCACACATATTTTGCCTTGCTCATTCCAAGTACAGGTCCATGCTTAAAAGCTCTATGTCCAAGTGTGCATTTGGTGTGTGTGTGTTTTTCTCCAGGGCTTTCCCTGCAAAAACCTGCTCTTTAGCACTTGGACATCAATTCAGGTTTTCCATTATTGCTGTTTGCTCCAACTGAGCTTTAAAAAGCGGGTTTTTGCAGAGGAAGCTCCAGAGCAAAAAAGAAATGCAAAAGGGCAATCAGACCCAGTGCTTTAAAATGTGGCCTGTTCCTAGACAGAGCAGAGGAAAGGTAAGTGGGGTAAGCCCTGAGTTAGCACAGCTAACTTTAGTAGTAGTAGTAGTAGTACTCTGCAAAGATTTTGTTTCCAGATTAAACAGGTGCCACTCAGTTTCCAGCAGGGGCTACTGAGACTAACTGCCTTTCCTGCTAATAAAATAAACCAGATCTTCCCCTAAAGCAATATACTTGTGCTGGATCTGAACCAACACGAGAAGGATAACTATCCTACAACCACAAGTTTTAAACTTGTTTTATTTTGATGTTATTTTATATGTATTTAATTTTATGTTCATGTTGTATTTTTATATTTCATGGCGGTAGTTTTTGTTTTATAAAGCTATTGCAGTAAAGTTTTAAAACTCTTTTACACAGAACGTTATTGGCGTGAGAATTGCAGTGTATTATTCTCGTGCAAGTCGCAGCAGAGTGTATGAGAACCCACCTGCTGGGCTGCGTTTATTCAGCTGGCTGTGAAGATTAGCTGTATACACTTGCTGCAGCCACTTCCCACTTGGTTTGCACTGTTTCCTTCATGCTTTCAACAGGCAAAGAAATCTTATCATTGGCCTAAAAAATATCTAGCTAGCATTTTTTCACTGCTCATTAGTTAAAGGATAAATATTAAAACCCTACACAACAGTCCCAGTTTGGTGATTTTGAATTCTCAAAGTGCGGCTTTTCAAGGAGGAGCAAACAGATTCTAGCTTGTTTATTTTAAATTCTGTAGTGCAGAAGCAGGCTGATTTTATATTTAAGCTGCAACCTATGTTAAGAATTCCTCTGCCCTATATGTTTTATGAAGAAACAAATCCAAGCTATGAACTTGCTAATATTTTGGCCTTAGAGTGGTTGAGTAAATGTTGGGGCTATGTATTTGTGGCAATGTTTTTTCTTACCAATTCCACTGAAAAACAACCACTGCTGCTTATAAGACAGAGTGGAAAAAATGCTTTGCATAAGCATGTTTGACATTGGTTGAAACAGTCACTTCCTGTGAGTTTTTAAAATGTTAGGGCTTTTAAGACAGATGTTTCTCCAGTTCCCTTTTGCAGTGAAGAGGCAGAATCAGCTCAGCACACCAGAATAAAATAAAAGAAACAAGGAACAAACAAATCACCTTACTTATTCAAAGCACAATGTTTTTTGAATAATGCAAACCACCTAGAGAATGAATTGTTAATGGGGAGTATGAAAATGCTGTAAATTGATAATAAATTGATATTACTCATGGTAGTGTAGTTTGGTAAAGTGATAAGAACCTTAGTTTCCTGTCACAGAACTGCAAATCTCAGGGTCCCAAGATTAATATTAAACTGTTTTAAGCCTGTGGTATGGAAGTGCCCAGAAGCAAAGTATCCTTTCCCCATCTAATGGATGGAGACATTGTCTACTTCAGGCAGAAGAGCCTTTTTCAGGTCTTTGGAGAAAAACCAACAAGCCTCACAATCAGATCATCGAACATGTATGTACAGTGGTACCTCGGGTTACATATGCTTCAGGTTACATACGCTTCAGGTTACGGACTCCGCTAACCCAGAAATAGTGCTTCAGGTTAAGAACTTTGCTTCAGGATGAGAACAGAAATCATGCTCCGGCGGCACAGCAGCAGCGGGAGGCCCCATTAGCTAAAGTGGTGCTTCAGGTTAAGAACAGTTTCAGGTTAAGAACAGACCTCTGGAACGAATTAAGTACTTAACCCGAGGTACCACTGTACTTGAGAAGGGAACAGTGCTTGACGAGCTACAGCAAAAACAACCTTCCTTCAAAATCACACAAAAGAAAAAGATACGTGTAATTGTGGTACCTGGCAGGGTGAGGCACAACAGCAGGAAGGTGAGGGCATTTTCTTCCAGCAAATGCTTCAGCATCCAGCAGAGGAACCCTGTGTCAGCAGGAAGAGCCGCAGCAGATGAAGCTCGGAAAAGAGGCAAAAAACTGTACAGGAAAGGAGCAGCAAGGAACAGATCAGCCAGCAGGCAGAGAATAAGCACATTTCTTAAAGCAGAATTAATTTGGGCGAGTCCTGAGCAGTGAAGGTGACTGTGCCCCAGTATCAAAGATTTAGGGGCTACACATTCCCAGAAAAGGAGGCCTTGTGCTTCCTGCACATTCTCTGATAATCTGCTTGACCTCTGCTGAGGCCCACCCCATACTCACGGATCAGCAGGGTGTTGCTCATTTCCTCCAGAAAACTCAAAGATCTTGACGGCAGCACGCTGAAGCCCCTGACCACCCTCTGCTTTTGTCTCCATGGTGATGGTGAAGAGGTTGCCACATCTCAGGGGGAAGGTAGGAAAAAGAAGGTTAGGATGGTCTGGGTAGATAAATGAGAATTGCCATCTCTAAGCTCCCACTACCAGTATCTGGCCATTGTCATTTACATTTTACATAAAGCTGTTGTCCTAATTGTGCAACTCAGCTTCGTTGTTAATGCTCCACTGCGTAATTTCCAGTGCAGTCTTCAACTCTGCTTTTGTAATGTTCTGGAATGGCGGTGAGGGAAAGGATAATGGAAGGCTTTCTTCTAACTTGCATCAGGAATCCTGATGGAGCAAACAGCACTGAGCTATATGGACCAATGTATGACTCGGGCTGTGTCCAGACCAGGGTGTTAATGCATACATGGGTTGCCGTTTCCATGTGCACATATGTGCACCTTTGCCCACACATGAGTGCACTCAAGTATATACTTCCAAAATCTACCTTGATGCTTCCTGGACGGTGCTTGATGGGAGGTTTTTGTGAGGTTTTGTGTTGCCTCCTCCCCTCAATTAGTATTTCCCCATCCACTGTAAGTTCCTGGAAGCTGAGGTCTGCAACCAACACTGCAGCTCTGCTGCTGCAAGGGACTTCTGTGTCTGCAATGAAACTTCCTTTCCTGTCACTTCCAGCACGCTGTGCACCCTCAGTATCAGCTCTGGAGGGTTGCAGAACCTTCCACAGCAGATTTTGAGGGCACACTGGGGGCAGGGTGAGAGTGGGAAGAGGAAACAGAAGTCCTTTTGCACCAGTGGAGCTCTGCTAGCACAGCATTTAATACAACCCCTTTTTTACATTTCCTTGCGCGCACAAGCATATATGATATGCACAAAAGAGCAGTTTAAAAAATGTACGTGGGTCGCTGCTAGCCAGGGAACTTGAGTTTCTTTGTGGGTATCCAGACATGCATTTGCAGCTATGAACACACACCTTTTAAAAGAAAAATAATGAAATACAAGTTTTTAATATATACCAGATTTGCACAAAAGAGCAGTCAATGAATGAATGAATGAATGTGTGTGCCTCTCTAAGCCAGGCAAAGGTTTGGAGTCACTTGGACAAAAGGCTGCCACTTCCTTTCCTGCCTTCCTTTCTCACCTGCAAGGGCAATTGTTATTTTTAATACAGCTGTGCTATTTTTGGAGATTGATTCTCTTAAGTTTAATTTGGTTTTATTACAGTGTGGTTTTACTGTTACGTTTTTGTTCTCTTTTATATATACAGCCCCCTAGACAAATTATTTTATGAGGTGTCTCATAAACAAGCCAGCAAGCAGATAGAGTTAGTGGCATGATAGGCAGTGGATCAATAAACTGCCTGATGGTGCCAATCCTTGACCCTGGGCCGGCTCTGCTGTCGGGTGAAGCAAAGGTCTCTGCCAGATATTGATGTGCCTCATCCTACACTGCTTCCCTAAGCAACATCCCTCATCCAGACAGACTGGTATACTCTGGAACTCCTTGGCATACCAGGACAGCTACAGCTTCAGCTACTGATTACCTCCCAGATCAGATTTTTTCTTTTTATAGTGCAGTGCATGACTGTTCTCCAAGGCCAGGTGCAGAAGGCAGTGGGCTGGTGGCAGCAGGGGGGCACAAGTGTGTGTGTATCTGTGCTCCTCACCTCCAAGCTAGTGCTTCCCTTGCCCTTCTCCCTCACAGTCCCAGCAAGCAATAGCACCCCACCTCTTGCCGCATGACTGAATTAGTAAGATCCGAACCCTAGAAATGCAAGGTCCCAAATGTGCAGAGAAGAGACAACTGTGGATGGACGGGTGTCTGTTAAACTTCAGATTGAATGTATATAAGTTAAAGGGGCAGCTCACTGCTGGGATGCTGCTGTGTACATTCTAAAAACACGTGAAACGGCTGTGGCATTCCTGTAAAACCTGGGGCGTGAAGCGCAGCTGCAGAATTGGTTCCTAGCAGGCATTGTGCAAGTTCTTAGCTCTTTCCTTCCTCAAACTGAAAGGACTGGCAGGGAAGTATTCTTGTGTCATCATGAGTAAGAATAGCCTTGGGGTTCAGCAAGAAATGATGGTGCTTTAAAAAGCAAATCTTTGATCGTAAGTCACAGAAGCCAAAGGCCTAGTGCAGGGGACGCCAATGTGGTGCCCTCCCAATGTTCTGGGCTACAGCTGCCATCCTAAGTGGCCATGCTGACTGGGTCTGGTGGAAGTTCTCATTCAGATAATCTGCAGGGCACCCAGGAAAAAGTGTGGGCTGACTCAGTCTCAACTTTCCACCAAAGAGTAGTGATTTTACCAGTGACTGTGCAGCTCCTGAAGCTAAACTGCATGTCCATGATGCAAGCAAGCAGCTTATGAGCTGCACATATGTGAGCAAGGCCAAAGTCTGGCCAGTACACTTCTAAGGGGCACTCAAGTGGCACAGATTGCAGGAGGAGAATATTCTGCCTCTCGAGTGGAGAGCTCCAAGTTCAGGAAGGTGCATCAGAGAGAATGTCAGAATCTTGAGCAGCGTTAGCTGTGTGTGCTGCTCTCTTCCCCTCAAAAGAGCACTTTCCTTTCTGCTGCCCTTACATGGCTGCTTTGTGCTGCTCCTGGAAAGATTTCTGCAAATAACTTTGGTGCAATGACATCCCCTGCAAGTAGCAATGAGTGGCAGCTTGTGAATTGGCCACAACTACTTCAGTTGCTTCTTCTACCATCCTAAAGAGAGAAGGAGAGAGTTGATAGTGTGAGGCATCTTAATTAGGCTGCCATAGAAATAATAAGGAGGGTGGTCAGAGGTTCCTCAGAAACGCAGGGCTCATCCAGAATTTACGCCACCCTTTCCAGGCACAGGTCCAAGCTTTACAGCTCCATGGTCAAGCATGATGTTGTTTTTTTACCCTGGCACTTTTCCTGGGTAAACCCGATTGCTGTTTGCTCCAATTCAGTGGTAAAACACAGATTTTCCTAGGGAAAGTGCCAGGACAAGAAAACCAACAACATATTCACATTCCTTATGTCTTACATAAACTGTAGTCTGTCTGAATGAAATTTCTTGTGCATACCATCCAGTCAGATCCCTCCCCAGCCATTCATAGAATCACAGAATTGTAGGGTTGGAAGGGACGCCAAGGGTCATCTAGTCCAGCCCTCTGCAAGGCAGGAATCTCAACTAAAGCACCCATGACAGACAGGCATCCAACCTCTGCTTAAAATCCTCTAAGGGAGGAAAGTCCACCACCTCCCAAGGGAGTCCATTCCACTGTTGAACAGCCCTGTCATATTCTGTTCCATTGGGTGAAATTCTCCCTGATCTCTGAGTAATAAAAAGTGAAATCCCAGATTCTTCTCTGTTTTCTGTGCTAATGTTTCCTCTCCTCCTCAACAAAGACCAATCTAACACCATAGCCTTGGAATTGGATGCTTACAGCCCCAGTGGAGGGAGGTCCATCACCTGCAGGACTTGACTTCTGGGGCTGAGGAGGTCTTGAGCCTTTCCATCTGTGTAGATCTGAAATGGGATGGATGTGAGAAAAGTATCAATACAGCTGTGACTGGGATGAACCCTGGAAAATGGCAATGGCAAACCCGAAAGTGCAAAAACTATTATAGTCACATCAGTGAAAACGAAAATACAGCTTCCATGGCTTGCAGAACAAACAGATACTTGGGACAGTGGCCCATGGGCCATAGCAATGAGGACACAGGCAACTTACAAGAACGGTTTTATGGAAGAGCATTGAGTGCATAAAGCTGGTGCCACCCTATGCAAGGTATGCTCACCTGGACAAAGGTGATGGTTTGGAGGTACTGAGTACTATTTTTGGCAGGGCTAGTTTCTTGCAAGACAGATTCTATTACCTGAAGACAAATGGGAGAAAGAAAGAAAAATGCAACTCATCAGAGTTTATGCCTTGCATACACAAGTGGCTGCTTACAACTGATGCTTTTGCATCCTTTTGGAATTGTTGTTCAGTACTTTGGTGAGTATCACAAAACAGCCCAATGATGTCATTATCAGCCCACAATGCAATCTGGTGTTTTCTGAGCTGCTGATTTGTGGTGAGTTTCTCAGTGTGCAATGGAATTGAAGCCTTTCACGTGTAGACTGGCAAAGTGCTATTGGGCCAGTGAGGGCTTTGGACTGAGGATGAGGCACAGATTGGGGAAAGTCCTGAGGGCCACATGGAGAACATTGGAGGGCCACATTCAGCCCCTGAGCCTGAGGTTCCCCACCCCAATGTTATGGGGAATGAACTGCATGTAATCTCTCATGGCTGATCATCGAAGAATTTATGCTTTTGAATTATGGTGCTGGAGGAGACTCTTGAGAGTCCCATGGACTGCAAGAAGATCAAACCAATCCATTCTGAAGGAAATCAGCCCTGAGTGCTCACTGGAAGGACATATCCTGAAGCTGAGGCTCCAGTACTTTGGCCACCTCATGAGACGAGAAGGACTCCCTGGAAAAGACCCTGATGTTGGGGAAGATGGAGGGCACAAGGAGAAGGGGACGACAGAGGACGAGATGGTTGGACAGTGTTCTCAAAGCTACTAACATGAGTTTGATCAAACTGCGATAGGCAGTGGAAGATAGGAGTAACTGGCATGCTCTGGTCCATGGGGTCACGAAGAGTCAGACACGACTAAACGACTAAACAACAACAACAAAGCTCTCATAGGTAGCATCCTTCTTTCTAAGAGTCAGGTGCCATCTACAGTATCATCCTCCCCTGTTCATAATTTCATTCCATAATGACTACATATTACAGTATAGAAGTCTCCCTCACCTTCTGGACAAAGGCTTGAATCTGTGTCTGGGTTCCGTCGTGATGGGCTTCACAAACCAGCAGGGACACACTGTAGCCCAAAGGCACCATGTCCAGCAGAGGTTGCAGCTGCTCCAGGAAGAGCTTGTCCTGGAGTGAAGGACAAAAATGATAATCTGCATGCCCAGCATTAGTGCATATCAACCCAGATAAGGCCTTGGGTTAGGTTCCAGGACTCCAGACACTTGACAAAATGAAGCCCTCTTTACTGGTTTATTCCCTGAATACAACCTACTGTATAGCATGAACCGTTTTTCTTTTTTACAAATTAAATATTGAAATATTTAGTGAAAACATTCTTTCCCAAATTCATTTTGGAACTTGTTTGCAACAAATTATGCTGCTAATGCTAACACATTTGTTGTTTTCACATGGAAGAAAAGCTCAGTAGCTTAGCTTGGCAAAAAGGCCGGGGAATGCATAATGGAAATTTATAAAATTATGCATGGTGGAGATAAAGTCCCTCTGCTGTGATACTAGAACTCAGGACCATCTAGTGATAATAATTGGCAGAAAGGACAAACAAAATAAGGTATTTCTTCACACAGTGCAAAATTAATTTATAGACTTCACTGCCACAACAGCTGCCCTAGATTGTGGTGGTGGGGACTTGAACCTCTCAAAATATCCTAAGAACTAGCTCTCATTTGTGAAATCAAAGCTGTCATGTCAGAAATCAAAATTGGTGCACCAAGTGTTCCACCCTAGCTCAGCACACCATCAAGTTATATATTGCAAGGGCTGCACAGAACAATATCCTGGGTATGTTGTACCTGCCCAGTGTCCAGACTGAAGACTCCATCAATGGTGAAGCAGCCTTCCTGGAAAGAGACAGCAGTCCTCAATTAGTGCTTGAAGATTTGAGGTCTCTCTCAAATCCTTCCAGTAATTTCCCCATCTTTCTTTGTCGTCAGTGTCTGGTTCACGGGATAATACAGACAAGGCAGATGTGGTCAGGACCATGGGCAAATCACTGTGAGAAAGCTGGCTAGTGTATCTTGCACCTAGGAAGAAGCTGTGCACAGATCTCCCACAGCCAACTGAAGGCTGGCTAGCCTAGAACTAGTTGGACCTATCCACTCAGAGGAGCTGTCTGTAGCCTAAAAGGGCCACTGCCTTATTCTGGAGCCATTGACTCTTATGACATTGAGGTGATGGAGACTGCTCTGAGAGTGAGTCTTCTGAATCTGATAAGGCAATGCCTTATGGCCTGGAAGAACTCAGGGGCTGGCAACATTCCAAGAGGTGTCTGCCTCTGTGCTTGAATGGGGTTAGGGCTAGGCAACACAACAGCATCATTCCTGACCATTGGCCATGCTGGCTGGGGCCGATGGGAGCTGGAGTACAACAATATCTGGAGGGTACCCCTGCTCTAGGAGCTTTCTCACCTGCACTCCTTTGTCTGCCTTACTAATGAATATCAGACGGTTAGAATCTTTGTTCACCACCAGGAAGCTGTCTTGTTTCAATGAGCCTGGAAGGAGCATCAAGCAAGAGTACTAATTAGAAATACAGCCACCTTATTCTTCAGCATCCTATGGGCATAGGGAGAGACTTTATTAATTATCGTCTCTGAATAATAATGTCATTAATTAAAGGTTCTCCACCCTTATGGGAAAAAAATCTGGGATGGGGCAATTCACAAAGAGATCAAGTGGAAATGACTCCTAAGTATCCCAGCCAGAATCAATACAAAGCAATAACATGGGCAGAACCTGAAAGCAATGCAGGTTTTTTTTAAATGGCCTTTGCTGAATGAAACCTTTGTTGGTAAAGTCTACATGATTTCCATAAGACAACATGTGCAGCACATGCTGCCTTTGGCTTTAATCTCAGGAGAGATTAAGAGCAAGGAAAGACTCACTCACACTTTGCCCTGTGCTTTCTAAGTACAGGTTTATACTTTAAAGCTGCATGTCTGAATGCTTCTTTCTTTCTTTCTTTCTTTCTTTCTTTCTTTCTGCCCTACTGCTTTCCCTGGGGAACCCCTCTTACCACAGGTACTCGTGAGTACAGCTCTGCCGCTCTTTCTGATTCACCGTTCGCATAGGTGTTCTGTGGTGTAGCAGAAAGAAAGAAGAAAAGAGTATATCAGACATGCAGCTTTGCGAACCTGCATTTGTGAATAGCAAGTGTGAGTGGTCTTCCTTTCGCTCTTTACCTCCCATAAAGTGTAGCATGCTGCACATGTTGTCTTGTCATGTAGACTTTCTGACACAAAGGTTTCCATCTGCTAAATGTCATTTGTGTCCCGTATTGCTTTCACTTGCCCATGCTTATTGTTTTGACGGGCTGGGACAGAGTTGTTTCCATCTTCTTTAGACTGTTCATCCCAGCTGAGGCAGAGAACCTTACTCACGACACATTATTCAGAGACACACACAGTCCTCCCTATGCCCATAGGATGCCGAGAATCATAGAGCTGCATTTAAAATTTGCTGATTTAGGCTCAGCAAAGACAGTTTGCAGGAACAAAGATTTAACCAACTGATTCATTATAAGGCACAGTGCAGAGAAAGCTTCCAGAAGGCCCTCCAGAGGTTGCTGTACCCAGCCCCATTGGCCATGCTGGCTGGGGCCGATGGGAGCTGGAGTACAACAATATCTGGAGGGTACCCCTGCTCTAGGAGCTTTCTCACCTGCACTCCTTTGTCTGCCTTACTAATGAATATCAGACGGTTAGAATCTTTGTTCACCACCAGGAAGCTGTCTTGTTTCAATGAGCCTGGAAGGAGCATCAAGCAAGAGTACTAATTAGAAATACAGCCACCTTATTCTTCAGCATCCTATGGGCATAGGGAGAGACTTTATTAATTATCGTCTCTGAATAATAATGTCATTAATTAAAGGTTCTCCACCCTTATGGGAAAAAAATCTGGGATGGGGCAATTCACAAAGAGATCAAGTGGAAATGACTCCTAAGTATCCCAGCCAGAATCAATACAAAGCAATAACATGGGCAGAACCTGAAAGCAATGCAGGTTTTTTTTAAATGGCCTTTGCTGAATGAAACCTTTGTTGGTAAAGTCTACATGATTTCCATAAGACAACATGTGCAGCACATGCTGTCTTTGGCTTTAATCTCAGGAGAGATTAAGAGCAAGGAAAGACTCACTCACACTTTGCCCTGTGCTTTCTAAGTACAGGTTTATACTTTAAAGCTGCATGTCTGAATGCTGCTTTCTTTCTTTCTTTCTTTCTTTCTTTCTTTCTTTCTTTCTGCCCTACTGCTTTCCCTGGGGAACCCCTCTCTTTAACGGTGAATCAGAAGAAACAGCAAACTGGATTTTCCGCAGATTGCCATTTGTTCTGATTCAGTGGTAAAGAGCGGATTTTCATAGGAAATGTTCTGGAGCAGCAAAAAGAAAAAGAAGAAAAAGGGCTCAGACACAGAGCTTTGAATCGCAGACCTCCTCCTAGAAACATACCACAAAAGAAAGTCTGGAGGAGTCTGGAGTTTAACCTGACCAAAACAAAAACAAAAAACTAGAATGGAATCCTATCTCACAGTAGGTGAACCGTCACACGTCTTCTGGGCATCCCCTGCAACCAAGATCATTCCAGGTGTGTTGCTGTCTATCCTTCTTCTGGATTTACTCCTTTGAACTTGAGTAGGTTAAAGTCTTCAGAGAGGCTTTAGCGCAGGCCAGAGGGAACATTTTGTCTTTGGTTTCATCCAGAGTATCACATTATGAATGAAAATTGAGTCCTGTTAACCACAGTGCTGAGTAGAACATCACCCATATGCAATTTTTTTTGTCAAAGAAAGGGCAAGGAGATTCATGTTATATATTTTTGTACCCCATAACTTATTATCTCCATGTTAAAATGATTCAATCAGACTCCTTACTTATAGGATTAATTATAGAATAATATAATTGTAAAGTTTGAAGGGACCCAAAGAGTCATTCAGTCCAACCTTCCTCTGCTGTCTGCCATGGTTTGGCTGGACACAGAAGAGTGGTGGGAGGCACCAGCTGGGGAACCCCCAGGGGATGAAGGCTCAGAGTCCAGGGAGTGGTGGTGGGACAATGATGAGTGGTCAGAGGAATCAGACTGGGAGGAAGAGGTGTCAGAAGCTGAAGAGGTAACAGGGCCTAGTAAGCAGGAAGAGGCTATGGCAGAGAACAGTCCAGACTCAGAGGCAGAAGGGGAGGCTGGAGACGAGGGGGGCCAAGAGGAAGCGATGAGTCAGGATGGTGAGGAAGCCAGGCTTTCCCCCTCCTGCTGCTTCCCCCCCACCTCAGACAGGCAAGACAATGGAGCCTCAGATAGGGAAGGAACTGGGGGAGGAAGAGACTTAGGGAACTGTGTGAAGGCGGGAACTTCAGTCCCCACAACTGCCTCATGGGGCAAGTTCTACTGGGGAGAGTTGCTGTGCCATCTAGGCCTGATCTCCTGAGCTGTCTGGTTTCTTGAATAAAGAGTTAGCTTCACTGAAGCCGTGTAAATTATTCTTGACCTGCTCCTGACACCTGACACCTTCCAGCTTGTCAATGCCCTTCTTAAACTGTGGTGCCCAGAACTGGACACAGTACTCCAAGTGGAATCTGACCAAGACAACAGAGTAGAGCAGTACTCTTACTTCCCTTGACCTGAACACTATAACTTCTGTTGAAGCAGTCTAGAATTGAATTAACTTTCTTTTTGCTGCTGCATCACACTGTTGACTCGTGTTAAGCTTGTGGCCTACTATTGTCGTGCAGTTTGATAAAGTGGAAGTTGCGGCAGAGAAACTATTTTAAAGGAAATTATGAATATGCCCAGTGCTTTTTTTCTGGAGAGACGCAGGGGTAAGCATACCCCTGAACATTTTTTGAATCTAAATTTGGCCTCATTGAGGGGCAGTATTTCAATATGAGTAGGCAAATGAGAGTACCCCTAAACTTTTTTAAAGGAAAAAAAGCACTGCGTATGCCTAGCATATAGCATGTGATAGGGTTAGCTGTGGAACTGCTGAATCAAGAGTTATGCAGATGATTTAGGAACACCCATATCCCCCTTAGCATCTTGCAAGAACCCTGAAGCCTCAGCACACGTAGTCCATCTCTCAGCCCCAAAGGCTCCCTGGAATCTCTGAGAGGCACAACCTTTTCTGTAAAGGTCTCTGAATGATGCTGGGTCCTTTAGGTGACATCATGAAGCCATGTGGTTTAGGGCCAATGACAGAGTGTTTCAGCTAGATTTTCTAATCAGAATAAAGATTGACAGGATTGAGAAGTGAAGTACAACAGTACCTAGTAACTACTCGCTAAAGACATTCTTGGATCAAGAAGGCAACAGACATTTATTCCCACACCACATATGGGAATAGAGGAGAAGACAGCCCACAATGGTAAGCAGGCAGCATTGACCTGAAAGCAGGAAGGGGTTGTCAAAGTGGAAGACAATCTTTACTATTACAAAAAGGTGCCATCAATAAAAACGGGACAAGGAAAATTAGCTTTTGCCAACTCCTGCTAGTCCCTCGTTGCTCACATCTGTACATGTCACTCCTCAAGGCCATTTTTATTCTTGCTAAGAAGAGGTCGTTCCTCACTGTAGGCTGCAGAGAAGGTTCCTGTTTCCCCTAAATGTTATTGTTGCTTTTATGTAATTAGCCAATATGAAAAAGGAATAGTGTAGAATAGGATACAGCAAAGTTTTTTGGTGCTATGCAGCCATCCCCAAAGAAAGCGGGTTCCCATTCTCCAGCTGTTGAGTACTATACCTGGTATCTGTCGAATTCCCACAGCTGCTTGAACACGCACTTCCTGTTCAGCCTGTCAGGAAACACAGCAGAGACAGCTCAGTTTGGGGTGCCAGTGAGAGTCAGTCCTTGGGAATCTGTTTTGGAGAGGCAAGTGCAACCAGGCAGCCAGGTCCCAAATTCTGGTGGACATCAATATCAACATAGAGCTCAAGCAGAAGATGGAAACCTTGAGCAGGGTGCAGTGGAGACAGAACAGTTCTCTGCTCCCTAGAAAGAGTGTTCTCTACAACGCCCTGCATGTTGACTAGCTCATGCAGGGCTCCCCTCTGCAGTACCCACCTGCCCAGCATCCATGGCTGACTGTATTGCGCTCTTATTTCCCTAATGCTTTCCCCATGGGAGCTGTGAAAAGCAGATAGCATTACCAGAGTGATAGGGTTACCGTTAATGTTTAATCCTTCTGTCTGTGGCCCAGGCATTTCCTGGCAGCTGTCCTTGAAGACTAGAAAGGGCAGGTTGGGGTCTAGCAGTGGCAGCAAGAATGGGACAGGCAGGCTAAGGGAGAGAATTAACTGGCCCTGTGGTAACATTGGCTAGGGCTTCTGCGTGTGAAGAGTTAGGCAGCAATATCCTCCCTCCCTTCCTTCCCCACAGGTGGGCGGGGTTTGCGGCACCAAGCGAGGCTCACCTGGGCGGGTGCCACCCACCTGCTTGAGCTGGCCTTTGACCCGCCCTCGGCCAGGGAGGACAATGGACGGCCGGCCGGGGTGGGCCTAAGGCCAAAAGAAAAGAGGCTGACCCCTGAGCTCAAGCCTCTTTTGCTGTTCTTCCATCTGGGATCACCCACCCACCCTCCCTCAATTAATATTTCTTGCCTTTTAATTTCAGCTTGGGTTAGCGTTCTTCAATTTAACAATTTCTTCTTTACAGGCTAATATTTTGCGTTCCAGGTCAGCGGGCGCTGCTGCGGTCGTAAGATGGTTGCTGTATTCAGAACCGGGAAGGAATTTTCCCTGCATTGGCAGGTTTCACCTTCCCCGTAGCAATTTTGTCACAACTTTGGCGGTTTTAGGCCTTGGCAAGGTAGCCTTTAGTCTAACATCAAGTTGGGGGGGGTATGCATTCATGCTCCCTCCCCATGCGGCGGCGCGTGCAGGGCCCGTTAAAGGGCAAACCGGGAGTCCCTGGCCCTAGAGCAGCGGCATGTAGGTCAAACTCCCCGGACGAAGTCAGTGGAAGGGCATGCTGTGTAAGTTTGCGCTTTGCAGTCCCCTCTCACTGGACCTCAACTGCCTGCATATCCTCAGCCAGGCGGGCTGAGAGGGATACCTGCCAAGGCCTGTGCCAAGTTTCCCACTTCTGAAGTTCAATAAAGTTGTGGCCAATTTGAACCCATACTCTGGTCTCTTGTGTTATCATTTGGGGAAAGGGGTAGGCACCACAGACAGGGTTTAGCGCGTGTGCCCGCAAACAGCCGTTGCTCTTCTGCTTTAACCTGCAAGTGGAATAGCTTCTCTGCTTCCAGACTTCTGGAATGTTATTTCAACATTCTGTAGCCAGGAACGCAACCCCCGTTTCCCCAACCCCAAAAGTTGGAGGGGCAATTTATTTTGGGATGATGCTCCCTACTCCCTTGATATAGCCCAGAACATGATTGTTCCCCATTCTGGAATTTGGGGGAGGGGAGAGAGAAAAGAAGCAGACATGAAAGCAGTGCTGTTTGGAAAGTGAAAGGTGGCCCTAGAGCAGAGAGACAAACCCCATAGAGATGGGAACTGCTTGCACATTCCATATAGGCTGTGGTTGGCCATAAGCCCTACCATAGCTGTCAACTTTTTCCTTTTTTTAAGGGAAATCCTATTCGGAATAAGGTAATTTCCCTTCAAAAAAGGGAAACGTTGACAGCTATGAACCCTACTGAGTAGCAGAACTTTGTCCACATCATGACTCAGTTATTGTGCAATGTTGCCCCAGAAAAACAGTAGCGTACATTACACCATTTCCACTGAGATTTATTGAGAGCCTGGGAAGAAGGGCAGGAAAAAGGGACAGGGTGGTCAAATCAAACTTACCTGATGGTTGAAATGGGAATCAAAGGCCCGCTCTGAATCACTCTGGGTGGGTGAAGACCCCAGGAGGCCTTCCTAGGGTTAGGAGGAGACCAGCAATGCCTCCTATTTGTCAAGAGTCTGATGTGGAGGAGGCATGGGGGACACTGCTGAGGAGGGGGCAGAGCTTGTGAGCCACAAGGAGGGAGCCACTGCTGCCGACAGTGATGCATTCCTTGGAGGCCAGATCTGCTGCCCCTGGAGATCCTGCCGCCTGAGGCAGTTGCCTCCTGGGCCCTGACCAAGACCTATATCCCACCCCTCCATTATCATTCAGGTGACATGGAACGTAATGGGGGCATATACCACTCTGGCCTCATGTGGCACTCAGAGCGTGCATGGTGAATCTTTGGCAATGGCAACTATGGCAAAAGGGCACTTTGCAGAAGAAAGCAGCATGGTGTAGAAGCAATTTTCACTGCTTCCTAACTGTTGGCTCCGAGCCCTACCTAATTACAGTGGTACCTCGGGTTAAGAACTTAATTCATTCTGGAGGTCCGTTCTTAACCCAAAACTGTTCTTAAACTGAAGCACCACTTTAGCTAATGGGGCCTCCTGCTGCCACCGTGCCGCCAGAGCACGATTTAGTACCTCAGGTTAAGCAAAGTTCTTAACCTGAGGTACTATTTCTGGGTTAGTGGAGTCTGTAACCTAAAGCGTCTGTAACCTGAAGTGTATGTAACCCGAGGTACCACTGTAAGCCTTCTGAAGCTCAGCCCCTGAGCCTCAGACCATGAAGCCTGTCGCAGCAGAAAGGGAGCAGCATCTGAACTAGCTAGAGTGGCTTTTTAAAAAGATCTAAAGCCACACCTTCTAGCTGACTTCCAACATAGAATCATTGTCCCATTTCCTCTTTATTTTATAATTTTCATTTTATTAGATATAGCTTCTCAAGTCTACAAAGAGTATTACCTTTCAAGATAACATGGGATAGCTAATACAATTTTATAATGACATCTTATTTTCAACAGTCCAAGGAAGGAGGGACTGGGAAGGAAAGTATATTAATCCAAGGCCCATCCAAGGTTTCTTTCTAGGGTCATACAACCTGCTAAACTGTTTATAATAGATTTATTAGTTTTCTAGTAGGCTGACTGTACCTGTACACCTCCCTCTCCCCCATGTGAGAAAAAGATTCTGAAGACCAAACTGGACATATAGGTGGCTGGGTCTCTTATGGTTTTTAAACATGGCAAATGCAGCCATGGGAGATTCAGATCACAGTGGCACTGGAGAAGGAGCAGAGCATATGGTAATTGCCTCTCGCTGTTTTCCACATCCATGGATGACCCCTCTTAGAGCAGGCTCTGTGGGATGTATGCAGTGTACGGGATCATTATATATCTCTCTCTCTTAAAAATGGCATCTGTAAGCAGCTGGAGATCAAATGTACACTCTACCTTTTTGTTGTTGCTTTATAACAATTGTAAATATTTATGAGTTTTTAGTACAGGGGTTTATTTTAAAAAGATGTTGGAAGACTGTGGTTAATTTTTAATAAAAATAACATGTGTGTTTCAGCTGGTAGAGGAAAAGTTACAGTCAAAGCAGCATGCAATATTCTAACTGAAGCATACTCTTGCTCCCTCTCTTTATTTTATTTTATTACAAATTCTGCACTCATGCCATTTGCCCAGTAATATTCAATACCCAACCCCAGATTCTAATTTTCTAGTTTATTTATTTATTGAGGTTTTTATATACCACCTGTTATGCAGGCATTTTTATTGCATTTATAACCCAGCTTTTCCTCCAATAAGCTCATGGTTCTCCCTCACCTCATTTAATCCCCTGCAACAACCCTGTGAGGTAGGCTAGGCTGAGTGATAATGACTGGCCCAAGCTCACCTAGTGCACTTCATTTGAGAGTGGGGATTTGAACCCTGGTCTCCCACGTCTGACCACTACACCACACAGGCAGTGTCATAAAATAGTATCATAAAATACAGTACAAATGTACAAATACGATTCAATCTAGCCCAGTCGAGTAGCTTACACTTAATTTATGCCACAATCAATTGTGATCTGCTTGTTAGTTCCCTGACGAGTCCCAACAGTTCAGAATTGCTGAAATAAAATGTCCAGAAATTGTAGCACTGAAAGCAAACAGAAAAACAAGGTGAAGGCATATCAGCAAGTTGAATATTGAGCCACGAGTGACCAGAGCCTTGCACTGCAGTGATGAAAAATGTGCATTTTTTACCAGGGAGCCCTGGTAATTGAGAGGGGAATGGCATGTATAATCCTGAGGCCAATCAGGCAGCAATGATGGTTTTGCTGCTAAGTCCTGGATATCCCTGGAACAAGAACAATTGTAGAGATTGTGGCCAGCTTTCAAGCTCTGCAGACGCAGGAGATGGTTGCTGGGAAGTTGTGAGATCTGGTTTTGATCAAGACTGAGGACCTGCAAACTAGGAAGCCTGTCAAGTGAGGGAACAGTTTGCAGCCTGTTTTTGGACAGGTAGAGCTCTTTCAAGGCAGGGAGTGAGAAGTCAAGGGTAAAAATGTTATTGGCACTCAGGTCTAATATCTTAATGTTGGGTGGCAGAGAACTGCCTATTTGCTCTAACCCTGTACTGGACAAATTAAAAATTTGAAGTGAATGTGGCCACGTGCAGGAGGAGGAAAAGACTCGGGGCTGAAAGTTATTCTGACTTAGGTCTAAGTGAGTGAGCATCTTGAGATGGCCAAGAGTCTTGCACACAGTCTCAAAAGAGGTCAGATTGTTGTGGTGGAGTTTTAAGATTTGGAGTTGCGGAAAAACCCCTTCGCAGAATGTTGACTTCATGGTTTGGTCCTGGAAATTGTTTCCCGAAACATCCAGTAAATGCAACGATGTGAACATCTTGCTAATTTCGCACGGGACAGATGTGACTTGTGACTCTGTAACTGTCAGATTCTGCAGGGTCTCCAGCCACCTTCTCAGGCGGGACATGTTCAGTCTGTCATCCAGGGGGGCAGCCGTCACTTTGTGAAAGCGCAAGGAAGAAACCTTCAGGTCCCGCCAACCTGAGAGGCTCCAGGGAGCGGCTCTAAGGAAAGTACAGTTTACAAATTCAAGTTCTGAGACCTGAGTGTAGGAAAGAAATTGCAGGGACCCTGGCACGAGAACCTCTGGCACAATGAGGTCTGTAAATATGAGCTTGCGAACTAGCAGGGCCTCCAGAATGTCAGTTATCTGTGAGTTTGGCTTGATTCCAGAAGAACCTGCAAATTGTTCCAGATTTCCTCCTCGAAGCTCATATGTGGTGGCTGGAAGGCACTGAATGAAGTTATTCGCCTCTAGTGAACAAACACAGTGACGTTGGGACTCTGTAAAGTTACAGTTGGCTTTTGCTTTGGGGAGTTCCAGTCCCAGGAGAAGGGAGAACACAAAGGTCTGAATTCTGAGCATGATGCAAACCCTGAAAAGAGAAAAGCCACAGTTGTTTTTTAAAATATTTTTTTTGTTAAAGATTTTATTGGTTTACAAAAGCGCATGCCAGAAAAGTCATAGTTAAATCACAACACTATTTCCTAAAGTGTCAGCAACCATCTGTATGCTGCAGGATTTGACAGATCGCATGGGAAGTCAGTGGGAACAACGTACTCCAAGTAATGCCACACACCTCTGAGGTTTTGTCTATTTTATCATCCTGGATTCCTTTGCTAGTGGGGATGGGAGAGGTAGCATGGCACTGAGACCCTCAAATGCCTCTTCCCTCTAGAAAAACTATATATATATATATATATATATATATATATATATATATTATTGATACACAAGAAAAAAGAAAAAACACAAATACACACAGTAATAACCATAGACACATAATTTTCTTAACAAACAATAAAACATATATTGGTCTTAACACTAAAGACCCAACCTCCCGTCTATTCCATATTTCGATTTCATATTACTTATTGCCAATACACACTTTTATCATAATTAAACTTTTTCTTAATATATCTAATTTCTTATATCTGCCTTGCAACTATTACTGAAGTTCCTCGAATGCTGCTACAGAATTTAAACAACTATATTTATTTTTCAAATATTCTTTGAAAACCTCCCATTTTGAAACAAATTCCTGTTTTGATTTATTCTTAATTTTTCTGATAGACCGTCTAATTCAGCATATTCTGTCAGCTTTCGGATCCAATCTTGTACAGAGGGGATTTCATTTCTCTTCCATTTTGCCGCAATCAGAACTCTTGCTGCCGCCGTCGCATATAAAAAGATACCCTTCCTTCCCTCTAGAAACTATAATGGAGACACAGCGCAGGTTTGGCCTTGTGATGCTACTCGCCACTATGCCAGTTTCCACTCCTCTCTCAGACCCATCTGCATTTCCAGCCGAAACATAGACCTCACAGGCTCACACCATGTGAAATAGCGGTGTGTGCAAAAACTTCCCTCACATAGAAAACTAGCAGCCCAGGGAGAAGCTAGAGCACTTTGTCCTGATAGACAAGTTTTCTATGTACAATGATTATTTGATTTTATTTTTTGCATGGAAAGGCATTCAGTCTCATGAAGTGCCACCTGCAGTCAGAAATGGGACACTTGCCTCAGTAAGAGGGTAGGCAAGGAAATTGCTGCTCACTACTTAACAAAACAAACAGAAGATGGGTTTTGTTGTTTGTGAGCAATGAGGAGATGGAGAGAGGAGAGGATCTTTTCCCTGGAGACTTTTAATTAAAGAGAGGGGACACAGCCCTGGCCGTCTTACTTCAAATAACACATAGCCAAGGAAACACTCCTAACAAGCCTATTGTTGAGAGAAATGTGACACAAATGACACTCTTGTGCTACAACTTGCTCTTGGTTTATGGTTGCATTCAGTGATGTGGGACACAAAATTTTCCAGGGCTTAATTTTTCTGCAGAAAAGTTTACATTTCATAAGTTCTTTAATAACAATGGGTGCCAATTGCAACTAAATATTAGACAAGCTTGACACTATCAAAGTTCATAGCTTTGTTTACTAAATACAGTACAAGTAAAAATAAACATGCTAAATGAAATCACTCAGATAATTACTATATGCAAATCACCCTATTTGCATGTACAGTTTTTCCTGGAAGACCCACACCACTGACTACGTATAGTTCATCCTTAGAAAATAATAAGGTTCGTGTCTGTTTTTGTTTTTTGTTTTCATTCTGCCAGTTATAGTGCTCTCCTGGAACTGAAATCTATTTAAATATTGCTATGTTCAGAAGCAGGTCACAAAGCTAAAATAGAACTGGAAAGTAGGGTAGCATATGAGATGGCATTTCTTTACCAGCAAAGTACAGTATGTCAGAATCACAAAATGCTTTTGCATACTTAGCTGGAAGAAAGCTACCACTGAACACGGCGGGGCTTACTTCTGAAAATAGGTGGATAATACGTACAGGATTGTGCTGTACATGTGCCAGAATGGCCCTCTAGTGCTTAAGAGGAGAAAAATGGCATTTCAACAACAAAGCTAAAAATCACCTACCAACTGCTCTGGAAGTTGAGACTCGTTTCTGCCACAGATCTGCCACAGATCTCCTTCTGCTCCTTTCCACACACAACACGATATCTTAGTAACTGTCCCGTTGTGTTCAGTAGCAGCAAAGGGTCAGAGATTACTCAGTTTTAATTTTCCAGCTGAGTTCTTCCTCCCAACCTGCTTCTAGTTATTTTAGCAGAATTTCACAAGCCTTTTGAGGAACTTCCAACACAGGAAGATTACATAACAAAGAGCTCCAAATTGGGAAATAGTGAGACGGAAAGTGATCTCAACTTTCAAGTTCATTTCCGAAAAGTAACAGGCAGAAGGCATTATTGTCAAAAGTAGCCCAGCAGCTACATCTGTTTTACTAATTCCACATATCCATTCTGCACACACTTCCTGAAAGTCAGGCTAGCTCCCGGGCAGAGGATGGTATTTGTTAGTATTCCAGCCACCACGTTGCAGAAAAACAAGATAAGTAGACCAGACTACTCAACCCCAGGCTGGCTCCTATTCAGAGCAGACAGCATGTGGTTAATGTGGTATAAAAACCAAAAGTGAAGTCGTATTCCTGAGTGCTGCTTTGTACTGGATTTTAGGCTGTGCTGTGCTAATTTTTATGTTGGCGGTACAGTACTGATAATGTTCTGATAGTGCTTTTAAGCTTATTTTTGTTTGCATTTTTACCAATTTGTATGCTTTGTATATAAAACTCAAGCAAATTCATGAGGATCTATGTGAATAATACTAGATCTGGTTTTTTACCAAGGCCCACAAAGGTTAGTACGGTAAATGTATTTCAGTAACATGGAGGGAATGCCAAAATACAAGGAGGCACTTGTAGCATACAAATTGTGAGTGACTATACATGCAATGAATATGCATTTTCTGTTATATTGATGGCAACCAGTTCCATCATGTTCCCTTCATAGATAAGGAGGGAGCGGGGAATGGACAGACTTGAATTTCCAGTTTCAACATGTTACCGGAAAAATCCGAGGGCTCCCTTGGACAAAATAAAGACACCAACCAGGATAACTTGGAGCAAAACAGCAGCCTGTAGGCTTGGCCTTTATTGAACTGTTGCAACAGGGTGTTCCCCTCACGTGCAAGAGAGAGGAAAGACCCAGAAAGATGGTGTGCAAGACCTTATAAAAACTTTTGAAATTCCCATCCTCTAGGTCAAGCCCACCCCCAGAAACATCATGCATACATTACAGAAAGGAGGGGTTGAGGGAGGAGTTGTGGTGGTAACCTGAGTGTCCTGTCACCTGGCTGGTTCCTCCTTTCCCCCCCCATGAGTCACTTCCAGGAGACAAAGGGGAGTTGGCAGTTTCCTGCCCCCAGAGGGAAGATCTGATCATTGTCCTTTGTTTCAGTCCATGCTGAATCCACTCCCATATGCAAGTTCTTTGTGATCTTGATGGTCTTCTGTCTAGGACCATCAGGGTTGGCATAGCAACTGGGCAGGGCTCCTGTGGATGTGCTGGGATGGTGAAGGGATTATGGCTGACCAGAACCAAGCCACCCCCCTTTGATAGTCCTTGTCATATGGAGTAAAATAAAAATGGAACAGTGCAAATCCAATGTATGGTTGATTTTTCTATGAATTTATAACAGAAGCGTGGCGTATGTAGTGTGTGAGTGTGAGTGTGTGAAGTTTGTACAAACTGAATGATTGGGGTGGGGGGTTCCTGCTACAAACAGACCTGTGGTTTTTTTAATCTTCTGGGGTGGGGAAGTGAGATGTCCACATAAATCAATTAATTTTAGGCTAGCATGACCACAAAGAAACTAAAATAAACAACCAAGGATGTGTTCTTTCTCACTTATGTCTTCATGTGTGTTAAAAAAAGTAATTATTATTTTTTAACCATTTAATCTGCATTGTACAAGAAGGTATTTTGCTCCATGAGGGGAAGGAAAATGTTGTCCTAGTAGACACAGCTACTAAATTTCACATCAACACTGGCAAAAAGGTCAGCACACATGAAGGCAGCAGGCTTGCTCAGGGGTCACTGGGCAGGCAATGTGGCACCCAGTTCTCTCCCCCTCAGACACCTCACAACTGTACATTGCCCAGCATCTGTGCCTGAGGCAGCCGCTTCACTCTGCCTACTATCAAGGCTGGCCCTGCAGTAGAGCACAAGGCTTCTGCGTGCAGTTGGCTGCTGGATTTGGCCTGATGTTGTTAGCCAATCATGGGGACGCAGGTGGTGCTGTGGGTTAAACCACAGAGCCTAGGACTTGCCCATCAGAAGGTCGGCAGTTCGAATCCCTGCGATGGGGTGAGCTCCCATTGCTCGGTCCCTGCTCCTGCCAACCTAGCAGTTCAAAAGCACGTCAAAGTGCAAGTAGATAAATAGGTACCGCTCCGGCGGGAAGGTAAACGGCGTTTCCGTGCGCTGCTCTGGTTCGCCAGAAGCGGCTTAGTCATGCTGGCCACATGACCCGGAAGCTGTACGCCGGCTCCCTCGGCCAGTAAAGCAAGATGAGCGCCGCAACCCCAGAGTCGGTCACTACTGGACCTAATGGTCAGGGGTCCCTTTACCTTTACTGTTAGCCAATCAGGTTCTTGATCACCAAATATATACTGATTTTGCCAGCTTTCATCATGTCATGGTTGATGTACCTGATTGTCCTAAAAAGGGATTTTATACAGCCAGTGACCACTGGTATTTTTTGTTACAGATGCAAGAGAAGACAGACGCAAAATACCTTTGTGATGCTTTATTCATCTTATGATCAATACAACTCTTATAAGCAATACTTCAATACACACTCATTATTCTAATAATCAACCCTATGAATTGGTTGATCAGGCCAATCAGCTGGTAAGAATCACACTAAACCAGCAGTTGCTGTGGTTAGATAAGGTGGGGTCCCTTTTCAAATGTATACTGTCTATGTGTATATTCTAATGGTGAACACTGGACTTTGTATATGACTTTTCTCAAAATTCCTTGCTTAGAACGGTGCAGATCCATGAGCTGCTCTGGTGTGGATAAGTCCTCAGCCTTCTAATTCTACTTACTATCAACAGTCAAAATGTTATGCTTCAGTTAACCTAAGCTATTTTAGCCATTTCATCACCGAAATTCCCCTCTTCTATGCTAATAGAATTCTCTATTCCTTAACTTAACATATCAATATTTCTTTCATATATTAAAGTTCTTTCCCATAGCTGGTATGATAACCAAGCATGATTTATTTATAGGTCCCATCAAAAAGCATTATTTCTGTACTTCTTTATTTCAACGTCGTCCCCACCCCAACCAAAGCATTAATATGAGTAGATTGACGCCTTTGCTGCAACCTGTGGGGTGCTTTCTTTGGGGGAGTTTTGTCTGTAACTCAAACCACCTCTCCCACCCTAAAAATAAATATTTAACTTGCAGCATTAACAGTAGGCTTCATTGCAGGGCTATCATAAGCTACCCTCACAATATATCCTTTCTTGCCACAGGGCTACTGAAGTTCACAAAAAGGGAAAGGAAAAGAAACTTACGTTGCTTCATGGGCGTAGTCAGGATTTTTTGGGGGGGTGCAGAACCGACATAGTTGGTCAGTTAGTAAAGTATTTCTATTGTTTTACTTGATCGCGGGGGAGGGCAGTGACGTGTATTGCAAGGCTGTGGCAAACCGCCCTCTCAGCCTGAGCTAGACCCCCGCCAGTCCCAATAGTAAACACTGGCCTGCGCTGCAGGGCTGGTGTAAGTCACAAGCTTTCTGCCAAACACATCCTTCCTGTCTTCAGTAAGAGGACTGTGTGTACATTGGAATAGACAGTATAAATTATAAGACCCGAATGACCTCATCTCTTTGCTCCTATCTCGCTTCCAAATGATGCTAAAGAAAAACCTCGGATTCCTAAGGGCATCCCTCACTTCTGCCCCGGGGAGACGGTTGAAAATAACATCGCAATGTGACAAGGGAACTCATTCAATCAGGGAGCTCGACGACTCTACACTTTTTGGGTCTATAGTTCCCTTCATTGAGTTTTTCCTTTCCCGGACGGAGTGCGCAGGCGCACTGAGCCGACAGTTGAAACATCCGCCAAGATGGCTGCCCCTCCCTCTCCTTACTTCCTTTCCTCCGGCCGCGACCCCGTCTGATAGCTCTGGGTTTGTTGTCCTGGCAACCGCGCGGAGTTGGTCTGTGCCTGGACCAAGGCCTCCGCCCGGCCCGCACTCCGGCTGCGGCGGCTCTGCTGGTCCATCTCTCTTGCCATTCAGAGACCTCCCCCTCCCGGCCTCGCTGGTGTTGGCCCCTGAGAGGCAGGCCCGGCTCCTCTGGGCGGCAGCCCCTTGCTGGGAAGAGGGAGAAGGCCCTTGAGCCGTGGCCCGCGCGGGGGGAGCCATATCATTGCATCCGTGTCAGGAAAAAAGGCGGGGTGCAAATAAATATATGAGAATAATTGCACGCAAATGTGTGGCTCTGTGGACACGAGTAGGGAGCCGACAGTAGTGACCGGCTGCTGGTCCCTTTAAAGGGACAGCGCTGCCCCCATTTTTAGGAGGGGTGCTCTATATGTTGCTACCTGCTGCCTAAGGGGGCAGCCCAGGCTCAGAGCAGGAGCTATGATTTCTCTTGGGTCCGTCCCGGGTGCTGAAGCAGCGGCAGCTGCTGCCTCCCATGGAGTCGCTGGTCCAAGGAGCTGGAGAAAAAGCCGTTGGGGGCCACGCAACTTCAGCGTGGAGGACCTGCGGACTTGGAGGAGAGAGCGCGAGTCAGGTTTGTGTGTGACTTCCTTCTGCAGCTTTATTGGGACGAGAGAGAGTTGCATATTACTTTGCTCTGTGTCGCAGTCTCATAAGTAACATTTGACAAGCTCTTTTTGCTCCTTTGTTTTGCTCCTTGTATTGCGCCAGTTTGATAACAATGTGCTGCTTTGTTTGCAGCTCTACGGAGTGCGCGGAGGCATCAGCAGTTGATCAGCAAGCGGCTTTTATGTGAGGACACCTTGATGGATGAAGGTCAGGTTGGAACAGACAGTGGGCCAGCAGCTCCTCTCTCTGAAGAAGAGGTAGGAAGATCGTCCATTTTTTGAAGTTGATTGGGTCTTAAAGGTAAAGGGACCCCTGACCATTATGTCCAGTCGTGACCGACTCTGGGATTGTGGTGCTCATCTAGCTTTATTGGCCGAGGGAGATGGCGTACAGCTTCTGGGTCATGTGGCCAGCATGACTAAGCCGCTTCTGGCGAACCAGAGCAGCACATGGAAACGTCGTTTACCTTCTCGCTGGAGCGGTACCTATTTATCTACTTGCACTTTGACGTGCTTTCGAACTGCTAGGTTGGCAGGAGCAGGGACCCAGCAACGGGAGCTCACCACGTCGTGGGGATTCGAACTGCCGACCTTCTGATCGGCAAGTCCTAGGCTCTGTGGTTTAACCCACAGCGCTGCCCGGTCTTAGATATTAATAAATGCAGTGCATTTAGTCACACAACCCTTTGATTTGTTAAGAGATAACTGATATTTTTGATTTATAGCTAGCTTATGATCACAGTATATGAAAGTGCCATGTAAGTGGTACAACGTCCAAGTAATATTTCAAGTTGATGTCCTTTTTCTTTCAAAAGAGATGTTAAATAGTTAAATTTCATAGCCCACCTCACCCTGGTCTATGAGACTCCAGGATTGTTTCAGCCCTTCATACCACAGAGGTGGACAGCAGCAAGAGGCTTCCACCTAAGATTTGCTTTCTCTTCAAGTTCTGTCACTGATTCAGTCTTGCTCACTAGCAGATTTCACAGCTGCTGAAAAACATCCAAAGAGGAAAAGAAGACAGGGCAACATCTCTGCGTCTCCTTCGACAAGGACTACAGCACAGAGAAAACCAGCAGAAATTCATCAGGTTAGTTAATGTGAACTTGACCTGCTGACGCCTGTTCTGGGGGGTGCTGCTTGTCTGTGTTGAAGTAAATGGAACTATTTAGGTGCAGAACACCATCTTACCTTGTGCAGAAACAACCCAACTTAAGTGGAGAGAGGTCCAACTTCCTTGTTAGCTGGATTTCTATTAGATGTCCATGACCTTGAACGTGTGGCAGCTCCAGAGATTAAATGAGCACCCCAGAAGAAGAGAGGCACTCTTTAGTGCACAGAAATGCTCTCCTTTTCTTCATCCAACAGGGTGTTGAATGCTAGTCTGTTACAGTTTCTGTCCTCCCTGCTGTTTTCTGGGTTGAGAAGAGGGCTGAGTACACAAGCCTCCCAAGGACAAACTTTCTTTGGCTGTGGCTGGTGTGTGCACAACCTCCTGTTTTTTAAAGACAGACTCTAACTTTGAATTGATAACCTGAACTAACTTGTGGGGGTTTGGTGTGGGAAGAATGGGTAGACTTTATATTCTGTTCCAATCTGGGTTAAATAAACTTTCCAATGTTCTATTCCAGTTTCCGTTGGGTGGGAAATAAGTTGTCAAGTTGTTTAGGTTTGTTAAGTGCCATTCAGTTGGAATTCGTCTGATTTCCTGGGCCATGCAGATGAACAGTAATATCCCATGGGATATTTTTTGATGAGTGGCTGTGTCAATGTAAAAGATAAATATAATGATAATACAGTGGTGCCTCGCAAGACGAAAAGAATCCGTTCCGCGAGTCTCTTCGTCTTGCGGTTTTTTCGTCTTGCGAAGCAAGCCCATTAGCGGTTTAGTGGATTAGCGCTATTAGCGGCTTAGCGGGCTTAGCGGATCAGCTGATAAGCGGCTTAGCGGATCAGCTGATAAGCGGTTTAGCGGCTTAACGGATCAGCTGTTAAGCGGCTTAGCGGATCAGCTGATAAGCGGCTTAGTGATCAGCTGTTAAGCGGCTTAGCGATCAGCTGTTAAGCGGCTTAGCGGATCAGCTGATAAGCGGCTTAGTGGCTTAACGGATCAGCTGTTAAGCGGCTTAGCGGATCAGCTGATAAGCGGCTTAGCGGCTTGGGAAAAAGGGGGGGGAGGGAAAAACCCCCGCAGGAACTCGCAAGACATTTTCGTATTGCGAAGCAAGCCCATAGGAAATTCGTTTTGCGAAGCACCTCCAAAACGGAAAACCCTTTCATCTAGCGGGTTTTCCGTCTTGCGAGGCATTCGTCTTGCGGGGCACCACTGTAATGATAGTAGGAGCAATAGTGACAACTGCTACGCTATTGTGATAGCTCCAACTTCACACTTACTTTCCTTCAGTAGAACAGATAAGTAAAAAGAGTATGTGATTCTGGCAGAGGACTGCATAAAGATGGTGTTTTAATTTTGTAGGCTGGAGGGCAGTATGCGTGTGCTGATTGGTCTCTTCACTGGCAATCTGGCAGATCTGCAGATGGATGCAGCTCGCTGTTTACATGAACTCTCCCATTCCAGTGACCCTGATGTGGTTGAGGCGTGTTTGCCAGCAACCTCCTACCTCTTGACATACCTCTCTGGACACAGTGTAGCCCTTATGGTAAGATCCAGGCTGGCGGTACTTGGCTGTTCCAGCTTCTGGCAAGGCAAGTGAAGTGTGACCTTTTGCCTACACCAGGCTCCACGTTACAGAGTATGAAAATTATCCTCTCCAGCATACTCTTTATTTTTTGAGTTTAAAAGGTGGCTCAAGATGGAACAAAGTACATTGCTATTGACTTCAACTTAATTGGGTTTTATCTGATAAAATAGGCCCTTTTGCACATTTGAAGCAAATGTGCCCCAGTGTAGGCCACTAGGTACCAGAAAAGTGTGGATTAAAGGTCTGAAGAACATGGGAGAGGTAAATGTGAAGACTAGAGAAAGTTGCGGCTGCCTGGGCCTTTTGCAGTGACATGAATTTGGCTGCAAGTACATCCTGGAGTGAGGGAGTGATTGTAGTCCGGCTATAGTTGGAAGAATCATTGTAAGGTTCATTGGATAGGAGGTCTCCCATTGAGGGGTGGTAGCAAAGGCTCACATGGATGCTGACCTCTGACAACTGGTGTAAAGTTACTGATCACATTGATATTATTTTCAGAAGTATATGTTTCCATTGCCTGTATTTCTTCTCGCTGCTTGAGCTGTTACATCTCTGCATCCCCAAATCTTCTCAGCTACTCTCCACTCCAGTGGAAATGTTTTCTGTCCCTAGAGTTGTTTGCAGGTATTGTAGCATTGTGCAAGAAGTTGCAGTTATAGAATGGTGAATATGGAGCATGTTCCTCCCTGCTGTATTTCAGGAGCTGTGTTTGTACACATTGGGGAACTTGGTGGTTGAGATGACGGCTGTGAAGAAACAACTTCTACCTCAGGGCATTATCCCAGTATTGGCATCCTGCATCCAGGTAAGTGGGAAACAGCCCAGACATTCTGAATGCCAGCTGCGTACAAGCCTTGTCGAATCAAAGAGTGCATTTGAGTCATGCACTATCCATTTACCACTGTTAGAATAAGTAGAATCCCTCGACTGCATACACAACACAGAGACTGAGGATTCTGTACCCTGCTGCCCAGAACTGAATGATTTATTCTGGCCTATTTCATTTGATTATACAATAACCCGTGAAGGCAATTAATAAGATGTTCTCAAAGAGCAGCTTGCTGTTCTTAGCATCGTTAAGCTTTTTGCTTATATTTTTAACTTCCTGAGAAATGTCTGAAGGAATACAGCAGTTAATCAGCACCCTCCACCCCTGCAACCACGTATGTGTTTCCACAGGGTACATAACACACTGAGGCCTTTTACTCTGAACCAGTGGATGGTGATTGTTGTACTCTGATTTCAGTCCCCTCATGTGGTGGTGCAGGAAGGTGTTGGCTATGTTCTGTCACAGCTCTTGCAGTCTAAGGAAGCTCCAGCTGAAATCATACCGTAAGTGGAATCTCTTCATTTCAGAATTTGACGTGTATCTGTGTGTGTCTGTGCATGACATAGCCAGCTTCCTTCTTGGTTACTCCAAACCCTTAAAAAAAGTATATGTGCACATGAGGCACCAATCTCGGTGTCACTCATTTACCAACTTATTTTTTATTTATTTTATTAGTTGCATTTATATATCTCCTTTGTCTTCCAAAGAGCTTGAGGTGGTGTACATGGTTCTCCTCCTGCCCATTTCAACCCTGATGGTGACTGGCTCAAGGTGGGCTTCATGGCTGAGTGGGGATTCAAACCCTGGTCTCCCGTATGCTGGCAGCAGAAGTGAATCAACCAGCTCCACAAATAAACTTTCTATGGGGACATACTTTAGCTATAATCTTAGTCTTTAACATTAATGGAATGATCTGGCTTTTAAAACCCTGAAGATTTCTTTTGCCACACCAACATCTTTCTCATTGGAGTTTGTGTGGTGTTAACCATTTTAGGCAATGGACCTTGTCTATGCCCTGTGAAATTTCTTCCTTTATTTTATGATGTCTTTCATATCCTTACTTTACAGTTAGATTAATAGAAACTGTCACTTTTATTTATATCAATGTTGCAAGAAGATCAACCTACAAATTATACTGTATTTTGATATGAAGTATCAAGTGTTATCATGTTAATCTTGGTACCTTGTCCTGTTCAAAATACTGTACCCTTTTAACATTCTAAGTTCTGCATGTTAATTAAGCAAGTAGATAATAAGCTGCACCTTTGGTTTCTGAAATGCTGAAGTTTTGGGGAGGCTGGGAGGGAGGGAGGAAATCATGTGGCTTGGGGAGAGGCGGACGTATTGTTAAAAGGCCATGTCTGATGCCCATGTCCTGACAGTGGAGCTGTTGGGGGAGTTTCATGTGTATCTTCCTCAACCCTTCACTAGAACAGATATATTTAAAAAATCAGGTGGTGGGTTTTTTTGGTCAAATATATCTATGCAATGGTAGATGACATGTATCTTGTCCTTAAAACTACAGTGGTACCTCAGGTTACATACGCTTCAGGTTACACACTCCCCTAACCCAGAAACAGTGCTTCAGGTTAAGAACTTTGCTTCAGGATAAGAACAGAAATCGGGCTCCGGCGGCGCGGCAGTAGCAGCAGGAGGCCCCATTAGCTAAAGTGGTGCTTCAGGTTAAGAACAGTTTCAGGTTAAGAACGGACCTCCGGAACGAATTAAGTACTTAACCTGAGGTACCACTGTATACAGAAAGGCATGTGTAAAGCTACCAAAAGCAATATCTCACCTCCAACTACTATCACTCTCTGCCTCTGGGATAGTTGACATGGTTCCCCTAATAACTAAACAGAGTATTTTTTTTCTTCTGCCCCCAGCTTGGTCCTAAATTCCACCCTCCCCAAAGACATGCTTCACTTGGTTTGTTCCAACCTGGAAGAAGGAATAGGAGCTGCAGTGGAATTTGCATGGGGTCTTCACTACATTATTTGTAGGTAAATGTTTCTGTGGTACATAGGAGGTCCTAAGTAGTGGGTTAGGATTCTTGAGTGAGACACGGAGGTGGGTTGTCTGTGCATGTTCGTAGTGCACATTGGGAACAAAGATGCAAAGGGCATGGGCCTGACTTCCAGTTTAGGGACGCTTGCACAAATATTTGCTCTGTAAACAAACTACATTTCCCACCTCCCACCCTTTTGCTGAGGAAATATGAATAGAAAATGTTGGCTCTTTAATGGCAGATCATTTTTATCCATGCCAGTCATCTTGATAAGTGGGCAGTATCCTTTGGTTCTAAATCCTGCTGGTCCCCTGAAGCTGTCAAGTGAGGTTCACCTGAAAATGGCCTAAGACCCACTGAGCTAACCCCTTCCTGTAAAGCCAGGGTGATGAGTGAGACAATATAGCAAGGTCACAAAGTCTAACTCAGTTTTTCATGGCTACTGTTGCCTGCACCTTACAACCATTTCTAACATCCCATTCCCCCCACTTTCAACTTTGCATATTCAAAAACTGATTTCACTTGAACAATGAGCAGACTGAATAGGAGAAAAGCCTTTTAATGGGTTGGATAGAGGTGGGACTCTACCTAGTCCTACTGAAGTGGGATAGCTTAGCTGTCCTTTATTTTCCTTTCTGTAGCCGGGTGAACAACTCACTGCTGATCTCTCAAAGGACTGTGCCATCCCTTGTGCAGCTGTTGCTAGAACTGGCTTCTGTGATGTCTACAACTTCAGTTGAAGGTGTAGAACTGGTAAAGTAAATAGGAAATATATCTGAGGTGCCAGGCTGTGCCCCCGACTCTCCTTCTGAATGTATTTTTTTTCAATTCTCTTGTCAGTTGATTTGTCCTGTGGTGCGGTGTGTTGCCAATCTGCTTGCAGAAGATGAAGTGGGCGATGGTGAACTTGTAGAACAGGAAGAGAGACTTCTAAGGGCCTTGTTTGAATTCATACAGTACTTTGTCTCCGAACACCTCTTCATTGCCCAGGAGTGTCTGTGGCTCATCAACAACCTGACAGGTATGTCCTGGCACACAGTTAGCACTAGATGACAAACCAAGTGGTACTGCTGCCTTTCCTTTCCTTTCCTTTGTTATCTATTGGAGTCTTCTAATTGGGCAAAGAATATTGACCTTGATAGTACTAAGGCTGGGTAGATCTCAACAGTTAGAATAAATTGATGAGATTAGCATTTTCTTTTACAGCCTAATAATTTACTTAATAAGGGGGGGGGGACCTTTTCGGCTCCACAAGCCAGATTCTTATCAGGATTAGTAGGTGGGGCTGCCTGCTTGTCAATCACAGGACATCACAATGATATCATGTGCAAGGTGCTGCTAAAAATAAGATGCTTCCCCCCATCGTTTTAGCAGGCTTGTATGGAATCACCTGCTAAAACAATGTGAAAAACACCCCTTTAGCAGGAGATTCTGATGCATACCCCCTTATGATACGTGAAGGGGGTTGCATGGAATCCTCTGCTAAACCCTGGGTGGGGGTTGTAGGTGGGTGTCCATTTTAGCAGGTGATTGCAGTGCAAACACCATCCTGAATCAGGGTTTGCATTGAATCCTGCCAGACTGAAAAGATCTAACCCCTGCTCCTAAGCTGATGTCTGGGGCTTAAATTCTTCAGGATTTAAACCTGCCTGCACACCCATTTAAAGTCACCTAATAACATTGTTGTCTAGGTGGCATACAGCAGAAGGTATTATTAAAAGTTTCCAGTACAGAGAGGTTTTCAGGCAGACAATATGATTTGTGAGATCTAGTATCCTTGCACCATGCAGCAAAAAACTAGGGTGACTTGCTCATGCATCCTAGGCTTTTCTCCTTTGGGGCTGGGAAAGACTAGATCCAGTAGTTAAAGCCTGTTTTAGCTGCCTACTGTAAACATGCTGAAAGTTTCCTCTGCAGATGACTCTTCCAGGTAGCTCACTTTTTCTCTGTTGAACAGAATGCCAATAGGGATTGAGATTTTTCTTTCTTTCCCCAGCTGACAGCATCAGATCATGCTCTGCTTTGCTCAACCCAGACCTCTTTACATCTCTACTGAAACTCTTGAGCTACGAGAGGCTGAGCTTGCTGGTAGGTTACAGTATTGATCTGGGTTGAGGATGGATTTCCTCCCCTCTATGAACACCAGAGAATTTGAAACTGGATATTGACTTCGTGCAGTTTTGGGAAAGGTGACTTTTGGCAATTAGGGCTGCCTTTTAATACTGTTTGGTATTGGTAGAGAGCCTCACCAAAATCAGCCATACTAGGAAGTATCTATTGGGAACTCCCTAGTGCAGCTGATTGGCTTTTAGTGTTCATCAGCTGATGGGTGCTGAGAGCCATCCCTTTGAAGTATGTTGTGTTCAAATTGCTTGCAGATGGACGCCTAAGGGGATGGCTCTTAACAGCCATTTCAGCCACCGATGTGAAACTGGCAATCTGTCTTTTTAAATTATTCTTACTTTATTATTTGTTCAATTTGTATACCATCCTTCATCCTTAGATCTCAAAGTGGTTCACAACATAAAAATAGGAGAGAAAAATGCAAAATACATAATAAAAACAAGGGAAAAAATACCACAAACCAAATGCAATAACCTCCCTCCCCTCTCCCATAAACACATTTAAAAGGGTATTTAGTAGAATCAAAATACTAATTTATAAATACTGGATTTGTCAATGGCGATGAGATTCATTCTGTACTTAAAATTCTTCTTAGCACAACTTTTATTTGCTGTTTGGTCAGTTTTTGTCTTTTGGTTCTGTAATACACCAGTTTTCCAAGGGGTTTTAGAGGCTAGGGAGTTTATTTAATTTATATACTGCCTTTCCCCTCAAAGGGAGGAAGCATTCTAAAAGCAATTAAGCATTTTCTCAGCCAGTGATTTCAAGGTTTGCCAGGAGCAGTATCTTTCAGCCATCAAAAGCTTGGCTAAACAGTAATGTTTTTAAACTCTTCCTGAATGTCAATGGTGAGGGAGACAAATGCACTTCACCAGGAACAGGTCAATGCCAGCTAGGCAGCCCTCATCTGCTGATTGTAGGGTCCAAGGTGGTTGGTACTGGGGAAGGTAGTTGGGTCCCAAGCCATGCTAGTATTCCTCAGGGTTCCACTAGCTATGTGGAAACCTTCATTTTGCTTGAGGGTGCCCTTCTTGCTTCCAGCCCAGTTGAAATTAAGAGAGATGCATCAGCTAAGGGAACTGAGCAGGCTACATATACTGAGCACCAGTTCAACAATATAGGAAGTTCTAGGTATGTCACTAGCTGGTACAACTTCCTGAATCTTCAAAGAGGAGGCAGTGAAAAGCAAACAGGCAAGCAATCAGTGCCAGATATTTAAGGCCACAGAAGTTCCTTGATACTACTGTAAAGATTAGAGTGGCAGAATCCTAACCTTAGCCTTTTGGTGTCGTCTTCAGGTTCTGACAGTGCTGTGCAACATAGCTGCTAAGGGCTCTGCCTACTGCCAGGCACAGCATCAGAAGGCTGTACTCTTCCCCCTCATTAGCATCCTTGCCCTTCCTGATGACAAAGTCGTGGCTCAAGATCTTGAACTACTGCATCTCCTCTTCCATCATTGGCCAGAGGTATTTGGCTATCTGTTGTTCCTGTATTTTCTGAAGGCTCAAGAGTCATGAGCAAGCTCAGAACTAACTTTGGTCTTCTCTTTTGCCCCAGGCTGCCGCTGATTTTGTAGGTCAGTCAGGACTACAGGCCCTAGAGCAGCATCAGGATAAACTACAGCTGCAAGAACGGGTCAAAGTGCTCATTTGGACTGCCAAAGAGCTGACCGCTCTCCCCCAGAATTGTCCCCTTCGTGCTTCAGCTGAAAATCTACCGTCTACTTCCTTACAAAGTTGACAGTGATACATACAAAGCAGCCATGCTGGCTTGTTACTAACAAGCCTGTGAACAGAACACTTTCTTGTTTTTCTGAAGAGTGGTAAAAGTAAATATCCCTGGCACTTCTAGAGAAGCCTTATTCTGTGATGTTTACTGTTCTCTAAACTGTTCTTTAGCCTACCACTGGTTGTGCAAAGATTAACAATAGTGAAAAGAATCAACTTACAGGGGACTATCTTGGCTTAAACAAGATACTTAAGCTTTATTTTCTAAGTTGAATTCTTTTTTATGCAAGTTACACATAGAAGTGATCTACATCTGGAATTAGACTCAAATTCAGTTGCCATTTGTTTTCCTTATGCTTTGCTGTTAACAACATTCTCCAAGGCTTTGGCAACTTGGTCCATGTTTAGGTTATTCAGTGGTACACTCTTCTCTCTGCCAAATGCTGAGGAAAACACAAGAGTTGGGTGAAAGGCATATACCATGGATGGTTTTCATTTGAAGAAATGATTTCAGACACTTTGATCGAGCCACCATGTGTTTGCAACCTACACTGCTAACAGCTCCCTTTAGACATGCCCTGCTTTACTATACACAGATGTAAATGTAGGTACAGCAATAAAACTCAGGAAATGCATACACATAGCAGCCTCACTTTCCTACAATTTCACTGACAAGCAGTGTTAGGAAACAAAACGCCCTGCACAGACAATGCATGATACAGGGATTTCTACTTTCAGGAAGCTACTACATTAAAAACTGAAATGCAGTGCCCAAGGGGGATGTGTTCCACCTATAACCTGAATTGCTTTTGGATGCACTAGCACAGACTTGGTGAAAACAAATGCTTTTCAGAAGAGCCGACATTCACTTCTGCTTCAGGGGTGGGGAACAGGATTTGGCCAGCAGGTCCATCCTTAGCTCCCCCACTTCGTGGACTACCCAGTTGACATCAAAGCTGCCACATCAGATAAAGCTAGAAGAAAGGTTTTCACTATCACCTCAGTCCTCAGCTACTTTAGCTATTGGGAACTCTAGTCTGCTGTAGGACTCACTCTATGTCAGTTAAAGCATATGATTCCATGCCACTATTCTCTATTTAGATGTATCTGGCAAAGTACTAGTAAAGAGGCCTCATGGTTCCAGTTATCAGAAATATTAAGTCAGGGGCCTGAGCCTTAATCAAGTCAAGACTAGCTAAGTTTACTTTAAAACTTTAAAGCTGTTGAATTTTTTCAGCAGCTCCTAAACTTAAGTACCTATTTTGGAAGAAAATGAGTGGGATAAGTGTTGAAACAAGAGCCCTTGGGGGGGGGGGGCGGAGAGGGAGATAATTCATTATTTGCCATAGGCCATGTGCTCAATTAAGTTTCCTCTCTGGCAGCCACAGACCATTTCTATCCACTCTCTTGTCTTAAGTTTATCCATTTTTCTCTTGATCCCTTCTGCATTACAGAGATGCAGCAATTTCCTTGTCCAACGAAAGCAGCTCTCGTGAACAAAAAAATTCTAACTCGATTTTTAAAAAACACTTCTTGTTTAAAAATTCTAAAAGGTAAACCCAGGGGGGAAAGCACCCTGGGGACACATATTTCTATCAGAAGCTCTTCATGTAAGCTACTAGCCAACATTTGAAAAAACTGCCAAGGTTTCTGTTGTCTGTCAATGGAAATGTTTTCCAGCACAATCTATTTGTTTAGGAGAGAAAACATTATAGAGCAGATTTAGAGCAGTTGTGGGGAGAAAGTGCAAGTGGCCTACAGGGCTGGAGTTGTCCGAGAAGTGTTTGCTAGTGGCCTTCAACAATAAAATCCCGGCAGGGCTGAAAAGCTTTATTCCTCAAGGAAAGGCTAATATTTGAACTACCTAACACATTATTTCTACCTAATTGTATAGCAAACTTGTAACATACATCCCCCTGCCAAACTCACCATATCTAGCCCAGAGCTTGGGTTGCACATCTGAGCACTCTCTGATCAGGATAGGGAAATCTGGATTTGCTTTCTTTAAAGTCACATAATGTTGTTTAATGAAATCTCTGCAAAGAAGAAGCAAACACACCAGCATGCATTAGGCTGAGGGTCTTCTACACTTTCATGAAAAGTCAGTAGGATACAGATAGTGGCTTTCAAGTGCCAAACATTCAGAGAATATTTCCTATATTTATCTGGAGCACAGGGTTTTGGGGACATGTTCTAGGGGTCTTGCCATTTTTGAAACAACTGGGTGTGCTCCAAACACATCCAACAAAATTCCAGAGTTGTAGTGGTAAGTACACTGTATTTCAGAGCAGCTTGTCCAACATTACAAATTTCTTTAAAACCCAGTTTCCCATGAACACAGTTTAAAAAACTGAGCTAAAGCTCAGCAAGGCGTGAAGAAAACAATATGACTAGTACAGTCAAACCTCAGTTGTTGAACGTAATCTGTTCTGGAAGCTTGTTCAGCTTCTGAAATGTTCAACAACCGAGGTGCGGCTTCCGATTGGTTGCAAAAGCATCCTGCACTCAAGCGGAAGCCTCATCGGACGTTCAGCTTCCAAAAAAGTTTGAAAACTGGAGCGTTTACTTTTAGGTTTTCGGCTTTGGGAGCCAAAATGTTTGAAAACGGAGCCATTCAGGAACCAAGGTTTGACTGTATATCACTTTTTTCCTACAATTTTCCCAGTAGCCAAAAAGAGGTTAATATAATCCAGTAATGTTCAGTATATCCTGAGGATACCAGATGTGTTTAAGCTTTAGCCAACTTTTTCAGTGGCATATACTGTATATAAAACGATAACTAGAACAGCACTGGACTTGGCTTTGTGGCTTCTCTGCTCAGCTGGTTATAAATAAAGCATTCAAGGTGGGTTGACCTATTGGATACAGTGGTACCTCGGGTTTCATACACTTCAGGTTACAGACTCCACTAACCCAGAAATAGTGCTTCAGGTTAAGAACTTTGCTTCAGGATGAGAACAGAAATCGTGCTCCGGCAGCGCGGCAGCAGCAGGAGGCCCCATTAGCTAAAGTGGTGCTTCAGGTTAAGAACAGTTTCAGGTTAAATACGGACCTCTGGAACGAATTAAGTACTTAACCTGAGGTACCACTGTACATCCAAATCAAATTATCATAATCTGTGTTAAGACACCCACAGCACCTTTGTCAAGATAGGAGTATTTATTGGAACCTCATTTTTTACTCTTCCCGCCCCCCTCCCCAAAAGCACGAGTTGGCCTTGTAAAGGTATTGCTTCTAATATTATTATTAGCTGATTAACATCCTTTATCATTTAAAATGTGGGGGTTATTTGAATGGTTTTTGTTCTCGTTTTATTAAATATTTTGTGTTTTTATCTTTTACTTTTGTGTTGTGAACTACCCTGTTATCCATATATAAAGGGTGGTATACAAATTTAATAAATAATAAAAATAATATGCCTTTTGGGCTTTTTTTCTTATTAGTCAACATGGTTTTTACCTTTCTTTTGTGATTCAAAACCATTGTCCATTCCTAGTAGTAAAGCTGGTGCTCTGCTGTTTCTATTGTATTACACACACAAATTTCTATCAATCTAGTCCAACCCCTGCAATGCAGGAATCTCAGATAAAGCATCCAGTTCAGATTCCTGCATTGCAGGCGGTTGGCTAGATGACCCTCGGGATTCCTTCCAACCCTACTATGATTCTATGATTTTTTTTTGAGTACAAGTCCACTATGGCTTGTTCTGGGATTTTTTTCAGGTGTTTGATACGAACATGCAAAAGGACAACTAACGGCCAATATTACTGCCCTTCATGCCGGCGCCCCCCATTCCCTAAGCAAACCAGCAAACCTCACCTTGCGAAACAGAGAGGCTAACAATTCTGAGTCTATGAATACTTAATTGTTTTTAATTATTGCTTTTCCCATTTTTATTTAGAGATTTATTTATCTCTAAGCCGCTTCAAGTCCCTGAAAGGGAAAAAAGCGGGACATTCGCACAGTAAATATATGACAGTAACAATAACTATTATAATAAAGCTGCCTCTGGGCATCTGCCCACCCCCCACGACCTACCAAACTGCAAACTTTAAAAAAAATTAGGGAAAGGCCTCCCCTCGCCTGGCGTACCTGACCCCCTGGCTGGCCGGCGAGCGCTGGCAGAGGTGGATGCGGAGCTCCTTGAGGTTCCGAGAGAGGCCGCCCTGAACGACCCGCGCAGCTGAGGAGGCCGCCATCTTGGCACTTGGGGTTCCCCCGCTCCCCGAAGCGCCACCTGCTGGCCAATCGGCGCGTCCCGTTGATTTCTTCTTGTCGTCTTCGCGGCCAATCAGCACAAGGCGACGGGCGTGGCTATGCAAAGTTATTCTGGGGAGTCGCGCGGTATTGTGGGTAAATCAACCCATTACTCAATCAGTCAATGGGGGCACCGAACCATAGACTTAATTAATAGAGTGATACACCAAAGGTGCAATGCGGGTACTTCTAATTCTACCCCCGCCCGACGCCTCTCTCCCTGGGGCTGACTAGAGACCGATCCAACCCATTGGAAACTCAAGATTTCATGCTCGAGTCTAAATGCATATCAGTCAATTAAGACTGGCAAGGCTATTTTCGGGGGGGGGGGGGAGTGAGTGTTTGTGTTGGGGGTGATAGGTGACCACATGAAATAAAGCCCAAGTCAGAAGAAATAGGAACTGCTTATCTTCTTGGTAAACATGCTACATTCCCGGGTGGATTTCCAGCGTCAATTTTCACGCCCCAACCCCATGCCAGGGGAGTAATAATAATAATAATAATAATAAATACTGTACGTGGCTTCCCAAGTAAACCCGGAATTTTGCTATTGAGGCAAATGACAGACAGGTTTATCATATTATGTCTCTCTATATTCTCGGTCTCCGCGCAGGGCGTTGTGGGTCACAGGCTGTGCCCCTTCCGCCGCGCGGTGCCTTGTGGGAAAAGCGAAGGGGTTTCGCTGCGCTGTTGTTGTGTTTCTTTTTACCTCAGGCCCAGACCCGCGGCGGCGAGGGCGAGAGCGAAGATGCCGGAGCGGGAGAGTGAGTGTCTCCGGAGGGGGCGGGGGGCGGGCCGTGTTTCTCCGTGGGGAGGGGGGGATAGAGTTGCCCGCTGAGGCACCGGCCGCGTCTGAGAGAGAGTTTTCGTCTTCTTCTCGGCCGCCGCCTCGCCCCCTCACGCGCCCCCCGGAGCCCCGTCAGGCCCGCTGCGCCCCCGGAAGAGCGCGGCCGTGGATCCGGCGCTTCGGAACTCCCTGCCGCTTGAGACCAGGCCGGCGCCTTGGCCGTGTCCCCCTTTGGGGCGCCTGCCGGAAACAGCCGCGCGCACCCTTCCCACGTTTCAATGGGGGGTTGTGAATCTTCCTCGATTTTATCGCCTCACCTTTGTGTTAAACCGCTCTGAGGGTTTTGTGTTGTTTTACATTTTCTTGAAATACCGGTACATAGATAAATGAATTTAGTTGCGCCTGTGGCACATTGCCTGGGGCTTAATCTGCGGGGTGGCTGGGAAGGAAGGGGGCGATCCTAACTTGGGTAGGCAGTGGCAATCCAGAGCAGCTGTGGGGGAAACGCTGCAGCCCTCCAGGCACTGATGCAGTACAACTCCCATTTTTCTCTTGCCGTTAGCCACATTTTCTGGGGCTGATGGAAATTGTAGTTCAACAACACTGTGTGTGTGTGTGTGTGTGTGTGTGTGTGTGTAGGTTCCTCACCCCTGCTGTTAGAGCCTCCTGCTCTTTGCTAACTTTGTCTCCAGTTGCTTCCTTGCAGCAGAGATAGCAGCTGGTCACACAACTCATTGCAGAGCTGCAAATGTGCGGTCTCTCTGACACACTGAAGTTACATCTTCATTGTTTGTTTGTTTCTTTTTCTCTGGCTGGTTTCATTTCTGAATGAAAACCCTGTAATAATCTGTGCAAATGGTGTGTTTACATGTTTGGCAGCACAGCATGTGTATCGCATTGGCTTGAAATCACTTCTTTTTCTTCTTTCTAGGTGAGCCGTTCTCTAATCCTCTGGCCCCAGATGGCCATGAGGTGGATGATTCTCATTCCTTTCACCAGTGAGTAGAACTTTTCGTTATGTTTTGTGTTGGTTCAAGCGTCCTATTTTTATGCAAACTTTTTCAGCAGGGGGCTGGTCCACTGTCCCTCAGACCTTGTGGGGGGACTGGACTATATTTTGAAAAAAAATATGAACAAATTCCTGTGCCCCACAAATAATCCAGAGATGCATTTAAAATAAAAGGACACATTCTACTCATGTAGAAACACGCTGATTCCCAGTCCGTCCGCAGGCTGGATTGAGAAGGCGATTGGGCTGGATCTGGCCCCCAGGCCTTAGTTTGCCTACTCATGGGTTAGCCAATAGATGCCTGCTTTTTTGTTTTTTATTTGCTTGCAGAGGTTTTTCAGTCCATACAAGCATGTTGGCTATTTGGTATCATAAAATGGAATTTGGAAAGTTTTTGTCCTTCAGTAAATCTTGTACCATGGTGTGTTGAAGGCAGGATAAAATATTGTGGGGGTTTTTTGGCAGTAAATCACAATTGTTTTTATTCTAGATCTAAACTGACCAATGAAGACTTCCGAAAACTTCTTATGACCCCACGAGCAGCTCCAACATCTGCACCACCTTCCAAATCTCGCCATCATGAGTAAGCATGTAATTTCTGTACTACTTAACAAAACTTTGTTGAGGTCTTTCTCCCTGTCCCCCGCCCACCCCTGGTCAGCTGGTACATACTTATTCAGTACTTTGGCATAAGCTTGTGTATTCTGTATAATTTGGGCACAAAATCGAAAGAAACTAAATTGAGAATTAGGTATCTAATGAGGCCAATACATTGGTCTTAAAACAATAGTGATAATGCTTGGCAATAATATAACACTTCAGAGCAGCAGTATTGTTTTTAGTACCCTCTGGATGTTGCTGGATTATAACTCTCATCACCCTAATCATTGGCCATGCTGGTTAGGCCTGATGGGAGTTGGCTACCAAGAGGGCATCAAGTTGGCTACTCCTGCTTTTGAGTGTTCAAAGCATTTCACATACAATTATATCAGTCCTTACAGCAATGAGAGATAAGATAGTATTATCCCAAATTGTTAATGAGATGGGCAGAGACAGAGAGAACGCTACCATATATGACTGGGGCAAAATTTATTTTGGGGATTTTGCAGCTCCTATGTTTTGCCAGGATGCTACCTAGCTATCGAAATCTATATGCAGATCTTAAAGTATCCTCAAAACTTTCATGGTCACCTTTGGCTTCCTTTGAATGAGCTAGTTGTTTTATTAAATGGCATGAAATGACCTATCCCAAGCATGTTCCTAGCACACGGTCTCAAAGTTGGGCATTCTGTGAGCACAATTTTTTCTCCTGTTTAGGATGCCAAGAGAGTACAATGAAGATGAAGATCCAGCTGCTCGGAGGAGAAAAAAGAAAAGGTAAATTGAGAGATTTTGATCCAAAGCTTTCCTAAGGCCCTGATGTTTCCTTAATGTGGAGGGAAAATCCTAAATAAAAACCCTGCCAGAAAAAGTCAGGCTCTTGGCTGTCTCCTCGCTAAGAGAGGGATACCCAGTGATTAGTTGACCTTAAAAGAAATATTGTGCCTTATTATCCCCATTGAATTACCTTCTGTATAGTTGTGGTAATGGACATCTTCAGAAATACCTGGAAACTTAGTTTTCAGTGCTTCTGCCATCTTGACTTTTACCCTTGTTGTAGTGCTGAGATTACACTTGTGACTTCAGTCAGTGATTCACTTGGAGCTTGGTGGGGTATTGCTTATCCTCTTGATCTTATTAGATCTTTCTGTGGCCTTTGAAATCATTGAGCAGGAAGTATTGGTGACATGTCTACAAAGCCTGTAGCCATGTGCCATCACTTCAGGGAGGCAGGATCCAGAAAAAAGGCATTTAACTGGAGATGCCAGAGACAAGCCTTCACGATTCTAGCTATTATCTCTGAAGCTGTTAAGAGAACTGGGAATTCTCTTATAATACCATGGTCTGAATATTTCAGTGATAATCGGTTTGTTTTTCTCACGCCAGCTACTATGCAAAGCTACGCCAACAAGAGATTGAGCGAGAGAGGGAGCTGGCTGAGAAATACAGGGACCGTGCAAAGGAGAGAAGAGATGGTGTCAACAAGGATTACGAGGAAACGGAGCTGATCAGCACAACTGCTAACTACAGGGCAGTGGGACCCACTGCAGAAGCGTGAGTGCAGTCACTGTTTTTGCCTTTCTGCTTTGCAATACAATGTAGCTCTGGTGTCATGGAGTTCTTTTTATTGCATTAGGGACAAATCAGCTGCAGAAAAGAGGCGGCAGTTGATTCAGGAGTCCAAATTCTTGGGTGGTGACATGGAGCACACTCACTTGGTGAAGGGTCTGGATTTTGCTTTGCTACAGAAGGTAAGCCAGATGATACAATCAATAGTAAATCAGCAATTCTCATGTTTGAGAACCTCTTCCCCATGTGTTCAGTGAGATCTCCAATAATGTATGTTGTTGATAGCTAAATTGCTATTCCCTTTGCCACCATTCCATATTTGATATGTAATATCTGTTCCTTTAAGAATTTTTTACTTCTGTTTGATCAAGAACACTATGATAATCTATGTAATATTAAACTTGTCTGGAATTTTGGAATAACTCTGGATTATGTTCTCTGCTTTAAGAGCTAATTAATTTTCTGCAATGCTTTTTCTGAAGAACGTCTTTCATAAATCTTCAGTGTCTTTTATTGGCTGCTAGAGATTTGGTTGTTAAGAGATTGTTGTTGGTTGTTAAGTTATGCAGTTGGCCTATAACTGCATAAGATAAACTACTTCATATATGTGGTCACCTGGTACTTCCTCTGTCTGAATGGCCACTGACTGTATTTTTCAGATGCGAATAAAGTAACAGGTGGGGAAATTTGACTTTATTCAGCCTCCACCTTGTTCTGGTAATTTATCTCTTCCTGAAGGGATTAAGGCTATTATAAATAAATAAACAGTACTGTTGATTTGTTTTTCAGTTACAATGTTGTTTATAAATTATTTATAGTTTAGGGTAGCATTTTTAAAGTCTTCATTGAGTTTTCCAACATACACTGTATACAGAGCACACATGGTGTGATAAAAATCACACCCACCCAAAATTAGTAACAAAACCAGGAGTAACATAACACTGACACAGTCTTATACAAATAATTTCAGGTTCATATACTCTGTGTAGATCAGCAATTGATACTGCCACACAGGTAACTCCAGAGCAACATACATTCCTTTGCCGACGTGTAAGATAAAGGGCATCTAAACCTTATCCAATTTGTTGGGTTTTGGGACTCTGCTAGCATTTTGAAGAAAATTTCTCTCTGGTCAGGTGCGTGCTGAGATTTCCAGCAAAGAAAAGGAAGAAGAGGAACTGATGGAGAAGCCCCAAAAAGAAACCAAGTAAGTGGTAACAAGACAAACTCTGGCTTGTGACTTTCTAGCTCAGGCATAGGCAAACTCCAGCCCTCCAGATGTTTGGGCCTACAATTCCCTTCATCCCTGACCACTGGTCCTGTTAGCTAGGGATGATGGGAATTGTAGTCTTAAACATCTGGAGGCCCGGAGTTTGCCTATGCCTGTTCTAGCTTAACAGAGAATGTAGTCTAGAGAAGAGGCATATTATATCTATTCATTTTGTTTCTCCTTTAGAAAAGATGAAGATCCAGAAAACAAAATTGAATTCAAGACTCGTTTGGGTAGGCATGTTCATATATGTTCTATGAAGCTTGGTTGCAATGTTGTGATTATCACGGTACCATGAGCAAGTAACTAAAATATTCTAGTGTCACCAAATCCCCATCCTTCCTAGGTCGGAACATCTACCGAATGCTATTCAAGAGCAAGGCATATGAGCGAAATGAGCTCTTCCTGCCAGGGAGGATGGCGTATGTGGTGGATCTTGATGATGAATATGCAGACACAGATATCCCTACCACCTTGATCCGAAGCAAGGCAGATTGCCCTACCATGGAGGTATAAATTATGAATGCTTTCTCTGAATGAGCAGGTGCGTTTCTTGTTGTGTGTATGATGAGGCACACATTATCTATTGGGGTCTGATACCTTTGACTTTCCTTCTAGGCCCAAACAACACTGACTACAAATGACATCGTTATCAGTAAACTGACCCAGATTCTTTCCTACTTGAGGCAAGGCACTCGTAACAAAAAGTTGAAGAAGAAAGACAAAGGTGGGCCTTGTATTTTGGGATCTGACGGGATGTACAGATCTGACGGGATCTTTTCCCATAAGCACAAGGGGCGTTGAAGGGAAAGTGTCATTAAAATTTGTACAAATTAAACAAATGGCAGGGAGACACCATAGTTTTGCTTATCAGAATTCTGATGCTAGTGTTGTTGTTTTTTACCCAGCAGGGGTGAGTTCCTAGTTCAGGAAACCACTTAAAATGGAAAAATTAGGGTGAACTGTACTTAATCTGCATCTTCTTGCATCTTCGAGAGGTGAAGAGGCACAAGCTGAGTGATCTCAACTGTCAAGCATGTAGTTTCACATGCCACAATGCACAGATGCCACATATATCTGTAGCATAATGTTTTCATTATCCCCTCCTAAGACAACAAAGCTGAAACAGATAACATGAACACAGAAGTAGGTTTATTCTGACTTCTTTCTGTTTGTAGGAAAACTAGATGAAAAGAAACCTCCAGAAGCAGATATGAGGTAAGTAAGCTACTTTTGCTGGGTGGATTATCCTCCAGGGTTTTAGCAAGACTCCTTTTAATTGCATTTGGCAACCTTGACGAGAAGCTCTTACTTGGTTGAAATGAGAGGTCTTGAAAGCTCCTCCAGCAGACCTTGGGAGGGATGATGGGAATTGTAGTCTTAAATATCTGGAGGGCCGGAGTTTGTCTATTAGAAAGTGGGCTAATTTTGGCTTATCACTCTCCCAGAGCGCAGGAAACAGTAATATTTTAGCAAGAAGAAGCCACCTTAGGATCCATTAGATTGGTAGCAGGATTGATTGATGGAGTAATTTGTTCAAGGAGCCTGTAAGAAATGTTCTACTGTTTTTGAGGCTAGTGTATATTTATGTTTCATGCCTTTTTAATTTGTATCTTTTTGGCAAAAAGTATTTTTGAGGACATTGGTGATTATGTGCCGTCTGCGGCAAAAGTGCCACGAGAGAAGGAGCGTGAGCGGTACAGGGAACGGGACCGAGAGCGGGAAAGAGAGAGAGAGCGAGACAGGGAACATGAGAGAGATCGTGAGCGCGACCGAGAGAGAGAGCGTGAACGTGAGGAGGAGAAGAAGAGGCACAGCTACTTTGAGAAACCCAAAGCTGATGATGAGGTGAGCAGACAGTACTTTGGCCATGAAAACTTTCTATACTGCCCTTCCTCCAAGGGTCACAGAGCTGGTTACAACATAAAAACACAAAAATGCATAACATGGTAACAAACAAAAAACAACCACCCACATTTAAAAGGACATAGATGGTTTAATCAGCTGGAAGAAGAGGAATGTTTCTGCCTGGCACCCAACCACTACTGGGATAAAATGGGTATAAAAGCCACCTAGAGGTAGGGATAATTTGATACTGGTGATTTGTTTTAAATAAGTTGAGACCATGTGTTAAATGGTGCAGATTTTCCAGTCTGGGCTCAGGATGAATATTTTGGCAAGGGAGAGAAGGCAGTGGAGTATACTGTATGTATGGAGAAGAATTAGCACTTAACAGGCCTGCACCACTTCACCCTGCTCCCAACAAAAGACTGATGTTCATCTTGCTTTTTAGTTGCCATGTTAGAGTAATGTGCTCTTTCTTTCCTCCTTAGCCTATTGATATCGACAAAGGTATGCTTCTTTAATTGGTTTTTCACAATTTTATACATTTCATACATTAAAATAAAAGGTTCTTTTGAACCAAAGGTATGCTTCTTCTTAACCTTCTTATGAAACTGTTTCCAGGACCTGGCTCAGCCAAAGAGTTGATTAAATCAATCAATGAGAAGTTTGCTGGAGCAGGTGGCTGGGAAGGGCCAGAATCATATCCTTTTTATATGCATATACAAATGTGTGCTGGCACTGGGTGCAAATAGCTACAGTTGGCTGTTTGGTTTATCTTTACTAGCCTCTTTTATAGAAAATTGTCTCTCGCTCTAGGCTCAGACCTTCATTTGAAGGTGATATTTTCCTCTTGTGTAGTTGGGAAAGCTCCAGAAGACACTGGTCCTTTAAACAGAAGCATTTCGTTTTAAGTATTCAGTTGTTGTTCATAGGCGATCCTTTCCCCATCTTTCCTTTTTGAGATCCATGTGTTTCAAGTGACCAAGAAGCTGCTGGCTACTGGCTTCTGAGAGCAAGATGGGATGGGAAGATTTCCTTGCCTTGAACTAATACGGTAGAGTGTTTTAATTACCACTGTGAGACAAACAAGTGTAGGGAAAAGGTATTTCCAAATACCTGTAACTTGCCTCATGTGCTGCTGGTGTCCATAAAGAAGTAGCTGCTATAGATGGAGAATTGGAGCAATAAGTGGGGAGGGTCCATCTCTTGCCATCAAATTTTGGGGCCATTAACTCCTTGGCTTGCGAAGGAGAAATGAGGGACTTGGTTGACTCTTAAGGACTGCTTTTCTATTCTCCTGTCATCTCATATCGATCTAAACTCCCCAATTACTTTGGGTGACAACACTTTCCTATGTCAGATGCTTTCTGACCCTAGATATGCCTGTATTATATTTTCCCTTAACTTTGGGCACATTAAAAAAGCCTGAAGACAAAAAGCAATTGGGCGACTTCTTTGGGATGTCAAACAGCTATGCTGAATGCTACCCTGCAACGTAAGTATTCCTCGAAATGGGATGTGGGCTCTGGGGAACCACATGAAGCCAAGCAAGATATTTCTTGCTTTACCCTAATGTTTAGTGGACAATATTAAGGGCAGCTGTTTGCAGTATTTGTAATTAAGTACTCCTCTTCACTGGCAAGCTAATTATATTTATCTGGAGTCTTTGCAAATTGGTGAAACTTGGAATTATGCAGACTTGGGGCTGCAAGTATAAATAAGAGCTTCCAATTGTATCCCTTTTCTTTTTAGCATGGATGACATGGCTGTGGATAGTGATGAAGAAGTAGACTACAGCAAAATGGATCAGGTAAACTGTCAATTGGTTAGCTTCAAGATAAGCATTTCTACTTCGGGGTGGGGCTGATATTTGGGGGAAATATTATTAGTTGTGATATCTCCTAAAGTGTAGATTGCCTAAGATTTCACATGACTCTCATTTCCCATTGGACTGTGTGGTGGCAGCTCCTCACACTCTGGCCTGGCTTGTGGCAGAATGAAGTGTGTAGATTTGATTCTACTGCTTCAGGCTGCGTGTGTGGGATTAATCCTGCCCCCACCCCAGGTGCTCCTCAATATAACAACCAACCTCCTTGCAAGTAGAAAACTCTTATAGCAAGGGTCAAAGTGGTCTTAAACGTTCCTCTTTGGCATGATAGTTGTGGGGAGTCCAGTGCAATTTTGGGTTGCTGTTTCTTATGGAGGCCTGCAGAAATATGGTTCTCCTACACGGATACATTAAGTTTATATTTTTTTCCTCTCTCCTCAAGGGAAATAAAAAGGGACCCCTTGGTCGCTGGGACTTTGACACACAAGAAGAATATAGCGAGTACATGAATAACAAAGAGGCTCTGCCCAAGTAAGTTTGCCACTTGTCCTGAGGGTAAGAATGGGAGAAGCAGAAGCAGTGGGTTATGGTGGGTCCAACATTTTAGCCTTTTGGGAGAACCCTACAAGTCAGCTGCTTCCTGTAACATTGGTGGGAATGTATATTTAGACCATGGGAAGGCTTTTTTGAACCTAGCCTTCCTGCTGAAGGAATTTTACCTCCATTTTAGAGTTTTTGCTGTTTTATCCTAGAGCGGCTTTCCAGTATGGAATTAAGATGTCTGAAGGCCGTAAGACACGTCGTTTCAAGGAGACCAATGACAAAGCAGAGTTGGATCGGCAGTGGAAAAAGATCAGTGCGGTGAGCATTTTGAGCAGAATGACTCTTTAGTTATATTCCCTTTTCCCATCTTAATGTGCAGTTTTTTCAGAACTTTATTCAGAGTACCACTGACACTTTCCTGAGTTTATTTTAAGATTAAGAGGAGAATGGATCTTTGGCCAGCTTACTCAGTCACATGCGTATATTTTCTCCGTCTTTGTGTATTGGTCTTCAGTATTCCCAAGTTGTTCTATGGTCCTGTTTATTCTATTGCCCAGCAAGGAAAACAATGCCTCCTCCTATAGAACTTGTAGACTGTTCATCTGCTTTCCCTTGTGTAACAGATCAAATGCTGATCTAGCCTGCTAGAAATCAGTTGTTTTCTGTTACGTGTTGTTGCATGCTCCTTTGCTAAACCTTAGTACCTTCCTAACATAGGAAGCTTTAAAAGTTGTGGGTTGTATCTAATGGAAGTGGTTTGGTTTGTGCAGTGGAACTGCCCTGTGCCAGTGCTGCCCCCAAACCTGCTACTGAACAGATCTGAGAGGCATGGGGGGGGAGGGGAAGTTTGTTGTGCAAGTGGAAGTCCTTGCGCAAACTTAATTATGTCATTGGATACAACCCTGTATACATAATACAGTAATTGTAATGCGGTGATTTTAACTTCTCTGCAGATCATCGAGAAAAGGAAGAAGTTGGAGGCTGATGGGTTAGTAGAAATGCTTTTACTTGAGAATCTGTTGCTGTATGAGTGCTACTCCTAGAGTCCACTCCCTGCTGTGCACTTGCCCTTATGGGTCTTCAGCAGAGTGCTGTGACTTAGTTTTGGTGGTCTTGTGATCCAGGGGGTGAGGGTTCAGCATGTATGAACTGAGGAATATTCGCCTTGAAGGTTTTTGCTCTGACCCATGCATTTTTTTTCACATTCCTAAAAAGTGAGGCCAAATTACACCTTTCACAAGTCCAATTGTCCAGACCCCCAACTATGATTCATTAACTATGGGGTGCACATAAAACTGAAATAGGGCCTCACCTTTATTCTGTCATCTCTGTACTCTGTAGAGTTTTGCCCATGCAATTTATCTGTTATTTCATCCACCCCTTTACGGTTTTATTGCTGGCAATATGCGGGTGCCGATAGATCACAATCCCACCGAAATTACCTGCCCATTCAGTCTTCACCATGTCAGCCTTGTACAAAGGCTGAAGCTCTTCTCTGGTCCTTTAGTTCTGATGCTCTGCTTGTAACTGCATTCTAGCAGAAGCCTTGTCTCTGCAGTACTCGTTAGCTGTGAAGGAAAAGGCACTTGCCAGAAGGATTCTTTTGTATGTTTTAGTAACTTTGCATGTTACCATCTCTGAGGTTATGCAAGGCCATATTTTGTTTTCATGGCTTGAAAAGGCGATATGTATTACTGCGCACAGTGCAGATTCTTCGCATTAGTGAGCATGTCTGCTTCTGTGATGGAGTGCAACTCTGAAGATTTGAGTACAAGCCTGAAAGAGTTGAATTAGTGCTGAAGTCCCACTGATTGTAAATTTTACTTCCTGCAAGCTGTATTCTGTATTGGACTCTTCTGTATTATGTGTCTCATAAAATGTCTGTATTTTCAGGGTTGAGGTGAAGAGACCAAAATATTGAAGTTACTGTGAACGCCTGGCCCCTTCAGCTGTATTGGAGATGGGGCTTTGATGGAAGTGTTTAGATCTTCTTCTTGCTCTGGAGCAAAGCTCTCAGAATCATGTCTTGGGCATATAAGCACAAAGGGCAACTGCTGAGTCTGCTGAGGAACCTTCTTGCCACATCTCCTTGTCCTGTATTGGCAGCACTGGTGCCTGTTCGCTGGGAGCCTGTACTTTAGGTTTTTGTGGCTTGTAATCCTTTTAGGTGCAATAAAATCTCTTATTGATGTCTGTATTACAAACCTTTTGATCTTTTTCTTTTCTTGTAAACAGTAATGCAGTTACACTTTCCTTGAATAGTATGATGGAGTGGGGGGGTGTATTTGCTTTTGGAAAGTAATGATTTCTTCATTCTATTAAAAGCATTACGGCAAGCCTTTCTTGAGTTGATCGTTAGAATATGATGTCAATCAATAATGTTCTGCAGTGTCTTTACGTTTTTCTCCTCACTCTCAGCTCATTAATGTCTCTAGGGGAGTGTTTATAAGAATACTAACAGATTGCAGAGAAGAAAAGGAAACATTTGGATACAGTTTAATTAAAAATAATAATTTCCCAAAAATAACATGACAGGGAGGTAAACAGCAGGTTAACAGCAATTTTATATACTAACTAGCATGTCTTGATCAGATACAACAGGGATTGTGTGTACTTCTGTTACAGTCATACCTCATGTTACGTTTTTTCAGGTTGCGTCCCACAGCAACCCAGAAGTACCAGAAAGGGTTACTTCCGTGTTTTGCCGCTCGCACAGACGTGCAAAATGAAGTCATGTGCATGCGCAGAAGCGGTGAATCGCAACCCGCGTGTGCACAGACGCGCCACTGCGGGTTGCGTTCTATTCATGTTGCGAGCGGGCCTCTGGAATGGATCCCGTTCGCAACCAGAGGTACTACTGTACTTTTATAAATGTTACATAAATCAGCTCTATTTGAATAATATTTACATAACTTAAAACCGTCTACCAGGCATTGGTGTGGAAAACTGCAGAATAAATCTGGTCTTTTAACCACACAGTTGAGATACTCATCTGGCTTCTATTATAAGTAACCATATTAGGGTTAGAAACTCAAACTGGCAAGTAATCAATCAGGCCAGTTCCCTCTTCCTCTTGACTTTTCCTTTAACACCCTTGACATTCCATAGTTATTGGATGTTCTCAGCATCTTCTTCAACGAACAGTTGGGCTTTTGGGCTGGCATACATGACAGATAATACAGGTGCTTGGGTGCCTGTCCCACTCTTGGCAATTGGTGGGCAAAGTGGTGGCAGGAGACGAGCCATAGTTTCACTTGGTCAACAAAGTCTCTTAAAAAAAAATCTAGTTACAGGTAGGTAGCCGTGTTGGTCTGCCGTAGTCGAAACAAAATAAAAAAATTCCTTCCAGTAGCACCTTAGAGACCAACTAAGTTTGTTAAATCTGTTCATTTGGTCATGAAAAAGGAAGGCTGAAGCACACTGGCTGCTTCCTCATTCTTGGGCTTTTGTAGAAAGGCAAACACTAGAAGTTTAGATATGGAAGTGTATAAATCAAAAGTACATTCATTTCAATGAAGTTGAGGCAAAAAGATCAATTTCTGTGGGATTTGGAGCACCACCGATTCAGAGCTGTGGTGTGAGAAAACACATCCTTGAAGGACACAAGAGGCTGCTTATAGGGATAAAGTATCCCCCTTTATCAAATCCCTACACAAACTTCATTTTCATTTTCTCTCTTCTAGCGCAAATGTGAAGCAAATTTAGACTTACCTTGTCCCACTGGTAGTGTGATTAAAAAGTTCATTTGGAACTGCATGAAAGTCAATTGAGCACATAAATTCCAGGTAGGGGGTACTTCGTGACCAACAGCTGACAATATGAAAGCTAAGAGGGTGTGGGAAATTGGGTGAAGGATCTAATGTATATGCAGCCAAATGAGATCTATCATGAAGTGTCATGAAACGCTGGGTGGGAAGTCAAATAGATTTATTGTACAGGAAGTCGAACAGAATCCGTTCCGGAAGTCTGTTTGACTTCCAAAACATTCGGAAACCAAAGCACGGCTTCTGATTGGCTGCAGGAAGCTTCTGCAGCCAATTGGTAACTCTGGAAGCCCTGCCAGACATTTGGGTTCCAAAAAAACGTTCGGAAACCAGAACAATCACTTCTGGGTTGAAGTGTGTAGGAGCCAAAACCAAGGCGTTTGGGACCCAAGGTACGACTGTATATAGTATGGAAAAGAAGATGTAACTGAAAACTGAAAAAACATGAAAGTTTTTTTTTTTTTTTTAAATCAACCGAGCACAAGGCTTCTGTGCACTGTACAACTGGTGCTGGATATCGCTGGGTGGGTGAGCTTTGGAGGGAGCTATTTAACGTTACGTTTGTTTGCATAATATGGCATCACTTGCACTTTCCCCTTCATCAACAATATGATTTTGGTGGTATACTGAACCAACATTCAAGTGAATGGCAGCAGCATTGCAACAGCATTTTAAAGCAGTTTTTAAGCACGGTCCAAACTACATACCTTTTAAAAAAAAATTTTTACAAAAGGGTTTTTTCGGGTGGGGTGCAGGAGATGCCTGCATAGTTAATCATAACAGCAGTGGGGCTTCAGAAGGGAGTGATTAGCTCAATGCTGGCAGCAACAAAAAGCCTATAGCTGCCCCTGCCACCGTTTCAACTGGAAGACTGGATAATGATGGTTTTCTTCACTATGGTATTGCTATACGTGTGTAATTCTGGATTGCATTACAGTGTTGCTGTAAACCTCTCTGCTTCAGTTCTACCTCAAATGCATTACGTAGCATGCTCAATCTCTGAGCTGCTCTGGTGCACAATGCTCTTCCACGATTTGTTTGTTTGTTTGTTGTGGGGAAGGAAGGGAAAGGGGAATTGTTAGCTGCTTTGAGACTCCTTAGGGAAGTGATAAAGCAGGATATCAAATCCAAACTCTTCTTCTTCACTGCTACCAGAGAAATAATATGGATGGATTGCATTGATTTTTCCTGATCTGAACTATAAAATGGTGATTTTCTTGAGTCAAAATGAGAGTACCTACCTCTGAAGATTTTTTTTAAGAAAAAATGCACTGTGAACATCACTTCATAGCATTTACACACTGCCTTCCACCATCAGCAACCAGAATCTCTCACACAACTGGGTCAGAAAGAGCATTATTTGGGCAACACAATAGTTTCTTTACTACTATTTATAATTCCTTGGAGGAGTTCCCTGCACTGCAGGGGGCTGGACCCTGGGGAATCCCTTCCAATTCTATAATTCTAGGACCATAAATTAAATCCAATCGACATCAGTCAGAAAGCGCAGTAATTGCGGAAAAACAAGATTTCTTATGGACAGATCGCACAATATAAGTCATAACCCAGTTTTCACGAATCCGGCTACCAACCTTCCAAACAAAACTGGCATTACACAAGGAATCAAATTGCCGCCTCCCGCTTTCAGGCGTTGAACTCTCCGCCTCTAATCGCATCTGCGAGGCCGGGAGGGAAATCCCTCCTCCGCGCCTTCCTCTCCGCCCTCCGGCCCCGCGCCGGCGCCAGCATTTCCGGGCGCATCTGCCGGAGCAAGACGCGCGTGCGTAAAAATGGCTGCGCCCGAGCAGGTGAGTGCCGCTCCGGAGCGCCTCTTGGCAACTAAGCGGAGACCCCTCCGCCTTTGCCAGAACAAGACCCCGGTGCCCACCGGGGGCCAGGGGTGGCTGCCCGCCCGCCCGCCCGCCCTCCCTGCGGAGGCTTGCCCGAGCGGCGGGCTGCCTTTTCCCGGCCCTAGAAGAGGCTCCGCGAGCCTCGCGTGCTGCTGGAGAAATGCGCCCCCAAAGAGGGAGATAGTCGGAGAAAGGCGGGGTTGCCTCCGTGGCCTCTCGAGCCGCCGCTTTATTTACTTATTTTTGCACTTACCGGTAATTTATTTATTATTAATGTTGCAATACATATATGAAATCTTTACATATTGATACATATACGTTATATTCGTAAATTCACATTTTCCCATTTCATTATGTACCAACATTTATCCATTTCTTATTTCTTGCCCTGTGTCATCCCTCCACCCGTGGGTGACTTCCTTGTTATTATTTTGTAATTTTATTATTGAGATTGTAATTTTGTATCTTAATAATTAAACATTCAATCTTCTTATATCTGCTTAGATTAGCTTAACTTAACTTTGTTGGAGCATCTTTTGGTCATGTATTCTTCTACACATTTCCATTCCTGTTTGAGATTTGGATTAGACTGCATTCTAATTGTTGCCGTCCTTTTTGCTAATTCAATCATTTCAAAAAAATTGTTTTGCCAATCTTTCAATGTTGGTACTTTAAGGGGAAGCCACGCACACCTTGGGGGCGTGGGCTGAATCTGGAATGTAAAAGGTTCCCCGAGTCTCTTTTGGTGCCATGTGGATTGCAGCATGCGAGACCTACATCATCATCATCATCATATTTTATTTATACCCTGCCCTTCCCGGTTCAAAAAACCAGGCTCAAGGTGGATAACAACAAATTTAAAGCACTTCATTGTAAAAGCAACATAAAATACAGTATAAAAACATGAATAACAATGAAATTCAAAATTCAGAAATTAGTTTAGGGGAAATAAGCATTAGATAATCACCAAGGCTAGCTGGCTAAATTGGTCCTACTTGGGCCAGCGAGGAGGCCAGGGGAGAATTAGCTGTGGGATCCCAGAGCGGGTGATCTTCATAAAAAGGGGAGAGGGAAGGAAGAGAAGGGAAATAAAAGATCAGGCTGAATTCAAATTAAAGGCCAGGCGGAATAGCTCTGTCTTACAGGGCCGATGGAAGGAGGTTAAATCCTGAAGGGCCCTAGTCTCATGGGACAGAGCATTCCACCAGGTCGGAGCCATCACTGAAAAGGCCCTGGCCCTGGTGGAGGATGATCTGACTTCCTTAGGGCCCGAGACCTCTAAACTATGGTTATTCATGGACCTTAAGGTCCTCTGCAGGGCATACCAGGAGAGGCGGTCCCGTAAATATTTGTCTTGGAAGAGGCAACACTTCATTCTAGGTAATTGTGTTAAAAGTGTTCAATAAAAGTTTGTAATTTAAAAGAGAGAGGGTTTTTGCCCCCTAGCTGGTAACTCCGCCCCCTCCCCCGCCTTGCAGAATGCAGAATACACACATACGCCAATTACAACGTTTCAGCACTGCAGGAGCAAAACTGGGGGCAAGAGTGTTACCGTAAGTTCTGTGATGCCTTTGTCAGCTTTGCTAACTATGCAATGAGATGACTCACCAGCTTAATGTGAGAGGCATTGCAGAGGAGATGTAGGCATCAGCTGGTCAGATGAGAATGTGGTGCACAAGAGAAATCTGGCTTTAAAAAAATGCTTGGCAGGGTCAAGCCAGTGACGTTCGTGTTACTTGTCCAAATGCCCCATCTCTGGATGTTTGGATTCGAGACCCCATTTAATACTGCGGCTGTGGCATTCAGCGTTTTGTGTGACCTTGATCTAAACTAGAGCAGGAGCCTGGGATGTTTCCGTTAGTGAATGGATAACAAGGTTCATGAATGTATACCACAGATCAGGAAAGGTACTGCCAGTGCAGTTAAAGAGCAGAGTAGAGAAAGCTGTTTTCCTTCAGAAAACGGAAATCCTCTGCTTGAGGAGAAGAAAAAAGGAACACAAACTTTAGCCAAAGAAAATGCAAGCAGACAATAAGGGATTTTTAGAAAAATAATTGAAGGAGCATGTTGCTGAAAATAAAGATTGTCAACAACAAAAATATTTGAATACATTATATGCAGGAAACAGGGAAGGGGGTGGTTGGAAATTTGGATAAGGAAGTCTCTAAATACCCGTTGCTGAAAACTGCAAAGGAGGAGGGTGCAGTTGTGGACTTTTCCTATGTTTTTACGTTCTTACTAGGTGGCTGTGCTGATTCAGACATGTATGGCAATCAGCTCTTGCTGTATAATTCATGATTGGCATAGATTGAACATTTCTAGTCTGACTCCAAAGGAAAGCACAAAGCAAAGGTAGTTGTTTTGGCCCATTATAAAAATTCCATAATCCATAGTATAGCAATTTTGGTTGACCTAATAAAGGTGTTTGCCTACTATATATTTTGGAATTGCACAAAAAAACAAAAAAATCAGAAAGTTCTATGTTGGTAAATCAAGACCCATCAGCGGTTGGTGAAGACCAGGCATGTCTAAACCAGTTCTGAATAGATCAACCAATATATAACATAGTGCCTATGATGGTGACCTCTGAAAGTTGAGGGTTGTAGGGTCTCTGCGGAGTTCTGATTCTTCCCTTTTACTCCCCACCAAGGCATATTCAAGTGAGGAGGAAACAGAACCTGAGCCCAGACCTCGAGACACTCCTGAAGACATTTCCCTTGAGGCAGCAGCAAACACCGTCGCTTTCCACCCTTGTCGGGATGTCCTAGCAGCTGGAGACGTGGATGGTGATGTCTATTTGTGAGTACAGCTGCTCTGAGAAAAGTACTGATGGCGTAACTGGGTGAGCCCTTATGGGGGCGATGCAAGAATGAAACCCAAAGAGTGCTCCCCCTTCCCATATCAGTAGTCCAGCAAGATAGAGGACTTACATTGTCGGTTTGCACTATAGGGAAAACCTATCATGACCTAGTTATCTGATGAATGAGAATCTCCTGCGTAAGAGAGCTTGGTGATGGAGCTGTTCTAGAGCCTTTTTCTACCCATCACCCCAGTTGCTGGCAGAAAATGCGTTCTGCAGCCAGATGAAGGAATGCCAAGAAAACTTTGCAAATATTAATAATATTCCACTTGCAAGTTTTTTGTTCCTTCATCTATTCATATAATATCAAGGGCTCATAAGCAGGGCATGAAGGAACAGCTTTCATGGCTGCAGAACTGGGGAGTTTCAAGACACAATCCTACAGATATCTAGCTTGCCCTTCCTTTCAAAAATAAAATAAAATAAGGTTGTTATAAATTTTTGTTGTGTACCATATCTGAGACTGAAATTCCCTTTTCTTCTTCCTCCTCTTCTTCTTCTTCTTTGAAATCCCCTTTCAACTCTTCTGCCAATCTTCCTGCAGTACAAATTTCATCTTAAAGTATAATTTTTCCAGTTGCTTTCAACAGGTTCTTTGATTATCCCTCCACCTTTTTCTATATTTCAGATATTCATATTCCTGTTTGGAAGGTGGGAACAAGGAGCTTTGGTCTTCAGGACATCATTTAAAATCCTGCCGGGAAGTGTCCTTTTCCCATGATGGACAAAGTGAGTACTTCCCTCTTTGGGGCTCGTTTATTTCATGGTTCCTAATTATGCAGTGTCTTGGAGACGCCTTCACTAGAACAATGAGCTTCCTCTGCTTATCATCCTGGAGAAGGAGTGTTAAGACTGCAATCCCAGGCACACCTTTGTGGGATTAAGCCCCCTTGAACAGAATAGGATTTCTGAGTAAACCTGTATAAATCTGTTTTAATCCCAGTAGGAGAAAAAGTTTAGAGTAAACTTTTTAAAAATGCATTATGGCGTGACAATTTACTAGATATTTAAGTTAATTCCAAAATAGCAAGCAAGTACCGTATGTTGGCTGTTGATCACAATAACAGGCAATGCAATTTCATGCTGGAGAACATTACATACATTGCTTTTTTTCTTAAAAAAATGTTTAGGGGTACTCTCATTTTCCTACTCATATAGAAATACTGACCCTCAATGAGGCCAATCTTAGATTCACAAAATGTTTAGGGATATGTGTCCCCCTGCGTCCCCCCAGAAAAAAGCACTGAATGTATATGTTAACAGATTCTTGAAGAATTATCTGTATGTCATTATTTGCAGATTAACATTTATCTTCAATAAACTTCTGAATAATGCTGGGACAATGTCCTTTGAATATTTCTGGAAAGTCTAATCAAATAAACAGGACTGCTTTTATACTCTGTGGATTTCGATGTGAAGTTCTGGCTATTCTGTTTCAGAAGGGAGTCAGCAAATATTCCCTTTAAGTTGCTGAGTATATCCAGTGATCTGTGTGTTCCTCTCCATTTTCTAGAGCTCTTTACGGTGTCCAAAGATAAATCCATTCATATTCTAAGTGTGGAGGAAGGTCGTCTCGTGACCAGGTTCTCCAAGGCTCACAAGTAAGCATTGGGGACTCCTTGATTGTTTGCTTTTATAGGAGTGCGCTTACTCCTTTCCCTCCAAGGAGCTCAAGGTGGTGTGCCTGGTTCTCCCCCTTCTCAGCAACCCTGTGAAACAGATTAGGCTGGGAGGACATGACTGGCCCTAGGTCACCCACAGAGTTTCAAGCCCTAGTGGGGATTTGAATCTTGGTCTCACTTCCTCGTTCTTCCATCAAGATGGTACTTCCAGTAGCCAGCAGGAAATCCGACTGCAAGGAAGGTTTGTGGATTTCCTGCTGGCTACTGGAAGTACCATCTTGCAAGCGCAAAGGGTTGCTACGCCAGCATCATTGCAAGCAGTCAGCCTCCTGTCATCAACCATCCTGTGGCCTTCATGGCATGTCATTGCAGGGTGGTTGTGACCTAGAAAGCCCTACACAGCTTAGGTTCTGTGTGTGTGTGTGTGTGTGTGTGTGTGTGTGTGTGTGTGTGTGGTTATAATATATATATATATAGAGAGAGAGAGAGAGAGAGAGAGAGAGAGAATATATATATATAGAGAGAGAGAGAGAGTGAGTATATATATATAGTACACATTATATATAGTATATACACACTATAACCTTTCACCACCACTTGGGGGGCAAAGCAGGGCCAGAGATGGTGTGACCTGGGGAAAGTTCTGAGGGCCAAACCAAGAAGCCTTAAGGGCTGCCTTTTGGCCCTGGGCCAGGTTGCCCACCCTTGCTTTAACCCCTACCTGTACCTCTATTGTTATTCCCTTGTACACTTCATTCAGGGTGAGGAGGGAATACTGGGAGCTGGAAGTTGGAGAGCGTTGACCCCTTGAAGTTAATGGACATGACTGACAGGTTCACTATTTTCATCTGCAGTGGGGCCCTCATCATGGTTGACTACAACCCATGATTAGGGCCCAAGTGCAGATGAAGTAAGTCTTGACATCTTTTAGGGAGGGGAAATGAATTTTCTCTTGCTCGTGTGGCTCCCATAATAGGAATGTGCAGAGAAAGAATTCTCTTTGTTCATAGGTTCAGATGATCCTCTCTATCACGCTCCTCATTCTGCCCTTTAGCGCAGTTCCAGTTTGCTTCCCTTCTTCATGGTCCCTCTGTGGGGCTGTTGAGACCTTGCAGAGGGCAACAACTCTGAGAGGGAGTAAGGCACTTGTGTAATATAGTGGCTATCTGTAGCGTGGATTCTGCTGCTACAACTCTGGAATTTCCACAGTTCTGCTCTGAACAGTCTGCTGGTGATAGATGAGCACTTGTTTGCCACAGGAGATGACCGTGGGGAGTTGAAAGTGTGGGATCTGCGCAAAGGCACCTCCATTATGGAGATGAAGCAGCACGAGGAGTATATCAGTGACATGGCCGTCGATGGGAACAAGAAACTGCTGCTCACCACCAGGTACTCCAGTTTAAACAAAGGGATTAGTGGGCTTGATTTATTCTCCCTCGGTGGTGGAGACGCTTTGACTGCAGTGGGAAGCCAAGAGCTGTTAAGAGTCTGCCTCTCTCACACACACACACAATTCTTTTCCAAGGGCCACTGAAATGGATACCTTTGAGATCCTGAAATGTACAGATGCTTCTGGGGGGCAGAACACCAAACTAACTGGAAACACTTGGAGTTTCTGCTGCCTTGGATGCTCTCGATAAGTAAATGATCACTCCATTCTGTTTCTTGCAGCGGAGACGGAACTATGGGAGTCTTCAACATCAGGAGAAGGCGCTTCGAGCTGCTCTCAGAGCCTCAGAATGGAGACCTGTCAGCCATCGCCCTGATGAAGGTCAGCCCTATTACTCCGTGGCCCCTGAGGAGCCGCTGCTGCAGACCTGATAGGGACTGATAAGCTGAACATTTCTGGGAGCAGGGACTTAAAAACATGTTCTTGCCCCCAAAAGTATGCATTGATGGGCAGCATAATATTCCTATTTCATTGCCATTTGCTTTAGACTAAGACAGAAAAAGGCCTTTGGATGGGTACGTCTTATGGTTCTTAGCTGATGGTGAGGGGCAGGGCTTTCCAGCACCTCTCAGGTGGGCACCATTGCCATTCTAAGAGAATGAGGGAGGTGTCCATGGTGAGTTCCAGCCCCTCTTTCTCTAGGAAAATAGCACTGGTGAGGGGAATCATGACAGTGCTTTTTTAGGGTTAAACAGTATTTATTTCTTGTTTGCTGCTCAGAGAGGAAAGAAAGTGGCCTGTGGCTCCAGCGAGGGAACCATTTACCTCTTCAACTGGGATGGTTTTGGTGCTACTAGTGATCGGTTTGCACTGAAGGCGGAGTCCATTGACTGCATGGTTCCTGTAACAGAGAGCATTGTGTGCACAGGCTGCACTGACGGAGTCATCAGGTGAGAGGGCACTGGGTTGTTTGTCAACCTGGGAACCACAGGATTATCTTGAAACCTGTGGGTATAGGGCGATATACAAATTTAATAAATAATAGTGCACATCTCTAGAGGATTGTTGTTAAGATTTGCATCCCCCCCTTTTAAGCTTCATTCTTGCCCCAATTGTGGTTGGTTTATACAGCTTTGTATAGAGTCTGTTGGGACGCGGGTGGCGCTGTGGGTTAAAACAGACCCTAGGACTTGCCAATCAGAAGGCTGGCGGTTCAAATCCCCGTGACGGGGTGAGCTCCCGTTGCTCAGTCCCTGCTCCTGCCAACCTAGCAGTTCGAAAGCACGTCAAAGTGCAAGTAGATAAATAGGTACCGCTCCAGCGGGAAGGTAAACGGCGTTTCCGTGCGCTGCTCTGGTTCGCCAGAAGCAGCTTAGTCATGCTGGCCACATGACCCGGAAGCTGTACTCCGGCTCCCTCTGCCAATAAAGCGAGATGAGCGCCGCAACCCCAGCGTCAGTCACGACTGGACCTAATGGTCAGGGGTCCCTTTACCCTTTACCTATAGAGTCTGTTATGGTAGTGTCTCATTGTTTTGCATGAATTATATTCCATAAAGCAATTAAACCTTTAAAAGGAATTTAGAGCCCTAGAAAGATTCCCTTCCCAACCCTCACCGGAGCATCTTTAAGTGCAGGTAGAATGAATTTCAGGTGCTGTTATGGAGGAGCTGGCTTTTTTCTTAATCAGGCCTTTTCCTGTTGTTTCAGAGCCGTGAACATCTTGCCCAATCGGGTGATTGGCAGTGTTGGGCAACATGTTGGGGAGCCCATTGAGCAGCTAGCTAAATGCCATACAGGCCCATTTCTGGCCAGCTGCGCCCATGACCAGAAGGTAAAGTTCTGGGACATCTCTTCGCTTAACTCAGTCATTGTGGACGATTACAGAAAGAAAAAGAAGAAAAGTGGGCAGCTGAAGTCTTTGAGTCACAAGGCATTTGGTACCGGGGAGGATTTCTTTGCAGGCTTGAGAGAGGAGGCAGCAGAGCCAAAGGATGAAGACTCCAGTGGCACGGAAACGGATAGTGACTAAAATATGAGCAGCACTCTCCCCTGAAGGGACCTTTATAACCTAAGACTGTTTGAAACTCATGTTTTTGCAGAGATTTGGCTGAACAAACAGCAGGATATTGGGCAAAGGTGTGGGAGCCTAATGAAATCCGTACTGCAGTCTTCTGGGTACTCCTGCAATCCAGTGAAACAAATGTGTGTTTCCACAGCAAAGTCATGAGAAAAGCATGGCCTGGCTGCTACAGAAGGGGAAGGTGTAGATCTCAAGTTACCCAGGACAAAGCCTGTGCTTTCTGTTGGAAGAGGAGTATCTCATGGAATGAAAAGGCTAGAAAACAGGATTAATACTAGTGAGGAGGGAAGCTGTTGGCTCTATATGTATGTATTGGTTTAACTACTACTTTCAAAGGAGGGTGGCCAGACACAGAAAGGGGATAGGGCTCCTGTGCCTTCAATACAGAAGGACGACTCTCTGAAACACACGACACCACAGAAAATGTTGGCCTTTGGCTGATTGACCCCCAATGCCCTTTTTAATGTGCTGTGGGAAGGGGGATTATTGGTTTGCTGACTTTATTATGTATTTTATGTATTTTATATTGTAATTTTATGTTGTGAACCACCACCGGAACTATGAAGGGCAGCATACAAATTTAATAAATAAAATAAACAAAACCCAGCTTAAATATCATCTTATCAGATTTCAGATGCTTCACACAAGGAGATTGCAACACTTATTTCTTTCAAAACAATTTTAATATTCAAGTGCCTAGGTTTCCAATGTTACATATTCATTCACTATTTTTGATGAACATTAAAAAGTCAGAGAATTTTAAGGGAGTCTGCCTGATCCTTTCCCTAAAATCTTCATACATCCAATTTTGTTATTCACTGGGAACTTTTTCTAGTGTTAAAAAGGCACCTGGTGTTCTGCTATTAAGAGGCACATGAAGGAATTCAGGGAATACCATCCTGAATCCCCAGGAAGACAAAGAAAAAGGCTGGATTGTAGAGCAGCACACAAGGAACTTGTTACATACCAGCCTTGTGCATGAAAAATTGTCCAATGCCCCTCGCCTAAAGCTACAAAACAAATTCAAACTGTCACAAACAAGTGAGAAAGCTCTCCAAACTCTTAAATAAATACAAAGAAGAATAAAGTTTTCTATGTGTAAACAAAGAAGATAAGCAGCCCTAAATCTTGGTGTTGAAAGGGGCGGGAGTCATTCCTATAGTTTTACACAGTACTTGTCATGCTTGAGGGGCAGAAATAAAGTTGTGAATGCAAGATATGCCCCCAGCTTAAGATTGCCTGCCGAGAAATACGCATGCATGATTTCCCCAAACTGAAAAGGATACTCAAATAACTAACCAAAAACAATTTAGTACTGAGATCTGCATGGACAACCTTTTTAAATCTAACAAGACTCCAATAGCAGCAATGCTTCCCGCCAAAAAACAAAAAAAGACAAGATGTCAGGCACACTTTCTCTCCCCATGGATTTTAGTGGGCAAGCTGGTTTTAGTGGGCAAGGACAGGACACAGAGACCTCTCCCGAACTTGAAGACTGTTCTCTTACACCATTGGGCATCCTGTTGGAAAGAGAAATAGGTTAGGTTTTAGGGTTGCCAACATACAGAAAAGCAGTCAGCACACTCAAAACAGGGAACAAGCAGGAAGGCACCTATTCTGCAAACATACAAGGCAGGAAAACTTTTTTGAAGTGCTTGGAGGCTGAAAAGGCCAAGCACTGGACTCCACTTGTTTCACCCTCTATCCTTATTGTTATCTCTGTCTCTTAGGAAGAGATTCCCCAGAAGCATTCTCTCTCCAGGCAGCCTAGCCTGGAAAATTGAAAGAATTTGTAGAGCGAGGGACCTCCGGCCAGGTTCCAATGATATCTAGGGCACCCACAGGAACAGAGTTGCAGTCTCAAGCAAGTGAAGCCAAGTTTTCTACCTCCAGCTTTAACTTACCCCTCTCAGCCCTGTGCTCTTCTATATAAAATGCTGCCACCGTTCATTAGCTTCAATCTCTCAGTGTAGCAAGTTTCATATACTATCACTTTGTGCCGGGTGAACAGAATAGGCATCCTTCTTCAACAAAAGATTTACTGCTTATAGAGCTGCTAATTTAGGTAGGTTCTACCTCCTTATGTCAATTTTATAACAGTTAAAAGCCCCATGACTGAGCTGAAGATTTCACCTGCCTTGCCATTTGAGAGGCCTGAAGGCATCCTAGTGTCTCTTTGCTGCCTTCAGCAAATCCGAAGCACTGCTTCCAAGATGAAGTTGTGCAAGGACACTTACCCAGAGCTTTGAGTAGCTGCAGTGCCACTGCATTCTTGGCCTTCTCATGGGCCTCCAAGCCAGAACGTTCTGGCTTGATCCAGATAAACCCACTGAAAGGTGATGGATATTTAGGTATCACCACTTGATACCAGAACTGTAACCATCCTTCATGATTCTTTTGCATACATTTTGTAAGAAATACAGGGAGCCCCAGATGCCGTTCCTTGCATTGCAAATTCAGGTAGTCCAGCACACTGCCCACTGCGGGTTGCACAGGCCCAGAAGGTGCTTTGTAGGGGACATCTCTGTGGGGAAAATTGGATGGTGGAATCTCTGGAAAGCCCTGAACGGAGGCACTGTGGAGTTCCTGTTTTGTATTTGGTTTTAGCCAATCCACTTCAATGTCATCTCCACAGAGGCACAAACTACCTGCAGAACAGAAGAAACAATTTAAAATTTGGTTCAAATATAGGCCTCTCCTCACAGTATTCCACCTGCAATTTACAGCAACGCAGGAAAAAATAAAAGTAGACTACAGATGAAAGAGACAGCTTAAAAATATATATGAATACGAATTGCATTGCTTGCATAATTTGAGTTTGTATGTATGCACTAGTGATAGCTCCGAAGTTCTCATCTACATTAAGTGATGTAATAGTTCTCATAGTGGTTAATATTGTCACTGAAATTTCCATGAAGGTGAAATTGACAGGTAACTAGGTGACCAGTGCCACTTAATAATATTAATTTTATTATTTATACCCCTCCCAGCCACTCTGGGCGGCTTCCAGAAAAATATATTTTTAAATAAAAAAGCCAAACATTAAAAACTTCCCGATATATGGCTGCCTTCAGATGTCTTCTAAAAGTTGTGTAAGTTCTATATCTCCTTGACATCTGAAGGGAGGGCATTCCACAGGGAGGGTGCCACTGCCAAGAAGGCCCTCTGCCTGGTTCCCTCAAATTTCACTTCCCGCAGTAAGGGAACTGCCAGAAGACCCTCGGAAATGGGGGTGGAGTTTGGCCCCTGTACTTGAGTGGTGGATACAATGAAGAGCCAGCTGCACCCCATGCTCCCAGCCTCTATTGCCTATGGTACATGAGACTTTACTGCTATATTTATGAGACAAACCTTCCACAAGCGCTTTCCTGGCGATTGCAGCAGCCTGGTGGGAGCTGTATTTCACCTCTGCCAACTGCCTCTCCCTTCTGAAAGGGCTTGGGTGCAAGGAAACACTCAGGACTCCGGCAGTAAGTTCCTGCAGCATTGGAAGAAGGTGTCCCTCTCTCACAGAGAGAGACAAACCATCAATGGAGAGCTCGCACTTGTCGGTACTTTTGCAGACCAAAATGGGGTGGCCGGCCTGGATTTCAAAGGCGTTGAGCACGGCAATAGCATCCTGGGCACTGCGTCTGTTTGCGTATTTCGCATAGGCAAAGCCACGGTTAAGCCCGCTGAACGTCATCATGAGACGAAATTCATAGAGCCTGCCAACACTCTGGAAGAGAGGAATTAGTTTATCCTCATATATATCCTGTGGAATCTTCCCTATGAAAATCTCAGAGCCAGGTGGTGGAACACTGCCAGTCCAACCTGCGGAAAAAGAAGATGCATAATTGACTTTGTCTTTTTTTAAAATGTTCCATACAAGGAAAACAGAGCTCAGCAGTTGTACAGAAAAGAAAAACAGCAGCTGATGGTTGTCATTTTAGACGTTCCAAGAAAGGAATCAAATGAAAGTGTCTCTCCATAAGGCTCCATGAGTTAGGGTGAAAACAATGCTTGATTGTCTTAAAGTAAATAAAAGAATTCCATGTCTTAACCGTCTTGTCTTTTATACCAGCTTCATCCACATACAAGATTCTACAGCAAAGGGAAAGACTTCAGGCAGTAGCGTACGTGAATGCAGGCCTTTAGTTTTTAGCAATTTTTATTACAGAATGTACAATAAGCAAGTAAAATAGAAAGACTTCATGGAACTTCTATGGGCTTGGGCATTAGCAGGGAAATCCAGGCTCCCCTCGCCCACTTTGGGGGGACAACAGCTTGAGAGATTTCCAGCAACCAGAACAGTGGTACCTCAGGTTACATACGCTTCAGGTTACAGACTCCGCTAACCCAGAAATAGTGCTTCAGGTTAAGAACTTTGCTTCAGGATGAGAACAGAAACCGTGCTCTGGCGGTGCGGCAGCAGCAGGAGGCCCCATTAGCTAAAGTGGTGCTTCAGGTTAAGAACAGTTTCAGGTTAAGAATGGACCTCCGGAACGAATTAAGTACTTAACCAGAGGTACCACTGTAATGACAATTGAAAGGTGGGTAACCTTTCAATTGCCTCCAAGCAGCTGAAGTACATACAAGTATTTCTAAAAGTGATACTTGGGTCACGGATCTGTGTATCCCAGGCGGATAATCTTCCACTTACCTGGAGGAGGGCCACCGTATTTCCTCTGGCCATTGATCTGTACCAGTTTGATTCCCGTCTCTTCCACCCAAGCCAGAAGGGCAGTTTTTTTGGCCTGGTTTACTTCCTCGCTCCACGCGGGAGAAGACATCTACAAACACAATCAAGGGTGGACTTGGGTCATCTTTTGTAATTTGGCATCCCCAACCATATATTCTCCATAATCAATCTTCTCGATCCAGCTGCCCTGATGGCACTAAGGGCCAAAAGCAGCAGCCCAGGAACGACGAAGCTTTTGCTCAGCAGCCCCAAGAAGCAGAGCGTTTGCTTCTGGAGCACCTTGGGAATATTCAAGGTACTTCGGGGTAGCAACGACCCTGGCGCCGCACTAACAAGCCGCTCGCACTTCGGCAACGGGGCTTCGCTTTGGGGGGAAGGAGTGCAACTAACCCGGCTGGCTTCGGCCATTGAAGAAGGCAATGCCTCTCCAGGGCGCGTCCCTCCACGCGGGCGGATTCCGAGCCCGGAGCGCAGAAGTTGAGCAGATTTTGAAGCAGCGAAAGCTTAATCGAGTTTTTCTTTTCGGGGGGGTGGGAGGTGGGGAAACCGGGCCAGTACCTCAGTAATAAATCGTGGTCAAGAGCGGTCTTGCAAAGACACGTGTCAGTCGCGAAACACACTGCGCACCCCTTATTTCAGAAACCAAGAACCTGTTCCCAATTCCTTCGGAGCATTTTTGGGGAGCGGGGGGGGGGGGGAATCCATTTGCGCCAGAGGACCTCGTGCCGCGCAGCCGACTTGTATTGCGAGGGAGGGAAGTAGCGACGGCGGCGCTCCAAAGTCAGCCCGCCTTTAAGCGCCACGAGATTCGCTCCCAGGTAACAAGAGCATCCCCATGTCCCTGGTTTGGGCCAGGCGAGCTCCCCGCCCGCCCAAGACCTAGATCTGGCTCAGACTCCCCCCGTTTCTCTTCCCTCCTACTGGAAAAAACCAAGAGGCTTCGTTCAGTCTACCAACCTGCGCGCCATCCATAGCGCCCTTCTCGGCCAACGCCTTCCCAGCCACACCCTCCTCGCTGGCGGGGGCGGCCGCTCCTTTTCTAGCCCGGGGGTGGGGTTGCTCCCCCGGCCGCTTTCCTCTGCTGATTGGTAGATTAACAATCCGCCCCCGGGGCGGGGGTCCTTCCTGGTCAGCGGGATCCCTTGCGCGCGCGACAGGCGCCGTCGGCTTCTTTTGCAGAAAGTGCATGAAGCCCGCCGTTCTCTTCGCTTCGACCCCGAGATTGTTCCCACCACTTTCCAATCCTTTGATTAGCTACCCCAGACCATTCACACGTGACGCAGCCAAGTAGTAGCAGGCTGGGGCCATAAGCGCGCCTTGCATAGCGCCGGCGGCCTGCGAAGTTTAGGCGCCCGGAGAGCAGCGGCGCCCCCTTGCAGGCTGAACTCCTTGGGGTTTTATTCAGTAATAAAGCAGCACAGGACCACATTTAAAAAATATTCTGAGCTGCTGGTGGGCTATTTATTGAACAGCCTTATGTTGCTAACGAGGCAAATTGGGAGCGTTTCTTTTGTTGGTGGTGGCAAAGGCTGAAACGTCAACTGCTCCCCACCCATATACAGCAATACAGAAATTCAACAGGTGACTATTTCCTAGGGAGAAAAATTTCATCAATGTCTCACACTTCCCTGTGGTGCAGCCTGCCACCATTGTTGTGCGAGAGAGAGAACTCCTTTGAAGGAGGGACTCATTCTGTATGCAATCCACTATGTGTGAAAGACACCTTCACCCAATATTTAAGGATTAAGGAGAACAGGAGGCAGAGATAAGCCTGACAAGCTGTGAAAACTCCTGGAATATTTGCAGGCAAGATTGTCCACACCTGAGTAGAGCACTATTATTGTTAATTGAAATGCCTGTGAATCACTCACATAGGCTTCACCAACTTCACTATTCTGCCCAGTCCACACCAGCACCCCCCTTTAAATATATCATGGTAAAGATTGTAAGGGTTGCTGTTGCTTACTTTTAACTGCACCAATCTGGAGCTCACCTTAAAGACAAGCAATTTTCATACAAGTTTGGCTGGGCACAGGGCCCATGTTCACTCTTTTGAAAGCTTTGGCTATTCTGTTGTTATTTTGTTTAGGGAGAAGTAAACAGTTCCTGTGTGTAATAATAGGGCTATCAGGTCTGCTCCTGAGGCAACACCTGGCCAAAGCTAAAACCAATTATTTGACATGCAGAGGATTGGTAAAATAGCAACCCTGCTGTGAAATGTGCTTAATTTGAGAAATGCAATGGTGGCTGAGCATCATGTTTGTGTAGCTGAAAGGGAAAACATGAACACAGCAGAAAGCATGGGGTTGTAATAAGCTTTATTAATATAATGCTGACAGATGAAGTCAGAATAGGGAGAGTGCATAGACCAGAATGCTTAAAGGGTCATGCACTCTCCCTGTGTAAACACCAAGATGCTCACAGAGCAGATGGCGTTCCCTAGAAAACAACTCAAAGGTTCTTTTGAATTATTTTATAGGAGCAACTTTAAAAATAAAATAAAATAATGTCCTGTCACTCCTCAAATCCAGTGAAAAGAAGCTTCATGGTAAAATAAATACAGCTTTGAGGACCGCCCCCCCCCCACGTCCAAGGATGTATTATGAGCAAAACGAGCATTATGTTTTGGGTCTCAGCAAATCTTCCCAAGGGAATCCAGTGAAAACCTCTAGGGAAGACACGTTCGTCTCTTGATTTCCTCAATAATTCCTTCTCTGCGAACATTCACCTGCAAAGCAGAAACATGAGTAAGCTACAAAACACTTGTCTCTCACTCCCTTCCCCAGTGCACTCGCCCCTCAACAGCCTACTGAAATATCCCCCAACACAATGGCTTAGTTTGTACAATATAGTAAGCCCAGCTATGCCTTACTGGGGCCATGCAACTGTGTGGGCTCCCAGAAGAGAGCTTGCTGAGCCACTTTGCTGCACCTCAAGCCTTTGCTAAGCGAAGCTTTGGCTTAGCCTGTCATGGTGGTTAAGCTGTCTCTCTGCTCCCTAATCACCAACTATACCCAAGAACAAGCCAAGAGTTTGACTTCCTTTGACATGTGAATCAGGCCAGTGTATTCTGTGTTATAATAAACCACCCCTCTAGCTACCTTTTGCTCTATTAAATTGAATTTGCAATTTTTCTATCCCTTTAAAGTTGCAGATTGCTTGCAACTTGACAGCAGAAGGTTTATCAAGTCCTCAGCTGGCTCCCTCATTTGCCATAATATTTGACACTATTCAAGTCTATATGCGCCTTGAATGACTGCTTTTACATTGCTTTTTCTTGGATGTCACAGAATGGGGGGGGGTGTTTAGGCAGAGCCTAGCAAGATAAGATCTCCTGTGGTTTTGCAACTGTGTGAGAGAGAAATCCTAGACAGAGGAAGGGGGAGGTGGAAATCTGCCCTCCAAACAAAGTTGAAGCAAGTTTTGTTGCCTTTTCTTTTTCCCTCTCCTCCATGTCTCATAGATCAATTAAAAGCAATGCAGAGATCAGACCTCCTCCCCCTGTCCTTTTTTTGGAAACAGGAGGTTTTGCCATGCTTAAACAATTTAAATGGCAAGTTCACAAGATAAGCCAAATTAGTCGTATTTCCTTGCTCTGTAGCTAAGAACCATTACTCCTCAAATGGAACATACACTCCACTTTCAGTACTGCAGTATTTCAAGAGCACGATTCACCTTGTCCTGCCCTATGAAACAGTCACTGGCAACACCACCAGTACAGGTGCAAGGAAGGCAGGATGGAAAAGTGGTCAGACAGACGTATTTGTGCATTTGGATGAAGTTAGTTGTGAGATTAAGCAAGAATGCATATGATAAATATATACTTTAAGTGTGTAATATCTAGGTTCCCATATAGTTTGTACAGTGGTGCCTCGCAAAACGAAAATAATCCGTTCCGCGAGTCTCTTCATCTAGCGGTTTTTTCGTCTTGAGTAGTAACCCTATTAGCGGCTTAGCGGCTTAGCGCTATTAGCGGTTTAGCGGCTATTAAAGGCTTAGCGGCTAAAAGGCTATTAGCGGCTTAGCGGCTTAGCAAAAGGGGGGAAAAAGTGAAAAAAACCCGCAAGACTCGCAAGATGTTTTCGTCTTGGGAAGCAAGCCCATAGGGAAATTCGTCTTGCGAAGCGCATCGAAAAACGGAAAACCCTTTCGTCTAGCGGGTTTTTCGTCTTGCGAGGCACCACTGTATTCTCGAACTGTTAAGCAGTTCCCTTGGCTTTCTGTTACCCAACATAGCTGCTGTGGCTGGCCAAACAAGAGCAGGAAAGAAAAACAAACATTTGAATTATTGGGTTAGCAAGGAATGTATTGATGTCTCCAAAATATATGTGGAACTGGCCTGAAAAACAAGTTGTAATTGCTTAAATTAGAATAAAGTGTGATGTACCTCATTCAATACAAAGGAGCCAGTAAGAGCTCCTTTATCCTCGGATTAGATAATTCACACCTTATTCTAGACTTCTCTAATCTTACGACTTCTTATCTCCTGCCTTTGAAAGACTTAACTGAATAGCATCAGTGAGCCTGAGTAGTAGCAAACAACAAGAACACTAAATGTGACCCCAGGGCAGACCTGATAACACTTGAGAACCAGTGTGATACAGTTGTTCTAATGCTGGACTAGACTGAAATCTCTGCTCCCGCCATATAGCTCAATGGGTGATAACTGGCCAGACACTGTCTCTCAGTTGAACTTATCTCACAGGATTGTTGAGAAGATAAAATGAAGTGGGGAGAATAATATAAATGTAATAAATACATTTACGTTTGTGCAGATATAGTTTTATGTTGTATGCAGAGCCCTTCTGGCTAATAAGACAAAGGAATTCAATTTTTTATGAAATTACTCCTGCTTTTAGCTGGACATTAGTTATATTTCTACCCTCAGAGACTTTCTCTTTGCAAAAACCTAAGATGAAGAGCCATGAGTACCTCTTCTCTAGTAGCTACATCTCGCAGTTTGACCACTCCATCATTTAGCTCTTGCTCTCCCAGGATGGCAACAAGAGGGATTCCCGTCTCCTCACAGTACTGCAACTGGTTCAATAGTTTGGGGTTCTTCTTGTAAAGCACCTCTGCCTAAAAAGCAGAGAAAAAAAGTTAGTAGGCCAAGACAGAGTAACCTCCACTGTTCTTTGCAAGTAGGTTGCAAACTGTGGTGTTGGGGGACCATTTAGAAAGTTATCCAGTTTTTCTCAATGAAAAGAACACTGATTGCACATAGGCTTATCTAAAAAGAGGCTATTCATCATTCCCATTCCTCCCCAGCAATCTGGAAATGTATGCCTAATGTGTTTCCTAGGGCAAACTGTTAGCCCACATGAAATTCAGTAGACTTGACCAATGACCCGTGTGAACCAATCATGACCCCATCAAACGTACCCAGAAGCTTCAACACATTGGCTTTCCATGGCAGTTTTAGGGGGTTCTTGGTAGGAGTAATGATGCAAATACTATTTCCTGATGATAGAAAGACTGAAGCCTGTTGTGCTATACACTTGCTACTGGCAGATGCCTCTAAATGCAAGGAATATATTGCAACCAACACCCAGATTCCCTTATTGCAGAACATAACGATCCTCATAATGCAAACTTAATTAAGACTATACAAAGTCCAAGTCATCACCCACTGCATGTTTCAGTTAAGGCTGCAGATCTAGCAGGATTTTACATTTTTTTAAAAAAATGAAGGGTATATAATATAAATTCATCTAACTATTTTAGGATGAAGTATTAGGCTATTTAATTAACTACAGGGCAAATCACACAGCTACATTGCCACAGCTAAGCACCGGCCCCAGGCCACACCCATCCTCAAATACCTTTCTCTAGGTGCCTCATCCTTTGGAAGTGCTTTGAACTGCAATATTATTTTTTGCTGCTTGAATGGAGGGTGAATTGTGCATGGGTGTAGCCGGGGGGGGGGGCAACTGCCCCCCCAGTTCAAGTAAAACAATAGAAATATTTAACTAACTGACCAATCACGTCAGTTCTGCCCCCCTAACAAAAATCCTGGCTATGCCCATGTGAATGTGTGTAGGAAGGTCTGGTCCCCCCACCTGTCAAACATACCCCTATTCCTATTATTCATTCCTGCCACGTGACAAAGACAGAGGAATAGAAATAACTCCCCTTCTCCCCACCCCCAATTCTATGACCCCTATTTTGGGCCCAACCCCTTATATACTGCATTTGCACCTTGATCCCAGAATCCCACAGCTCAGAAACAAGCTTTAGCCTCTCTTCAAGGAGTTTCTTCTGAGCAGACGCCACGAGCACCTGGGTCCCGGTTGTCCGGATCTTTTCCTCAGAAGCCTGAAGGTGGAGACAGAGGTTTGAAAAAGATACATAGAAGCACTCTAACAAGAGAATCCCAAAATTCATGTATGCCAGACGATTTCAAGTAGTTACATGAGCTTATTGCACCGTGCAATAGACTACTGAACCATTCCAACAGTACTGCAGAACTATGCTACCCTTGGTACTACAGCAGGCAAACAGGTGCTGTTGTGCATTAGAGAAAGATGTGTTTATAGCAAACCTGTAGATCAGGGGTGTCCAACCCATCAACCACGATCAACAGGTTGATCCCTGGATGATCCCCGGAGCCTTATCTCTGCCCCCCTCCCCCCTCGGTCTTTCCCTGCATCGCGTTTAGTGATCGTTCCTTTGTTGTTTCCTGTAGCGCTGTGTTCGTCTGTTAGTGGCTGTGTTGTTGGTGAGCAATTTATTTTAATCCTGGACACTTACTGTTTTAAAAAAGGTCAACAACTTTGGTCTGCTGGTCTGCCCCCCCTAAAAAAATGGGTAGATCACTGCCAGTCCCCCCCCCCCAAGGAGTAGATCACAGTCTCTTGGGAGTTCGACGTCCAACTACTTTATTCCGAACTTAAAAATGGAAAGCGTAATGCTGGTGGTCAACAAAAGAGGTTTAAAGACTGTCTCAAGGAAAATCTAAAAAAATGTAGTATAAACACTGACAACTGGGAAACACTGGCCTGCGAGCACTCCAGTTGGAGAACAGCCTTTACCAAACATAAGAGAAAATGTTCTATTTGTACATACCCTCAAAGAACTTCAAAAAGCTGGTGTGCAAGTGTAATGTATCCTCTGAACTGAATTACGTTTTTCACTTTGTATTTCCATGCAAAGTGATTTTGTGGAGAAGTTTATCCCTCTAAAGTTTTCTAGTTTGGGACTCTGTACCCTGGCATACAGAGTAACCTCTTCCACATTCTGTCTTTTCGAGAGAGTTTAAGCATATACGTAACTCTGTCCCCATTCCATTGAGACACTGATACAAATCTCATTTAGCCCCCACTCCCTTAAATACTTGTGTAAAGGAACTAGGGGGTCAGCTTGGTATGTCTACAACTATGTTGTTCAGCTAAGTTCCTCCAATAATGGATATATTCCTCAACATTTTGGATGAGCAGGTACTCACATGACAACTTTAGTTGATGTAAAAAGTCTCTCGAAATATACAGTGTACTTAAAAGCTCTTGAGAGTCACATGGCCACAGACTCCAAAACTGACAGAGCTTGTAGTTGTTTTGTTGTGAGCTAACCAAACCTTGAGAAAGGGAAAAGCAAGCAGTCCTTACCGCCACTTTTTGTTCCATGATGGAGAAGATCCGTTCAATGCCAACGCTGAATCCAACACAAGGCACTTTCCGTCCCTTGGGGTCAAACATCCCTACTAGGCCATCATAGCGGCCACCTCCAGCTATGCTGCCCACACTAACAGACTCATCTGTTTGGTCACTTTGCTGGAGAACAGCCTCACAGATTACTCCAGTGTAGTAATCCAAGCCACGAGCCAGGCTCAGGTCAAAGGAAACCTGCAAAACAGGATCAGAACCTCCTTAGCGGTCAGAAACACACAGGTGATTAGATAGACCAGGATTAGAATTGCACTGCCCTCACTCACTTGCTCCAAAATGCCGAAAATAGTCAAGTACTCAAACAGCAGCTTCATTTCTTCAAGGCCTTCCCTAGCCAGCTTGTTCTGTGACAGCTTTGGATCTTGGAGCAACTGCTCAATCAGACTCAGCCCACCTGCAGAAGTGATACATGTGGTACGTATTATCCTCTGCAAAATATGCATCAGGACCGACAGAAAACCATCTCCTGCCAACCCAGCTCAACAGTTCTTTCTCACTTCTCTCATCTGATGCAGTTGTATCTGTTTTAATATGGCGATACTTAGGTTAATAGAATTTTGGACACTTGAAAGTTAAACCCAGACTCCTTTCCCCATCAGTTAAGTGCTTTAGCCTCAATTGCCAGGACTCTCCAGAGGGGGTGAGGAGGCTGACCACCCCTCTGGTATTTCAGACTATGTGCCGAGTTAGACATGATGACCTTACAGGAAAATACAATGGCCTGTGTGCTTTTTGCTTCCAGACTTTGGATTGTGCTTCTCTTTTGATCAGTATGGAGATATACTTCCCTTCTCCCTGCAATGTGTCCACGGAAATACAAGAGAATAAACAGCATCATTTCCTGTTCTCTGTCCCTCCCCCACTCAGTCATGTATGCATTGGTGCTAACACAACATCCCTTTCTGTGTCACAGAGATTAAACACTATCTTGAACAGCAGCTAGATGGATTGCATGAGCATGAGATCCCAAGCCCACATGCCTCAGAATAAGAATGACAAAGCTTTCCTTTTTCATACTCACCCCTAAGCTGAACATATTCACCAATATGATCTGCAATCTCTGGCGAGAGACCCTTCTCTCCAACCATCTCACTTCTCACATCATCCCAAGCCATCTGTGTACAGAATTAGAGTTATATGGTCTCTTAATGTTTAAACAAGTCATTTATCCAGGTTTTTTTAAACCACTTATAAGAGCCTTATAAGAAGCATTTTCCTTGTCTCATTTCTATTCTGATTCCATGGGACTTCTCTCCATATTTCAAACCCCTATTGACTACAAATGAGAAAATCATCTCCAGAACATTCTACACAGTCCCTGAAGGGTGGTGTGCAATATAAAAGCAACAGCATTACTGCAGAAAAAGTGCCTCATTTGATGGGAGATACACATAAGACAGGTTCAGGCATTTGCTATAGTGAGTATAGGGCCAGGAGTACATATACAAGCTCTGCCTCGAAACATGCACTCCCCTCCCCTGCCCAGTCCCTGACCTTCCTTATGTTGCACAGGGAAGGTGTGCCTAGAGCTTCTACTTGCAATCAGGGATCCTGATATAGCAAGATCCTTCATCACACAAAACTGTTGAGAGCAGGGCTTCCCTGCTCCTACCCACACTTAATTTTGCATTAATTTGAAAAAAAGGAGCAGGGAAAGCAAAATATTGTTGTGGTGCAAATTAACTAGACACCTGGGATTTGTGATACATGTACTGGAACCTATCCTTTCCACAGGAAACAATTCAAAAATGAAATAATGTTAGCATTCTGCCTTGGCCTTATTAAGTGTGTACTATTGCATGCTCTGGCAGGAAGGTAAACGGCGCTTCTGTGTGCTGCTCTGGTTCGCCAGAAGCGGCTTAGTCATGCTGGCCACATGACCCGGAAGCTGTACGCCGGCTCCCTCGACCAATAAAGCGAGATGAGCGCCGCAACCCCAGAGTCGGTCATGACTGGACCTAATGGTCAGGGGTCCCTTTACCTTTTTATTGCATGTGGAACTCTGTGTGCTAACCTGGGTCTGCCATATTTGAATGACAGTCCTTTGAAGAGGTAAATAGTGTGATGTGGCAATCCAAGCATTTCAATAGGACAAAAACAGATCCACAAACTGAGCAGTTAAGCTAAGAAGTCAAGGTAATCATTACTCATTACTCCCAGCATGTGGGATCTTAAGAAGACAGAAAGAGTAACTTTAAACTGCGGACATCTCAAGTTGTCATGAAATACTAGACTAATGTTAATGGAGCAATTAAAAGAGTAATTATAGAATGAGTGTTGATCTGAAAACTTTATTATACCAAGATATACACAGTATAGCTATTGCAAAATATTAGTCTGCAAGATATGAGCACTGATAAGCACCTTATTTCCGAGGGTTAAAAAAGAAAAACCCTCAAGGTCAGCCTAATGGGAAATTGTCCACTGATCCCAGTTGCAGGATCGTGCCAAAAAAAACAGAAGCAAATAAAAAGTACCCCACTACCACTATGGCTCATGATTATGCATTTAGTTATGTAATATTGAATGTTATCTGTAAACTGTTCTATCCTGTTTCCTCTTTTTGTTTAAACGAATTTACAAAACAAGAACTTATACACTGATCACTAATGAACCATGTGCTGTAGATATCACTGCAAACGTATTATGCTATTTTTGTGATATACAAATGGCATGAGAAGGCTTGGTCTATTTATTAGTAGATATTAGTAATATTCCTATGATCCTTGCTTATAAAACCCAATAAATTCCCCCCCAAAGTTTTTCAAAAAACAAAAGCTCCGCCTCCTGCATATGTGTCAACTTCTTCCGGACTTGATAGTTTCTCTGCCACTCATAAATAGCAATCCAGTATCAGTTTCATTCTCAAGGAGCAGGGTTTCAGAAAAGGGGTGAGGGGTAATATTCAATGCTGTACCCACAAGGAAAGTTCTTAGGAAGCCTTGAAGACCCTCTTTTCTCTTATTATCATAAGCGTTGGCTTCCTAGACCCAGCCAGCAGCCCCCAACACACTGTAGTTCTGAGGGAGGACCAAAAACGTCTTCTGGTAGCCTTAGGTGCCCAACTTTTTCTTACTTTCTTTCTTTTTATCATACACTTTGATATTTTCTCTATGGTCACACCATGGGAAATGCAGTGGGATGTCAATGTCTTTCCATGTTTACCAAACACTTGAGCCATGGTAAAAACAGTATTTATTATCCTGATGTCCTTACCTTGTCTAGCTTGTCCACAGCAGAGCAGATGGACCGGAATTTGCTCTCTGGAACTCCACATACTGCAAACATCCCATCAAGGATACGACGGTCGTTGACCTGCAGGGAAATTGAAATTTTTTTTCCAAGTAGCAACTCATGGTTCATGCTTCTGCATGTTATTACCTCTGAGGGGCAGGGGAAAGATGAGGCCGTTGGATGGGCAGCTGCTCTGGCTCACTTTCCTCCCTCAAGAAAGCTAAGTAAATTTTTTTTTTTTTGGGAGGGGGAAGGTCCCTGAAATACTGTAACTGAAAACCAATAGGAGTTGGTATTGAAGTACTGAAACTGAAATCAATAGGAGATACATGTGCACATGTATCTTGTGGAAACATTATCTCACTCATGGCAGAACTGAACACAGCCCTCCTCTTTCTTTCTACAGTATGGAGAAGACACCAGCATTGAGATAATTAGTAACAATCTAACTCTGAAATGGGCCTTTTCTGCAGTGGCTCCCTGCTTGTGGGATGCTCTCCCCAGGAAAGCTCATTACGTATCTTTAGGCACCAGGCAAAAACATTCCTCTTCTCCCATGCCTTTGGCTAATTAAACAATCTATGGCCTATCAACAGTCTATCTATAGTCTATCAAGGTATATATACAATGTAAGTGATTTATGTTTACTAGGACAATTCTGGTAAGGGACCTGCAAATACAAATAAGGAAAAAGCAGCAAAAGCTGGGGAAATAAATTATTTCTAATCAAATTTGAGGAAGCACAATGAAAATATACTGAAAAATTAAGACAAAACCAACTGTGTTTCTCATTTTATGTTCACAGCAAAGGACAAGTTTAAATCAATAGAATAGTATTTTGTGTACATTCTGGATAAAACTGCTCTAGATTTCTAGACTTGTTCTCACCTTGATAACAAATGCTCCTATTTGTAGGGCACTCAGGATCTCATGAATAATCTTCAGACACTCCGCATCAGGAATCATGGGGTCATACTGGCCAGCAATGTCAAAATCCTGGGGCACAAATTGCAGATGTGAAAATCCTTAAAGCATAAAGCATCCACCTGAGTGACAGACACATAGGTTGCGCGATACCTAGTTCACATCTTCCCCAAGTCTTGACAGCACAGTAAGGCAGTTAAGTCGTTTAAACCAATTTTAACATTGTATATTTATATTCTTGTAACCTGCCTTGGAACTCTATGGTGAAGGGCAGGTAAGAAATGTAAAAAATAATAGCAGCATGGATTGTCAGTCATTTGGGATTTGGAACAAGGCACACATTCAAGTATCTTTAATCATATCAAGGTACCCACAAATATAAAAAGGTGCCAAAGATGATTACAAAATGTTGAGGCAAATCAAGGCTGAGAAAGCATAGTGAATGTATGCAGACAAATTAAGACAAAGTGTCAGTTAACTGCACTTTGGTGGCAGCCGGTAAACAAGCATGTAGGCACAGCAGTGTATCATTCATACAGCACCATTTATGAACATACAAAGTAGCATATCAACAGAAAGGAGATAAAAGCCCAGTTCAGACATTATGCCTGAACAGAGTACTACAACATGGGGTGAGGGGCTTGCTTGCTTGTTTGGCTCTGCTTGCTCCACCCCTGACTTACTGCCCCTGAGTCCACTTATAAGTGTTCTCCAGGTTTCCTGCTGTGAGATTTCATGGCTGAATGCACTCAAAAACAAAAGAACCGTAGAACTCCAATAAACTCTAGAATAAAGGAAATCTGGAGAGGAAACCACAGACTGTGCTACAGGGAGTTTTCCACCTTCTCCCTCCAGGCAGTGATCTTTCCCTTATTTCTGTAAGGCAGCCCTTCCCTCCATTCCTGAAGCAGCTGATTGTCAGTTGACAGCCTAGCCACTATAGTGACTACATCTTTTTAGGCAGCTGTTCCAGGTCCTCCTATAGTTCGTCAGTCAAAATGAAAACAATTACTTGTGTGTCCCACTACCTTTAAGGTATTTTCACCAGGCTTTCACTGAATCAATGGAAGTGTTCCTGTAGAAAAAGGCCAGGGGGGTTGAGGATAACTACAAAACACTCAGGGTGTTACATTACTGTATTTTAAGTTCTGGAAGCAATTCAGGCATGAGAAAGACATGACAGCCAACTACAGGGGGAAATGGGAAAGGCACCAGCTGACTGGGAGAAGGAAGTAGAGCAAAAATGTTATATGCAGAATGAGAAGGGAGGAACGAGCAGGAAACCAGTTAAGAGCCATATACACTTTAAGGCCATCCTACAGATACTCACACACTGGTAGAACTCTCTGTATCGGCCTTTTGTCATGGCTGGGTTGTCCCGCCTGTAGACCTTAGCAATATGGTAACGTTTAATATTGGTAATTTTGTTCATAGCCAGAAAACGAGCAAACGGAACCTGAGAAGAGAAGGCTAAGGAAAACATCTAAAATCCTAATGTATATAATTCAACCTATACTACTGGATGCATTTGATCTAGTGGGTTGAAATGAGCTGAAGAAATGACTTGGCATCTGCTAGCTGACATCAGAAGGCAAAAAGAACAAGATGGGTAAATGAATAGACGCAATGGTGCACATTCACTTTTGAAAAGCTTATACTTCTTTAAATGAGGCACACCATTTTTTTAAAAAATGCAAATACTCCTAAAAATTGAGAGCAACAATGGTTCCTGTGATTCAGCATCAACTGTGACCTCCTCTTTCAAAAAATAGGATTGTACAAAACCTGCTAGTCTGCATGACCCAACGTACACTTATTACCTTTTTACACGTCGTTGCCTGTTTCCATGCTTGTGACAAAGTGACAAACAAAAAATTTGTGTGTTTTTAAAAAAGAATTGTGCCATCAAAATGATGTTCCAAAAGTTTCTGAATCTACTTAGAGTAAGTGCAGATGTTCCTCGTCTGCTGAAGAGCAGTTTTCTGCCCAAGCAAGGAGCATGGGATTTAAGGATACAGTTAAATCATAGCGAAGAGATAGGAGCTCTCCCCCCTGATCTTTCAGATCATAGATCAGCTTGGAATCTTCTCCATACTTCCCTGTCAAAGTTTCCTAAAAAGTAAGGGGTGGGAGAGAGGGGTAGAAAAAATAAAATAAATCAAAGGCAAGTAAAGAGTTATGGTAAGCAATAGGTTTTTATAGGGCAAAACAAATGCATATTCAGGCTAATTTGCTCTTAAGGTGCAAATGGAGAGGGACCTTAATAAAATCTATATTCTTTCCACCCAACTTTTCTTCTTCCCTATGAAAGTGCCCCTTACAAAATGTATATAAGAAAAACCAACACAATAATAAACTAAATAAATGTAAAACTGACACTGCAATCCTATACACACCTAGCCAGAAGTCTCACTGGGTTCAGTGTGACATTCCTGAGCCGGTGTAGGACTGCAGTCTAAGTATAGGAAGTAATTCCACAGGAAGGAAATTCAGTGTGACACTGGCTCTTTAAAACATTTCTTTATTCCCCCTTCTGGTATTATTATGTTTTAGAACTTGAAATCTATGTCTGACTTCTGGACTAACGCTTGACACTTCTACCAGTACCTTTCCTCAGTTGCCCTATTCCCCCTGCTGCCCCATCTCACCTTTAGTTCAAATACTGGAGTATCTATTGTCTCAGCTCCATGGCGTTTGAAGCAATCAATGATGACGCTGAAGACTCTGTCTCTGATTGCCATCTGCTTGGGACTGTAATCCCGGGTACCCTGAAAGTCCAGAACAGAAGACAACTTGATGGACTTCTGTTCCCTTGAACACATGCTATGTTCAGGCAAAGTGAACAGAGAAGGTAGGCAAAGTGGTGCACCATTTTTAGCACTCAATAATGGGAAGAAATTCCATGACAACTCTTCCAGAACATGGTGCTGGAGGATCTTACCTGGGCAGAAAGGCAAAAGAATTTGTGATTTAAGAAAAGGTTTTAAAGTTATGACTTTGCCCTAGAACTCCCCACCCCAAAACAGGGTCATCTACCACCAATGGCCCTAAGGGAAGGATCCTCATGAATATTATATTTTTATTTCCCTTATAAGCTGCCTTGCTTTTTGTCCCCCTGACAAGGCAGCCAAAATCTAAACAGATATCAGTCAGAAGGAAGAAGTCTGTTACTTTGTTCTAGGGTGGAAGACCTACATGTGGAGGTCTATTCCTGATAAGAATGCAAATAAGCAATTCAACATGCTTGTAAGCCACCTTGTGTATATTTTGAAAAAGTTGAGATGCTTAATCAAACTATAAAATCAACACTAAAGCGCAGGTAACTCGTATATAAAACCAGCAAAGCTTTAAAACAACTATATATTATATAGTCTAAATTAATTAAAAATAGTCTGCTAACTATTTTTCTCCAGTTTGATTTGGGGTTTTATGATGCTGTGATCAGCAATTGTTTTCCTTCCTGCAGGTTTAAAATGTCATTGTTTTTATTTTAATAATTTAGAATCTTAAAATCTTATACTGCTACATGTTACAGTTGAGGTTGCAATCTGTTTTGTGAGGGTAAATATCTAAACAGTTATCAAAGGCAAAGGAACTGTGCCAAACTTTGGAATTCCAAGTGGAAGTGGAATTCAACATAAAGTTTTCAAGCTTCAAAACCTAAAAAGCCAACTAAGCTAGGAAACAAATTAACAAGGAAAACTAGATCTTACCTTTACTACATTCTACATGAATTTTTATATTGAGCTGGGGTTTAAATGTGGCTGCTTGTGATAGTATCCAGATCCAGATCTTACCAACCCAGTTCTGACCTAGCAATTGCCATACTGTACTAGCCTGTTACAACCAAAACAAGGAAGAGGCTTGTGGCACAGTAGGCAGGGATAGACAAGCTTCAGGCCTGATGTACCGACTTTTAAAAAACTAGAACCTTAAGTTCTACCAACCAAAAACAAAATGATGGCTCTGAACACTTAGAACGAAGGGCCAGGATGTCTCTGAGCTAGTCTAGTGTGCGCCTACACACAATCATGCTGAACTTCAGTCTTTTTTTCAGAACCCAGTGTGGAAAAACAGTATTTATGAAGCAGTGTGTTATTTGTGCAAGAGCATCCTCTAGTGGCTGCAAGATTTTATAACAGCTGTATCTGAGATACAGTAAATGGAAAATGGAGAGTAGGAATTTCTGTAAAGCGTTTTTTTTGTCAGTGGAGAGTAGAACATATTGGAAAGGATTAACTCATCTTCTGGTAGGCAGGGGCCAAAGTTTATAAAAACTATGGTAGTGGCCAGCTGGAACAGGAGGGAACCTTCCTCCCAGGTGGTAGCCATAACTTTTAAAAAGTAACCAATTTCAATAAAGAACAATACTGTATATAAGGAAAATGAAACCTCTTGACTGGAGCACTCAAGAAACGAATGTAACAAAGCAGTACCCACCAGAAGGTTGGAGCAGAACCCTGTGACAGAACCTGCTGGAGCAACCTCCTGCCAAAGGATGTTTCTGCAGAGATGAACCAGTCTACCTTAGAATGTCTGATGAACATGGCTGGATGGGACCAGGCTGCCTCTGATTTAGGCAGATAAATTTATGCAGTGTGGCAGTCATATATAGAACTGCTGTGGTCACTGCCCCCTCAGAGAGATGTCAGTGGGCAGAATCTGGGATCTAGCATGATAAAGCTGTGCAATAACTACCTCTGGAGGGGATGGCATGACTTGGTCTAGAAAAACCTTGTCTCTCAGTTACTCCATTCAACCTCCTGTCATGGAGCTAGAACCCATCCAGATTTGAGTGGAGAATTAAAAAAGCCAACAGTAAATCCAAAGAAACAAGTTCAATGTCTTCTAGATTAGTTGGTAACACCCTTTCCTCAAAGTCTTTGTGCTGTTCAAGTGCAGCGTTTATCAAAATGAGAATGGTGGTTCCTGTTCCAAAACATATTGGAAAAACAGGATGTTGGGGAATTCCAAAACAGAAAGACAAAGCCTTAAAAAGTATCCTTTGAAAAGTGGAAAAATGAAAACATACTAGCAGCTCAGATTATAACGTGAAATGTAACTTTTTCAAAAATGCAAGATGTTTTTTAAAAGGCTAGGTAAATAAATAAATAAATAAGTCTTCCACATGCCACCAAAAACCCACAAAAAATGGAAGCTGAGGTGTCGATGTAACAAGTCCCTCTTCCAAGCAGCCATCTGGTTCACTTTCCTTGATAGGAACACATGGAATACAGCTTCAGAAAAGGATCTGAAGGATCAGGGAGGTATGTATGAAAGGCAATCCTTCAGGTAGTCTAGTCCCAAGATGATAAAATCAAAACAGGGCACAGAATTGGAAGCAGACTGGGAGCCGGTGCATCTGATAAAGCACTAGCATAATATGACGAAAATGTCCTGTCCCAGTTATCTTGCAGTCCTGTTTAGGACCAGCAACAGTTCCCCAACCATAATTAAGGGCAGTACCACAAACAATGCATTTTAACAGTCTAATGAGAAGGTTGCTATCTCCACTCAGGTATGGTTGCAGCAGGTATAACAGCTGAAGTGGATGGAATTTGTCTAATGATTGTGCTGGATGAATAAACACCCAGATTGTGAACATGATCCTTTAGGACAGGAATGGGCAACCTGTGGCCTTTCAAATGTTGCTGGACTCCACAACTCCCATCTGCCCCAATCTGCATGGCCTACAATGATGGGAGTTGTAGTACAAGAACATCAGGAGAGCCATAGTTCCATATCTTTGCTTAAACAGATATATACCTGGAAGAAGGCCGGTGCAGATTTTCTTCAAGGCCAACACATCCCAGTTTTCTATTTCAACCAGGGGCGAAACTAGACTTTATTTCATCCAGGTCAAAGACCGAGTTGGCATCTCCCACCCGCATTTCCGTACACCCACCCACACAGGATGGGAGCCTCAATGGTGCCCTTCTGGAGGCTTCACCTGGGGCAAGAACCCGGATAGCCCCCCGTCCCATAAGCCACAGCACTGATTCCAACAACGTATGGTCTTTGAAGATAAAGTGGCCACTCAGTACTACATGAAAGTTAGGATCCTACTGTTTGGTAAGAACTGCACAAGCAGGAAGATTACAACATAAGTCCCCTTGCACTGGTGCAATGCAGCTAATTACTATGCTAAACCTCTGAACTCATTTAGAATTTGGTGCAGCAGTGCAAAGTATTTGTTATATGCGGCTAAAGTAGCCTAGCTGCACTGGGAAAGGGCGGACTTGGGTAGGAAAGGTATCTTGGTGAGAGAGGGAGAAATGGCCAGTTTAGTCAGTGTCCTATTCGTTATTCCTGGATCAGGTCTGCATCCTGCACCAGCACAGCAAAGCACAGCACAGTGAAACATGAATGGGATAGCATTGCCAGTAGCAAATCACAGCACCCTTGACATATAAGTTGCAGCAGGAGATGCACTTCAGTCATCAGGTCACTGTTCCAAATTAACGAAACCATAGGGTTAAAAGCTGTCATTGGCAAGTTAATCAACTATACAGTAACTAGTCTATTCCTAAACTGGACTGCAAATTACTTATTTTTATTTGAAAGAAGCATGCACTAGTGGAATGTAATTTAATCCTCCTCTCTTCTGTAGCGCCCCCCCCCCCCAGTCCTCAAAATCACCTCTGGGAGGTTGGTGGACTCTCTGGAGAAGATTTTGGGAGGGCATGGGGCAGAGGGGAGGAAATGGAAGTGCCAGTGAGCTCTACTGGCACTGCTTTGGATGCAATCCATAGTGGAAAGCTTGATGTGGAAATCAACCCAATGTGCAACACCTGCAAAAAGGGCAAATTTCATGTTAGGAATGATTGGAAAGGGATTGGAAATAAAACTGCCAATATCAGAATACTGTTGTATGAATCTACAGTAAGATCACATTTGGAATATTGTGTACAGTTCTGGTTACCTCAACTCAAATAGTAAAGATGGAAAAGACTGAGAAAAGGTCAGCTAAAGCTATAACACCTTGTAGGGACATTTATGGAGCATCGGGTCTGAGTCCTTTCATATTTCCTATATTGCTGGAGGCTTCAAAGAAAACTGATCCCAGTTTGAGTATATAGGACTCCACAGTGAGGGGTGTAGCCTGAGGAAGGAGGGCAGCTTGGGATGTATAAAAAAAGGCCAGATCCAAGAGGACTGAAATACTGCATTCAATTCACAGGATTTAGGTTCCGCACCCCTGCTATGTACATTTACCAGACAACAAGACCCACAGAAGAGAGTGGGGCTCACTTCTGAATACACACCTAGAATTTGCAGGGGTAGGAGCAACAAATAAATCACCTATAGTTTCACTGAGAGAAAGACATGTTAGATTCCAGGACATGACTTGAGCCATCAGAATGGAAACCACAAGACAGTCTTCCTAAACCCTCATAAGCTTTCATTTGCATAAAAAGTGTGTGCGCACTTGAGAAAATGAGAGTGTACTGTACATGAAGGAATTCTGCTCTGCCATGCACTGGTGCTTATCACAGTACGGTTGGGGCTAAAAGGTTTACCTTTGGTGTCTTGAGGACAAACTTAGGTCTGTCTTCCTCAGGACATATTTTTGCCTTCATGTCCAACAGCTTTGCCACCTGCTCTGCAATCTGAAAGGTAACATTTTTTAATCAATCCAAGTTACACAGCTTTTATCTACTTCGTATTTATACAATAGCTTTACTTAAGTAAGTTTGGTAATGCGTAATACTCTAACCCTGATACCATCCTCAATCCATTAAAACTCACCAATAACGGCAAATTCTGCTGTGGGTGAAGCCTCTCTCCTACGCTCATTTTACGAAATACAAATCTTTCAGTATAAGATGGCTTTAAAACAGTTTGGATCCATTTACAAATTGCTTATTTTAATTGATGTGTGTTAGAACTCACTTGTTAAAGAGAGAGAGAGAGGAAGGAGAAAGGAAAACAGAGGAAAACTCTCCTTCCTTGGAGGCTTTTAAGCATCTGCCTTGGATGCTTTAGCCGAGATTCCTGCAATGCAGGGGGTTGGACTAGATGACACCTGGGGAATCCCTTCCCACTCTAAAATTCTGTGATAAATCAGGTCTATTAATTTTGACATGTCCAGTCTGAGACCTTGTCAGGGGGAAACATAGAATAATAATAATAATAAGGTCCCCGTTTCCTAATTACGTATACAGTATGTGTATATATTCTATCCTGTAGAGATCCATCTTTTTCGCCCCCGTTAACGACTTGCGCGTAAACCTCTGGGTCGCTTCTTCCAGGCTGTCAGCGCCTCGGAGGCCTCCCCGCCCGCGCCCCAAATGACAGGGCCAGGCAAGGAAGGAAGGAGGCGGCGGCGGCGGCGGCGGCCGCTCTTCCCGCAGCCTCTGCCGGAGGCGCCGCCCGCCCGCCCACCTTCGGCCTGAAATATGAGGGACCCCCCCGCCCCGCCTCACCTCCTCCTGGGGGGCCTTGTCCTGCTTCAGGCGCCGCACCAGGTCGGCCTGCTTCCTCAGCGACTCCTCCTCAGCCATGGCCACCGCCGCCCGCCTCGCTCAGCGGCTGGAAGGGAAAAGGGGCCGCCGGCGCCTCGGCTCCTCCGCGCTCGCTACCTCAGCGCCTCCGAGCATGCGCAGCCGCCCGTCTCGAGGCTGCGAGGGCTGCCCGCTCTTTAGGGGGCGGGGCATTCAGCCACGCGCAGGCGATGCCCGCCTCTGAGCATGCGCACTGGCTCGCGTCGATGCCCCGAGAGCTGCCCGCCCTTCAGTCTTCGGCTGGCGCCCGGGAGGCTGATGCAAGACGGGCTCGGAATGGCACGAGGAGGAGAGGGGCGGGGCGGGAAATGAAAGAATGAGAGAGAGGAAGTGACGCGATAGCACATTGTTTATATGTCCCCTTCTCTGAACCCATGTGCATATATTTAGCTCCCAAGGCTGACATCAGAAATGGCTGTGTGTGTTTAAACAGTGAGGGGACATTTCAGCCTTCCAGGATACTCTGGCAATAAAAATAAATAATAATAATAATAATAATAATAATTTTATTTATATCCGTCCCTCCCCAGCCGAAGCCGGGCTCAGGGCGGCTAACAACAATAAAACAGTACAAAAGTACAGCACAAACAACACTCTAAAATCATTCATTATAAAATTAATTCAAGCCACTGGCAACCATTGGGCCAGAGCTCCGCGAAGATTGCCGAGGGAGGGAGTCAGGCTGTGCCCTGGCCAAAGGCCTGGTGGAACAGCTCTGTCTTGCAGGCCCTGCGGAAAGATGTCAAGTCCCGCAGGGCCCTGGTCTCTTGTGACAGAGTGTTCCACCAGATCGGAGCCACGGCTGAAAAAGCCCTGGCTCTAGTTGAGGCCAGCCTAACTTCTCTGTTCTCTGTTTTTATTTCTAAGGAAATATTTCCTTAGAGCATTTGGGACCCCTCTCTTCAGCCAAAAAAGGCCCCCAAAGTGGAATTACCATACAATCGATAAAAACAAGACTGTCTCTGCCTGCAGGCTTTATAAAAAAACCCCAAAACCATATGCAACGTACAAGGGGAAAGGATGAAAGTGGTTAATTGATATTAAAATATCCCTTATTTGGGAAACGATACTAAAAGGAAGACTGCAACACTGAAACTGCAGAATTCATTTGAGAGGTTTGCTTGTGGGACTGAGGGTTGCATGCTCACTAATGCTTACTCAAAATGAGACCTGTTGAGTCGTGTTCATTAATTTCTGATCTGGTAGAACTTCATTCAGAAATCGGAACCGAGACCTGCTTACTATGCCAGGATGCCTGTGTTATCAGCAACTGTTACATTAATAATAGTAGTAATAATAAATCACATAATTATCACTGTTGCTGATTTTTCCCATTTAGTTTCCCTCAGACCCCGTGTGTGTATACCTGTAACTCAGCATTTCAAACATATGAATTGTAATGCACTCCAATAAAGCTTAAATAATAAATGTCATAGTTTCTAAGGTGCTGCAAGACTAATTTTGTTGCAACAAGCTAACACCCCTAGCTATATGGAAAATATCTTCCACCTGAGTCTTGTATTGAACCATGCAATCCTATGCACATCAGCTTGGATTCAAAATCCCACTGGGCTCAGAGGAACCACTCCTAGACAGTTGTGTACAAAGTTGCTGACTAACACTGTGATCTTACACATGTGTATGTCAGCGTTTCCAGTGCAACTATTGCAGAGGTCGCATGACCGGATGATATAATGTTATGATTGTATGTGTGGGAATGGAAGGTTGTAAAACTTCTGTTCTTTGTTCTTCTCTCTCAGAGAGGATGATTGTGTGAGATGCAGCTCGCACTGCTAGTTATGTTCTTTTACTTAATTTGCTGTAAATAATAAAATACTTGATGCCACATATCTGGCTTCTCGCTGACTCTGCTATTAGCATGCACACAGGTCCATTGGATGTGTGTCGCTGGAGGTACGGGACTGCTGCCGCCAAGTGAGTGTGTCTTGATAGTCTACTCAATTTGATGAAGCTGAGGCTCCAATACTTTGGCCACCTCATGAGAAGAGAAGACTCCCTGGAAAAGACCCTGATGTTGGGAAAGATGGAGGGCACAAGGAGAAGGGGATGACAGAGGACAAGATGGTTGGATAGTGTTCTTGAAGCTACCAGCATGAGTTTGATCAAACTGCAGGAGGCAGTGGAAGACAGAAGTGCCTGGCGTGCTCTGGTCCATGGGGTCGCAAAGAGTCGGACATGACTAAACGACTAAACAACAACAACACACAAATGTGTGTATAGGATTGTAAGGTAAAGGTAAAGGGACCCCTGACCATTAGGTCCAGTCGTGGCCAACTCTGGGGTTGCGGCGCTCATCTCGCTTTATTGGTCGAGGGAGCCGGCGTACAGCTTCCGGGTCATGGGGCCAGCATGACTAAGCCGCTTCTGGCGAACCAGAGCAGCGCATGGAAACGTCGTTTACCTTCCCGCCGGAGTGGTTCCTATTTATCTACTTGCACTTTGACGTGCCTTCGAACTGCTACGTTGGGAGGAGCAGGAACTGAGCAACGGGAGCTCACCCCATCACAAACCGCCGACCTTCTCTGATCAGCAAGTCCTAGGCTCTGTGGTTTAACCCACAGCACCACCCGCTATGACTATTTCTGCTGTAACAGACTAATACAGTTCACCCTGAGGAACTTGGCACTGAATGAAACCAGTCTTTGCATCTGAAACTCTCCTAATTTAACATGAATAGAGCTCAATGGAGCTTATTTTCAATTCTGTCCCGCAAGATTTACTGCAGTTAACAGGTGGAATCTAGGCACATTAATGTAAAGTAAGTTCTGCTGTGTTCCATGGGGCTTAGAACTGAAGATGAAAGTGAGCTGTTTCGGTGGAATGGCCATAAATTTCAGACAGGTTGCTCCATGTGAAAATGTCCATGCAAGTCAGCCCGCTTGGGCATAACTTGATAACATTTTATTAATTTTCAAAAAACAAAAACAACCACAAATAAAAGCAAAAATACAAAATCAAATCAAAACAAAACAAAACAGATAGACCTCCCCCTAGTCCCTTCATTGGTTCCTTTATTAATCAACATACCACATGTCCATTGTTAAATTTGAAAACCATTTAAATTACCTATTGCCCATTCATATCAAAATTACAAGTAGTCCTAAAACCCTGCTAATGTGTACAATGTATTGTATATATGCAATAAACATCTTCCATTCTTCCTTAAATTCATTGTAGTCTCTTCCTCTTCGTTTGTCAATTTTGCCATTTCAGCCTATTCCATTAATTTAACTTGCCAATCTTTTTTAGCTGGGGCATAACTTGGTGACATCAAAGAATAGCCCATCATCAGAGCAACAGAGAGACATTAAAAAAAACCAACAACCTACAGATTTTATTTTTAAGTGAATAGTCCTTTTTTAAAAAAATAAAATACATGAGCAACCTTTACATTTTATAGGCTCATCATGCTCAGAGAATGTGGAGACTGTACCAGAGAAGAAAGTGTGCAGGCTTTAAACGTATGGACTTTCTTTGGGCTTGATATGAGGCTGCCACTAGATTTGTACTTATTTGTGTGCATGCATCAGTTAACCTGCATTACAGTTAATTTTTCTGCTATATACAGGTGTGCATGATACAGGCAGTGGCCATTTTATGTATTTCTGATATGTGTGCAACTGTGCACATGTGCATTGTGCCAAACCTGGAAGTGACCTGAAAATGCCACAAAACATCACAAAAGGGGGTGGGATAGGACAGGGACAGGTGAGACAGCATTATGTGGGCCCCGCCAATGCGCATGGGGGTCCGGTACGTAACCCTCGTGCAAATCAGTTACTGCCTGTACAGTGGTTCCTTGGTTTAAGAACAGCTTAGTTTATGAACAACTTGGATTAAGAACGCTGCAAACCTGGAAGTCTGTGTTTTGGTTTGTGAACTTTGTCTTGGAAGCAGAACATGTTCCGCTTCCTGCTGAGTGTGTTCCATTTGTAAATTGAGTCCTCCACTGCTATGGGAAAACATGCATTGGTTTAAGAATGCTTTGGTTTAAGAACGGACTTCCAGAACGGATTAAGTTCATAAACCAAGGTACCACTATACAGTCATACCTTGTTTTGCGACCGGGATCCATTCCGAAGCCCCGGCCGCTAGCTGAAAAGGACGCAGGGCAAAGTGCTGCGTCTGTGCACGCAAGCGGAGCAGTTTGCACTTCTGCACATGCGTGAAGCACAATTTAGCGGTTGTGCACATGCACGAGCGGCAAACCCGGAAGTAACCCGTTCCGGTACTTCCTGGTTCACCGCAGACGTTTGCTGGAATGGACGCTAGACGAGGTGGACATTCGCAGAGGTATTACTGTACAATACTCAGTAAAAGTTAGCTACAATAGTAGCAATGACAAACTTCTCCACTAAGGGGATTTTCATTATTATTATTATTCAATGTCATTAAGAACATCTAACTGTACATTATACACAGTATAATTTAAATACTATTTATATACAGTAGATATATATATAGATATATAGTAAGTCATATGCAGAGTAGGCCTACTTCAGTTAATGAACTTAATTCCATTTCTTTCAATGGGGTCACACAGAGCATGGCTAACATCGGATATCACACTATTTTGGTTGTTCCAAGAGACACAAACAACTGTGGAGCACCTTGTCCTAACTAAGGCTGTTGTTGTTTTTAGAGGGGGGAAAACTAAGGCTGAAAGTTTCAGTATTAACTATTCAAACCCTTCTGTGTGAATGCAGAATTCACTATTCCCTTTCATTCAGTTCAATGTGGCACAGTCCAGTGCGTAGGTTTTCTGTGGAGTGTTTGCAAAACAGAAAGGAAGAGCACCTGTACCACATTTCATGTTGCTTTTTCTGTACTCTCCAACAAAGACCAAAGAAATAAGTTTTGCTTTTTGCCAGCTTAGGTTCAGGTAAATAAACCTGTTATATTTAGATACTATCAGGACATTAACTTGCTGTCAAGAGTTTTGTCCCTGTAAACTGGTCGTGATATCCTAATATTTTGCCTGTTCAGGAGAAATATTCTGATTTCACATATAAAAGTAGAAGTAATTAAATAGAAGACGTAATTCCTGGTTGCTGTAATATCAGATGCTATTCCTGTACATTTTCATTGTGATTTAGTTATGCAATGTGGATATACAGTAAGAGCAAATTCATGCTGGTTAGAAATTGGCATCAGTCATTGACTGCCACTATTGGTTTTAGGGTCAAAACTACAATATATTTCCCAGACACAGATGATTTGGATTCCACAAACAAATTCCTATAAAATAGCCTCAAAACCTGGGAATCTCCCAAATCATTATTGAAGGCACAAAAACAGGGTGGAAAAAGGTGGCAACTGAATGCAATGTGAAAACTTGCTTTCAGCTTCTTAAATGTTATTTATCCCAATAAAAGCATTCTCTCATCTGTTCTGTATTCCACGTTTCTCAAAAGTCCAGTTCTTCAAAAATGCTGAATAACTCCAGGTGGCTTTATGGACCAGCAAAATTATCTGAGGGCGCATAGCTGCCAGATTTAAAAAAGGGAAAAGAAATGAAATGAAAGGGTTCTATCTTTCCAATCTCTTCTTGATCTCTTCTATGAAATTCTCCTTAGGAACAATGATCTGAAAAGCAGATAGAGAACATGGGATTAGCATAATTTATCAAAACTAATTATCTTCCACTGAAGGAAATTCAAACTATAAACTTTTTTTTTTTAAATGAGTGACAGATCAATGGATTCTGGTAGCCTCCTTTGAAGCACCAACCTCTTTCCTGCTAGAGACATCCCGAAGTTTCACAACTCCATCTTTCTGCTCCTCTTCCCCTATGATGAGAACAAGTGGGATGCCATGTTTTTCACAGTACTGAAGTTGGTTCAGAAGTTTGGGGTTTTTCTTATACAGCATCTCTGCCTGAAATAAGTGCACAGTGATTGGAAAGTTAGACATTCACACCATGTGCAGCATGTAGTAGCAAGTGAACTGCCCAGATATTTATTTGAATCATCAGCACTACTATACAGGCTTTCTGCCAAATCAGAGGCTGATGCTGTCCCTGGTTATGACCTTATTCTCTGAGAAGGCTCTCCCACTTCCTTGTACTTTGGACTCAAATAATACCAGCTTCTAGAAATGCAACAGTATAGCCTGACTCCTCAGTGTTACCTTGATGCCAGCACCCCACAGTTCAGAGATGAGCTTTATTCTCTCCGCAAGGAAGTTTTGCTGAGCAGCTGCCACCAGCACTTCCGTCTCTGTTGCACGGATCTTCTCCTTGGACATCTGAAGGGGGAGCAGGGACAGAAGCTCATCACAGCAACTGGAACCTTATTACTGTACAGTATTTACCAATCAAGCCACAACTCAGTTCAAGTCTTTGTTGAGACCTGGAAATTGGTCCTAATAAATGCGCTCTAATAATGCTACTTTTGTACTTTTTCCTTTTTCCAATAAAGTTCAGTTTCACCTCTAATTTTAAGAAGTTGGCCATCCGTATTTATCTAAATTCCAAAATATGATTAGGTATACAGCATACTAAAATTAAAAAGATAAAAGAGGAGAACTAAAAGCACTGATGCAGTCACCTTTTGTTGTGGCTGTTGGTATTCATCTGTCTCGAGAGACAATGGAGTGTGCCTCTGGGGATGAAGTCAAACCACTGCGTTAGCAGCACCAAAGTGACCTCTCTGGGGGTGCAAGCCTGGGCAATATTTATATGAAGGGCCTGGGCTGCCCAGACAACAAGACTCTCCTCTCAGTCTCGCTGACATGGTCCAAAGGAAAGCAGAGCATGATGTTTGGCACCAGCTTGGCTGCAGGAATTGCCAGAAGGTGGCATACAAGACACCATCCAACCATCTTAGGGACTCCACTCTGGATTTGTGTAGGGTTTATTCTTTAGCCTTTGCTTTCCCCAAATATATCCCACAAGGCAGAGGAGGTTTAGGATCAGAGTTTTACTTCCCCTAGATGGGCTACCTTCCCAGGTTGATGAGCCCCATCTGCCCCTCACTTCCCTCTACAGCATGTGCACAATGCCTTCTTGATCACTGGACCCACTATTGGTCTCATCTGCTCAATCTGCCAGAGCCTGTCTTTGCATGCAGAGAAAGTCCCTAACTCACTGAGGGTTTGAGACCTATTGGCTACCCTCACCAGGTTTAGCCAGCCATTTGAAGTCGTTCCCAGGGTGTGGCTGCTGTTGCATGCTGACAGCTTCTGAGAGGCACAGGTGAGAGCTGAGTCCCCCAACAGAGGTACTACCCTTCCCCTAACACCCCGCGGTAACATTAGCATACAGCATGGGTAGGCAAACTAAGGCCCGGGGGCCGGATCCGGCCCAATCGCCTTCTAAATCCGGCCCATGGACGGTCCGGGAATCAGCGTGTTTTTACATGAGTAGAATGTGTCCTTTTATTTAAAACGCATCTCTGGGTTATTTGTGGGGCCTGCCTGGTGTTTTTACATGAATAGAATGTGTGCTTTTATTTAAAATGCATATCTGGGTTATTTGTAGGGTATGATAATTTCTTTTTTTCTTTTTTCTTTTTTCAAAATATATTCCGGCCTCCCACAAAGTCTGAGGGACAGTGGACCAGCCCCCTGCTGAAAAAGTTTGCTGACCCCTGGCATACACTGTTCATGGAAAGCTGAAGGCACCTAGACAATTTGTGTACTGGGAGTAATAAATAGCATGAGCTTAAATCATCACAGTCTACATCAATTGTGAATTCAGGGTGGCCTGCAGCAGACCACCTCCTCAGCACCAAAATATGGGAGGCAATTGTACTTGTCTCTCTTACAGAGACTGCTGAGATAATGTAGTGACTGTCACTGTCTTTGGGGTCTTTTCAAAAAGATTCAGCAACTGATGGAGAAGTCATCTAATAGCTTTTCACCACAATAGCTAAATGGAACATCCAAGTTCCGAGGCAATATATGAGGCACTTGGGACTGGGAGAAAAACAGAGAAAGCCACCCCCTCGTGCACTGCTTGTGATTCTGCACAGGCACCTGCATGAATTCTGATGGAAACAGAAAGGACCTTTATCCTGTGACCCTGTCCTGATAATTGAGTTGAGGGAAAGAGATCAACTGAGTAACTCAGTACTGTATCTGGGGTAGGGCAAATTTCACACACATATTTGCCTTTGTGGATTTTTGTTGTAAAGCTATTCTAATACATATTAACCAGCCACTTGTTATTTAGTTATTTAGCAAAATCAAGCTAATAATAATAATAATTTATTATTTATACCACGCCCATCTATTACGTGCCAGAAGTTAAGCTGTTTGTGCAGTGTCACCTCTGCGCCGTTTCAAATGCACGCTAGCTGCCAGAGACTTTAAGCAGACAAAAGTACATGCAATGTTTGTGTCTTCTTTCATTGCATAAGAGGGCTGGTATTGGAGAAGTCAAGCAATAGTTCAGTATTGCTTTCTGTTGTCCATTAAAAGATGCAGCCATTCCCTCATGCATTGCTAAAACCCTGCCCTGAATATTTTAGTGGAACTTTCCCCAAGATCTGAGTGCAGTGTTAAATAAGCATCAGTGATTTTGCTTTCCTGCATAAGACAGGAAAACCAGTAGAGCACGGGAAATTTGTACCTCTCCAGCAACAAATGAAGTTCATAGAAGAATTAACGGAATAAAAATCAAATAAAAAACAAACCTTGTCAGAAAAGCACCATTTAAAAGAAATAAAACTAGATATAGTGACTTTAAACCAAATATCTGCTTATATTATTTACTGTTTTAAAAGCCTGCTTAAAAAAACTAACTCAAACATTCAAAGTCAGGTTTTGATAGGTCTCCCTTTCTTCCTGCTGATAGGAAGGTGTGTTGTATGAAGTTTTCATGAAAAAGAAAGCATGCCAAGAATCATAATGTATTAAATATTTGGCTTAAATAACACATTCAGGTAATATCCATGGCCAATAGACCAAAGAAAAGGAATTGCTACTTTCTCACTACTTCAGATGACATGTGATATGCAACTCTATCATTTCCTTTCTGATCACACATTAAGAATAAATCTTACCTCAGCATTCCGTTCTAGGATGGAAAAGATCCTTTCAACACCAATGCTCACTCCTACACAAGGCACTTTTTTCCCTTTGGGGTCAAACTTGGCTACAAGTCCATCATAGCGCCCACCGGCAGCCACACTGCCTATCCTGAGAGACTCCTTTGCGTCACTTGGTTGGCGCTGCAGAACAGCCTCAAAGATCACTCCAGTGTAATAATTTAGACCACGAGCCAGACTCAGGTCCATGGTTACCTGCAATGCAGCCAGGAATCTCATTAGTAGGCAAGAGTGAAAGAACGCCAGGAAAAGCCAGAAAGGGCTAATGTAATATCCCAACTCACCTGATCTATGATTCCAAACAGGGTAAGGTATTCAAACAGCAACTTCATGTCCTCCAGTCCTTCTATGGCCAGCTTACTCTGCGAGAGCTTTGGATCCTGAAGTAGCTTCTCAATCAGACATATCCCCCCTGCAGGAGAGGCAAATACAGGGTGGAAGAAGCTCCAACTCCAGCAGTCTCCACAACACTTGGTCCATCAATTTTAGTCTTTCTCATGGCTGCTACTCCTTGCCCAATTCTCTCAACACTACTTGAGCCAGAACATAATTCTACGAGCACAGGAAATAGCAGCAGGGCACATGATCTGCACAGAAACATGCATGAGTTCTCAGCCAGTTTGGCTGTGTCAGACTAGGGGTCAAGTACGTACACACTAAATGGTGCCCAAATTGAAACTCACCATGGAGCTGAACATATTCACCAATGCGATCTACAGCATCTGGAGAAATCCCATCCTCTTCAACCATCTCATTTTTCACTTCCTTCCATGTCACCTGTAGAGGAGAGGAGAGAATTAGCTTGGCATATGCTCAACTAAAGCAGTTCTTCTCCTGGCTGATCACTAAAACTCTTTGCTCGCGATAGACCATTTAAACAGATAGTTTTAGCAAGATTTATGTGACAGAGGCATGAGGAATGGCAGTTTGACAAGGCCTAATAATAATTATTATTCCACTTATTTGGTGTATGCTCAATGACAACACAGCTGAGATGTTTTAAGATGTCGTCCAGGCTTAGCAGATTAAAACGGAATATTCTTTAACTGTTTACCTTGCCCAGCTTGTCAAGGGTGCAGCAAGCTGTTTCAAATTTGGTACTGGGAACACCACATATTGTAAAGATCCCATTCAAAATACGCCTTTCATTGATCTGCAGAAAAAGAAGAAATGTTCTGTAGAAGTCACTATAAAGTCACTCATTTCAGTATTCCCTTCTTCCACTTTGACTTTCACCCCATTTTCATTTTTCACAGGCTTGTAAGCATAGGCCCATTCTGGCCAAGCTCCCTTACTTTGATGAGGAAATCTCCAAACTGCAGGGCACTTAGGATCTCGTGCATGACCTTCAAACATTCTGCATCAGGAATCATGGGGTCATATTGGCCAGCAATGTCAAAATCCTAGAGCACAGAAGGCAGCAATCAAAATCACAGAAGCAGAGCTTAGGGGTCATTAGCAGAAATATTCAACAAACCACTTCCATTTCCCAGAAGTGCAAGGAAGGCAAAACTTGTATCAGCACTCAACTCTCTTGCAATCCCTCTGCTCCCTACCTACCCCAGCCTGATATTTTGAGAGAGGAAAGTTCCATGGTGCTCACTCTCTATCCATAGATGAGAAACCTGCAAATACTTACACACTGGCAGAATTCTCTGTAGCGTCCCGTTGCCAATGATGGGCTCTCACGTCTGTAGACTTTTGCAATGTGATAGCGCTTAAAATGGGAAACTTTGTTCATGGCCAAATAACGAGCAAATGGCACCTGGGAAGCCTTTGTTAAGAAAAATGGTGTGTAGTTCACAGAGCAAGAACAATCTTGTTTTGTCAGCAGTCTTATGGTTGCTATTATGTCACTCCTACTTCACGAATAGCTAGTTCCAGTGCCTTCTGAAAAGCACAAGTTTAAAAGCAGTTGACGATGTCTTCGAAAAAGCTGCAGAAGAATATTTCTGAAGAACGCATACAATTAGGTGTGTTTCTATGGTTCTCTTACATTAAATGTAGAAAATATCTTCTCTCACTTACTCACTGTCATTTCTAAATGTATGATAGATCTAAGACAGAAAAAATAGCAAAAACCTAAAACTTAGTAGAGGCAAAGCAAGGGGAGTCTCTCTAGGTGGAACATTTCAAAGCTGTAGCACAAAAGAGGAGATAACACGCTCTGGCTTTGATGTAAGACTCTTCCTAACAAATGTAATGTGGAGCAGCACTTCCCAAAAAGATCTCAACTGTTTTGGAGGCTTTCTTGGGACAAGACACCCCTTAAGCCTAAGGTATGCTGCCCTTGCACCATTTAGGGCTTTAAACCTCAACATCAGCATACTTGGTTGTCCCCAGAATCACACTGGAATCACACTGGAATCACAAAGTAACTGTAAGCACTTTGATCTTATGTGCTCCCTATAACCACAATCCAATAAAAAGTGGTAGCTGTCTTCTGAACCAGTTGCGTTTTTTAACCTATATTCAACAGCAATCACTGGCATGCAGGATACAACATGATCTCCATTCTTCAGGAAGAGGCAAAGTTGCCACATCCTAATTCTATTATCTTACCCAAGAAAGACAGCAACCCCCACTGTAAAGGAGGGTTTCCTATCCTTTGGTAGGATACAGTCAAGTCATAGCGAAGACACAGCAACTCTCCCGCTTGGTCTTTCAGCTCATAAACCAGCTTTGATTCCTCCCCATAGTGATCAAACAAGAGGTCCTTGAAGAAAAAGAAAACAAAAAGAAACACAGTATATTTTGCCAAGTATGGACCAGTGTTTAATATTGTGGGATATATCATTATGTACCCCCCCCAATAATATTTCCTTTTAAGAAAGTTATTCTGTACCTAGCCACAGGCAATTCATGCTTTAGTCATATCTAGACTAGAGCACTGTAATGGGCTTTATATGGGCTGCCTTTGAAGCATTCTCAGAAATGCCATTACAGAATACTGTCATTAGACTTTTGACTGAGCTGGGTCAAAAAGAAGGAAATGCCAATTTTGCATGGCCTCCCAGTGGGTTTCCAAGCCCAATTCAAGTTGCTGGTGCTGACCTTTAAATCCCTACATAGCTGGGTCAGGGATACCTAAAAGGCCACATCCTTCCATGGGCAACTTCATAGGCTCTGCTAAAACTTAACGTTTCTCCACCCTCTAAAGTACCCTGAGAGAGTCCTTGGGATCTTTTTAGAAATGGCCCTATTAGGATTTCCTTCCGCCATGTTGTTTGGGAAGGGATTTGGTGCCAATGCTGTGTAGGCAATTTGTATATCTTAGTTTTGGGGCTGAGCATCTTCTGCTGGCTTTATCCGTGCTGCTTATCACCCAACAGGTAGTACATATTTTATAACTGATTAAACAAAGGGCTGTGTAACATGGAAAGCTGACTTGTGCAACACTGAAATACTTTTTATTTGCTCTGTCTTTGTAAGAACAGCCTGCTGGATCCGGCCATCTAGTCCAGAATCCTGTTCTCACAGTGGTCAACCAGATGCCTATAGGAAACGTGTAGGCAGAACATGGCTTAACTAGTAATGATACTGCGCAAGAGATGGAGAAGAAGAAAACAATTTACATTTATTCAGTGCTTCTTGTTTTCTACAAATGATTGCATGTCCTGTACCAGTGTATACAGGGAGCATTGGAACCAGACCTGAAAGCTCCAGCTTCATGAGAAAGAACAAGTGCATTTTCTATGCTTCATTCACTTGTCCTACTGATCTGGAACTAACTGACACCAAAACCAGTTGAGTCAACCTACAAAAGTTTCCATCTTTCGCCTAAGGCTTAATCCAGAGTTTCAGTTCTACTGAATCTAATGGAATTGAAGCAACCTATGTGCAGAATCTCAGCCAGCCTTCAAGAGATACAGGTCAGATGATTTTTGTCAGCCATTAGAGCCAGTTCCATTTCTGAAAGAAAAGATCTAAGTGACTGTCCTCACCTTCCGCTCAAACACAGGGGTATCTATTGTTGCAGCTCCATGACGTTTGAAACAGCTGATTATGGTGCTGAAGATTTTTTCTCGAATGACCATCTGCTTTGGGCTAAAATCCCTGGTGCCCTAAGGGTCCAGGCAGAGGAAAAGGTGGGGGGGTTAGAAGAGATCTTTTCAAAAGGAGGAAGTGCTGAATAAAAATTACACAGTTATAATAGTAACAAGAGCCAATTATTGAAGGGCTTCCAGATGCTTCAATAGTTGAATACTAAATATTTGGATGGATGCCCAAAAGCTCCAAATAAGAATCAAGTACAGCTAAAAATAATAGAAAGTGATTGGGAGAACAAAATTGAACAAGCAACAGATTAAGCTTTTTAAAAAGCTGCATGCTCTATGGGAAATGGCTGGATTGTGTGGAGGATGATGTACAGCTTGTTCCACTGCAGGGACGACTAGAGCCAAACACCCCTTGAAGGGGACTCTGGGAGAGGAAGCAGAACACAGAAGACCCAGATGGGTAGCTGAAGTGGAGAATTACTTTGGCAGTTTTTATAATCACGTTTCCTTTTTCTGTAGCAGTTCCCAGCTGTGACGATGGCCGGTTTATTACATCTTCAATCACCTGGAAAATAGTAGAGCAGGTTTGATAAAACAGACAAGACTGAACTGTTACTGTCACAAAATAGAAGCACAGGGTTCAGTGTCTGTGTTAACATTTGTACATTTCATTCTATAGAAATTTCATTAAAAGTATTCTAGGTTTTAGTGGGGACCTAGAAAGCAGGTAAGTGATAATATTTGTCTCTAAAGATAACATCCTCAAAGAGATTTAGTCCATTTGTTGAAGTCCTGAAAACTTTCCTGAGGAGTACATTGTTAACAAGCTACAAGCCTAGGACCTCCTGCTCTTGTGCCTGCTACCTTTATCTATTTTCAGCTGAGCTATCCTGATAGATTCACTCTTTACTTACTGCTGTACTGAATCAGACCATTGGTCCATCTAGCACCAATCTATCTGATAGCAATTTCCAAGGCTATCAGACAGACAGAATGTGTTTTCCTAATCCAGCTACCAGAAATTCTTTTAACTAGAGATGTCAAGGACTGAATGAGGGACCAAACATGTGTGGTAAGGAAGAGCTGCAGCTCTGGGACAGAGCACATGCTTTGCATGCAGAAGTTCGCAACGTCTCCAGGTGGGGCTGGAAGAGATCCATGTCTGAAACGCAAGAAAGCCACCACTGGGTTGCTGCAAAGCGTTAACAATACTGAGCTAGATGGACCAATGGTCTGACTTAGTATAAGGCAACATTCAATATTCCCATGTGTGCAAGCTATATGCTTTGCCAGCATTTAATGGCATCCCCCAAGCACTGCATTAGTACAACCTGACAGAATGAAAGATACTAGGGCTGCAAGAGTGCTTTGTAAATAAAAAAGACACAATGACAAAGAAGATGACCAAAATAACTATTACATGAATACTTTTGCTTGGCTAACATTTAGAGACAGATTTGAGTAAAAAATCAGAGATACAGGTGCCTGATGTAATAGAATCATGGAGTTGGAAGGGTCCCTAAGGGTCATCTAGCCCAACCCCCTGCTCTGCTTAAAAGCCTCCAATGAAGGACAGTCCACTACCTTCTGAAGGAGTCTGTTCCACTGACTCTATCCAGAAAATCTAACAACACAGTATCGATCTCAAAAATCCCTAAGATTTCGTGATTCTCAAACAGTAGCAATGCTTTTCTGCACACCCAAGCACAAAAGGAGGAACAATAGACTTTTACCAAAACTTACCTTCCTGTATTGCTGTAAATCAGATACAGTCATACCTCGGGATGAATACGCTTTGGGTTAAGCATTTTCGGGTTGCGCTCCAGGGCGACCCGGAAGTAATGGAGCACGTTACTTCCGGGTTTCGCCGCGCGTGCATGCGCAGACAGTCAAAATGACGTCACGTGCATGCGCAGAAGCACTGAAACGTGACCTACGCACGCACAGACGCACGAACACGGGTTACGTTTGCTTTGGGATGCAAACGGGGCTCCGGAACGGATCCCGTGGTACCACTGTACTTCGAAATTTAACAACACAAAAGTCTAAGAACAAGATGATGAAGCCGTGGAAAATGAAACACACCTGATTTGGGAGATGACTGGAAAAGGCCCGTAGGATGCATAACCGCACTGGCAGGTGCCGACTCCTGTAGGAAGCTTTTGCGAAGAAGGGGCAGATCCAATGCATGGTGTGGAATTTATGCAATTAACCTCAGCAGATGGAGTTCCCCACTGCAGATATTTCAGGTCTTGCTGTGCCAAATAGGAACTTCTTGTATTCTAGTTAGCAATAGACACTGTTGTGAAGTATACAGCATGAAAAAAGGAGAGAAAAGGAACACTGAATGACAAAATTCATTTTAGTGGGGAAGTCACATAAGCCATCCATTACTATGTGAATAGGCAAATCTCGAGTGCATTGCTCCTGGAAACGATGAGCGGTTGTTCTTACTAACATGCCCCCCAGCAGATTGGACCTACACTCTTGGATGTTGTGCAATGCAGCCAAGAAATCTGCTTAACGATTGGATCATTTTACAGCACGCTGGTGGTTAGGTTTGTGACATTTTTATACCATGCTTTCTCCAGAGCTCAAGTACATATGCATAATATACACACACCTTCCCCAAACCTAGAAGAGAAAGGTTAGGCTGTGAAAGGAAATGGCTGCTCCAAGGATCACTTAGCGAATTCTGTGACTGGCTGGGAGATATGAAGCCAGGTCAGCTAGGCCCAAGTCTCCCACTTTGGGCCCCCGTCACCAGCTCCTCCATTAGCTGAACAGTCCTCACACAGCTGCCCTTTAAGATTGGCCAGGCTGAAGTGACAATGAGGTGGGGTTTTAGTGAAAATTAAAATGTTTAATCCCCACGTTTTAGCAGATGGGCAACAGAATCTGAGGACCAAGAAGGAAATGTTGGTTTGCCTAAGGCCACCACCTACTGGATTCATGGCCGATGGGGAAATTTGCATCTCCAGGAACTTACTGATTGATCACGTTTATTTATATGCCAGTTTTCCACAATGAGCTGTTCCATATTACACCCGCTGCCCGCCCCCAGCCCCCAGGATTGGTACATAAATAGAAAGCAAAACAATATATGGGTAGAGAGTTGCTTGTTGCAGCAGATTGGGGTGGGGATGACCAACCACCTTATATTATGATATTCACATTCCTGATTCTCATCATTATTGCCTCTTTGAATCTGTACACCGCCTTTCTGCGTTGCTGCACACAAGGCGGTTGTCAAGCTAAGGGAAACAGATCAGGCAATGAAGTTCACGCTCCTAATAACAATCGGATCCAACACCAAGTAAGCCGTAATTACTGCAAGTCATTTTTAAAAACAACTGGCATCGAATGAAGCAATATTCAACAGACCCTTTGAATTTACCGGTGCGCGACACACTTAACCCTAAAAATACCAGCGAGAAGAAAGACGGAAATTCACTCCCAGAAATTACTACAAAGCATCGCTAAGGTGTAATCGATAAAAACAATATCGGCCCGCTGACCGGCGCTCTGAACGGTGGGAAATGGAGGCCGCGGAGGAAGGGATCTCGGCGAAGGCTGCGTGTGTCACTCTGCAACATCTGCTGGCTCTATGTGCTCGCGGGCGGCCACTTAAACCGGAAGCACTTGCCGGCCGGCCGGCGCCGCTTCCTGTCGGTGCTTTACGATCGTGGCGGGAGAGGCGGGGGGGGGAACGGCGGCGCGCGCGACACTTTACGACTCACCGGGTCGCTTCCTGGGCAAGATGGCGTCGGGCAGCGGGGTAGGTAATGGGCTTACTTTGGAAAAGGAGGAGGAAGGAAGGGCTCTGTCTGTTCCTTGTTTTAACCTTTAAGCATTTCGGGGGGCAGGCGCCGAAAGCCCCCTCAGCTCCCGCCCCTGCCCCCCCACCTGCGCCCACCGGCTTCCCGTGGGGGGGGGAAACACCGGAGACCCCCCCCTCAGGCCCCGTTCGGGCGGACGAGGGTCCCGCCTCCTTGGCCGCCCCAGCGCCTGTCACGTGCTTGCCCGTGTTTACTCACGAGTAAGCGCCCCGCGGCGCCTGAAAGGAAGGCGGAGCCGAGTTTCGTCCTCTCCCGAGATCAGCCGGAGCTGCGGGCGTAGCAGCAGATGGTCTCTGTTTAACAGGCTGTGGTGAAAGTTCCGGACTGGCCAGGAGGCAAAAACATGCCTTTGCTCCGTCTTAGGTTGGTGCTGCCCCGAAGTCCTGAGGGGAAGAATTCCAAAACGTCATTCTGGGCGCGTGCGGGAAGTCACATCTGCATTTTACAGCTCTTGCTGCTTCTCGGCCACGGTTGCTTCTCGCTTTTCCGCAGCCGCTCGCCTCCCTGCTCTCGCTCTGCTTTGCGCCTTTGGACTTCTGGGTGAACTCTGGGAGCTGCTGTGCCCGCGGAGGCCTCTGTGCTCACCTGTGTCTCGTGGGATGCAGCGCCCTTAACTGCCACAGACCTCAGGGACTCGCAGCTTGGTCCTGTGGAAGTTAGCTGCGCTTAAGCCCCTTGAAGTAATGCAGTTTAGGTAGATCAGCTCTGCATGAGACTGAGCTGCCAGCTGGGTATGAAAGGGGTATGTAGAAATTACATGGCTGGTGTCTTTTTGGAGCTGGTAACATTTTGGGCATGCACAAAGAGAGAGAGAGAGAGATGGGTTCTGCAAAATTCAGAGGTGCAACCTTCATTTGTGGTGTCACCCAAGACCCCAAAATAGCACAAGAAATTTGTAGACCCAAAAGCTGCCTTTGGTTGCTTTCTTTCCAAAGAGGAACTTAAATATTTTATTTACTTATTTCCGCAGGAGAACTTGATTTTTACTGACCTAACGTTTTTATCGCATCCTTTTCCCCAGGAAGCTTAGAGCAGCATATATTCAAAACAAACCTATGAGATAGGATCATTCTAGAATGGCCAAAGTGTCAGCAAGTCAGTTTTATGGCTTTGAACACCCTAGCCACTACATCACTCACAGAACAATAAAATACTTTTATTACTCTGGGGCTTCAGGTACACAACTGTTAGGCAGGTTGAAAAACTGTATCCATTGCATGTTTAATTTGGATGGACGGGAGAGGAACTTGCACAATCAGAAGATACAAAAATGGTGTAAAAATATCAGATATGCACCAAGTGTCTCTTTAAAATTCCACCAGTTCTCACCAGTTTGGGACTGTGCCCATATTCCAGCGACACACGATAGGAGCCAATGAAGCTCACAGTGTTGGGGGGACACTATGCCTCACCATACACACATCACTTAAGGCACCCCCATTCTCAGCCCCTGTGGCACAGCCAGCAGTGAACCTGATACTGCAAGTCTGCAGGCATTCCAACAGACAGGAGTTCAAATCCCCATATGCCATAAGCTGCTCACAAGTGCTGTTTTAAAGCACAACTCCCCAAAAGAAGGATGGAGAGGATACAAAACACAGTGTCTACATAGCTCCTCAGCAGGATACCTGCAGAGGACACACACAGGCCTCTTGGGAGAAGTGCCTACTCAGCTAGGGGGAAAACACTTTTGCTAAGAAACCATGGGAAGACGCAAACTGAAAGCAGCTGTTTTCAGTAACTCACTTCATAGGGTACAGGGTTGAGAAGTTGGAGAACCCTATTCACCTTTTACATGCCTGCCCCCACCTGCTACCCCCCAAGACATGTCAGAACCAGAAGAGGTGAGGCTCTCAGAACTTGAACCCACACAGCAAGCTTCACAGGGCAGTTTTTTTAAGCAGCCACAGCAGTAGACAGGAATTGCACTCTTGGGCCATTTGGCTCCTGGTCCCTAAACCCAACACCCACTCATAACTGCCAGGAGTACAAAGCCTAGAGGAGGAGCCTTGGACTAGCAGGATAGCTTATTTTTCACATTCTTGGGGTCCTGGTTCAGATCGGGTACACCCCCAAACTAGGAAAGGTGGGAAGTGATCCACACAATGTGGCACATCTGAACCTGTTAGGAGGAGCACTGTATAGACCCTTTGGCCCACCAACTCCCTTGGCAACCCCCGCCCCCCAATCTATCTTCCACTTTTCTTCTGGTGGACCAACCTTATTGGGTGGAATCCCAGCTGGGCTCATTGCCCCTGCTCCTCATCTCTCTCTGCCCACTAGTGCACCCTGAGAGACCTGATCCCTCACAGTCCTGCAAAATTAAGTGATTAGAGAGAAGCAGAGCCACTGCCCATGAAGCTCCCTGCTCCTTCTCACAGTCCCATCTTGAGGCTAGGTGAAGCCAGATTTTTCTAGGTGGGAAAAGAATTCAGCATTCTCCAACAACAGAGAAACACCATTTGTCAATGTCAGAGCCTTTATTGAGCAGCTTCAGTGAAAGAAAGACACGTGATGCTACAAATCAATTGCCTCAGCAGGGCCCCTGGTTGTACACCAGTTCCGTGCTAGGAACACTTGACCTCCTGCCAGACTGTCTGTCATGGAGCTTGCAAGAGTCCAGGAGCCTGCTAGGGACAAGTAGGCTAACAATCTCTTTTTATAAATTTATTTAAATCTTCAGATTAACAAACAATCATCAAGCAAAACAAAACAAAACAATTTCCATAAGTTCCCTTGGACGTCCCTCCTCCCCTTTTGTGGGTCCTTATGTTCACTTTTTCTGCTGCATCTTCTCTGTTAGTCCAATTCTATTAAATCTCCGATAAAACCATAGTCCAACTTTTAACTACAGGCGTCATTACCCATTCTACTAATAATTTTAATTGTTTACAATGATTTTTTAGATAAATTATATATTTCCCCCATTCCTTATTGAAATTTTGGTCTTCCTGATTCTTCCGGTCAGTGTTGCCATTTCTGCATAGTCCATCAGTTTAATCTGCGATTCTTCTCTGGTAAGGACTGTGCCTTCTTTCCATCTCTGGGCTAGTAGTGTCCAGGCAGCAGTAGTCACATACATAAAAAGTCTTTTCTGGTCACTTGGAATTTCGGCACCTACAATTCCTAAAAGAAAAGCTTCTGGTTTTTTTAGAAAAGGTTATTTTAAACATTTTTTTTAATTCATTGTATATCATCTCCCAAAATTCTTTTACTTCTTTAGAAGTCCACCACATATGATAGAAGGTGCCCTCTTTTTCCTTACATTTCTAGCATGTGTTTGATCTTGCTTTATACATTTTAGCTAATTTGCGAGTAGTTAAATACCAACGACACATCATTTTCATATAATTTTCTTTCAAAGTATAGCACTCTGTAAATTTTAAGTCCCAATTCCATAACTTCTCCCATGCTGCTGATTGTATTATATCCAAAATCCCTCACCCAGTGTATCATTACTGATTTGATCTGTTCGTCTTCCGTATGCCATTCTAATAATAATTTATACATTTCTGAAAGTAATTTAGTCTTATTTTCTAACAGCTCCTTTTCAAATTTAGAGGTTTCATTAAAGAAATCTTTCTTTTTGTCAATCTTGAATATATAATTAAGTTGATGGTATTGTAACCAATATGTTATGCAGACAACTTATAATCATTATTTAATAGAGAGATTGGCCTATAATTTTTGACTAACAATATGTCAGTTTCCGGTTTTGGGATAAGTGTGATATAGGCATCTATGCAGGAATCTGGCACCTTCCCTGTGATTAATATCTGATTCATTACGTCTTTTAATGATTGTGCCAGATAGTCTTTGAATTTCTTATCGTACTTTGCTGATAGTCTATCTGGCCCTGGCAAGTAGGCTAACAATCTTAGTCATTGGACTAACTGCAAGGAACGCCACTGCTGCTGGATATGGTGTGGGCCACCCTCCTGTTCAACACAGAACAGGTATGGGATAGTTCTTGGGAGAGTGCAAGGGAGACACAGATAATGAACCATGACTTTTGTCAGCAGCTGGAGCACATAGTCCCTGGATGAATGTGTGAGAGGGAGAAGAGAAAGAAGAGCAAATGGTGCCGCCTCCACCACCTTCGGGGTTGCAGTGGGATTCTGTAAACTGAGAACCACTCTCAGTTGGAGGGCCAGATCAAATAGTGGCCAATCTTCCAGAGGCCACACATGACATCTGGCTGTCCGTCACTTGACATCCTATGGAGCCAGGCGAAACCGATCCAACCTAAAAAGCAATAGGGCTTGTGTTCAGCACCAAATTTAAACAGTGGTGAATGCAAGCTGGGACTGCAAAAAAACAATTGGGAGCCACTCCAAGGCATACACAAACTGGTTGCTCCTTTGCAACTACTTCTTTACCTTTTATTGCCTGACATAATATGATGTCAGGTGAGTGTGTCAGCCCAAAACAGCCTTGAGGGTCAAATTAGCAGACCTGTCAGGCTTAAGATTCTCCACTGCTGCTGCTGGTGTGCTCCCCATGCATCTGGGTTGTGATCACACAAGGCAAATGTGTCCAGGAGTCACTTCCAGCAGTGGGAATGAGTGGAATGCCTGCTTTTTGTCTGCAGAGAGCTTTCTTGTGTGTGGGAGACAGTGCTCCCTGCTCTTGGAGGAAGAGTGTTAAAGCAATATACAGTATTTGTATATAGCAAGGAGGGTTGGGGGAGACATGAGAGACAGTTATGATAGCTATGCAGTACTGTTTCTGTCCTCCGTTCCTTGTTCCGCCTGATGCTGTCCTGGCACTTGCAGTTGTTGGGTGTTTGTGTCTGGGGTCCTGAGGAGAGGCCATCTTGGGAATTTAGGAATAGCAGTGTGCTATTCTACGTGTGTTCTGTGGGCGGGCTGTTTTGTGCAAAGTGCCCTGTCTCCATCATCTTCCACTGTGAGCTCTAAGTGTGCATGACATGAAACCAGAGAGATAAAGATCCATGTTTTCACTTGTGCATAGGTGATCTGGAATTAGGAGTGAGGTTGCTGATGGTACCAAATTGTACAGGGTGGTAAAACCCAAAAAAATATTGTAAGGGGCTCCAAATTTATCTCTTCATGCTCAGTGAGAGAGCATCAAAATGGCAAACGTGATTAGATTTAAGCAAGTGTAAAGTGATGCACATTGGGGCAAAAAATCAATCTCACATATATACTAATGATGTCTTATCTGGTAGTGGCTGATCAGGAAAGAGATATTGTGATCAAGGTGGGTAGTTCAATGAAAATATTGACACAGTGTGTTACAGTGCTGAAAAAGGTGAATTCCGTATTAGGGATCAGTGGAAAAAGGATCAGTAAGCTGCCAGGATCATTGGAGATCATTCTTACCCTCTTCAACTTTGATGGACTCAAGCTCTTCCAGGGAAACATAGAAGCATTAAATATGTTGGGAACACAAAAATGCTGGCAACAGCCAACCTTTTCTGACAACTGGAAACCTTGCATTCTACATACAGTGGTTCCTTGGTTTACAAACAGCCCTGTTAATGAACTATTTGGTTTATGAACTCTGCAAAACCGGAAGTAGTCTTCCAGTTTGTGAACTTTACCTCGGGCTACAAACGGAAGCCGAACGGTGGAAGGGCATGGCGACGGGAGGCCTCATTAGGTAAAGCATGCCTCAGTTTAAGAACGGATTTGGTTTAAGAACAGATTTCAGGAACGGATTAAGTTCGTAAACCGAGGTACCACTGTACATGATTTTCAAATGGGTATTTAGAGGTGTTTGTGAGAAAACAATGGTGGAAACATTCCTCTAAATTTCCAGGTTTGGGATGTTAGCCCTGGGACTCATACAGAGTTTAGAAATTAAGCCTTTGGTTGAGGCCTCTATGAACTGTTGAAGATGTCTGTTTAAAAGAAGGGAAATTGAGGGAGAGAGAATTAACCTGGTGGCTTATAGTGTTGTGGAGGCAAGCATTAGGTTGGGAGCACCACATTCCTAGTCTGAGTCCTTTGGCACCATTGAATGATTGCCTTTGTATCCCACCTTTCCTCCAAGGAATTCAAGTTGGCATTCATGGTTCTTCTGTTCGTCCCCATATTATCCTCACAGCAACCCTATGAGGTAGGTTAGGCTGAGACACAGTGTTAGAAATTGAAATATAAAAGCTAGGAGCCAAATGTCACCACAACGGAATGCCTAGGTGCCCCACAGATTAGCTGATCTGCGCAGCAGCGCAGCACCAAAAGAAACATTTATTTTAGTGCCATGCTGCCCCACAAGCTAGCTGACTGGCATGGTATGGCAGCAGCAGCAGCCTGCCAGATGGAGGTGTTAGTCGCCAAACTTGATGCCCAGACATCTCCACTTCCTCACAAAAGACTGGTTGCCTGTTGTGAAATGCAACTGGCACCCAGTTAGTTTTGAACACTGCTAAGACACTGGCCCAAGGTCACCCAGTGACTTTCGTAGCTGATCAGGGATTTGAACCCTGTTCTCTCAGGTTCTGGTCCAACACTCTAGCCATTACACCACACTAGCACAGTAGGAAAGAAAGAAGGGAATAGGCAGACAGGAGTTTGACCATTTGGGGATTGCAGGCCAGGAAGCCAAGGAAGCTAGGTCTGCCTACTAGGATGGCATCTGTACTTTTTAGGGTGGCGTAATCCCACTAGGGGCAGCGGAACCATATCTCTGGTACAATTTCCCCACAGGTCCAGGGGCTGGATCTGGAAGTGGGATCCAGTTGTAAAGAAGCAGAGAGTGTTTGCTTATAAATTTCACAAATTGACAGAGTTCTCTGACAAATCTGCCAATGCAAGGCAATGTAAACTCTGGTTTGACTTGCCCTCAACAGCAGTGTGCCTGTGGGTACAGCTAAGAAACTTGTACCAGGAGCCAAGGACATATACATGTCCAGCTCAGACATCAGATTGATGAGCTCCGGCTGAAATTCTATCCTCAACTGTAGGTTTGAAAGAGATGCGCCGCACAGCGACCGCTGTGAGAACAGGAAGCTGGGCTAGATTGACCTTTGCTGTGATTGAGTAGGGTTATTCTTGTGTTTCCTGCCACAGCAGACGCAAACTATTTTCTTCTCCAGAGCTTCACCTTAACTACGCTCTTGTTTATCCAAACATTTTGCTACCCAAATGTGTTTTTTTGTTTGAAGAAATGCATTTGTACAATCGTTAAGAACAAAAGTATCACATTAGAGGTCCTTTTTCTGGTGGCAGCTTTGACTGAATCTTGTTTTATGCAGCTGAACATTTCCTGTGTTTTTGTGCCCTGTGATGAACGTTAGCCTGAGGTCCTTTTTTCTCCTTAGCTTATGTCTTCTCTTGGGGAGAGATTCACTGTAGCTGCTAAGCACTTGTTAAAAGATGTTGGGGCTTCCAGCAAACCCCTCGTTTGATCACACTGGAAAAGTTTCTTTGGAATCACAAGCCATGCCTTATTACAGCAAGATCTGAAGTTGAGTTTGATTCATTTCTCTCTGCCTGGCCTAGGGACATGGCTAAAAGATCTTCAAAAGGCTACAGCTTCTTTTTATTATCTAGGAGAAAAGTGAAGCAGCTAGTAAATTGCCTTCTCTCCAGGCACAGGCCAACTTTGATTTGTGATAGTGCTGCTTCAGTGAGGTTGAATCTGGAAAATACCCTCCCCCTCTAATGTTAATTTCTGCCTTGTAAATCTCCTTTCTTCTTTTTACCTGGAGAAGTGGCTAATGATCTTAGTCATGACATGTTTAAACCACTTAACAGGCTCTGGGAATAAATGAATCAAGATTTCAGCCTCTCTCTGGGGCTCTCTTAATTCTTAGCTGTAGTTGTTTGCAGTGATTCCATTTTAAGAATTGCAAGGGGTAAGAGTGGCATGAAAATTTGATTCCAGTGCTGCACTTCTTTTAAATGAGGCTTCTGTTGCTTGTTTTTATTGTTGTAAGATCATTCATTTGACTAATAAGGGGAAATATGACTTGTTAGGGTGTCAAGGCTTTTCCTGTTTTCCCCAAAGTCATAATTAGAAAGAGAGAACTGTTTGCAGACCACTCCCTCCCTACTGCTTTATCAATACAGACTTTAAAATGCACATATTTGAAACCACCCAGTAGTGTATCCCGCCTATGTCCATGCTCTAGTGTTACCCTCACTGTTAAACGACTCATGATTCCCAAGGGTCTGGCAGACCTTTCTGCAGTGGCAGAGCATGCCCCGCTGGCACCCAGGGCATGTGCATGCCTCGCCATGGAGGTGGGGTGTGCTGCTGGAGCGACTGCATCCTTCTCGGATTCCCTCCAGCTGTGAGTGTAACTTAGTTGAGATCCTGTGCACCTCTCAGAAAAGCGGAACGGGGAGAAACCCAACTCACCCTAAAAGCCTATAGGGGCACCAGTCACTCTCTCAGTGTCCATGGTAACATCCCTGACTCCTACCATTCACAGAGCTCTGTGCTGTTAACTCCCCATCATAAGGAGCCAATCTGTGCAGTTACAAGGAAATGTCCCAATTATACCCTTCCCTCAGCACCAACCCATACAATCAGCCAAAAACAGACACATTAAAGTGCCTGCATGAACCACTGCCTGCAGGAAAAATACAGCAACTGTAAATCTCCAGGAATCCCTGCACATAGGGGTCCTTATCTCCTTATATCATCCACACAGATTAGTAGCCATCATGCTTTTGACTGCACAACACAAAGCGAAGAAAAGAGAGGCAGTGTTAGACAGGAAGGAGGTATGAACTAAGACGGGGGTCGGCAACCTAAGGTCCATGGGTTGAAGGAGCACCAGAAATAGCGTACGCGTACGGGTGCTCCTCTGACCTGGAAGAGCGTTCGTGCGCACACGCTCCGGCCCATCCTCAGACGGACTGAGAGTTGACCGGCTCATCCTCTGGTTAAGGTTGCCAACCTCTGAACTAAGATAACCAACAATGAATGAAAAACTCCCTGGAGCTTGAGATAATGAGGCTGGAAAATGAGAGATGCAAGTTTGAGCCCTATCCTGAAGAGTGGTGGGAACAAGGCCCTACTCATCTTTTGCATGCTTGGTCAGCTGCAGTCACCTCAAGAAGCAAAAACAAGAGATCAGACAAAATTAGAACCATATGCATTCAGTGTCTTGATTCCCTATCCAAATCTGCCTGGGTCCTGGGTCCTCTAGCATCTGTTTCCTGGTCTCAACTCCTCCCCTTCTTGCCTGTTGCAACCTGCCAATCCCAAGCCGGGATTGGGACTTGTGATATTCAATTACTTCAGGAGATAGGAGGAGGACACATAAAATCATGTAGAGTTGGAAATGACCCTGAGGATCACATAGTCCAGGCATCCCCAACCTTTGGCCCTCCAGATTTTTTTTGGACTACAATTCCCATAATCCCTGACCACTAGTTCTGTTAGCTAGGGATCATGGGAGTTGTAGGCCAAAACGTCTGGAAGGCTGCAGGTTGGGGATGCCTGACCCTTCAATGCAGGAGTACACAGCTGTCACATACAGGGATCAAACCTGCAACGTTGGCATCATCAGCACCACGCTTTAACCAACTGAGTTATCCAGGCCACGTGACAGAGCATTTGCTATCTCTCACCCACAAACACGCATACATAATGGATGGCGGCTAACATATTGAGGTTGAATCCTGACAAGACAGAAGTACTGTTTTGGGGGGACAGGAGGCGGGCAGGTGTGGAGGACTCCCTAGTCCTGAATGGGGTAACTGTGCCCCTGAAGGACCAGGTCATTTTGGACTCGCAGCTGTCCATGGAGGTGCAGGTCAGTTCTGTGTCCAGGGCAGCTGTTTACCAGCTCCACCTGGTATGCACCACTGAGGCTGAGACCCTATCTGCCCGCGGACTGTCTCACCAGAGTGGTGCATGCTCTGGTTATCTCTCACTTGGACTACTGCAATGTGCTGTATGTGGGGCTACCTTTGAAGGTGACCCGGAAACTACAACTAATCCAGAATGCGGCAGCTAGACTGGTGACTGGAAGCAGCCGTCGAGACCACATAACACCGGTCTTGAAAGACCTACATTGGCTCGCAGTATGTTTCCGAGCACAATTCAGAGTGTTGGTGGTGACCTTTAAAGCCCTAAACAGGCCTCGATCTAGTATACCTTGAAGGAGTGTCTCCACTCCCATCGTTCTACCTGGAGACTGAGGTCCAGTGCCGAGGGCCATCTGGCGGTTCCCTCACTGTGAGAAGCCAAGTTACGAGGAACCAGGCAGAGGGCCTTCTCGGTGGTGGCACCCGCCCTGTGGAACGTCCTCCCACCAGATGTCAAAGAGAACAACAACTACCAGACTTTTAGAAGACATCTGAAGGCAGCCCAGTTTAGGGAAGCTTTTAATGTTTGATGCATTACTGGATTTTAATATTTTGTTTTGGAAGCCACCCAGAGTGGCTGGGGAAGTCCAGCCAGATAGGTGGGGTATAAATAAATTAATAATAATAATAATTATAATAATTATAATAATTTCATTTGTATGCCACTTTCCATAGTTGAAACCATGGTCAAGGCAGCTTATATAATTACAAACATCACAAAAGTAGTCATAAACAATAAATATCAAAAAGTATACTGCCAAACTGAACAATTTCTACATGAATAATAAGAAAATATAAAACTAAGATACAAAATATGAATATCAATAACAGCAACAACAGCCCTTCCCCCAACAACGCTCTCTGAACAATATCCTAGCCCAAGAGTCTGTTCAGCAGTCTCAGCTTTGTAGCTGGAGTCAGTCAAGCCCCACCCTCCCAGGCCAGGTGGAAAAAGGCTTGCAAGGCAGGGAGCAGGTCTTTCAGAGCACTGGCCTGGTGTAAAGTAGGCCCAAGTTCAAGGGTTTTATTCAACTAACTTTTATTCAGAGTAGACCCAGTGGTCGTGTCTAATTAGGTCAATTATTTTAAATGGGTCTACTCTGAGTAATTTTAGTTGGATACAACCTAATGTCCTGATTGTGGCTGCCTAATAGGCAAGGTTGGGAGCACTCCAACTCTTGATGGACCAGCATCCACATATAGCCTATTGCCTGCCTATCAGGCTTGTCTGTCATGGGTTTCCTTTTATATTAGGGCCAGGGCCCCTGGGCCCCAGCTCCTGTGAAGTGTGAGAGGCATGCAGGTTATTTGAAGCACAGCATAAACCCAAATGAAGCTGCCCAGACCCATACAATCCGCCATGGAAGCCATATGTGTAGGCCCACAACTAAGAAATATCAGGTTGGGGAATACCAGGAAGAAAGGCTTTTCAGTGATTGCCCTAATTCTATGAAACCTTATTTGTGGTTAGTGATGTTAAATTCTCGAGAATAATCTTTCGGAGAATATTCTCGAGAATATTCTCGTTTAATGAGAATATTAGAGAATTTTCATTTAAAATAGGAGAATATTCATTTTAATGCATTGAAAATGACATAATTAGTTAATATACATGTTTATTCATGGGTAAGCTTGTTCAGATGGCAACCAAAAACTGTACAGATACTTTTATTAAATGGGGCAATGCAGTGAATTCACATTCTTTCATTTTTTTGCACCAAACTTGAAATTGAAAATTCAGCGTGAATGACTCACGTTAATTACTAAGTCTGCCTCTAACTGTATATTTATCATCAAGTTTGAATTATAATTATGTTGTGTATGAATGAGATGTAGCTTTTAAAGTAAAAGGAATATAAAAAAACTCAGGTCCACTACATGAGTACATACGAATTCAAATGTTCATCACATTAAATGAATAGCATTTTTAAAACTTTAAAAAAAAAAGTTTTCTGTAGCTCACATTTCAGAACTGCCAATGGTGAATGACACAATGCCCAGTAATTGTAACTGGATCAAAAAAATAATTATTCATTATTCATTACTTACATTGGCAGTATCACAGCTTGACTTATTATTTACTAGATTTTTTTAATGTGGGTTGTAAAACTAGAATTTACAGTTTGTGGAGAATATTCTCCAGAGAGTTTTCTAGCAGAGAATATTTACACCTCACCTCACTATTTGTGGTGGCCCTAATTCTTGGAAACTTATTTTGTGGACCCTAAAATGCTTTCTATTCCAACAAGCTCTTTCTTTTAATTGCCAGTTTTCTGTTTTTAAATGGCTGTTGCTTTATGGAATGTTTTTACTATGATGTTCTTAATGTAATTTCTTATTTGTTGAGCTGCCTTGTGAAGGCTTGGCTCGAAAAGGCAAGATAAAGATAATACACACACACACAAATACACACACACACACGGTGTCCATTCAGATGTTTATTCTAAATTGATTATGTGTGTTTCAGTGTAGAAATTCTTTGAGTCAAATGAAATAAATTAGAGATATGCCTACTGTGTGTAAAATAATGCTGGGGTGTTTTTGGGGGGAGGAATTATGGAATGGTGCTTGGTATCATAGGCTGTTTCATGTACAGTGGTACCTCAGGTTACATACGCTTCAGGTTACAGACTCCGCTAACCCAGAAATAGTACCTTGGGTTAAGAACTTTGCTTCAGGATGAGAACAGAAATTGTGCTCCGCCGGCGCGGCGGCAGCAGAAGGCCCCATTAGCTAAAGTTCAGGTTAAGAACAGTTTCAGGTTAAAAACGGGCCTCCGGAACAAATTAAGTACTTAAACCGAGGTACCACTGTACATTTGCTTTATTCTTAGGAATGAAGTTATGTGGATTTTGTCACTTATTAATGCAACCCCCTCAACCCAGAGGTTGTAGCATACAGCTGATGTACACAGAGGGATGTTGTGCAGTCTGAGCTCTTCTCTCTTAACTTTGTTTGATGGTCTCCCCCATAGGTTTATTCATGAACAGGGAGAAACTCAGAATGAAAAACCATACAGGGGAACCTGTTTTTGTGCTTATTTAGTTGTTGCAGGGTCGGGATGCAATGTTAGAGCAAGGAGAGAAGATGCTGTCTTGCTGGGCTAAATGAGAAAGCATCTGTCAGTAGAACTACCACCCCGAAGAAGAAAATGAAAAACAGCTAAAGAGAGAGGTCTCAAGGCTCTTAGGCTGAAATTCAAATCTTGTAATCCTGCAAAGGGTGAAAGAAATAACAAGAAAAAAGCACCAAAATTAGAATGCTTGTGTAGAAATGCTTGACTAATTTTATTTTAGATTTTTCATTCTAAGTATCCCTTAGGCTCAGGCTTAGTAACAATTTAAAAATGTAAAACTTAACATAATTTAAATTTGAAGCTCTCCTCTCCTGAATGCTTTGGGCAGGCAACATTAATTTAAAACAGTCATAGTATTTTTGAAGGCAGATTAAAAAACTTGAAAAATACTAAAACTCTTCTCCCCTCTCCTTTTCTTTTAAAAGTTGAAAGCTACAACTCAGCTACCCATATTACATCTGGCTACGAAATGGTAGTTTAAGCAGAGGTCCAGGTTTGGAACATCCAGAAAAAAATGGGTTTCCAGAATTAAGGAACTGCTGCTTGAGAACACCTTGCTTTTTGCTGTTTGGTGCAGGAATGGCAGAATTAAGAGGCTGACTCAACCAGATGGAGGGCTGGCCCTTGGAGGCATTCCCCCTATATATTAGGCCACGTGTGGTTATGCTTGAAGAACACATCTGTCTGGCCAAGCAGGTGGTTCTATGTCCTGTGCTGCTAATTGTTACGAGATTTAAAAAGATGGGAAGCAAGTATAACCCACATTCCTGAAATAAGTTGCCTTTTTAACCTTTATCCTTAAATGGGTCTAAGAGTAGATCTTTGGATGTTGCTGAGTTTTGCACCCCATCTGTGAAATGGTCCCCCTGCTCACTTGTACTATGTATCTGTGTTTCTTTATCAGGAGGAGAATTTGCCCTAGAATTTCCTAACATGGCATCTGAGCGGCTTAGGTGTCACTGTGCCAAATGCTTGCCCCATTCTATTGGGAAGTCTCTTTATTTTTTAAAGATATGATGCTTGTTTCCTTGGGAAAAACTTAAGGCACACTCTGCTTCTTCCTGTTTTACAAATCTGCCTTGTCCTGCTTCATAGGAGTCCTATTGGGTCAGATCAAAGGTTCATCTGGTTCCACAACCTGTTTCCAACAGTGGTTAAGCAGATGCTTTGGAGAAGCCCTGAAGGTGGACATCAAGGCAACAACTTTTCTCAATTTTATGTTCCCCAGCAACTGATAGGTGTTGCCTCAGAAACTAGTGATTCCATTGATAAATTTAGCCTCCATAAATTTATCTAATGTCTTTTTAAAACCAGCCAAGCTAATGGCCATCACCGTACAGTAAATTCCATAAGTTAGCTGTATATTGGGTGAAGAACTGCTTCTTTTGCTTGCTCTGAATATATTGGTCATCCATTCCATTGAGAGTGTTTTACTTGGTGCTCACTTTCATTTCATGGATTTATATCCTTGAGTGTCAGCCTGCTTCCTGGACACACTCAGATTATTGTGTGCTTTTCAGAAGCTCAATGTACTTTTTTTTGGCTGAAGTTAGCATTGTATAAGAAAGAGTTCTACTGTCATAGGAGGGGGGGACTTTTTTGCACCCTTTGCATATTTTTTTAAAAATCATTTCATTCTTTATTTACAGATGCAAAATATTTTTAATCAGGCACACACAGTCAGTAAAACAATCTTATAAATGATATCTCATTTCTGTATCCGAACAAATTGTACCACGTTTAATTTTATAAACCCCTATCATGACCCACTCTTATTTACATTTCCCCCTTGTACTAAAAAGCTTGTGGAAGTCAAGTAGTATCGTTTAAAGCTTTCCAGGTATAACTCTGTTTTTCTGATGACTTGGTGATACCACCCTCATTTCACATATGTATATCATGGTTGTGCCAGCCTCCCATATCTACTCAAGTTTCTGCCTGCTTGTTGGAAATCTTCTGCCTTTATTTTTCTATAGTTAGCAGGGAATTTGCAGTGCCAGCTTCTTGGTCTTGTAGCTGTCTCCATCTGCTGTAAAGCATATTTCAGTCAGTGGAGGAGTAAAGTCATGCCCTGCATCTGCAAAGCAGCTATTTAAAGATTTTTTTTTAATTAATCTGTTCTTGGGACTCACTGTGCAGTCCTATATATGTCCCAGGTGTGAGGTATGTGATGCAGCTACCTTGCCGAAGCTATGCAAGTCTGAGTGTGGTCAGTAGGGGGACCCTGTGCCTGCCACCTTTAGCTCTGTGAAGGAAGAGGGGATATAGATCAAACAAACAAACAAACAAACAAACAAACAAACAAAGGTTTACTCAGAAGCAAGTCCCACTTTATTCAATAGGGCTGAACCCCCAAGAAGAGTGCTTTCGATTGCACTTTCAATTGGTTGGATTGCTGTAATGCTCTCTATGTGGGGCTGCCTTTGAAAAGTGCTTAGAAACTTTGACTGGCTCAAAGAGCAGCAGCCAGATTGCTTGGGCTACTTGTTTGTAGTTACCCTTGGTGGTTTGCAGGACTAAGACTTCCTTGCTTTGCTGAATTGAATGTTGAATTTCTGCATTTTCCTTTGGTTTGTAGGCTAAAAACCTGGACTTCCGCCGGAAGTGGGACAAAGATGAATATGAGAAGCTTGCAGAGAAACGACTCACGGAAGAGAGAGAAAAGAAAGATGGTTTGTAACATACTGACTTCTTCCATTAAGAGCCACTGGCTTAGTTTGTAGAACATAATGCAAAATTGCAGAGGAAAAATACGGACCACTTAATTCTGTGTTCTGCTTCCATCCAAAACAAATTGTAATAACCCTTTCCTTTCCTGATGCTCTTGATGCAGTTCATGAAACAAAGAAAGATTAAGAGCAGGTTCATCTGATTTTAGAAGCAGGGAATTAAAAGTAAGCGAGAAGACTTAAGTTGAAGTTCTTGAGGAGCATATTTTGTCCAGTGTATAAACAAAGTATTGTTTTACATTTTGAGATACAGTTTTGAATTCCCGGTTTAAATTGAAGCATTTTAAGAAAACCTTATTGATTATGTTTTAGGCAAACCAGTGCAACCTGTCAAGCGCGAGCTTCTTCGGCACCGAGACTACAAGGTGGACCTGGAATCCAAACTGGGCAAAACCATTGTTATTACCAAAACAACGCCGCAGTCTGAGATGGGAGGGTGAGTCATCCTGAGTCTTTGCAATGCTTGTTCATACAGCACACAGCAACTAAACATCCAGATGCCTCTATCTCTGTTCTAAATCTGTGCCTAGGAGCTATGGTCAGGTGGATGAGGGCCAACAGATTGAAATTGAATCCAGACATGGTCATGGAGGGCACAGATTTTGCTGTGGCTAAGGAGGTTGGAATTTCCTCTGGATTTTTTGAATTGCACACTTCAAATGAGTAGACCTATTTTGTACTGGGCTCCACCCCTTAGGCATTACCTGATTACCAGAATTTTAGTTTCAAGTACTAGTGACCCTCAGGGGAACATGTCTGGTCCTTAACCTCTGTCAAGATTTTACACTGGTGAACAAGTCTGTAAAGCAAGAGGTTAAAAAGGCACACCCACCCCTCCAAACTTCACGTGGGGGGAAATGAAACTTTAAAAGTGATGTGCATTGGGAATTTGTGCTGCCCTCTGCTGTTTGGAGTGAGCGTTTTAGCAGAGCTAATAGGTGATAGCTGCTGCTAAGGATGAATGGCCTCAAAATACCACTCCATACCACCATGTCTGCCTATCTACCTTAATATCATGGTAGTACAAGAAGGAGAAAATGTGCAGTGGGACAAGTGCTCTGACTTGCTGTGCAAATTCTCATGCGCTGCTCTTGCTTTGTGAGATAGCCCATAAGCCCCTGAAGCCTTGGGTACATGGCAAGTAGCAAAGTTCAGTCTCTTAGGCTCAGCAAGAAAATTTTTATATTTTCTTGCACATGCAAGTTCCAGACTGCAGGACAAGGGGCTTTGTGTGGGATTATTTCCATAGATGGCAAGACAGAGATTTTAATGAAGAGAAATTGCGCCTGTGTTCAACCTATTTCGGAAAGTTCAGTAACATTGACTAGATAGCCCTCATGTAGTACTCACCTTAATTTGATATGAAATAGAAACTGAGAAGCCTTACGTAAAATAAATCTCCTGTTAGATATGAGAACTGATGTCCTTTCCCCCTTTCTTTCCAGGTATTACTGTAATGTCTGTGACTGTGTAGTTAAAGATTCCATCAACTTCTTGGACCATATCAATGGCAAAAAACGTAAGGATAAAGCACCTTTTTTCCCCATTGTGATGTGATGTGAAGGTATGATGTATTAGTGCTCCTCTTAGTACTCCATGTACAGGTCTCCTTGGCCCTATGATCTCAAGTCTTTCTCAGTTCTGATTGAAACTAGATACAGACAAACTAATTGCAGTTTAATAATAATAATATTAATAATAATGAGGCTTGAGATAATGGTGGCTGACAAGGCCATGTGGGGGAACAGGCTCACTTCTCACTGATGTGGTTCAGTTTTCCTTCACCACTGAGGCCTTTGGGTGCTTTTGGTATCCTATTCATCTTCATGGGTAAGTGAGAACACCTAGGAGCAGTCTTCACAATGTTTATTTGAAGGAAAGGCTGCAGTCTCTCCTTTCAGACTAGAACTGAGCAACTTTCATTCATGTCTTCATGGTCTCAGGATCTGAGCACTTCAGGGCATAGTTGATTGGACTGTGTTGGCAGGGTTTCTATGAGATGAGTCACTGGGATGAATCTGTTTTATACTGAGTCATATCATTCACTCAAGACCTCACAGAGCTTTCCCCTTGCTCTGCTGCCTGAGGGACATTCAACATTCAAAATCATAGGCTCTGCCCTTGAACTGTGGTCCTTCTTCAATAGCTTCCTCTTGTTTTTCAAGCACAATTTATGGTTCATGTTTTAATGGATAAATCAGCCTTGCAACTCTTTATTCAACGAGTGGTTGCATACTCCTCTTTCCCCTCCCACTCTGCTGCCATACCAACTTCCTCTGGGCTTAGGAAGACACATCCCCCATCATCAAAATGGGAAGCCAAGCATAGGAACCTTTCTCCCTTGGCTGCCCCCCTTGATACTTGGTGGTCCAAGGAAAGAAGCAGCATAGTTGAAATGTGTTTTGTGTAATTTGATCTGCCTCCATGGTTGGAGGCTGTATGTTGAATACTAGTTATTGCAAACCACAGGAGGGGAGGGTGCCGTTGTGCTCAGGTCCTCCTTGTGGGCTTCCCATAGGCCTCTGGTTGGCCCCTGTGAGAGCTGGATGCTGTGCTAGGTGGGCCATTGGCGTGATCCAGGAGGCTCTTCTTTCGTTCTTGTAAGCATTTGTTTAATAAGAAGATGGAATCTCTGACTTTTCTAGGCATAAAACTTAAAAGCTGTTTCCTTGGAGATTAGAGAACACCTTGGAAGCGTGGAAGCCATCACTCAGAAGGCTAGACGTGGGGTGTTGATGAGGTCCCTGATTCATCCACCCCTTTCCCCCTATTTCATTTTATGACTTCCTTGATCTTAGAGGAAGTCACATGAACGCCCATCAGAAGGTGGCTTCTTCTGTGTGGCATTCTTTATTTGGAGCAAACTAGAATCTCTAGAAGTTTCTGAATCCCCCTAATAATGGTGTTGTGGAGAGTGTAGGGTTCTTGATGTGTGGGGCCATTCTGCAACAATGGCTATGCATATGGAGGCAGACTCCATGTGGTGCTTTGATAGCAGACCCTACATGGTGGAGGTTAACTGAATCTCTCCACAGGGACCTATTGGTTTTTGCATCCCAGCAGCAGAATTCTTACAGAGATGCAATATTTGTTTGTATTAATATATACAAAAGCTTATGCTTTATTTGCCAAGACGCTTGGATGCAAGCATGAATCAAGGCTCAGACATTGGGAATGCACTGTGGAGGTGGTCAAAGATGCAGAAACAACTGCTGTCTTATCAGGTCTTTTTTTATTTGGTTTTGTTAACCAAACAAAAAACCTCGGTACTTGCTCCAGCGAGACTGTCCCTTACCCCACCCCCAGCAAGAGGACCATCTCCCATCAACTGGCCTGTGGGAAGGAACAGGAGAGTAAAGGAGGCAGGCAAAGAGGATTTCAGAGCCTGCTCCAGGTGGTCTGTTTCCTCCCCATTACATGGCCAACTGATACCAGTTGTGCAGTGGCAGGAATCTTGATGACATTTATATTTTTTATTGTTTTATTGTAGTTTTGAAACTAATGTGTTTTGATTTTGCTTGTAAATCCACCTTTGATGTCCTTAAATTAAGATATAAATAATAATTGACATTCCCTGATACAGGTACAGATTTCCATACCTTCCTGAATTTTATCTATAAATAGCTATTGTTCAAATTTCAAACTACCTTCTAGTGTTTCTAAACAGATATATTTACATAATGAACATGAGAGAACCTCCTCACCCCAAATTGTCCTTAAGTATACCTCCTAGGTATAAATATATTCCAGGTGACTAAATGAATTCAGTTGGAGGAAAGTAAAAGCTTGGTTTGCTTTTGAATGCTATATATCTTGCAAGCTCTCAAGTATTTGGGTCCCAACTGTTAGTCTTTTCCCATGTATTCATTTATATTACTGCATTTTTCTATTTCTATTTTCTTACATGCCTGATTTTATGTTCTATTTTTTTCTAAATAAATTTGAGGTTATTCAAGGTTCTGCCACTTGCCCTAGGTTATTAAGGTTATGCTTAACAGCCCTAGGTTACTTGATCATCGTCATATTTGGTCAGTTCACTGTCTTCACAGTTCAACTATGATCCTGCTGTCTTACATGACAGATTTATTGTCTTTTATTATACTTTTATAGTATTAAAACTGTGTCCACTGCTTTAAGGGACTCTGGGCCAAAAAGCAGTACAAAAAAATATATGTAACATAACACTTATTCTTTGATTACTTCCAATAAATGCAGAGGAGTGATGAATGATAAAGTTGGAAAGCCCCAATTTTTTAGTATGGAAAAACACAGGTCTTGAATCCTTAGTTCTTGTTTGTGCTAACCAGATATCTCTACAGGTACAGACTAAAGGATAATCTTTTTAATAGAAACGTTGATCTGTTCCCTTCAATATATAAACCAAGGCAGTTAATAAAAGATAGATAACCAAAAAGGTTCTGCTCCTGGCCCACACCGATTGCACCTCATGTCTAGATGATATATGCAGTGCATTCTAGCTTAATTAAACTCTGACAGATATAGATGCAAGAAGCAAGCAGAGTATGACTCATTAGCTACCCGTTTGTAGGAGTTACAAGTCCAGCAGGCAAATTTGGTCTCATCCCACTTCAGACATGCAGTTTATGGAATTTGTCAACATGGATCACTCAGGTGCACTCCCCCACCCCCCATGGAATTGCTTCCTGTAGGGAAAAAAGAGTATTTGCAAGCTCAGTTGGCTTAGAGGCAATCCTGCAATGTTACAGAAGGCACCAGTCACTTGCAGCACAAGTCTAATTTGCTATGCATAGTTGGATATTAGCTAGGGTGGGGATGGAGGTAATCAGAAAGAGGGAGAGAGCACAGAAGATAGTTATTCCACTTCTTCCCTGCTGGGTCAATCAAGACCTTCAACTCTGATGCACTATTAATTAAGAGCTTGGTGAGCATGATTGCCTATATCTCAAATTAACCTTCGGAGTTAGCATAGCCTGCCCATATAAAAACAGGGCTGTACTGTATTGTGCAAAGCAGCCAGTTTCAAAGACAGCATTTTCACAGTTCTTTGCTACAGAAATGTAAGGATGAAAATGATTTTCAAGATGCAGCTTGGCTCTTAATCTTTTTCTCTATTGCCTAAGAGAGTCTGAAGTTTGGTCGGCTGTGAAGAGAGATGCTGGGGTGAGATGAAGCTAGGTATCCAGAAGAGTGTAATATTTTGCTCCCAAACGGGACAAAGGTTTTTGCTTGGCTGCTGAATATTGGCAGGATTTCTGAGACAGTGTTGTTGGTTCCCTCCTTTTCTAGATCAGAGGAATCTGGGCATGTCTATGAGAGTGGAGCGCTCCACACTGGATCAAGTGAAAAAACGCTTTGAGGTGAACAAGAAAAAAATGGAGGAGAAGCAGAAGGATTATGACTTTGAGGAGAGGATGAAGGAGCTCAGAGAAGAGGTGAACTGTTGCCCGAAATTGAAACAATTAGCATACCTGGAGAGGAATAACACCTAACTAAGGGGCTTTCTGTCACATTTGGATGGCTAAAAAGAGCCATTTAACATGCTAAAAAATGAAAGTGTGGCAGTACATTTTCTTAATTTTCCTGTATTTCTGAAATAGTGGTTGCTTTTGATCCCATCATAGTGCTGATACCAGTTTATTCTCACTCCAAAAATTGCTCTGGTCCTGTTGCTTAGGCAGGGAGCTAAGCTGCCAGGGAGATCTTTCTCCGTGTTTGGTCTCCTCAGTGCAACACTGACCTGCAGGTGGCAGCCAAGATTTTTCCTGTTGTCGTTCATTCTGTCTGCAGCAACCTCAGGAGGGCTTGGATTATTTCCAGTGTGTCTTTCTCTGTTTATAGGAAAGCTGTGCAGTTCCAGCACTTTTCCTTTTAGAAACCAAAGTGTGCCAAAGATTAGAATGATTTCTCTCACACGATAGGTAGACAGACTGGTGGAGATAGTCTGTCTCCCCCCTGCCCTTTCTGATACAGGCAGAACCTTTTTCTTTAACACGTTTTTGTCTGTGGGGGATTTTTACTTGTTGTGGGAGAGACTTCAGTGCCATCCATTGCAGCTTGCCCTTCCAGAAACAAAAGAAACCATTTCTTCACTTAACTCCTCAGGGCCTATGTGCATATTATATGCAGGTTGCGGAACTCAGCTTTTTTTTTGCATAGAAAGTTGATATTTAACACAGAATGCACAGACCCCTTTATAGATCCCAGCAAAGAACAGAGGCTGACCCTTCCGTGGATGTGTGATTTGTAGACCTTCTTTCATAGGCAAGGCAGTCTTTTGTAGGCACAGTCACCTTTTCTCCCTGGAGAATCACAGAAGAATTACAGGTAACTCACAACTTATGTGTGTTTAGCATATGTGATTTCAGCTTTACATGGTTGAAGGCCAGCTGGTTGAAATCACACAAATTAAATGCACAGAAGGTGGAGAGCTTAAAATGTCTTTTTGCGCAGGGTTTTCTTGGCATGGAAAGAGCATTTAAGCTCCCAGGTGTCCTTACTGGGCTCTGGAAGGCTCTTGTGAGATCTCATGGGAACTTGGATGACCATGTGAGATCACACAAGAGCCTCCCAGGACTTAGGGCAGGGTGCCCTTGTTGTAAATAAAAAATATGCCCTTTTCCCTTATGGGGTATCCAAGAGCCCATATAGAGTCCTTACATAGGTTCCCTATTGGTAGGAGAAAATAACAGAGGCCAACCAGAGAATATTGAGAAGCAAAGCAGCTAGTAAGCTTGATCTTTATTGATCTGTTGCAACAGGGTACTCCCTCACATGCAGGAGAGGAGGAGGACCCACAAAAATGCTGTGCAAGGGTTTATAAAGACTTTTGAAATTCCAATCCTCTAGATCCAGACCACCCCCAGAAACATTATGCATACATCACAGAAGGGGTGTAACCTAACCCACCTACATCACAGAAATTTTAATATTGTTTTTCTCCTGTTGTTGTTTATCTCCTGTCTAGCAGGTTACTTGATTGGATTGCCTGAGGAGCCTGGCCATTCTTTTGTAGTGGTAAAATACTTATTTCCTGGGCCAGGTCACAGGCTCACACCTTATTCAAACAGACATATCCTTGAGACAGGATTTGTGAGGAAAGAGACAATGGGGAGGCTTTTCCAGTTTAACCTTGCAGAGAAAGGATTTGGTCAGTTTAGGAATCAAAATGGTTCCAGGTTGGTCTTCCTGTGTTGATCTATGTATGTGCAGTTATGAACATTACCATATATCTAAGACCATAAAATTCCTATCACACCCTTAAGACTCGTTGGGTGCACTGACTCTGGAAAGTAGGATTGTGTGTACACGCTATCCCCAAAATGTAACCCCTGCATAAGATATGTGACTTACCTGTACAAGGTTTCATAGCAGCTTTGGTGAAACCTTTAGATAAGCCACACCAGCTCGCGCTCTCTCTCTCTCTCTCTCTCTCTCTCCCCCCCCCCCCATTTTTGGCTGTAGGTGAGGAAAACCAATTGCTCACCAGTTTGGGGAAATGAAATTACCATGTCATATGGGAAATGCAGAAGTAGCTTCCTTTACAATTCCAACAGCATTTTTTTTAATTTTACAAATCAAGCCAATGGGTTTGATCTCTCTGTGTTTGCCAATGGCTGCTCTGAAAGAGCCCCACGATGCCCCTGCATGTTTGAGAGAGTTGTGCAAACAGGAGAGTCCTTTGAGCTTCAACAGCCTCAGTAGCTGCCAAGGAGTCAGTCGCTGAAGTCACACTTCTGCATCCCCCAACACGTCTGGCGCCGTTCCAGGCCTTGTGATCTCACAGAACGAAACATTTTGATTAGAGCTGTGGAAACCCTTTGATGCCAAAACCCCCCAAAGCCACTCAGAGCACAGCTTATGTTCCACTGAGCAGCTGTCACTCGGCTGTTCCAACAGCCATCAGATACTGACATTGTCTGTCGCCATCGTTCAGCACCACAGTTGTTGGAATGGGGCATCAGTACAGAATCCATGTCCATTGCTTTTAAAGCAAAGCTGCGTTTTCATTACTGTTAATTTCTGATGAAGCCTTTGGCATTTGTTTAATAGCAGTTGCTGACAGTTGCTGGACACACTGTATTCTTCACGTGTCACTTCTGTGTGAGTGTCTTTGGGCTGCTGTCTTTCCACTGCTCCTCTGGGACCAACCAGAGGAGCCAACATTTCTCTTCCATCCATTGTTTGCTGTGCAGACAGGGAAGAAAATGTCGCCTCTGCTGTCTGTTTCCCTAAGTTGTGTCTTCCGTGTCTTTAAGATTTTGGTTGCGCAAGCGAGCTTGACTCATTTGGCAGCTTCCCTTTGTTGCAGGAGGAAAAGGCCAAAGCCTACAAAAAGGAAAAACAGAGGGAGAAGAAAAGGAGAGCTGAGGAAGACTTGACGTTTGAGGAAGACGATGAGATGGCGGCTGTGATGGGCTTCTCTGGTTTTGGCTCTACCAAGAAGAGCCACTGATCAGCCATGAACTTCCACCTGGATGGATATTGTTTCTGCCCTCAAGATGCTTGAAAACCCTTGGAAGACTTTATTAGAGAATTTGTATTGAAATGTCCTGGTAGAAGCTGGCTGTAGGAGTTGGGAAGGAATCACACACTCTTCCTGTGTGGGGCTGGCTACCCCCTGCTGTTGCTAGTATCCTGCCTGCCTGCAAAGATAACATCACAATTGCCTGTGAGGTGGTAAACCTAAATATCTGATAAAGAACTTTAGCATCCCCCATCCCCCAAGCTCCTTGGGGGATAAACCCATTTTCAAGATTTTTTTAACTCTTCATTTCCTGTGATGAGCCTGCAGTTGGAGCTTTCTTTTGGAGCCCCCAATTCTTGCCCCTGCCTTCAGCTGCCCCTTTCCCTATATGAGTTCTGCTTGCTTCATGTTGTATGGCCTTCTGTGCACGAGAGACATTCTGCTGAGTACACTTTTCCTGTTAATAAAGTGTTAAAAATCTTATAAGTGGCTTTCTTTCAGAACTGTACTTCCCTCCATAAACGGTCATCCTTGTAGGTTGCGCTAGTGTGTGTTATCTTTAAGGAACCTTGGGAGTCTATTATAGCTTGTATGGCTGAGCATGGAGCTGAAACGTCCCCCTTATTTTTTATATCTCCAATAGATTGCTAAAAAGAGGAGGGTTTGGGTATGATCTCCCCCTCACAGTAAAATACACACACGAGAGAAATGAATTTGGGGCTTCAGTAGGGCCATGCTGATGGTTGGAGGGGGGGATAGAAAATAGGGAGATCATAAGGAAAGGCAGGAGATTGTGGTGCTCTAATCTGAACAAAGAACTTGGACCCTCTCAGCAGGAGTAGATGATCTTGCTGGCTCTGTGTGCGTCTTAAGAAGAAAAATAACTGAACAGACACTCACATTGACTATCTCCAGCTTCAAGGTTGAAACAATAAATTGGCCTCCTTTTGGCTTAATGCAGGTATTGAGGAGGGAATCTCTGTTGAATTCCAGTATCTTCTTTTCACTGGCCATATTGAAAGCATGTTGCTGAATTTTATTGAAGCAGGTGAGGGTTTTTAGGGAGGATGGGGCTCCTTCCCCATCTTGGTTCAGGTTGGAGAAGTGTTATCTGCACTGCTCCAGCTGCTCTTTATGCCCCATGTCATTTTCATTGCTTTCTTGATTTAGTTCAGGCAAACCTGCCGTGACTCATTCATTGCCTTTTTGGGTTTAGGACGATTTACATCTGGTGTAGCTGATTTTCATAGTGCCTGCCTTTTTTATATTGATGGGATCATTGTTCTTGTCTTTCTCTGTACCTTTATGGAGCCTCGCAGTGTATTGAGTCTTCTTTCAAATACATGTAGAATAAATCCTATCATGCTTTGCTGCTGTTTTAATTCCTTAATCTTAGACTGCTGACAGCTTCATTGCCTCAGATATTTCCACTTCAATTCAGATTATAATCCCCATTGAAGATGCCATTGAAATGATACATAGCCTGTAGCTATGCCAGCTGAGATACAAATGTCCTTGGAGACTTGACCCTTTAAACTAAAAAAAAAAAATCCTTTTAATGTGCCTCAAACTCCTTCTGTGCACCAAATAGAAATGAGCATTTAATTCCAATCACGTACCTGTCCCTGTTCAAACCAAAAGAGTAAACTCCATTTGAATGTGAGAGAGAAATGAAGCCTGTGACTAAATATCCTACAAGATTTGAGGAGAGGAGGAGCAGCAGAAAAGGAAGTGAGATTACAGTGCCATGTAGCTCCTTTCATGCACATTAAAAGTTTGGTACATTTTGGATGATTTTACCCTAGGTAGCAGCTTTGTAGATTCTCACAGCCCCCTTGTCCTGCCTAGACACATTTACAAACTGCTCATTATTGCACATTGAACTAATTGAGTTTGGTTAGTGTTGATGAGAAATGGCATGGTCCAGTGGATCCCTGATGGAGGTGGGCACTGGGACCGGCTGTGTCCTATTCCTCGTTCTAGAGCTGCTGCTGTGTGATCTTGACAAAGTGATCGGTGGAGTTAGATGCCTCTGGTTCCCCTTGATCAGGAGCTCTGGGCAGCTGCTGGGGATGTTAGAGCCATGCTAATTGCTGCTGGAGCTGCAGACTGCAATCTTCACTCGTCTCCCTTTCTCTTACCTACTTTGTGCCCTTGGGGAGAAAAGACATGTCTTTGTTTATGAAAGACAAAAATAGATTTAAAAAATGTTTTTGTTCTTTTAAGGATGTAGAACCTTGGCCTTTTTGTAATGCACAACAATGCTATGTCTTGATAACCTTTTGTCTGTGAAATTGCTGTAGACGTTGCAGAGGTGACTTGTAAAGAATCGTCACTGTGACAGTTAATAGGAAAACTAGTTAAAATAGAAATATGTACTCCCTTGACAAAGAATAGATTCACTGCAGTTGCCTACCTGCTCTGGATGTGGGGGGTGAGCCCCTCCGCATAATATGGTTATGTGTCTCTGTGTCTCAGCAGTGGGAGGAGGGGGTACAATTTCATTTCCCTGGTACTTTTTTTTCCACATCCCATCCTCCATTAAAAGCCTTTTACCTAAACTCCAGCCTAAGGGCATCTTCCTCCACAGGGCCTGAGCATCCGCCTCTACGTGCCAATATTTCCGCCTGCCTCTCCTGTCCCAGCGCAGGGGCTTTGCTCACAGGGATGGAGGGGGAGTCTCTTTGTCTTGGTTACTTGCTGGGAGCAGTGGAGTGTGTAGTGGCAGAGATACAGACTCCTGCTGGATTCCCAGCAGCAGGAGCTGCCTCCAGCCAAGGATGAAAAGCTAGTTTCATGGGAGGAAATAATATTTAGAAAAGAGAGCAAGAGAGAGAAAGCTTCCTGCAAAGAGCATTAACCCCCTGCTCACCAGGTTTCTCAACAGAGGTGTTGACTCTGTCTCTTTCTTGCTGAAATGAAGCCTTCTGTTTCCTGCTCTTCATATCAGTGCTCCAGATATTGAACACTAGGAATTCACTGGTCTTCTGCTCTCCTTTGCATGCCAGTTCAGCCTTGTCCTTTCCAAATGTATGTGTAGCATTTTTCCGAGTGGGGCCATTGAGAATCATGTGTCTTAATATTCCCAGCTGGGATGATACTGTGCCCTACCCTCTTAAAACAGCTGTTGGGGCTGCCCTGCTTTTGTAAGACACACAGGGAAGAGACGTAGAAAAAGGAGGAGGTCCTGGCTAAGGATGGGGAAGAAATTAGACCCAGGTCTCATCTGAAGCCGAATCTATCTGATTCACACTGTTTGAAACAGTATAGTATGTGAACCAAAACACAGCTGTCCTTTGAAATTCACACTGATCTGAATTTTGCTACACAGTTTGCCAACCATCTTACAAAAATGGAAAAGTGTGGATAAAAATGAATATATTGGCGAAAATAACACAAAAATGCATTATATTAGGGAAAACTACTTGGGAAATGTGTATGGTAGTCAAAACTATGTATGTTAGGGGGAGAAATCACACTACAATGCTCATGAATGTACATGAGGATTTAAATTTGTTGCTGCAAATTGCTTCAAAATGGGGAGAACTGAATTTAATACTGGAAAAATGAGAAGCAGGGAGAACCAAAATGGACAGATTCTTCCATCCTTAATTCTGGGTCTAGTTCACTGCTCCTGTTCTTTCATTTATTGCTGTGAAAGCTAGATCCTAGAAATCACATACAGTTGGAATGTCCAGGTTTTGTTGCCCAGTTTCAAACCAGCAGGCAGTTGAAGATGGACTACATCCAAGCATGGGGGTAATTATGACCAAGCACTGAACATACGAAACTGCCTTATATTGAGACTTACTCTTGGTCCATGTAGCCTAGTGCTGTGACTGACAATAACTCTTTAGAGTCTCCAGATGTCCTACCTGAGATAATTTGTCCCTGCAGATGGAGCCTGGGATCTTCTGCATGTAAAGCCTCAATTTGGCCACAGAGCTATGGCCCCTTCCCATCAAACGAGTGGCTAGCCTTTTTTGGCCTGAGGGCCATATATAGTCAGCTGTCCCTCCAAGGGCTGCATGCCAGCAATCAGTGCATTGAATGTATGCTCAGCGGTGTGTGCATGCATGCGTATGCAAGGTAATGTAAAAGTAAAGGACCCCTGGATGGTTAAGTCCAGTCAAAGGCGACTGGGCTGTGGCACTCATCTTGCTTTCAGGCTGAGGGAGCTGGCTCCTGAAAAAGCATAGACAGCTTTTTCAGGACATGTGGCCAGCATGACTAAACCACTTCCGGCAAAACGGGACACCGTAACGGAAGCCAGAGCGCACGGAAACGCAGTTTACCTTCCTGCCACAGCAGTACCTACTTGCGCTGGTGTGCTTTCAAACTGCTTGGTTGGCAGTGACACATACACCCAACACTGCAGAGCATATATACATGCACCACACATGCGTCACACCCTTACTAAGCATTAAATCACCCAGAACACTCATACAGCACTCTGCCCCCCCTTTTTCTCAAATACACCCAAACACATATGCAGATCATTTTATGCAAAATAAAAGACAACATTTCTCACCATTTTCCAGAGCGATGGGCATAAAGGGGGTACCTTGGTTTACGAACTTAATCTGTTCCGGAAGTCTGTTCTTAAACTAAAGCGTTCTTAAACCAAGGCGTGCTTTTCCATAGCAGCAGGGGACTCAAATTTACAAATGGAACACACTTAACAGGAAGCGGAACATGTTTTGCTTCCTAGGCAAAGGTCACAAACCAAAACACCTACTTCCGGGTTTGCAGCGTTCTTAAGGCAAGTTGTTCATAAACTAAGCTGTTCTTAAATGAAGGTACCACTGTAGTTGGGAATACTGCCTTTAACTCTTAAAGAGCAAGTATGGGGATTTTTCTCCCATTGTACTGTGGTGCCTAGTACTAAGATCTAAAACAGAAGATTCCTCTGTCTGCTCTTCAGAGAGGAACTCTTAATGATGAGGCAGAGGCTCTGTCTCCCAATCCATGCAGGGTATGGTGGCCCACCTCTGTTAACCAACTCTGCCATAATACATATAAAACTGACTCCTGATTTAAGTCTCTCTTCTCCACATCTAACTGGCCCAGGTCCGTTTTCCAGCCCTACTACCTAAGATTATTCAGCTTTAAAAATGTGTGCTCAATTACATTATGCTCTCTTCAGAGGACCTACTTGATATCTCAAATTTATGAAATCAACTGTAGCCAGTGTTGGATTGGCTAATATCAGTGACCCCTCACCCCCAGGTATCACACCATCAACTAAAAAAAATGTAGAAGAATGAGGATGGTATCCAACTGTAAGTCCCTAGATTTCAGTGGGTCTGCTCTGAGTATGGCATGGTTGGAAAGAAGCCTATATAACTATGTGGCCATTTCCTGGCCTGGTTGAGAGATCCTTCTTTTTGGGGAGAAGGGTATGTGTTTGATCAAGAGTAGTGATATACTCGTAATCTCCCCTTTAAGGGGCAAAGAGGTGGAGCCCTCCCCAACTGTTCAACTCAGTGTGAAGTCACAGTTCAAAGAACCATTAAAATGGTTCCCTCATCCTTTACTACAGCATTTAACTCTTCATAGTCCAGTCGGAGTCTAAGCAGGAGAGTCACTACTATGTTTGGATCAGGTTCTCTGGTCTGTGATGCAGGACACCAACTCCTCAAAATGAGGTGCTGCTGCTCTGGACCTTGACACAGTCCCACCTATCAAGTACCAGGCCCCATCTCTGCCACTTGGCTCATGCTCCACTCCCCAAAACAAGCTATTGACTGTGTATCACTCCAGGTCAAACAATATGGCTTTAAAATAGTGGTAGTCATTAGAATGATTTCTCTCACACAGTAGGTGGACAGACTGGGAAAGATAAGCTGTCTCCCTGTGCCAGATGGCAAATATGACCTAGGATATGAAATTAACTTTACCCAGTGGTCAAAAATGTGGTTTAAATCACCACTCAAATCCATCTTAGCCAAAAGAAGAGAATTCACTCTGACACTCTATGGGAGCTGGCACTGATACACCCAGGAACTTAATCTAAATGCTGGAGAGGCTACACCTCCACAGGCACATACCTCCACAAGTGGTAGGAATGCCACAAAATTCAATCCTTTTGGATATCAGTGATGCAGAAAACCTGCAAAATAACAAAACAAGTAATAGAAGCAACTCCAGAATTAGCCCTTTTAAATATCTTCCAAGGCAACAGCAATATCCACATGACAATGAACTCATAAGTCACTTACTCTCTGCAGCTAGAAACGTTATAACTAGATACTGGAAAGACCTATTAGGAGTGAATATAGACCACTAGTAACAAAATCTATGGGAAACCTCCCTGTTAGAAAGGTTAACCAACAAACTCAAACTAGCACAGGGACAAGCAAAAGAGGACTCCTTCACCCTGGTGTGGCTCCCCTTTATCACATAAACAGCACAAGAGACAATGACCTATCTCCCCCACCCCCGCCCAACAGCATCTGAATTGATATGGCTAATCTGACTCAACAACACACACACCCCGACACATACAAACAAACCACACAGCAATAGACCAAACACAGGCATAGGCAAACTTGGCCCTCCAGATGTTTTGGGACTACAACTCCCACCATCCCTAGCTAACAGGACCAGTGGTCAGGGATGATGGG